ACCGATACTAGACCCTCGATGCATTGTGTCGGAGTGGATATGTCCCTTCTGCCCACCTGGAGCTGGCCGCAAGGGACAAGCTATTTCCTCAAGAGCTATGACGAGATTCCTTTATGGGAAAACAAGGCAGGCCAGCATTGCACCTAACACGTCAGCACACCGATAGGGAAGGAGCGGAAAGAGCCATCTTGAACAAAGGTAGAGTGGGGCAAGTCGGGTCAAAGTTCGCCATCCTGCTGCTCCTTTGGTATCGCCTTGCTATGGCTGTTTCCAGAGGACTCGGGGCCCTTCATAGTGACAAGCATGCCTGCCTACCGTCTGCTGCCATCAGGCATTTCGCAGCATCAAACGTACGCTGAGCAGCACCGCCCCTATTCAGTCCGAACGTCGTCTCCTGCAAGAAATCACCCACCGTCGTCTTGTCTTCAAGCTCCACCACTTGTGCTTCCGCGGCTTCCCATCGTCTACCAGGTCGTGAGAGTCCTCGCATAGCTACTCGATCCAGTGGGTGAAGGACCATGATGGTGATCAACTCGTACATCAGCTCTGCAGCTGCCAATGCCGTGATCTCTGCTTGACTGTCGTAGGGTGGGGAGACTTCCACCACGTCTACTCCTACCAGATTGACTCCCTGGAGTAACCGAATCAGCTCGCGCACCTCACGAGATAGTAGACCTCCAGCGACTGGGGTACCCGTGCCGGGAGCCACCGAGGGGTCCATGACGTCCACGTCGATGCTCAGGTAGACCGGACTGTTTCCTACACGTTCCTTCACAAGCCTGGCCACCTCGTTCAGCCCCATGTCTACCATCTCTTGCGTTTCGAGGTAGCTGAATCCACAATTTGCATCGTGCACGTAGTCATCGTAGTCGGCACCGCTCAGCAGACCGCGCAAGCCCAGGTGGACGGAATTGTTGGCGGTGAGCCCTTCGACGGCGGCATGATGGAACATGGTCCCGTGGGTATAACCAGCTTGAGCACTTTCCCACACAGAGGATCCATAGGCTTTGGGCTGCCAAGAGTCCAGGTGCGCATCCATGTGAATCACCGTAATGGGGCCGTACACCTTGTGCAAGGACCGTAAGATGGGAAGTACAATGGAGTGATCCCCACCCATCGAGGCGATGCGAGGGTGTCTCTTGCCGTCCAGGGCGAGGACCCCTCCCTGTTCCTTGCTACGAGGCTCGCTTGAAGCGCCGAGGCTTTTCCTTCCCGAAGGAGTGGGGTGCTGGAGCAGTGCAGAATAGGCATCTTCGATTTGTGAAAAGGCCACCGAATTGTCAAAGGGTGTAATGGGCATGTCCCCACAGTCGACAATCGTGGCGTTCGACTGGAAGGGGTTGATGCCCAGAATGGGGTTGAACGTTCGGAAAGACGTCTGACGCGCCGAGCCGAAGCGGATCGCACGCGGTCCGAATCTCGCCCCTGGTCTGAAGAGCAGAGGAAGGGGAGAGAGGTGCCGAGCATTACTAGATGACGAGCGATCCTTGCGATACGGCACTCCTCTCGTATGTCGCTCTTACTCACTTGAAAGATACAGCGGTGTCTATCGGAATGCCGATCAGTGCGATATCGAACTCTGCTGAAGGTTGGGTCAGGCTGGAAGACGGATGGCCAGGAGAGATCGTGCATGGCACCGTCAGAAGAGGGACTTCGGAGAGGAACAGAGGACAGGGAACAAGGCGATCCTTGAGCCCAAGCTGGAGAGAAGAAGAGACGAGACGAGACGTACCACTTAACGTGCTCCATATGAGCAAAAGTGGAGATGCCAGTGAAGTAAAAGTCCGGTACATCCCACCTCTTGGCAGTGGAGCTCTCGTCGGCTTGAGCCAGGCATAGCGAGGCTGAAGCTGCCGCGCCCACCAGTAGCAAGGTTGGCCGAGGAAAGAAGCGCATCGTGGGTAGGGAGAGAGCAGGACCCACGGTGCACGAAGAAGAGAGCTTGCTGAATCCGCTAAGCCGAAGGCAGTTCCAGAGTGCTAACCTGGAGTAAGCAGAATTCTGGAGTGGGGGGAGGAGGACGAGGGGCAGAGAAAATGCAGCGGCACTCGATCTTCCCGTGCGATCTCACGGGCGGAAAGGGCTCGGGCTCGATGTGCGTTCTTCTCCGTGGTCGCTACAGGTTAGAGATGAGGAGCGTATGTAGGGACAGCAGGGCAGATAGCTATCTCATACAGGCAGATTGTGTGCTCGCAGTCAAGATTCCGTGTTGCTGGCAGGATGAGGCTTGGGGTACGGACGGAGATCTTCCGTGTGCGGCACTAGGCGCGATAAGGGTGTGCTTGAGCGCAAATGTTGGGAAGCATGAGGAGGACAGGGCTGGATGACTTGTGTGCCTGAACTGAGATTGGTAAAGAGGGACCACGGACCGCCTCTTTGCTTCTATTGTTGGTCCTGGCTCGCCTGCCATTGGGCTGCTGCGAATCGCACCCGTGTCATTTCCGGGTCATCTGCCCTTGCCTTCGGATCTTGGGCTGTGCCACCTACTTCTGCCACGGCTTAACAGGAGTCGTAGCTCTCTCGTTCTTGTAGAACCGCATCTTCAGCCGGTAAATGCGCAGCTTGGGGGAAAAGGCGGGGAGAAGCGTTGTGAGGCTGCTCCACTGCATCGCACTGCACGGCCCACCCCGCACGCGATAAGGGAAATTGGCGCGTGGGCAGGCGCGCACGCAAGTCCAGGCAAGCGTTCGATCCCCGACTGCTCCTCTTGGCGCCCACCGCTGCAAGATTCTTCTCTTGGCAAAGGTCAACGACGAGATAACTCCCGCCCTCATCGATGGACAGCAACGGCTACCGGTGCAGAGGAATGAGCGGGGGAGAGGAGACTACGCTATCGGCGATCGCACGGTGTCTCGCCTTGACCGCATCCCAATGGGCCAGACACTAGTCGAGATCAAGACGAGGTTGAGGAGGAGGCGTTCTGCTATAAAGATAGCTAGCCTGTCCGATGATCTCGCAGCGAGAGTCGTAGCAGACACGGCAGCCTCTTCATTCGAGCATTCCAGCCCTTGGCCGATCAGTCTCACCCTCCATCATCCTCCCTGGCCTCGTTCGAACGCACGGCAGACATGAGCACCTCACAAGACGACATCAAGGAATTTCTCTCCGGCGGCAGCTCTCCCAAAGGAGCAGTAGCGGAAGTGAGCGAGTGGCAGCCAACTGTCAACTCGGCCACCACAAGCGGTGCCACTGAGATTCGGCCCAGGACGCTATCGTATCGTCAAGTGGCCGTCTATGCAATGGCCGGCTCCATGGGGACCAACGTCTTCATGCAGGGCAGCTCTGGTCTCATCCGCGGTGGACCTATCTCGTTGCTCATCGGGTACATCTACATGGCCACCATCCTCGCCGCCGTCAACATCGGGCAAGCAGAGATGGTCTCCTGGCGTCCGATCACCAGCAACTTCAACCGACTTGCCTCAGTCTACGTCGACCGATCTACGGGAGTCGCAAGCAGCGTCAACTACCTGGTCCTCATGGCCAGTCTGGTCTGCTTCGAGATCACCGCTGGAACGGCCGTGCTGAGTTACTGGACCGCCGCCGACCTGGACATCGCCATTCCCTTTGCCTTCCTGGGGGCATATTGCGCCCTCAACATCTGGTCGACCAAGTTCTTTGGAGAGGGTGAATTCTGGATTGGGATCGTCAAGATCATCACCATCACCGGCCTCCTCGTCTCCACCATCTTCTTCATGAGCGGAGCAAATCCTCAACGAGACTCCTTTGGATTCAGGTATTGGCTACATCCAGGACCCATGAACGAATGGCAAGCCACGGGCTCCACAGGTCGCTTCATTGGCGTAATTGCCGGGTTGGTGAACGCTGCGTGGGCTTTCCAGGGACCAGACATGGTGGGGATGATCTCGTGCGATGCCAAGAACCCTCGCGTCACCGTTCCCAAGATCTACAAGACAGTCTGGATCCGTCTGTCGGTCTTCTTTGTGGGATCCGCCCTCGGAATTGGAATCATGACCCCACACGACGACCCGATCCTCATCGCCGCCGTTGCAAATTCGGCACCGGGAGCGGCCAGGTCTGCTTGGGTGCGAGGAATGGACCGACTGGACATCCCTGTGCTGCCTCATATCATCAATGCCGTCATCTTCACCAGTGTCTTCTCTGCGGGCAACGCCTACGTCTATGCTGGCGCCCGCACTCTCTACGGTCTCGCTGCCGAGGGGACCTTCCCCAAGATCTTTGCCCGCACCAATCGCAACGGTGTGCCTTACGTAGGGGTGATAAGCATGCTCCTCATCGGTCTACTGTCCTTCCTGCAGGTCTCGACCAACTCATCCGTCGCACTCGGATACTTTGTCGATGTGTCCACAGCAGCCCTCCTCGTCACCTGGGTGATCATGTCCCTCACGCACATCCGTTTCCGCCAAGCCATCCACGCACAAGGCTTCGATCACTCTCAACTCCCCTACTGGTCTCGCAGATTCGGTGGATGGGCAGGGTGGTATGGTCTCGTAAATGCTACGCTAGTCCTCGTCGTCAGCGGCTACATGAATTGGATTCCGGGAAACTTCGACTCCACCAACTTCATCCTGGCCTACTTTGCCCTCTTCTTCACAGTCGCCGTTTATCTAGGCCACAAGATCTTCACTCGCAAACCTTGGAAGAGGGCGGTAGAAGTGGATCTCTACTATGGTGCGGAGGAGCTGGCAGCGGCGGATCTGGCCGAAATGAATGCTGAGGCTGACCCGGAGAAGACGGAGATGGAATCGCAAGGAAAGCTGGCTAGACGTATGCCCGTTTCGCTCAGGAAGGTAGCCAAGAAGTTTGAAGGTGTCTTGTGATATAGAAAGAGAGAGGCAGACAGTGTGCGAGCACTCCTCTCGCCGTTTTCGCAGTCTCATGTGTGTGTGTGTGCGTGTTCCTCTCGTCTGTCCTGCCAGCAGAGTGGAATAGATCCCAATTCCTTCATCACCGATCTCGAACGTAGACAATTATGTGTGCTCTGCGTATCCCTCGATATTCTTGTACGTCTTATCGCCTCCAGGTCTGGTTGGAGACTACTGGAAGATCATCTTCACCGTCGTCATCGTCGTCGTCCTCCGGTCAGCTTGTCTAGGTGCATCTGGAAGGACACCAGCATCACCAGCCTGAGTCAGTATTGCTCTCAAAACGGGTCGCCGCCGCCGACGTCACTGGCGAGTGCCTGCAGCGCCATGGGAGGCAATTCGGTCACCATGATGTATGAGTGGACGGAAGGCTCGCTTTTGAGAGAACACACACACATACGCTCCTACGAACGCACACACACACACTCTCACACACACTCACACACCCTCACGCAGACAGTACACACGAGCGAGATCGAGTAGTGGCTGATATGATGTGTGTTGTTCTCGACTACGAGAAGATAGAAGCGAGGCTATCGTACCTGACATCTCGTCCAGCCAGGTTACAAAATTGCTGTACCGTCTGCGTATAATTGCTGTCGAGGCTTATGCTGCGATTGACGGTAGAAAACTGCTCGTTGTGCTGGCGAACCACGACGGCAGTCAAAGCAGATAGATCCTTTTTGATGTCTTGCAGAGGTTATTGTTGCAACGTGCGAATGCTACCTCTCATTTCTGAACTCTGTTTCCTGGGGCGCGACGAGTGCTTGAACAGATTGTGAGTCTTGTTGATCCCTATCGGGGAGCGCTTGGAGATCTTGCGCGGTACCGGATTCCCTCTTCTTTGGCGGCTTGTCTTCACGTGTATTGGTATGAACCATGAGCGCTAAAGGCGTGCTCTCTGAAGACGAGCAGCCATCGCGACCGACCAGACCTGCGATGCTCGCGTTGCAGCGTCTGACGTTGACCTACATAAGCAAACCATGTCCATCAGTGTCAGCGCTCATCGTCCTTGCGCACCTCTTGTAATCATGTACTTACTTGGTTGTCAAAGTAGGCGGGATCGCGCTCTTCGATCCTCCTCACGAGCCAGACCGTTGTGCCCGGTTCCTGAGTTGGTACCAAGCCAGGGTCCAAAGCAAACAGGGCGGATGGCCTTGGTGACCAATCCGCGGAGCTTGTCCAGCCACTTTTGCATCGTCGCCTCGGCAGAAGTGGAGGACTCGAAGTCGCGTGTGATCATCAACATCTGGACAAGTCCAGCTGTCTTGACGTGTTCCTCTGCGTGTCGTCAGAGAGCCCGAACTCCAGGTCGTACTTCAAGGCGTGTGCATTTGACCATCTCCTGACCGGTGCAATGCAGAGGTCAGTACGCAAAAGGTCGAATTGTAGGAGCGTCAGTGAGTGGGAAGATAGAAGCTGCTCATAATGCAACTTTTCGGCGACTCACCACCACAGCACGTCCTGAGCGTTCTGCCAGCTTGCCGGCAGGTGCTCCGCAACAACCCTCTGATCGCTTCAAGCCGCCGTCAGAGCCCCACCACTGACCAGCTGATCACGCATTGCGTGCCAGTGATCGCGGTAAACCCTCCAGGTGAGATCCTCTACAACCAGCTGCCCTCTCCCTCTTCTCTCGCGTTGGGCGACAGAGGAAGCAGTGCGAGCAGCAGAGGGGCCGGCTTCGTTGTCCGAGTGCTCTGGCACGTAGTCTTCGTCGTGCACAGGCGAACCCATCTCGGCACTGAGCCAGTCTTTCAGCGCATCAGGTAGCCCTCTTCTGCCATCCAGCCTGTTGCTCCTCCGAGGCCTCAGGTGCAGTGCCTCTTCTTGTCGCTCCGTTTCAGCTTCAGCCTGAGCAGGGACGGACTGCTCAGCCGGACGTGGTCTCGCTCCTTGTTGCTGGCGCTGTCGGCGACGGCGCTGCCGGGGAGAGGGGACCTGCTGACCAAGTTGCCGAGGAGGAGGTCTTATCTGCTGATCAGGGGTCTCTGGAAGTTGCCGCTGCAGAGGATCGGAGAGGCCCCGCTGCTGCTGCTGACCATCCTGCGGCTGTGATGTTGCTGTCCTCAGAGGAGTGAGAGGAGGGAAAGGAGGAAGCCTCGGAACCTGAACCTGAACCTGTAGCTGTTGCTGCTGCTGCTGTTGACGATGCTGGAGAGGGGAAGGCGGCCCTGGTTACTGCTGTAGAGAGCGGAGTGGGCGAATGAGAGAGGGCCCTGCAGACTGCTGCTGTAAAGAGCGTAGAGGGGTAGGTGCCACAGATCGCTGCTGTAGATGAGAAGCAAAGGGAGCCAGTCTCTCCACTTGCTCTTGTTGGTGGCAATGGAGGTGTTGCTGATGTTGCTGCTGCAGTCGACGCGGAGTAAAAGAAGCAAGCGGAGGAAGAGGAAAAGGCCTGACAGCTTGTTGTTGTTGCTGCTGCTGCTGCTGGCGGCCTGAAGGAAGAAGAAGAGGAAAGCGCTCCTGGCGCGTCGGCGCCTCCGGACGAGGAAGACGAGAGGGAGTCGAAACAGGCAAGCTGCCTTCCTGCGACGGCTCGCGCTGAAGCACCTGTGGCAAGGTGAGGCTGGGTGTCTCGGAGGTTTGCCCTGGAAGCAGCGGCTGCTCGCGCCTTTCCTCTCTTTCAGACTGAGAAGGGCCTTCTCCTCGGTCTTGGCGGCGAGCGGCAGGCGGAGAAGGCAGCGGCGGCTCGATCAGGTCAGAGGCGGTCTGAGGAAGGTCCAAGGCTCGCTTGCGCTTTCCTGCCTGAGCAGGTGCGTTGCTCGAGTTTCCCTGACCGCCTTGAATATGCACCGGACCTGTGATCACCAGATACTCGATGTTGATGTTGGTCCCTGGTAGCGCTGAGTACTGTGACCCATCTGAAAGAAGAGGCAGAGAAACACTGCATACAGCCAGTGTCGGCTACGATCGCGGGAAAGCGCCCCACGAGCGATGCCTGTTGGTACGGCGCAACCATCAGAGCGTAATGAGATCGTCAACGATGGAATCAGAGGGATCACAACGCCGATGGGAGACTTATGACGCCGGGATGTTCGTACCAGGAAAGAACAGTAGTGGAATGCTACTGATATCCATGGTCGAGGCCTCGAAATCTACACCGCTTTCGCGCAGGTGCGCGCCGATGTATGCTGCAATCGCAGCCAGCTGTCTCTCTCCTGTGGCGAACGAGGATCGAGAGAGATCCGGAGGGACGAGCAGTTCGACGAGTGGCCGCCCATTTCCGGCGTCAACGCTGGTGAGAAGCGGGAGAGGCCAAGCGAATTGGCCGAAGCTATCCTCCTGCAGGCATGCTAAGACCGAGGGATGAGGTCTCTCTGCCAGAAACTGCATACGGAAGGACAGCAGTCAGAGTGACAGCTCGATTGGTGTTCGGGTGCCGTTGCCGCCATCAAGCACTGTTGACTTACTGATTGTACTTCATTTTCGAAATGAAGACCTTGCACCGCCGACAAGAAGTGCTCGATGCCACGAGGTAGCAGGCCAGAGTAATCAATTCACTGGAAAGCTACCTGTCCCGTTCCGAATCGAAGGGTCTCATTGAAGATGTCCGAAGACACGACCGAGCCGAGAGCCCGTCGCCACTCCGCGACCAGCACTTGCCAGTCGCCCGAATTGCGAGACGAGAGGCACTTCAAAAACTGAAGCCGGGCCATCTTCCGACCAAATTCAAACTGCACCTGCACTGGCAACCCGTGCTTTTGCTCGAATGCCGTGGCGCGACTTCGCGTCACTTGCCTAGATGAGAACATGAGGGAAGCCATCAGAGGGTGGTGCTCTGTATCGCAATACCTGCACTTAGAAAATGACATACCACATGAAAAGATTCCGATGATCCATCATCATCGTTACTGGTAGCTGCCGAGCTGTCAGTGCTCCAGTGGGCATGTCTGCCCCCACCTCCTCCTTCGCCCGGCGGACACAGCTTAAGAGGTCTGCCTCGTATGCGACGACCGAGGTTACAGTGATGTGCAAAGCACCGACTTGAAGCTCTCCCTTTGACGACGTCAAGGTCAAGTCGTGCTGTCGCTTCTGGGCCGAATCTTGGCGATTATGTTGTATGTTTACGTTGCCCTTGATGACCAGTCTCTCGATCCTGTATGTGTCACGGCTTGCAATCTTGACTTTGTCTGGGGAAAGGAAGCGGAGCGTGGGAGAGCTGCAGGTATCAATTTTCTGAACGTGCATAGCCGAAGTGGTGGCGTCGTCTTGCATGCGAGCGCTGCAGGTGACTTACCGAAACGTGACATGGTTAAGAGGGTATCCAGTAGAACGAGTGACACTTGTCAGCAGTCGTTGGGTGTCCTGTGCTTTTAGGCTGATGTAGTCGTCACTGGTAGTCGTAGAGTGGGAGTGTGGCAGACACAGCACCATGATATTGACTGAGAGTGAGTGCTCGTTACGGTGTCTAGGCTTGAGAGAGCTATGCAGTGGATGGCGACGACTGCAGCTGGAGAAGCAGGATGTTGTTCGTAGAGCGCAAGGCTAGAGTGACTCCTTGAGCCTAGTACCTTGGGACTTGTCTCGATGACGAGGTGATCGTGGTCCGCGTAGCTGCCTGCTAGGTGTGATGTCTTCGGATGCTGTGACTGAGATTGAGTAGCCGTGGCACCTTCGACGACTCGTGAGTGGGTAGATGTGGTGTACACAAGGGCTGAGAGTTGAGCGTGGGGTGGTGATGGCGATGGCGATATTTAGACAACGATGGTAGTGGTATGAGAAGCAAGAGCAGCTCAACGAAGGGTGCTGCCTGAGCGACTTGCGAGTGCTGGTGGGTGTATATGTATGCAGCGTGGCCAAGGCTACTAGTCAAGAGGGGGCGACTCTGAAGATGATCGTGTGGGCAGGGAACAAAGGAGGAAAGAAAGGGGGGGAGAACAAGAGTACGTCTTATAAAGACTCCTGCTGGCCATCACGACCTCATCATTGCTATCGGGCCATCGGGTCACCGGGCCACCCCTCCTTCTCTTCCGTTGGCCCGCACGGGTCACCCTACGCACCTTTCCCGCCTCTGGTGTGCAGCTGCGCTCCGTCATCATTCGTTCCTCGACGTCGTCACCAACCCGGAAGCAGCTTGTGCTGAGCCCTCGTCTCAACGTTCAGCCGCTCCAGCCGCTCCGGCCGCTATTGTTCGTCCGCTTTGTGCTCGTCGTCTTTGCTCTGAGGACCATGGCAGTCGCTTCCTCGCATACGGGCTGAATTCAAGAACAGTATTGCTCGTAGCCACTGACCGGCAGCACAGATTTTCCAGACATTGCCCACACTCGGGAATCGCCAAACAGACAATATTGAAGACCGGCCAGCCAGATGAGCAATCGTCTTTCAGCGTGGGAAGGCTTGCTTGCAAGGTAGCGGCATGTCAAGGGCAACCTCATCTCGCGGCAAAGTCAGACTGTGTGAGTCAACTCAAGTCGAGCGGACAAGAAACTTTGGCAGGCAAGGTAGCTTCACCCCAGCGATGCTGAACAGGACGAGGGCTGTGCTGAGGGAAGAACTGAAGAGAATCGTTCTTGCGTTCTTGCCTCTGTACTCAGGATTTTGCATGTTCACCACTCTGAGTTCGGAAATACGGCACCCACACAATGACCATCAAGACCCCTCCGGCTCGCGTGTGGTCTTCGTAGCAACAAGTCTGGGTAGGTCGTCTGTCTGGACGGCAGAGTGAGTAGTGGTGCTAATCTCGAACGAGGAGAGTGGCACAGACAAGGTTTCATGACCTCCAGCTCATCATATGGAACGTAGTTTGCACACTGGCATGAGGCTGTACCGTAAGACGGACTCAATGAGCTTGTCGCGGCCACAGACGATGCTACGTCGCCACTTGACGCGGCTGGAAGACATTATGCGAAGCAGTCAGAGATCAATCCCTTGGGGCCACGATGCACACATGGGTCTGCTTTCTGGAAGCGAATGATGACAGAGCTCAAGAGACAGAGTCTTCCTCTTGGCGCCTACTGCGATCCTTCCACTACCTGCTTCACCCTTTTCTGCACACTATGTACACAGCTATTCATTCGCTCTACTGAGGCTCTACTGACGAAGGAATCATTACATTGTGTCTTGGCTTCTGACTTCCATCGCAGTTGTGTCGCAATGCGAGCCGTGTCGTCAGAAGAAAGTCTCGCTAATCGAGTTGAGGAATGCCTGAGCATCAAAGTCCATGGATGACATTGCATCGTCAATCAGGGACTGTTTAGCAAAGGATAGCGAAAAGAGAAGAGAGATGTCAGTACGGACAGGTAGAGAGACAAGTTCTTTGGCGTCCTTTGCAACTCACAGTATTGTTCAGTTCTGCAGAGGACAGCAGAGTGCCATCGAAAGGCCCAAAGGGATGGAATGGGTCCGCATTAGCAGGCTTGGCAGTGTGAACACCGTAGCCATACACGTCGGAGGGGACGTCTGAAGGCGCAACGCCAGACGTCACTTCGCTGCTCGTATCAGCTGATCCTCCTGTGTTGCCCACTGCTGTTGCTGCTGGCTCTCGCGCAGCTGTGATAAGGCGGTCAAGGAAGCGAGCATGCAGGGCGATGGTGTCTCGATCTGTGTAAGTGCCACCTTCGAAGCGATCCCTCACCCTTTGGCAGAGCTCCATGACGCTGGCGAGGTATCTGTCTTGCAGCGTCGCCACCTCGCAGACGCAAACCATGCTGGTCAAGAATTTTGCTGCGTGGGCAGCTTCAAGAGACAAGCTGTCCGGTATAGCGCGGATCAGATCTACCGGTATTTCCAAGACGCCTGCGAGGACTCCTCTAGCGGCTTCTATGCAAAATCTCACGCTGGGGGCTTGAGCAGACAGAAGGTGTGGACCCCCTGAAGGGGTTGTGGACCTGCTTCGTGTCTGGTTCGTCGACGAATGGTGGTCCCAATTTGACCTGGTACCGAGAGGCATGGGGCCATCTTCGGGAGACTGCTGCCTCAGTATCGAACAGCCCAAGTGTAGAGATAGGCTGTTAGCCCAAATCATCATCGAACCAGATCGACAAGCTCTCTCTGGGGCTGTCATAGTGCCGGGCACGCCTCTTTGTGATGATCGTGGCAGCGTCCAGAATGACCACTTGGCCTGCCATTCCTCGAGGTCTCTCCTGATGGATGTGATAAGGGCCTCGGATGGCCGATAGCCTCGCGCGAAAGAGTCGTCCTCTAGGATGCCCTGCCATCGGCTCTGAATCTTGCGGATCTCTACGGCTGCACAGCACCAGCTATCATTTGCAGTATGCAGTGGGTCGTCCTTCCACAGCTCAGCTGTTCGAATGAGAGGATGGAAGACGGGTATCGTATGGTGTGACACATAGTAGATTGACTGGAGTCGATCCTGGACGAAGAGCTGAAGGAAGGTGCGCTGTCGTTTGCGAAAGTGTACCTGTATCGCCCGCTCCCGAGCTTTCTCGTGGCTCGATGAGGCGTTGCCTGGTAGAGCTCGATGTGTTGGACGCTTCAAAAGGCTTCGAGGGCACGAGTCGCCTAAGCGCATGTCTAGAGCCAGGCGGAAGGCGAATCCGGACTGCACGTGTGTGAGGGAGTCGTCGATGTCCTTCCACGTTGCTAGAAAGAAGAATGCTTGTACCGCCTCTACCGATCGATCGCCGTCAATGAGTGATCTAGCAGCTTCGTCTTTGGCATGTGCGTGGAGCCTGTCTCTCATCATCCTCCAAGCGTCCTTAATGGCATTGCCCTGTTCGTCTGTTTTGCGCTGTCCAGGCTGCGTGGTCATGCCGCCGCGCACTTTCCTCAAGAAGTCCCAGGAGTCGGCCTCTGAATCTCTCCAAGGGATGGCTTTGGCCGCTGCAAAGAGGATGACGGAGTAAAGGAAAGTGGACCGATCCTGTACGTAGTCGTGGGTCTGTACATCGACGTCGAGCATTGCACTCCAGATGTTGAGGTGGGAGAGGAAGTAGGCGTACAGCTGTGCTGCATCGTTTGCGCTGATTGTACCAACAGAGACTGGATCCTCGCGCTGCTCATCAGCTGTTGGGCTGCTCCCGCTGAAGGCAGCGTGGTTGTCTGAAGGATCGAGGATGGATGCGAGTGTCTTGGGCTGATCTTTGACGCGCACATCCACAGGATAAGGTGGTGGATCTGCGGGCGAGGGCCATTGGGAGCGTCCCACGGGCGGAGCTCTGGGCGAGAGATTTCTTGAGGGGGTGACGAGAGTATATGACGATGCAGTGTGTGATTGTGTCCGCCGTAGGTCTGCCACCAAGTAGCTCTTCAACCTATCGAGATCCCAGTCTCGGTCTGAGGTGCCATTCGTGGGACGATGAGGGGGTCGTACAGGTGTTGTGAGTTGCACCCGTCCATTTTGCTGCTGTTGCTGGTGCTCGTGGTATCTTCTTTGTTGTTGTTGTTGTGGTTGTTGTTGCTGCTGCTGCTGCTGGCTCATGCCACTGGGTGCATTCTGGCGCAAGAGCTCGAGGGCTATCCCTGCCCCTCCATGTCCATCGTCGTCTCCCAGGAAGCCTGATCTATCGGCCTCGCGAGAAGTTGAGGGTACGTTCGAATGGCTTCCAGATGGCCGCGTGAGAGGTGATTCTTGGATCTCTTCCTCTGAGCGTGTCCGTTTGAGGCTTGTCTTTGAGTGAGAGATGGGACCAACAGCCGATACGTCCAGGCCAGCCAATCTATGAGGAAGCAATGAAGAGGTGTCAGTGCTGAGTCTGGGGACCGCTCTGTGAAAGGACTAGCTCGACTGACCTGCTCTTTGGCTTGCGCCCCCTTCTATGCGATACGGTGACGCAGTCGAAGCCATGATGAATGCATCTCTGGCAGTCGTCGGCCTCTCGATCGCGAGAACACTTGAACTTGGCCAGACGGCATTCGAGGCAGGCCCTGTTCATGCGACTTCCAGCGCCAGTGGCATTTGGCTGTTGGACAATGGTGGGAGGAGAGGAAGAAGACGACGAGGAAGAGGAAGCCTGGAGGAGTGAACCTTGGCCCTGGTATGGCCTCGAGAAGGGCGGGCGGCCAGTCATGTGCAGACGGGATGAGATCGATGGAGCCAAATGGGAGTAGAGTGGAGACGAGGCGCATGAATCTCCCTGCCAAGCGCACCAGGCACGGAACAGGCACAGACGCCCGCCCACGCCCACCCGCGCTTATCTCGTCCAAAATCGTCCGTCGTGCGTACGTCTGGAGCCGTAAAAAGTCCGTTCACCAACCCCGCCAGCCCCTTTCCGTAGAGGGAGGCCAGGCAAGCAAGCAAGCAGCAGCACAGACAGACGAACAAGCGACAGCCCCCCTCTACTGCTGTGGTGAGTACAAGTAGCCAGCTTGCGACGACACATGGTCCAGCTGGCAGACACTACCACCACGTCCACGTCCCACGCCATGCCTGCACAGCACTCAGCCAAGGCTCGACTGCCACGAGCAGGCGCATACAGCCCGACCCTCACCTTCTTCAACCAAGATGAGAGCATCGACCTCCACAATACCGTCGAGCACGCCCTTTGGCTCGCACGCTCTGGACTCGCAGGACTGGTAGTCATGGGAACCAATGGAGAAGCACCCCTCGTGGAGAGGGAGGAACGCCTACAGATCCTCAAGGCCATTCAAAACGCACTCGTTGCAGAGGGACTCACCAACTGCGACCTCATCGTAGGCTGTGGTGCCCAGTCCCTGCGTTCGACGCTGCTACTGATCGAGGACGCAAAGTCAGCAGGCGCTGCCGCCGCCCTCGTCCTCCCACCCTCCTACTGGGCTGCAGCACTCAGCAAAGCTGCCATTCTGCAATTCTACGACGATGTATGCGCTTCTAGTTCCCTACCCGTCATGGCCTACAACTTCCCCGCTGTCACTGGAGGTATCAACCTGACCTCGGACGATCTCCTACAGCTCGCCAAGAGGAATGCAAACTTCGTGGGAGTCAAGCTCACCTGTGGAAATGTTGGGACAGCCCATCGAGTGGCTTCCACCTTGGGTCCAGAACGGTTCCTCACGCTGGGTGGACGCTCTGAGAGCGCTCTCCATATGCTCCTCGGAGGGGCCTCTGGAGTCATTGCAGCATCGGCCAACCTAGCGCCCAAGTCACACGTCAAGCTCTGTGAACTATGGAAGAAGGGAGACCTCAAAGACGCCATGGACTTGCAGACTCTGCTTTCCAATGCGGACACGCAAGCCAGCAAGGGCGGCATTGGTGGCCTCAAGGCCCATGCCTGCACCATACGAGGGCTGCCCTTTGAGCACGCTCGTGTACGGTCGCCCTTGGTCACACCCAGCGCAGCAGAAGTCATCGAAGACACCTCTGCATTGGGTCAACTCTTGGCCTATGAGCGCAGCCTGTGAAAAAGCGACTTTCTTCATAGTGCAGTGCAATGCAAATACGCGACAAGTCCCTGTGAGCCCTGTGACTGTAGCGCTCGCAAAAGCGCTTGCCTCAAGAATCGCTCTCACGCCAGCACAGAATGGATTCGAACGTAGCAGAGTCGACATGAGAAGCGTGAATTGACGGAGTCGTGACTGATAACAAGTGTGAGCAACTACAAGGGAATGTGACACGGCTGCGAGCCTATTGGACATGAAAGCGATGACGAGAATCTGGCCTAGAGAAAGGTACAAAAACAGAGCGTAGAGAGACGGTAACGATTGAGGGTGGTCCACAGCACACGGGGCGGACGAGGGATGAGTCGATCTACAGCGCCGAGGAGCGCTTCAATACCTGTAGCGCCATGTGGGTGAGAAGTCTCCCATCTTCTCCTCGCCGCCTCCTTCTGACAGGATCCTCTCGACCTCTTCAGCGCTCATGGCGTCTCTCTTGGCGTTCTCCCTTCGCAGCCAGAGGGTGTGGCCGACTGCGCCGATGATGCACAGGATCATGCATCCCAAGCTGATTCCATGGCCAATCTGGTAGTGAGGCGACCATCTGGACTGGTACAGCTGTCCAGCCAAGATTCCAGCTGAATTGCCCATTGCTTGCTGGAACCCCAGAGCGCTGGCCCTCTTGTAGTGTCCTGCCTGGTTGACGTTGAGCCAGACCAGATTGAGACCAATGACAGTGTACATGCCCGCCGACACGAGGAAGCAGGCAAAGAGGTAGACGCCATTGGAGAGGCCAGGAGCTACTAGAATGGCATACCCAATGACGGTCAGTGGCGCAAAGGACAGGATGAAGACTGCCCTCTTCTCGATTCTGTCGGAAATGACGGCGTTGACGAGGAAGGTGCCTGCACCGAGGACATAGACGGGGATGGTGAGCAAGTAGGCTTGGACCGTGTTAAAGCCTAACTGCTTTACGATCACAGGCAAAAAGGTGCCAAATCCGTAGAGAGCGGTATCCATACCGAATTGGCTCAATCCAGAGAGGTACAGCTTGCCGTCTTTGAGTGCCTTTGTGACCTCGCTCCACTGGAACTTCTGCTCTGCGCCTGCCCACATCTCGTTGATCTCTCGACGCTTGAGAGCAAGTGCCTTCTCCTCTGGATTGAGGAAGCGGGCCTTCTCGATGCGATCGGGGAGGAAGAAGATGGCGGCGATTCCAACGCAGAGGGAGATCAACCCTTCGATGACGTATAGCCACTGCCACGGGACCAGAGACCCGCCGCGGATATGGATGATACCGTAAGAGAGGAGCCCATTGATGGCGCCAGAGAGGGCTGCAGAGACAAAGAGAAGTGCCGTTCGCTTTGCTTGCTCGTTGCGATAGTAGAATTGTCCAAGGTAAAGGGTCAGACAGGGGAAAAGACCGCTCTCAGCAAGTCCCAATAGCAAGCGGCATGCTACTAGCTGACCGTAGGTCTTGACAAAGGCGGTGGCGATAGTAATGATGGACCAGATGATGACGATGATGGGGATCAACTTAGAAGGACCGACGATTCGGAGCAGAATGGTTGTGGGAGGTTCAAATATAATATATGTGACGAAGAGCAGCGACGTGGCGACGTTGAGTTCGTATCCCTTGAGTCCAATGCTGGTACTCATTCCAGCGGCCGCTGCATTGCCGATGTTCTGTGCAGAAGACACGAGCAAGAAGAGGCAGTGTCAGAATGCCTGGCCTAGGTGTAGTCTGGTGGGAGATTGTGCGACTTCGCGAGGTAGGGGTATACCCCACGCCTCCCTTGCTCAGGCAACTCACCGATCTGTCGAGGAAAGAGGCGAGGTACAGCATCATAATGAGTGGCATTAGATTCCAGTCTATCTTTCTGAGGAGCTTGCGTTCGGCCTCGCGATCAATGGAGCTGGCCAGTTCTGAGTGCTCTTCCCCCTTTGGCAGAGAGTAAGGCTGCAAGGTGGTCTGTCGACCTTCCTTTCCTGACATTGTGAAATCCTTCTTGTCTTGCAGGGACGAGGTGGACATAGTGGTATGAGGTGCTCAAGAGTGGAGGTGGGGGAGATATCGAAGGGTCTTTGATGGGGTAAGGGAGGAGGCAGGGGGGTGAGATCTCAACGCAGCAATCCTTTGTACCTAATGAGCTTTGCGAGGGGTGGATCAGGAGATGCTGCGAGCCGCTGTGGGTGCCTGTGGAGGTGGGAGTGGGTGCGATACCAAGCCTGGCACTTGTCCGTGGCCATGAGGCTCACAGTGGATCCCGGCTGATTGCTGATTGGACGCTGATATGGTCGAATGGACGCTGGTGTGGTCTGGAAGGGTAGACTACTTCGGTACGAGGCGCGTATCATCCAGAGATAAAGGCACCAGGGAGCCGATCTTCGTTCCGGCCCGGCGCGGGGCATTGCGTGGAGGCGGAGCGGGAGTAGAGCGTGGGAATTCGTACGGACGACGACGGAGGGCAGGCCTCGACCTGAGCTCGGATAGCGGCTCGTATCAGTGGCTGACCAGGGCTGGCGCCTCTCCGGCCTCGAAGCTTATCATATTGGCCGTCTCGCCCCCGGTTTTCCAGCCTGGATACGGTAGAGAGCTCAGCACAGGGGTGAGCGAGCCACGATCAGACAGAGCAGAGGCATCGCGGACAGACGTGCGAACGATTGCTGTCCCCATCAGACGAGGTGGACTTGGACGTCTGTTGGATGAAGCAGCTGGTTGGTCTCTTCGTTACCATCGAATGCTCGATCTGACCACCAGAAACAAGCATGACCGTCACTGTCACCGTCTCGTCAACGACGACCAAGGCTGCCTTCTTCCATGAGCCTGGCCAGCTGCGCAAGGCTTGCCGTCAAGGAGCCTTCACCACAAGCACAGGCGGCCAGTGTCCAGGCTTTGTGCAGGCCAATCTGCTCATCCTACCAGCTCGATTCGCAGCCGACTTCGAGAGATTCTGCAGACGCAATCCTGTCTCTTGTCCTCTACTAGGCGTCTCAGCCAATGGAGATCGCAAGATACCTGCGCCCCTGATCAGTGCTGGCGCAGCTCAGCTCGATTCAGACGTCTGCTCTGACCTTTCTGGCTACAATGTGTACCAAACGAGCTCGGGAAAGCTACTCTCCTCTACCGAGTCCGTCGAAGAGATCTGGAGGCCAGACTTCTCCTCCTTCTTCATTGGCTGTTCGTTCTCCTTCGAGAATGCCCTTGCGGCAGGAGGACTGACTCCCAGGCACTGGTCGACTGGAGGACAGGTGGCAATGTACAAGACAAAGTACAAGCTCCTGCCTGCTGGAGGTGAGCATGCGATGTGTGGACCCAGCAAAGGTTCGAAGCAACCCATACTGACCAGACAGCCTCGCATGACCCCTTCTTACAGTCTTCCAAGGCCATATGGTCGTATCCATGCGGCCCTACCGCAAGGAAGACGTGCTCAAGGCTCGTCAAATCACCGCAGAATTCATCTCCACGCACGGAGAGCCAGTCGCCTGGGTGAGGCTTCATGCGCTACGGTGGATGACTGAGCTCTGTCTGACTCGCTACTGACCTGTGTCCCCCCCTCCTTGCTTCAAAACAGGGCTACGATCAAGCCAAGAGCGTTCTGGGAATTGAAGACATCAGCAAGCCAGACTTTGGCTTTCCCACTGAGATTCTCGAGGGGGAAGTGCCCATCTTCTGGGGTTGTGGCGTCACGCCCCAGCTCGTCGCCATGGAAACTTTCGCTAGACTGGCAAAGGAGAGGGAGTCAGGTGAATCAGGGGCAATGCCTCTCATCGAAGGCGAGATCGCTATCGGACATATGCCTGGCCACATGCTTGTCACAGATTTGCCAGAAGAGGCAGTCGCACACGGTCAGATTATTCGTTGATATTAGGGCATGGGCGGGTGACTAGACTGCTGCGCGTAAATAGTCACTATTCCTCCTTGCCACAATTGTCAGTCTTCAGTCCCTCATCGTTCGAGAATGTATTGCTAGCGGTCTTCCTTCTATGCTGCTCACACTTCGTCGGCTGCAACGCCGTAGCCACCGCCTCCTGGGGTCATGATCACGATGCGATCCCCCTCCTCCATGAGGGCCTCTGCCTTGCCACCCAGATTGAGGACCCTCTGCGCCTTGCCTTTGCCTCTGATCCACTTATTGACTCCCACTGCACCGTTGCCGCCGCCATGTAGACCTCTCGGTGCCTGGCTCCTCGACTCTGAGAGAATGGCGCACCGAAGCCGGCGAGTAAACTGAATATCACGAATGCAGCCATTGCCGCCTACGTATTTGCCTGATCCTCCCGAGCCTTCGCGGATGCCCCATTGTCGAAGAATAAGAGGGTACTTGCGCTCCATGATCTCGGGATCGCCGATTTCGGTGTTGCTCATGTGGACGTGGATAGCACTCTGGCCGTTCCAGCCGGGACCTGCTCCAGCTCCTCCAGCAAGAGTCTCGTAGTTTCCGAACCCACGAACCGTTTGACCAGTGGAGGGGTCTTTACCTCCATAGCCAAAGCTCAGGTTGTTGCAGGTGCCTTGGGAGCCCGCGCATGCCTCGAAAGCGGTGAGCAACAGGTCAGCTAGTTGCTGTGAAGTCTCAACATTGCCTGCGACGACTGCTGCCTCGTCGCCAGGTGACAACAGCGTGCCCTCTGGGACCACGACCGTTACTGGAGCAAGACAGCCTTGGTTGAGAGGAATGTCGGAAGCAATCAGACTCCTCAGCACATAGATAATGGCGGACCGCACGATGGCGTGTGGGGCATTGATGTTGCCATACGACTGCAGACTGGTACCCGTGAAGTCGAAGATTGCAGATCCAGCTAATTCGTCGATGGTGATCTGAACCTTGATGATGCATCCATCGTCGAGGAACTGCTCTGCTGAGAGCACATTCTTGCCCAGACGCTTGGCAATGACACAGAGCAGCCGACGAACAGCAGCTTCTGCAGCCTTCTGGATGTGACCCATGTAGAAGCGCACCTTTCCTAGGCCGCCCTGGTCTCTGATCAAGGCATAGACCAGGTCAATGCCCTTCTGGTTGGCTGAGACCTGGGCGCGAAGATCTGAGAGGTTGTCCTCTAGTGTCCTGGTGCCACTGCATCCAGGATATTGCGCAGGCAGGACGGAGAGGAGCTCGAAAATGCCTTCCTCATCGAATGCACCTTGCTTAACCAGAAGAAAAGAGTCGATCTGCGCTCCCTCTTGCCAGAGCTCCTTGCTTGCTGGTGGCATGCTGCCAGGACTTGTCCCCCCGATGTCGGCGTGATGTGCTCGGGAGGCTGTCCAAAAGACGATTTCGCCCTCGTGAAAGGCGGGAGTCATCACTGTGATGTCTGGCAAATGAGTTCCGCCGTATTTGGGTACATTCGACACGATGACGTCGCCTGGCCTGATCTTCTCAGCCCACAATTCGATTTGAGCCTTGACGGCTCTACTCATTGCACCCAGATGGACTGGGATATGAGGAGCGTTGGCGACCAGGTCACCGTCGTGGCTGAACAAAGCACAAGAAAAGTCCAATCGCTCCTTGACATTCGTTGAGACGGCAGTCTGACGGAGCACAGTCCCCATTTGCTCTGCCAAGCTCATGAAGCGGTGCCCAAACACGGAGAGGGCGACGGGATCAGGAGCAGCGCCATCGTCAGTGGTCGAAGTAATGGCTGAGTCCAGACTGGCGGCCTCGCTCGCAGAGGGCAGCTTCACCACTACATGCTCCGGTAGACATGTCGCAATGCAGCCAGGCTCGACGAGGAGTGTCTGCGTATCGTCATACATCAAAGCTGGGCCGTAGCATTGCGTACCTGGGGCAAGATCTTTGAGAGGTATGACCGTTGCCGTTTGCCAGCCGCCTTGCGTGAAGAAGATTTGCTTGGTGGGAGTGTTGGGATCCTTGGCAAATGGCGCAGGAGCATACTCGTTCAGGTCTTGAAGGTAGTCGCGAGGCTGCTTGATCGAAGACTCTGCCCAAGCTCGAGCTCTGATGTCGTCTACAATGATGTCTCGCCCCTTGAGGGTGAAGCCGTATCGTTGATGATGAATTGCTTTGAAGGAAGAGACAAAGTCTCCATCGCTGGGCAGAAGGATCATGATAGCATTCGATGTGCCCTGATAGCGGCAGTTGAGGTAGCCTTCAGCTTTGGCGCTGTCGCCATCAGCAGCAACAAGCCCGCTCTCCAGCTGCACCTTCTGACGTGCTTTGCTCATCAAAGTAGCCAGAGAGGCTCTCAGCGCTGTGTTTGTGGCTTCAGTCAGAACCTCGGCGCAGGGCTCTTGTAGCTCTGACACCATGTCGGCCAGTGCTAACCCATAGGCAGAGAGAATCGAAGAGAAGCGCGGGACGATGATGTTGTGGATGCCCAGGTTCTGTGCGATGCCCACCATATGCTGACCTCCAGCACCCCCGAAGCTCACGAGGTCGTGGACAGCCGTATCGAGACCCTTGTTCTGGCAGAGGCTTCGTATCGGCCGACTCATACACTCGTTGCTGACTTCGATGAAACCGGCTGCAATTTCCTCGACGGTGAGAGGTGCAGGAGAAGGTCTGCCACTTGTACGAGCTGCTTCCTCCCTCTCTTGATTGACCAAGGGCAGCATAGCTTCAAATGCTCTACGTGAAGCTTTTTCGTCTAGTGGCTGGTCCTCATTCGGTCCAAATACGCAAGGGAATGCAGGAGACAGTCTGCCGAGGACTAAATTAGCATCTGTGATACTGAGCGGTCCGCCTCGGCCGTAGCAGGCTGGTCCAGGATTACTGCCACTTGACTGAGGTCCGACGACAAACATTCCGTTGACGAACTTGAGTACCGATCCGCCTCCTGCTGCGACTGTAGAGATGTTGAGCATGGGCACTTGAATCTTGATCTCACTGATTTCGGACTCGAAGACGTGTTCGAGTCTGCCGTCGAACCTGGAGACGTCGGTCGATGTGCCTCCCATGTCGACAGCGAGAATAGGTCGGCGCTCAGAGGTAGTGTTGAAGCAGGTCTTGCTGTAACCCACAACTCCTGCTGCGGGTCCTGAGAGAATCGCTCGAGCACCTGTGAAGCGGTCGTATCGAGTAAGCCCGCCGTCACTGCACATGAAGACCAGCTTGTTTCCCAGGGCATCTAGTCCGCCTTCGAATTCGGATGCAAAGGCTGAGATGTAGTTGCCAACTGCCAATGAGAGGTAGGCATCAACGACTGCAGAGTTGGCTCGAGCTACATACTTGATCATAGGCAAGATCTTTCGAGAGGCCGAGACCCGGTAGCCAATGCGCTGTGCAAGGTCTGCGATGCTGTCCTCGTGAGCTGGGTATGTAAAAGAATGCGCGCAGGCGACCGCTGCACAGCGATAGCCCTGTGCATAGAGGGTGGAAAGCTCTTCTGTAATGACGTCGAGCTCTGGCTCTTTGAGTACCTGGATCCACTCCTGCGTCAAACCCTTGACTAGGCCCCTGGTCTTGGCTTCTGCTTCGGTAATTTCGCGAGCCTCGGGGTCCTCAGTGGCAGTGGCAATTGTCACTCGCTCATCCACTTCGATAACCTTGTCGTAGAGCTGAGAGAGCTTGGCAGCTGTAATATCAAAAATGTCTGGCCTGGCCTGCGCGCCGATTCGCAGCAGATCGCGAAATCCCTTTGTCACAACCAGGACAGTTGGCTCGCCTTTTCGTTCGAGGAGTGCATTGGTAGCCACAGTGGTACCCATGCGAATGCTCTCGATGCTTTCTATGGGCAGTTTTGTGCCCCTCTTGATCTCGATGCCATGCACTGCTTCGAGGACGCGGCGCACGCCTTCTGCTGGAGCGCTGGAATAGACGCTGGGATTTTCAGAGAGGACCTATTGAGAGGAACGAGGCAAGGCGTGTCAGCAGAAGGGTCAGAAAGAACCTGGGCTGATACAAGTGCTGCTTCACTTTCTTCTCACCTTGAAGCCTATGTCAGGATGACCCGCCCTCGAGCTATGCACGTCCGTGAAGGTTCCACCTCGATCGATACTTATCCGAACACCTCCAGCAGCTTGCGAAGAAGAAGACATGGCGGCAGGGGTGAGTTGTGAGCAATGGTGACGAGGATAGCAGAGAGGAGAAGGCCAAGCGGCGACTCCTACTTGAATGTGAGTCTACATTGCGAGGACCTTTGCCAGGCGACTGCACAGCGTATTGGTATCAGCAGCTGCAGTGGGAGTGTGTTGGGAAGGAGGACCCTGGGGGCGGGGCGGTGTCGCACCCCCAGAAAGCCGATCTAGTCGCCATTTTGTGGCTGCAGATTGCGCAGCGCCGGAGTTTGTGGGGGCAAAAGCAAAGTAGCCGGTGATCAGATCAGCCAGAAATGTCCGTGATCGAGTTCCGGGAAAAGCCATCTTGCGCCGATAACGAATGGGGCCGGGGAACCATGGAAGTCGTCCATCGCAGCAGCAGCAGCTTGGCGCCTGGCACTTATATGTGCTCACTGTCTGCTTCTGCTAGGTGACAGCGCCTTCACCACCCAACAACGTAGATCCCTGCCAGCACGCATCATGGCCAAAGGCATCACCATCGCCCTCGATCGAGGCGGTACCTTCTGCGATACTTACGCTCAAATTCCAGGCAGGTCGCACCCACTGGTCTTCAAGATCCTCAGCGTAGACCCTTCAGCCTACCCTGATGCGCCCACTGAAGCCATCCGTCGCGTGCTCTCCGTGGCAAGAGGCAAAGAAATCCCACGGGGCCACAAGATCGATCTCGATGGAGTAGAGGCTATTCGCATGGGCACCACAGTCGCCACCAATGCGCTTCTGGAGCGGAAGGGCGAAGCAGTGGCCTTCATGGTCACCAAGGGCTTCAAAGACTTGCTTCTCATAGGCGACCAGAGCAGGCCAGATCTCTTCGACCTCTCAGTCAATCGTCCACAGCCACTACCCAGCATCACTGTCGAAGTGAACGAGAGAGTAAGCATTGCCAATGAATACCAGACACCTGGTCTCGCCGTCATCCAGTGCTCTGGGACAGACAGGATACAAGTCGAGAAGCCTCTCGACGAGCAAGCGGTGGAAGCGCAGCTTCGACAACTGCGCGTGCAAGGCTTCCGATCGCTGGCAGTGTCTCTCCTTCACTCGTACATCTGGCCAGAGCACGAAGAGAAGATTGGAGAGATTGCGACCAAAGTTGGGTTTCTACACGTATCCCTCTCTTCTCGCGTCTCTCAGATGGTCAAAGTCGTGTCCCGGTCCCATTCGGCTGCTGTGGATGCCTACCTCACTCCCGAATTGCAGCGAAACCTCTCGAATCTCTTGCAAAACTTCACCAATGTCAGGCCTGGCATCTTTCAATTCATGGAGAGTGGAGGTGGTCTGGTCGCAGCGGAAAACTTCTCAGGCTTGCGAGCGATCCTCAGTGGACCTGCCGGAGGCGTCTGCGGTTACGCAGCCACCTGTTACGACAAGGAGGACCCTCGCCCCGTCGTCGGATTTGACATGGGAGGCACCTCCACCGATGTATCGCGCTACGACGGCACACTCGAACACATCCTCGAGACAAAGACGGCTGGAGTCATCATCCAGTCGCCTCAGCTCGACATCAACACGGTTGCTGCAGGAGGAGGCTCTTGCCTCAAGTGGCAGAATGGCCTCTTTGCGGTAGGCCCAGAGTCAGCAGGTGCTCACCCTGGACCTTGCTGCTACCGCAAGGGGGGCCCACTGACCGTCACAGACGCAAATTTGCTCCTCGGGCGAATCGTGCCCGAAGCCTTTCCCAAGGTATTTGGCAAGAACGAGTCGGAAGGTCTGGACGTCAATGCTGTGCATCTGCACTTCACTGAACTCGCCGACGAAATCTCGAGGCAGACTGGACGGATCTGGAAGGCAGAAGAGATTGCTGAAGGTTTCCTGAATGTTGCCAACGAGAACATGAGCCAGCCTGTGCGAGCTTTGACTGAAGCCAAGGGCCACTCCTTGGGAGATCACAACCTCGCTGTCTTTGGCGGCGCAGGTGGTCAGCAGGCTTGCTGGATCTCTCGCTGTCTGGACATTGAGACAGTCATCCTGCATCGCCATTCTTCTATTCTCTCCGCCTACGGTATCGCCGTAGCGGACGTCGTACAAGACTCTGTGGAGACGTTCCACGCCGTCTATGACGACGACCACCTCGGCAGCGTTCAAGACAAGGTGGCAGACCTCGAGGCCCGAGTCTTGAGTCAGCTCACCTCTGGCGCTCAGCCTTTCAGCTCCATCGACACTGAAGTATACCTCAATTTGAGGTACGAGGGGACCGACACAAGTTTGATGGTGAAGCAGAGTGAGAAGGATAGCTGGGCCTTCCTCGCCGCTTTCGAGGAGCACCATCGAAGAGAGTTCGGATTTGTTCTGCAAGGCAGAAGACTCTTCGTAGAGGAGGTGCGAGTGCGGGCTGTGGGCCAGCAGGGCGCCAGCAGACCCAGTAACGCATTGTCCCAGAGAACCGAAGCAGCCATCGCCAAGGCGACAGTGACGACGCTACCAGCGAAGTGGACAAAGCCCGTGTACTTTGGCTGCTCTGGAGGCTGGACGCAATGTCCAATCTACTTACTCGACGAGCTTGCTCGTGAACAGCAGACCAACGACGGAACACTTCACCTGCGAGGCCCTTGTATACTGCTGGACAAGACGCAAACGATCGTCGTTGCACCAGGATTCGACGCCGCAATCCTCCCTGAGCACGTAGTCTTGCGACAGATGCGAGCAGCCTCCTCCAGCACTGCACAGACGCCAGTGGCCCAGCTTGCCGATGTGAGCACGGACGCCGTCACCCTCTCCATCATGGCGGCCAAGTTCATGAGCATCGCTGAGCGCATGGGCCAAATTCTCCAGAGGACGTCTGTCTCTGTCAACATCAAGGAGAGGTTGGACTTTAGCTGCTCCATCTTCTCGCCCAGCGGAGACCTCGTGGCCAATGCTCCTCACGTCCCTGCTATGCTTGGATCAATGGCGTTTGCCGTCAAGTACCAGATGAATCTTTGGAAGGGAGACTTGCATCCTGGAGATGTACTGTTGTCAAACCATCCAATCGCGGGAGGCGTCCATCTGCCAGACATGACCGTTGTCACTCCAGTCTTCGACGATCAGGCAGGTCCTGATCCAATCTTCTTCCTCGCAAGCAGAGGTCATCACGCTGATGTCGGTGGCATCCTCCCTGGCTCGATGCCACCGCAGTCCAAGTTCCTGTACGAAGAAGGTGCCCCCATTGAATCCTTCAAGATTGTCAACCGTGGGCAATTCCAGGAGGATGGCCTCAAGAAGCTACTCTTCGATGACCTGGTCGCGGCGGGCCAGCAACCAACCCGCACCTTGGCCGACAACATCAGCGATATCCGAGCGCAGATTGCTGCTTGCCACAAAGGAGCGGAGCTCTTGAACGCTTTAGTCACGTCGTACGGCCTCGACTGCGTGCAGAAGCTGATGACTGGTATCCAAAAGACGGCAGAGCTGGCAGTGAGGAAGATCCTGTGCGAATTTGCAGCACGTCGGCAGTGGAAGCCCGTCACTGCCGTAGACTACATGGATGATGGAACTCCCATCCAGTTGACTGTGACTATCTCCAAGACGGGCGAGGCCATCTTCGACTTTACTGGCACAGGGCCAGAAGTCCTAGGCAACTGGAACGCCCCTACTGCCATCTGCTACTCCTCGGTAATCTATTGTCTGCGCAGTATGCTAGGGACCTCGATTCCGCTGAACCAGGGCTGTCTTGACCCAATCACCCTGATCATCCCTCCCAAGTCTCTGCTTGCCCCTTCCAGGGACGTGGCAGTGTGTGGCGGGAACGTCTTGACCTCGCAGCGTATCACAGACGTGGTGCTCAAGGCATTCGAAGCTTGCGCTGCTAGCCAAGGGTGCATGAACAATCTCACCTTTGGCTACCAAGACGCAGATGGCTCTACGCTGGGCTTCTACGAGACAATCTGCGGCGGCAGTGGTGCTGGTCCTACTTGGCGGGGCACTCCCGCTGTCCAGTGTCACATGACAAACACGCGCATTGGCGATCCAGAAGTCATGGAGAGACGCTACCCTGTCATAGTACGTCGCTTCGAGGTGCGAGCCGACTCTGGTGGATCAGGACTGCACAGGGGAGGAGATGGAGCGATCCGAGAGATCGAGTTCCGCCGTCCGGTAACCTGCTCGATCCTCTCTGAGCGTAGAAGTCGAGCTCCTTGGGGCCTGGCGGGCGGGGGTGATGCCAAGTGTGGGCTCAACTTCTGGCGAAGATGGGACGAGGAGACGCAGAGCTACCTTGGGGACATCAACATGGGCGGCAAGAACTCTGCTGCTATGAAGGCCAAGGACCGGATCCTGATCATGACTCCTGGAGGTGGAGGATGGGGGAGTGAGGATGCTGCCAAGGAGGAGGGAGAGAGCGGACAGATGGATGCAGTGGCGAGAGCACTGGTGCCTGTATGGCAGCCTCGAGCTTCAGGATCGATTGCTGAACGCAGTGCGACTCAGGCGACGTGTGCCTGAGCCCAGTGAGTCATTGCAGGGGTCATGTTATAGAATGAATGTTGAGTAGAGCTTGCGAGGTTGCGCTGTAGAGTGATGCTGTGAGCGTGGTGCGGTGATGTCCAGGTAAGTAAGGTACATTGCTCCTGTCTGCTGCACGTCTCTCTTCCGAGCCGTCCAGGGGCGATGAGTGTTGCGGTGCAGTGTGCATCTACTGGCGCTGCTCTGTCATGGTTGTTGGTGAAGCCCCTTTCCCACCTTGTCTGTCTGCGGCGCACCGTACCACCTGGACGATACGAGGTGGGAGCGTGCCTGCCTGCCTGCCTGCCTGCCCTGCCCTGCCTTGGCTGAGCGAGACGCGTCCCTGTCTGCCACGCGGCGGGCGGCGTGTGTGTTGCACGAGATGTCGGATCCCCGCCAGCTTCCCGCCACGCCCATCGCCCGCACCCGTACCGCCCACCGCCGCGGTACCGCTGCCTCGGACCATCTCCCCCTCCTCCTCCACTCTGCGCCTCCGCCCTCACTCAGCAACAGGACCACTGCGGCCAGCAGGTCTGGCCCAAGGAGTGCACACTGGTCACAACCTGGTGGCAGTAGCAGTCACATCTCTGCACCTCGGACCAAGTATCCCCCAGACTCGACGACTCCCTCTCGCCCCCGCGGCTTGCCTCCTCGTCCACCCGCTGCCCACCCCTCTGCCAGTGGTGTGCAAGTAGACAGTGACCCCGATCTTACCCCACGCAAGACCGACAATTTCCCTACGCCTCCTGCCTTCAACCCTGCCCTCACCAGGAGCTGTCAGAACCTTCGTGCACAGACAAAGTGGAGAAGGAAGAGCGAGCAGCTTCCACATCCGCCCTCGGTCGCCCATCGGCACTCCCTCTCCGAAGCCTTCTTCAACGGATACGAGAGCAATAGCAGTAGTGGTAGCGGTAGCAGCATGTCTGAAGAGCTTGCAAGGAGGAGGAGTGGCAGAGCAAGTACGAGTACGGTTCCCAGCTCGGTGAGTACAGAGCGGCGAGGAGCTACGCATGGAGCGCTGCATCTCACCCCTTCAGCGATATTCTCTTCACCCCCTTCCCTTTCGCCGTTTCTCTCTGTAGCCCGGTAGAGTCTCTTCTCGTGCTTCTCGATTAGCTCCTTCAACCTCGTCTGATCTATCAGCACGTCCATCCTCGTCGCTGGCTCGCTCGTCGAGACCACGTCGTAGCGACCTTCATGAACAAGAGGTCCGCGAAATCAGGTCACAGTCTCGAGCAGGCTTTGCTAGAGGGACAGACGATGACGAAGACGACAATGGTGGTCCGTTGCAGCAGAAGGTAGCTCCGCAAACGTCCTCGCCCCTCTCACGGTCGGCTCGCGAGAGGACTCGCACGAGATCCCCCTCCAGCTTGGCAACAGAGACCGCCAAAGCCTCACTCGCGACAAAGTCGCCTGTCACATCACCTCCCTCGTCAGTGGCAGATGATGAGGTACCCACGAGGAGAAGGACTCTCGCCGCTAGGCGGCGGACCTATGCCTCTGAGCTGGACAGCTCCTCCGATACCCCTCATGCTCAGAGATACCTCCCCCATATCCTCGCCGACTCTTCTTCCTCCAAAACTCTGCACTTGCGCACTTCCAGTAGCCCCAGGATGAACTTCAATCCGCTTCCAAGGCCCATCACCAGCGTCGGAGTCAGAGCATACTCGCGGGCGGGCAGCGTTACTGGAGGGGATGCCGACTTCCATCGTGGCCCTGTGCCTTCACAACGCTCGGACGCTCCCCTCTCCCCATCTGAGTTGGCTCGAATCAGAAAGATCTCTTCTCTCTCTGCCGAGTCGGCTCCTCCCAGCTCTTACAAGCTCGGCACAGCTCGCAGCGACATCTTTTCTGGCAATAGCGCTTTATCGCCCTCCACCTCGGAGCGACTGAAGCTCCTTCAGGGTAGAAGAGAAGCGTTGCAGCGGCTTTCAAAGGAATCGGCAGGGACAAATGGCTCTCCAGCATCTGGAACCAGTGTGAAGGACGCTGGAGGAATTGCTGCCCAGGCAGACCGTCGCCCTCCCTCTCGCAGCGCATCGGTAGCGGGAGCTTCCTCTCTATACCGTTCACCTCGTGAGAGAGCTGGGTCAATGACGAACTCGGCGCAGTTTAGTGAGCCGAGACGACGATCGACTCATTACGCAGCCTCGGAAGTGGGCGGCGATCGCTCACGCTCGATCATCAACACAAGTGACAGCACTCGGCAAAACCGCATCCCAGCTACGCCCACTGCTCGTGCAGCAATGTCAGGGACCGCCAGCGCAATGAGTGGCTCCCGATCGCACAGCAGATTTGCGGCTTCTGCTCGTCATCCTCTGCCTTCATCTAGTTCGGCGCCTGTCCTCGCCCAGCAAGACCTCGACAAGGTGTCAGCCCCCGAGCGCAATATGCTCGTGTCCTTCGACCTCTTCGAGCGACACTTTGCAAAAACTCGCGTGCTACCCACTTCCCCATCCACCGCTCAAGCGCAACAGCCACCTGCCTCTTCCCTTGATCTCGTGGAGAAATCTAGGCAATTCGTCGAGACTGTCTCTACACTAAATGGAGGCATCCGCGAACTAGCTCAGCAGGCCATCCAGAGAGAGATTGAGGCGGAGATGCGAGGTGACTCTGAAGGAGTGGCAATGCTCAGGGAGATGGACAGCATGCTGGCTCAACTACTCAAGCACAGTGACAAGCAGATGAGAGGAATGGGAGACCTCTTGTCGGCTATGATCCGAGTAGACAAGGATGCCGTCAAGGGAGGGATCGAGAGTTTCGATGCTGTCTCTTCTAGAGCCGACAGCCGACTGGGCACAGCTTCGAGCGTATCTGCACGAGAAGAAGTGGGCAGGAACCAGGCGACTCCCGTCTCGAGTGGTACGCATGGAGAACAGATGCGCAAGAGTGCTACTCTGGGTCACTCTTCTGGCAGTCGTGCTGATCGGTGGCACGGACATTCTGTCCCTGCAAAGCTTCGACGAGAGCAGCGCGACATCCGCTTGATTGCAGATTCGCTCAGGGGCACACCTGGCAGGCCCTACAGTCAGAATCGCCGAAATGGAGATTCTGCAAGCCCTGCCCTGCTTGCGGATCAATCAACTAGTTTTGAAGGAGATGATAGCATCGATCGAAGTCCTTCTCTCTCGTACACGCAAAGGAGACGTCAATCAGGCAGTCATTACCGAGATATCAACCAGTCTCGATCGCAGACTGCTCTGGCTCGCTACTTTCCTGGTGAAGCTACGTCGTCTTCCTCCCCTACACTGCAACGCAAAGAACTTCCCATGATGCGCCGGGACTCTGTCTCGACTCTTGGCAGACCCAATGGCATTACAGGCCTCTCGCCTCGTCTCCCACGTCTATCGCACCCCAGCGTGGACACTGCCACTGCCGTTGCTCGACTGGATGCCGCCCAGTTAGACAAATCAGGCCACAATCGACGATCCACAGTCGACATGGTGGGCAACGATCAAGCGCGCAATACTTCTCCTACGTCCTTTTCGAGTGAAGCCGAGACGCTTAGGCATCGTATGAGGAGTGGTGGTACAGACAGTGAAGGCAATACGACTTCTCGCTCTGCCTACGAGGCCGACTACTCTTCTACGAATATGAGCCCCAGCAAATCGGTCGCTCCACCTCCCCGCCCGCCCAAAGCTTCTCGCCGCTCGCAGACTGACCTCAGAAGCTCGAGCAAGACAGGTCATGTTAGAGGTGCTGACATTGGCGGTGATGCTGCCTCTCCGGATGCACAGACGGATGCTCTCAATGGCGGCCTTGCTACGAGTGGGACTGCAATCATCCAGCCTGTGACTGGTGAGGCTAGGATTGCGCTCAAGATGGTCGAAAAGACGTGGAGTGAGCGGCAGCCAGAAGGCGTCTAGGAAGGAGCGACTTAGGCAGGCGGGCGGGCGGGCCGGAGGATGGTCGCTTACGTAATTTCGTATATGAGGGTGGGCGGACTTTGAAATGGGGGGTGCCTTCTGCTTGTCAATCTTCCCTTGTATGATATCCTCGTCGCAGCGACGCTACCCAGAAACTCCACTCGTTGTCATTTCCTCGTAGAGAATTCCTCGGTCCTCTGCCGCTACCACCATGCTGTCGCCGTCAGCATCATCGTCGTCGCTGCTGTTGCAGTCGCTGACGAGGTCCATGGCCTCGCTGTCTCTGCCAGTGAGCGCAAGGCCCATTGCCTCTTCCTCGCGCATCACCACCACCTCGTTCCTCTCCTCGCATCGCCCTTGTCTGGCATCCTCGTCTCTCTTCACACCATCCTCCTCCTCGTCGTCGTCCTCCTACCCCTCTTTCATCGCCTCTCAGCAGCAACAGATGAGGCACCGCGGCGATCTCGCACCGCGTCGGACGAAATATCGCAAAGCGCACAAGGGCCGCGTTCCCATCCCCACCGGCGGCTCCCTCAAAGGCACAACTGTCCGCAATGGCCAATACGGTATCCGTCTCTTGGCCCCCGCACGACTGACCGCCAAGCAGCTACAGAGCGCAGAGACGGCTCTGAAGCGCAAACTCAAGGTGGTCAAAGGTGCACAAATCTTCCTCCGACTTTTCCCCGATATTCCCGTCTGTGTAAAGGGAAATGAAACGAGGATGGGAAAGGGTAAAGGAGCATTTGAATTTTGGGCTGTTAGAGGAGGAGTGGGAAAGGTGGTGTTTGAAGTTGGGGGAGATGTGGATATTAGAGAAGAAGTGGCCAAGGAAGGTGGGTAGTAGGCGGAGAGTGATACCTTGGGATGTGAGCTGATCCTCAAGTGCTCTCTTTCCTCCCTCCTATTCCTTTGCACCCTTGCATGGCCACCAGCTCTCCGCCTCGCCTCGGCCAAGCTACCAGTCCCCACAGAGTTCGTTACACTCTCCTCGCCGCCCCGTCTGGGCACTTCGGTCCTGCACGACATCCCATCTGGATCAGGAGTGGGCAATGCTGGAAGGGAGGTTGTATCGCAGGTGGTGTAAGAGGAGTCTAGCGTGTCGCTTCAGAAGGATGACTTGTCCATCTCCTTCTCTCCTTGCAATGGTCAACCGTATCACTCTGTTTGGCATTTTGGTCCCCTTTTGCACGGGTCTTTGCAGGCGGCACATGCAAGAGGGGGGAATAGCAGTGGCATCTGACTCCCTCTGTCATGGCTCCACTCTCATGATGGCCACGCCCAGATGAGCTGCATGCTTCCAGTAGGTAAAAGCATCACTACGTGTGCCATGACGACTCTGCTGTCCTGCCCGTACTCGCGCACCTCGGCTCCGGATCCCCTTTGCCATGGCAGTGGTACACGTCTCGGCAGAGTTGTGCCTCCGCTCTTTGCTCCGCTGCGTTGCACCACCACCACCCCCCGCGTGATTGACACCTCGTCGATCCTCCTCCCTGCCTGGCACAGTCAGCTACATCTCTCACAATGTCTCCATCCTGGCCATCACCTAGATCTCACTCACACTCGAGCTAGGGACGCATGATGTGATGAGCCCCAGAGCCCGTGTGTAGCCAGACTTGCCCTCCACTGTGCCCGCAACCCTCGTATCCGCATCCCAGCATCTCAGGTGAACGGACTACTACGGCACTTCTCCTCCTCATCTCAGTCATTTTCGAAGTAGAATCGGAACGTTATACCTGTATATACAAGACTCTGCTCCATCTGCTATTCTTCCACTGCCACTGCATCCACTTCTGACCATGTCACGCCCAGACCTTGTCCCCTTGGACCTCGACGACTTGGACCCCCTGCCACCTGCCCAGACGCCCGACGACGATCTCACTCCATCCTCTTCGTCGCCCAAGTCCACTTCGACCAGCTCACCAGTAGCTCGGACCAAGTCCCATTCGGCAGCACGATACGTCACCGTATCCGCAGTCCTCTCCCGCTCTGGCGCCCTCTACCCACTGCACGACTCGAGCAATGACGCCTCTGGTAGTAACATCTTCGCAGCCATACCAGACGCTCATCGCAATGGAGAAGAGCAAGGTGGCGCTACCTCCTCATCCTCAGCTCGAGGCGAGATGCGCTCCAATTCAGTACGAAGGAGAAAGGGCAGCGTCTCGAGCAACGGCAATGCCCTCGAGGCACTAGGCACCTTGCTCCTCCATCGCGATCGTACCGGACGCGCCTCTGCAATGAGCTTCCAACGCTACAATGGCAAGGAAGATCCCTCTCAAACTGCTCAAGCGAATCTTGCTTCCACCTACAGGGCCTTTCTCGATGGTCTGAAGCAAGTATCGGCTTCCACACTGGGCATACACCTCCCCTCTGCGCCTGGCGAAGGTGGTACGACCATTGCCGAGCGGCGAGCCAGGAAGCGAGCCAGAGGGGAAGAAGTGCGTAACGAGGACGGGACCGTCTTTTTTCGAGTCAAGTCAGGAAGGAAGAAGCCCACGTTCGAAGTCTCCCGACCTCCCAGCCCAGAGGTTCGAGCTCGACGTAGCACTGCTCGAACCACCCAGCATGATCCACTGGCGGATCCGAGGCAGGCTTTCAGAAGGGCTCACTCTTCTGCAGCGCCAGCTTCTTCTGCATCGGCAGTCTACGGATTCGGTTCGTCATTTGGGATCGTCGAGCCACCGGAAGCGCCTCCTTCGCCCCTTGGCATGCCCGGCGACTGGCCAGGCGGCAGAGGCTGGAGATCAGCAACGAACAATTTCGAAGACGATGATGACCTGCCTTTGCTACTCCCGCCTCCGCTGCTCGATGACCGCGGTAGCGACCCTCAGTCCTTTGAAGGATTGCTGGGCATCAGAAGGCGACGAGAGCAAGAGGAGGCCAGAAGGCGATTGGAGAGGCTGGCGGCAAGGAATCGACCAGCGCACAAGGTGGGAATGATGACGGCACTGGGCAATTTTGTCAAGGCGGCTCATGCCGCCGACGTAGCTTCGCGGTCGCATAAGCAAGCGGTAGCCAAGGGCAGCTTGTGGCCACAGCGGCCTGGAGCCCAATTGGGACGACGACATACCGACTCTCACGAGATGATGAGGGCAAAGGAGCTGTCACGAGCAAGGAGACAAGAAGAGACTCAAACGCAAGATCCTCTTCCGGAGAAGGCAGACACGGCCACCACGCTGACTGCGCAGGATCTTCGTCGACCATCCATCCTTGGCTCACCCGTCTTGGAAACAGTCTACGAAGGCAGTGTCGCCGGCGAAGCAGTCGACGAGGCTCATCCTCCCCCTCAAGACTCTCGCATGTCGAGGAGGTCATCAACAGCCTCGCGCTATGCGATGCCGCCACCTCCTCGTCTTTTACCCGTACATCTGTCCATACCTCCATCTCCAATGACATCGCATGATAGCGCTGGCCTTGACTATCTCTCCGCCACCTCCCCTAGAGCACCTTCAAAGCCGCACATTGGACCCACCATGCTCAGTCTCCCGCCTTCTCCATGGTCTCCCCAGCCTCTACCACAAGACCAGCAACCATCCTTTTCCTTTGCACTGATGGCAATGTCTATGCCTTACTCGAGTCCTGGCACGCCTCGACTGGCTCCTACGCACTTGAGCGTAATGCCGTCTCCTCTACCTACAAGCTCCATAGCTGCCGAAGGCGCCCGCAATGGCTTCTGGTCTCCTCCAAGTCTACCCACGGCTGTCTCAGGGAAATCTTCTCTCTGTGCCTCACCTCTGACCCTGCAACCCTTGGACGATGAGAAGTCGCCGCCTCGAGTACGACGGAGGAAGACTAGCGCTACCAAGCGACAGACGCCTGGAATGCTGCTTGACGCATCGCCTGAGCATCGCCGCTCTGAAAAGGTGGACGATCTATCTGCAGCTGCCGCTTCTCCGGCAAAGCTTGCAGTACGATCTGACCCTTCGGACTCAAGCGTAGACCTGTCGAGGACCCTCTCAGTCGGTGTCGCATTCTTCTTCGAGTTCATCCTCTTCTGTGTGACCCACTTGATCGACCTCGTCTGGGAGGTAGCAGAACACATAGCTATGGCCTACTGGTTCACGAAGTGGATGGTGCTCAACCTGACCGGCAGAACCGTACTCAGTCGATGCCTGTATGAAGCCTTTGCGCTGATACAGGGCGAGTGGGCGCTGGTCGCCGAGGAGGATCACGAAGAGAAGCGGTACAGACGAAGGAAGAGCGCAACTGACTCGGACGACGAAGAGGACCACGAGAAGGTGGTCACTGGCACCAAACCACCCGGGCTGACCAAGTGGCAGGTATGCAGAGGTCTTCTGGAGCTCATTGCTTTGCAGACTGTCACCAAGGAGCGCTGGATCCGCGAAGGTTCAGGTCTGACACTGCTGCAAGGATGGCAAAAGAGTGGTAGAGGTCAACAAAAGGGTGACCCTCACACCGAAGAGCATGAGGCTTCCAGTGACTCGGATGACGAAGAGACTGACCTCATCGTCACGCGTCGAGACGTCGACGTCCTGGAATTTACTCGCACGCCACGGATCAGGCCAAGCGAACATCATGGCTACCCTTCATCAACGTCTGCGTCCGGTGGCGGTGACTACTTTGCTCAAGCTCAATCGAATACCTCCTCTCACCCTTCACACGCCCCGCGTTCACTCGTCAAGACGATCAAGTGGGCTTCTCGCCTCGCCGTAGGAGCCTATGGTCTACACGTCCACATTGTCGATCTACCTCCCACATTTACCCCATCGGGCAACCGCTTCACTCGCCAGACTTTTGCGCACCTCTCCCGTCTGAGCAATCCAGACGATGTTCTCCATGCTGACATCCAGCAGATGAGTGCCGTGGGTGAAAATGGGCTGGAGGAGCTGTACCAGCCTACTTTTTACGTTGCGCGAGACCACGTGCGCAAGATGATCGTCGTTGCCATTCGGGGAACGCAGAGCTTCTCAGACATCATTGCCGATCTGGACATGAGGACTGCCAAGTTCCCGCTGAGCGAAGAAGAGAGCGAGGCGCTGCAGGGTGAGGGTTCGTCCTGTCATGCTGGAGTACTGAGGGCTGCGCAGGGTCTGCTGAGAAAGGAGTCGACACTGTTCAGGACGGTGGATGAGGCGCTGCGGGAGCACACCGATTTTGGGCTCACCTTTGTGGGCCACTCGCTCGGTGCTGCCATTGGGAGCGCTGTCGTTATGCTCTTGGCCGAGTACAACGCGTCTGAGAAGAGCGGAGGGGACTCCCCAAACGGCCACCGTGGCCAAGAAATGTCCTCTCCATGGACTATCAACGCCTCTTCTGGTCTCCCCGCCGGTCGTCCAATCCAAGCCATCGCATTCGCCCCACCAGCAACCTTTTCCTATGCCCTCTCTGCGCGCGCAGCCCTCGGTGGCTCTAAACCCCTCGTCTACTCTGTTGTGCTAGGGGCCGACTTCATCCCTCGAGCTGGGCATGGGCAGGCGAGAGAGCTGCGCAGGGTGCTGGGAGCGCTCAGTCGTGTCAGACGTAGGGATGCTTCCAAGAGGAAGAGGAGAAGCGACAAAGGTGAAGAGGGCAGGAATGATGACGAAGAAGAAAACAAGGAGAGTGCGCGCATTCACGTCCTGCATGGCTGGTGGAAATGGCGCAGTCTCGCTCGACGTGAAGGGAGTGGTGGTGCTCGTGGTGGACTCAACGCAGAGGAGAGGCAGAGGAAACGGGACATCGAAGACGAGTTGTGGAGATTGAGGAGCGATGTAGAAGCGGACCTCTACTCTGCCATTAAGCGTCGAGCCATGGAAGAAGAGACTGCTGAGGCAGCTGCAGCGGTCAGTGCAGGAGCAGGAACAGGAACAGGAGCAGAAGGCCAAGGAGAAGCACACACCGACGGGACTGTTCAGAACGGCACTGCTGCTCCTCTCCCTCCTACGCCCTGGATTGGACCTCACTCGGCACAGCCGCTCCACCGGCTCACCCAGCGCAGACAGACGCTCCTGGATCGTGCTACGCTCAAGAGCGAGGCGGTACTGGGTGGGGTGATGCTTCCTGCCGGTCGCACTCTCTACCTCGAAGCAGGGGGAGAGGGAGCAGGAGGAGATGGAGAGAAGACAACGCACCAAGAAGCACGGACAGGCAACAGCAGCCACGGGGTAGAAGAGGCAATCAGACGTCCTCTCCCGCCCAGACTCTTTGCCGTCGAGTCTCCCTTGTCCTTCTTTGCGCTGCCAGAGTTTGCGACGGACATGTTCGCCAGTCATCTACCCAGCAGCTACGAGGCGGTCATCGAGGAGCTCTAGTCTCAGTCTTTGTCTTTTTTGTCGAGTGGGGGCGAGTATAATGTAGAGCGATAGTGAAGCATTAAATTGTGGTATTGACACGTTGGAAGGATGAAAGAATGAGAAAGAGTGCGTGTTGGTGTAGAGAAAGCACAGGAGCTGCTTCTCATCTTTCCTCTTTGCACATCTCCTCACCACTACTCTCGCACCGTCTGATCATCAAGCGCCAGCAAAGGTGGGCTAGGCAGCGATCCTATCCTGCCAGCTGCACCACCGCCAGTGGTAGCCCTCGACCCACCAGGCGCGCTTCCAGGGATCCACCTCCTGTACTGAGTGTGAGCTGCAGTGGAAGGATAAGTAGCGCTGGACTGAGACTGGGTCTGGGAGTGGGAGTGGGCGATGAAGACGTTACTCAGCCCTCGACCTATCATCATCTCTGGCCGATCCACGTGGAAAGAGGTGGTGGTGCTCCTCCTCGTCAATCTTGGTGGCGCTGTCGTACCATTGGTTCGAGGATCAACCCGCGAGCCAATTGGCCGCAGTGCATCTTCTGGCGAGGCAGAAATGGCCAGAAGCAGACGAGCTGCCGATGAGGCTTCTGGCTCGGGACTCTTGCCCGTGGGCGGCCTGCTGCTGCTGTTGGGCCAGGATGGATACTCGTCCCCGGGGACCATCTCGTGGTCCTCTTCCTCGTCCTCCTCTCCCTTCATCGCCAACTCCTCCTCTTGAGTCACACCGTCCCGCACGGACGAGGTAGACCCATGCTGCCCTCGCACCTCGCCGTGATGATGCTGGTGAGGGTGTGCAGCCTCATACAGTGGAATGGCAGCAGGGGGTAGAGCAAACGATGGTGCTGCTACCCTTGCATCAAAGCTCTTCTTGCGTCCACTCCCACTGCCACTGCCATTGCCAGCTAGAAAGATGGGCGAAGAGGCAGAGAGGCTCATAAAGGGGCTCGTAAGGCTGGACAGACCCCCGCTAGAGGCAGGAGTGCTGGTCCCCTTCGACGAAGAGGACGGCGCCGAGGAGGACGAAGCGGCCGCGGGAAAATTTGGGGAAGAGTCGTACCAGTACCCATGATTGTACCCATATCCGTAGCCGGGGACAGAGCCAGCCAGCTGATGAGGCAGTGGTAAGTCTGCCTCGCTTGCAGTCTCACTCGAGGCTGACATGCTTCGCACATGGCCTAGATCTCGAGGGTAGTTTCCTCCTAGCTTGACAGGCGTGAAGCCACGTGGGTGCTTTTCGTCGATTGGGACTTGCGTAGCTGTCGAGGAGGGAGGAGCGAGAGAAGGTGGGGAAGAATGGGAAAGAAACCCAGTAGGAGGGGGAGTGGTAGTGGTGTCCTGCACTATATCATCATGGATAGTCTCGCCTCTATCTATCCTCTGTGCCTTCCCAGGCCTCTTGCCCGTCTCCAGCTCCTGAATACGAGCCTGTAGCTGGTAGATGAAATCGATGGTATGGGTGAGAACGTCGAGCTTGTGCATTCCCAGCTCCGGCTCAGCATCCTTGTCCTTGTCCTTGGCCTCTTCGACTACCTTTCTCCTACTTCGCTTCCTCTTGCGCTTCGCTCCTGGACCGCTCAAGGCTTCATCTGCGCCTGCTTCAGTGGTGGGAGAGGCAGCGTTGGCTGGTTGGCCTGCTTCGCCTCCGCCTCCTTCGAGACGTTGTCGAGCGGCAATCTCCTCGTTGCAGGCAGGTACGAGGTTGCGAAGTGTAATCAGGCGATCATTCTGAATGGATCAGCGAGGGGAGCGGAGAGTAGAAGTCTGCGTCAGCTCTCAGTGCTGCACAACGGCGCCTTCTGTGCCTCTAGAGCACTGCAACTCACAATCTTTTCCCTCCTCCTCCTCTCAATTTGACTGTGAGTAGCCCTCCTCTTGTTATCCTTTGCAGCTGCCGAGGTCCGACGGGATGAGCCCGACGTGGACGCCAGAGTTGCACCAGCTCCTGCGCCTGCGCCCGTGCTTGATGCTGACGCTGACGCTGACCCAGTAGCTTCCTTCTTGATCGCCTGACTAGCGAGAATGGCCGCTGCCCTCGAGGGTGGAGGAGCCATGGTAGGAGGAGGTGGAGGTGGACGGTGGGCAATTGGGGGAGAAGGGTGAAAGAGACCCATTGCTGGACGACTACTGTAGGGATTGCAAGATGACGAGGAGGAGGTGGAGGAAGGTGCTGGTGGGAGAGGTAGAGTTGGGAATACCAGTGGCTGTGACCTCATTGCGAGGCTGGCTGGCTGGCTGGTGGTTGGTGCTAGTGTAGTTGCTGCTCCTACTGCCGGCTGAGGTGTGAGATGGTGAGGGAGATGTAGATGGGTTGGTAGAATCGCAGCCGTCGTAGCTGTATCCCTCCCCTCTTCGTCTGACTCCTGCGTGCGGTGAGGGTCGTGTGGGTGTGGGTGTGGGCGTGCGTGTGAGTTCGGCAAGGACAAGGGCAAGTGGTGGTAACGTGCTGCCCCTTTTCCCATCGGCACCTTCCGGGGCAAAGCTCAGCGTTGAGTGCGTGAGTGAGTGATTGATCGACTGAGTGGACAATGTGACTGGCTATGAGCACTCTGCCTGCCTTGAACAGCTCAACGACTGCCCTTCTGACTCCGTCGTCATCGTCGTGTGCGTCTCCTCCTGGCCCTCGTCACACTCCCCCCGCCTGCCCATCTGCCTGCAGCTCCCCCCCCCTTCCCCCCTCTTCCATCAAGGGGCCACGTCGTGCGACCAGGGCACCCACCCACCCACGCACAAGGCATTCTGGGGGGCCCTGGAGCACAGGCACAGGGCGTGCAAGTGTGTGCGACTGGGTGGGTGAGTCAATGGAGTGGAGTGGTCCACGTCGTCTGACACGTTCCCTTCTAATCCGGGGACGTGGGCCCCTTTCGGCGTCGGGGAAATTAAAGGCACACGCAGAGGCACACAGGCACAGAGGCACCGCAACAGCAACAGCAACACGATCGATTGCGTGCGCCCCGCTGCGCTCCTGCTGAGCCGATGGAGCACGTTCCTCGGCTCGGCCGGCGGCACGTCAATTTAAAGCGCGACGCGGCGCAGTGAGCATGTCTAGCGTGGAGCGTGGGGGGAAGAGTATGGCATTACCCCCTCCCTAGTGATTGAGCGTCAGCATCGTCGTCGTCGTCACCTCTAGCTAGCTACGTCTACCGTTCAATAAGTACGAAGAAATAGTGCCACACTCTAGGCGTAGTCAGATGATGACATTGACATTGGCATTGAACTTGGTTGAATGATCTTCACTCTCACACTCTTCTTCTACAACACTCGACCTTCACCCCTTGCCTGACCAAGCCCTTCTTTAATTCTTCTTGTTCAACTTCTTGGCAACGGCATCAATGACCTTGGAAGGAGACTTTGCCTTGGCACTAGGCGAATCATAGTCTACCGCAAAGACGCTCACCGACGCCTTGCAAGCTCCCGATGCCACCCATTCCGTCTCGCCCTGGAGAGAGCAATCGCCTACATTGCAAGTGTTGAGTCCACCCTTGGGAACAATGGCAGCATAGGTGGGGAAACCGGCAGAGTTTAGCACCAGCTTGTCACTCTCTGCTCCACCGGTCAGACGGGTACGCTTAAAGTCGGCCTTGAGAGAAGGGCAAGCAGTCGAGTTGAGAGAGGCGTAGTTGATGCTCAGAGCGAGACCGTTGGGAAGGAGAGGCTTGGAGTCCAGGGCGTCGGCATAGGTGCTGACGAAGTTGGCAGTAGCGGTACCGATGATCACTGGTGAGGAAGAGGCAAGGGGCAGAGTCAGATAAGCTTCTCGGCATTCCTATCGCAGCTTCACTCCTCCCACTCTCCCCACTGTACTCACCAGACTCATCCTTGGTAGAGCTGAGGTCCAGCGTATGGTAATCGCGCATAGTGGAGCTGGCAGAAAAGGCCATGGCAGGGTATCCCCTACCTACAGCGGCATAAGCAGCACCGAGAGTACCAGAGAGGGTGTACAGCAAAGGTCCCAAGTTGGTGCCCTCATTGGGTCCCGAGACGAAGAGGTCAATCTTCCCACCGAAGGGCTTGACCTGGTCCAGAGCCCAGAAGGGTGTCGCAGCAGGGGTAGAGTTGAAGTAGGCCAGTCCAGAGTCGGAAGAGTTACGACCAAAGTAAGGAGCACCAGCAGGGGCGGTATTGAAGGCTGCGGGACCCGTGAGGTTGGAAGTAGGGAGGACAATGGTACCACCCTTGCCGCTCTGCTGGACCGCAGGGGCTACCATCTGTACGCTGTGGCCAGCTCGGCGCAGAGCATAGTAGGTGGCACGAATGTTCGCAGACGCCCAAGAGTCATCGTTTCTGGAAAGGCAAGAAGGATGGGACAGAAGAAGGTGGAAGAGGTGTAGGTATACAGCATTACTCAAGGAAACAGATTCCACAATCGAGTTCAATCTCCGCAACCCCTCGTTCCTATCTCTCACTCCACACTCACGTCAAGACGATGTTGAGCTTCTTCTTGGCAGTGCGGACATGCTTGAATCCAGCAGCGTCGACTCCATAGGTGGAACCAGACTTGGAGCTGGCTCGCTCGCTGATGGGAGAAGCGAGGACAGAGGGAAGTGCCGTGAGGGCGAGGATGGCGCTGAAGAGGGCAAGGAAGGAGAAGGTGGAGCGGTGCATGGTGGGCAGAGAGGGAGAGAGAGGAGGGAGGTGAGCAGGGGGAGAGAGGAGAGGGAGTGGATAGGAGAGGAGAGAAGGGAGGGAGGGAGCAAGGGCGAGGACGATACAGAAAGGTTCTTCTTCGGAAGCAAAGTACTTCCATCGGATCAATTATATACCTTTAGGATCGGCACACCCTGCCCTCGGAGGCAATCAATCAGCTTCCGCCGTCAGAGCAAAGCGACAACTCCAGGTTCGCATAGATGACCGACGTTCCTTGCATTGCCCAGGGGAGACGCCGAGGGGATCTTCTGTCTGCGTGCCCACGAGGAGGCGGGGAGATGCCAAGGCGGGCAGGTGGGCAGGCGAGATACAGGCAAGCGACTTCCCCCTCTGCTCTTCCTCCCGAAACCCGCTCATGGTCCCCACTCGGCTTTCAAACAGTCGCACTGCTGAACCAAGACATTCGAGCGTTTGGCGCCGAATTGTCCGTTACCATCGTGTGTCCGGAGATAGGCGCAGAGAGGGTAGGCAAGGCAGTGGTGGGGTCGCTACTCTACTGACACTGAAGAAGTACTGTGCGGGGGCAAGAGGGAGGCGAGGCGCGTGCGAGTCGAACACGTTGCCTCGCCTCGCCTCGCCTCGCGTGTCGTCTCAAGTGCGGCGTCCTCGCTTGCAATGAAAAAAGTAAAGTCAAGGCAAGACTCGGTAACCGCCGTCGTTGCCGATCAATTCTGACGCGGGTGTTAGCAGCTGACAGAGGAAGGCCCACGCTCCTTAGCGAGTACGAGTGCGGTGAGATTAGCGAAGGGGTCAGCAATTGACTGACGAGATGTTCCTGCATTCTTGGCACGTGTACCTCAAAAGGAGGAGAAGAGGATCGCAGAACCCCGAAGATTAAATCACCGAGCAGAGGGAAGGAAGTGAACATTGCACACACATCGTACTCGCAACAGGCACTCGTTGTTGTTAGGGGGGGAAACATGATGAATTACTAAAACGGCAGCGAATAGATAAGAGGGGGAGCCACGACAGACTGGAAAGGACTGTCAGGGGAAAGGGGGAAAGGACACGACACAAAACATAGGGAGCTAGGTAGACAAGGGGGCAGAGGCCAGTAGTACAGCTCAAGGTCCGGAGTACTGAGCGCCAGTGCCACCGATTCCGCTTCCAGCAAGAACCTGTAGCAAACACCAGAAACCATGATACTGAAAGTGGGGGGGAAACACGTCTGATCGAGAGGGAATGACTCTGTGAGATGGGGGAACCTGGAGTTGAATCCCGACCCTGAGCGGATCCACTCTCTTCTATTCTTCTTCTTCTTCTCACTGTTTCTTTTTCTTTTCTTTTTTTCTTTCTCTCTCCTCTACTTCTATGAGATTGACCAAAGTCAAGATCTCTTCACTTCATCTCTTCTTCAAAGACCTGCACTTGTCTCGTATCTTCTCTCTCTCGCTCTCGCTCTCTAGCGATGCCTTCGTCCGAGGATGGCAGGCATGGCAGTGTTGACTGCAGCGAGGGTGGCACGGCTCAAGGCAGCACTCTTGATTGGAACGGCCGACAGAGGCTTGCCAATGACAGCGGGGTGACCTCACTTCCACTGTACAGACACTGCACCACCTAGACCATTCATGAGAACAGCCGAGGCAGAAGTGGTAGCAGCCGCAGTGGTGGAAGTAGGCTCGGCGGTGCTAGTCGCATCAGCAGCAGAATCGCTAGTGCTAGTGCTAGAGGAACCGTCGAGGCCATCACCCAGACCGACGCCAGAGCCAACATCGGCGACGACCGAAGTCGAAGTCTGTGCGGCAGTCGTCGAGGTGCTACTGTCCGGACCCAAAGTCAGCGTCAAGGTGGCTCCGTTGGCAGCGACCTTGGTGGTGGTGGTCAAGCCCGAGGAAGCCTTGACACTGGAAGTGCCAGTAGCCTTGGTCGACCTGGCAGTGCTCAACTTGGAGGCCGTTGAGCTAGTGCCATTGCCGGCGTAGACCGTCACCGTCTTTCCATTGGCCAAGGTGCGAGTACTCGTCAGGGTGAAGGGTCCAGAAGCGCCAGATGCAGAACCACTGGAGACGCCATTGAGGGCGTCGCCAGCAGTGACCGTGGTGGCTGCGCCGTTAGCTACGACCGTCGTCGTCGTCGTCGCTGCCTTGGACTGTTGTTTAGCAGTGGTAGGCGCAGACGACGAAGAAGAAGAGCCGTAGAAGGTGACAGTGGCACCATTCGCCAGGGTCACCGTAGTCGCAGAAGTACTGGGCGCTGACGAAGCCGCATCAACGGTGACAGTGCGAGATTCAGTCACCGTGACGGTACGTGCGCCAGCGGCAGTACCCTTGGCGGCATTGGTGGTCGAAGCCTGGTAGACAGTGTTGTCATCGTTGCTCGAGTTCTCGTCTCCAGACGCGGCGCTGTCAGAGTCGTCAGTGGTGGACTCTGAGCTGCCAGTGTTGGAGGCTACAGTCGAACCCGAGCTACTGTCATCATCGGAGCTGCTGTCAGAAGCGGAGCTGCTGTCGTCCGAACCGGAGAGACGCTCAGTTGAAACCGAGCTATCAGGAATGGTAGACTCCGTGAGCTGAGCGCAGCCAGCAGGGACGTGAGGGTAGTAGAGCTGGCGGCCATTCTTGCGTGTGACCTCGGGATTGCCCTCTTCACTGTAGTAGGCGATCCAGGTGACTTGACAGTCGCTAGCAGACGAAGTCGAAGAAGTGCTTGCGGGAGTGGTGGCAGAGCCAGTCGAGCTTGCGCTTCCAGCGTTGCCAGCCGAGGTCTCAGATCCAGCTGCGGCGCCAGTTGAGCTAGATCCGCTGTGCTTGCTTGCATTCGATCCACCCTTCTGGCCACTTCCGGTGGCCGAGGCCTTCTTGGTGGAAGACTGGGCAGCCTTGTCGGTGGACTTGGGGCTCGATTCTCCGGCCGATGTCTTGGTCTTGGTCTTGTCACTCTCCGTTGAGGCGGCAACACCACCCTTGCCAGCACCCGAGGTCTTGGTCTTCGAGGAAACCTTGCCAGACTCGGTGGCGGCAGTGGTCTTGTGAGCGGACGCCTTGGTCGTGGTGTCATCATCAGCAGGAATGGAACCGCCACCACCGTTGTTAGCAGCAACTCCCTTGGTCGACGTGGAAGCCTTGGTGGAAGCCTTGGTCGATCCAGCCTTGGTCGATCCAGCCTTGGTCGATCCAGCCTTAGAGGATCCAGCATGGGACGATGCAGCATGGGACGACGCAGCATGGGACGACGCAGCATGGGACGACGCAGCATGAGTCGATGCTGCCTTGGTTGAACCCGCCTTGGTGGCACTAGTCTTCTTGGTGGAAGACTGGTTAGCGTCGGAAGCACCGATGGAACCACCATTGTTGCCAGCAATGACCTTGGTCGTAGACGAGGTCTTTGTAACCTTGGTCGAGGTGGCCTCAGACGTGGCAGCAGTAGTCTTGGCAGCAGTGGACGCGGTGGAAGAAGCGCCATCAGTAGAAGAGGCCTTGGTTGTGCTGCTCTCACCGGTGCTGAGGCCGATGTTGCCTCCAGTGTTACCAGCGACGGCAGTGGTGCCAGTCTTGGAAGCCGTCGTAGCCGTGATCTTCGAAGAGGTGGTTGAGGTCTGCTCCTTCGATGTCGTCGCCGCAGACGATGATGTCGCTGCAGTAGTCGTCGAAGTGGCGTCTTCACCACCATCGCCACCATCACTGACAGTGCTGGTGGCTGCCACACTAGAGGTCGTAGCCTTCGAAGTCGATGTGCCACCGAGGCCAATAGACGCTCCAGACGACGCTGCATTGCCAGCGATGGAGCCAGTGGCAGTGCTGGACCCAGCTGTGGAGGTGGCGGTGGCTGAGGTAGATCCACTCGAAGCAGCCGATGTAGAATCGGATGAGGCCGTCGAAGAAGCATCGGAACCGATACCGACGCTCGAGGTCTGACCATTGCCGATGACTGATCCGGAGGATGTGGCCGACGAAGAAGCAGTCGATGAAGAGGCAGCGGATGTCGAATCAGATGAGGCCGTCGCGGTTGGATCAGAATCGATACCAATGCTCGAGGTCTGGCCATTGCCGACGACTGTTGCAGTGGTGGTGCCCGATGGAGCAGCCGACGAGGACGATGCTGATGAGCTGGACGACAATGTCGAGGAACCATCGGACTCAACGCCCACGCTCGAGGTCTGGCCGTTGCCGACGATTGACGCGGTGTTCGTCCCGGACGAAGCCGACGTAGACGAGTCTGCTGTGGTCGATGCCGTTCGAGAGCTGGTTGCAGTGCTAGAGCCAGAGCTAGAGCCAGAAGCGTCTGCAGTGGCGGCAGTGGAAGACGACGATGATGTGCCGGACGCGGTAGTGCTAGACGACTGATCCTTGCTGCTCGAGCTGGCGGAAGTAGTGGTGGTGGCATCGGCAGATGCGTAGACTGTGACAATCTCGCCATTGTCCAGCGTCGCCGTGGTGACCGCAATTTCGCCTGCTTTGCTGCCATCGTCGCCACTGGAACCGGATCCCGTGGCCGCAGCGGTTGTTGCAGCTTGAGTGGCAGAGGATGAAGCAGAGGTGGAGCTCGAAGATGAAGCTGGAGTGTCAGTTGCAACGGCGGCATTCGTGTTCTGGCCGTTGCCGACGACAGTGGCGCTGGCAGATTTGGAGCTGGTCGAAGAGGCAGAGGACTGCGAGGTAGCCGTCGTGGGATCGGATTCAGAAGAGCTGGACGAGGCCGACGATGTCGGTCGAGAAGTGCTTGTAGAAGACGATGCGCTCGACAAGGAGACATCGGCAGAGCTGGCGATGGCGGAAGAACCGCCGTTGTTGCCCACCGAAGCGCTGCTGGTGGATGTTGATGTCAAGGAAGTGGCCGAGGCAGACGATCCCGAGGCAGTGTCCGAAGCAGGCGATCCCGAAGAGCCCACCGAGGTAGACGATGCTCCAGTAGCGCTTGCGGAAGACGAGGAGCTTGACGAGGTGGAGTCAGCGGGAATGGCAACCACGGAAGAAGCGCCGTTTGCGACAACGGAAGTGCTGTTGGAGGAAGACGATTGCGAAGAAGCAGCCGAGGGAGAAGTTCCTGAGGACGTGACCGAGGCAGACGATCCCGAAGCAGCGTCCGTAGCAGACGATCCCGAGGTAGTCACCGAGGCAGATGATCCTGACGAAGCAGTAGCCGAAGATGAGCCTGGAGCGGTAGAGTTGGCCGATGTCGAAGTAATGGACGAAGAGGAGTCGAGACTGATACCAGCTGTTTGCGGCGCTGTGTTGGCGACGACGGATGGAGTGGTCGTGGAAGTAGCAGTGTTGGTGGCAGAGACGGTGCTGGCGCTGTTCGAGGCAGAGGGAGCGACCGACGTACTGTCTACCGTCGTGGCTGTGCTCGAAGTCGCGGCAGCAGCTCGAGATGCTGCGGCCGATTGGACTGAGGCGGCAGAAGCCATAGCAGCGGAGGCGGCAGAGTTGGCGGATGCCACCAAAGATGACAGCGAGGAAGCGATGTAAGCTGCATACGAAGAGGCAGCGGCTGCCTGGGCGGCCGCAGAGGCAACCTGTGCAGCGGCGGAGGAAGAGGCAGAAGCAGCGGCAACCGAGGCGGCCGACGCAGCTGACACCGATGCAACCGAAGCACTGGATGCCGCCAGAAGGGCAACGTTGGCAGCCGAGTACGAGACGGCATCTGCGTAAGCAGAGGCGACCGAAGCAGCGGAAGCAGCTGAGATAGAGGCGACGTTTGCAGACGACGACAAGGCAGCCATGACAGCAGCTTCGGATGAGACAGCTCCAGCAGCAGCGGAAGCAGCAACAGCGGCGACCGAGGAGGCAGACACAGCAGCAGCAGCAGCGTAACTGGAGGCTGCAGCAATGGCACCGTCGGCAGACGTCGAGGCCGCAAGAGCATTGGAGGCAACAGAGGCTGCTGCCGCTGCTGCCACTGACGAGTGAGACTGGATAGCGGCAGACGCTACGGAAGCAGCAGAAGCGGCTACCGACGAGGCAGAGGCAGCTGCCTGTTCGGCAACCGAGGAAGCGACGGCAGCGCGAGACTCAGCCGAAGCGGCGACGGCATCTGCAGAGGAGGAGGCAGCAAGAGCCTTGGCCGCAGCGGAGGCGGTGATGACGCTTGCTGAAGATTCGTACGCAGAGGCGACCGAGGCATCAGAAGCCGAAGCCGAAGCGGCGAGAGCAGAAGCGACCGAAGCGACAGAGACAGCCGAAGCAGATGCAGCCTCGGCCGAAATGGACGCAGATGCGGCCGCAGCAGAAGCTGAAGCGACAGCAGCGGAAGCTGAAGAGCTGGCATCATTCGCAACCGAAGCCGCATAGGCGGTGGCGGATGCAACGGCAGCCGAGGCAGACGCGAGAACTGCAGCCGCGGAAGTCGAGGCGGCGGAAGCGATGTTGCTGTTGGAGTTGACAGCTGCAGAAGCCGCTGACTGAGCCGCAGAGGCGACGGATGCAGCTGATACTGACACGGACTGTGCGTACTCAGAAGCAGAGGATGCAGCAGCAGCAGCAGAGATCGAAGCGGCTTGAGCAATCGACGACTGCTGCGCTACGGCATCTGAAGCGGATGAGGCGGCGGCGTCGGCGACAGCTGAGGCTGACTCGGCTGCGACCGAGGCGGAGGCGACGACGGCCGAAGCAGAAGCAGCGACGGCCGCGGTGACAGACGAGGCAGAAGCGATGGCAGCTGCGGCGTTGGACGAGGCTGAAGCAATCAAGCTGGCCACCGAAGCAGAAGCGTCGGAAGCAGCCGATGACGCAGCAGCCAAGACGGAACCGGCAGAAGCAGTAGCGGCAGAGGCCTCGGCAGAGGCATCTGCGATGACCGAGCTTGCGTAGCCAGAGGCAGAAGCAGCAGCAGAAGAGGCAGAGGCAGCCACTTGCGCTGCAGAAGAGGAAGCAGCAGCAGCAGCAGCTGCTCCAAGAGACACAGCACCGGCAGCGGATGCAGACGCGGCTGCAGCAACTGAAGATGCCGAAGCAGCGACTGAGGCAGCATATGCAGCAGCAGACAAGCTGGCGCTGTCCTGGGAAGCAAGAGCGGCAGAAACTGCGGCGGAAGCTGACGAGGCGGCGGCAGCAGCTGAAGAGGCAGCCGAAGCGGCAAAGGCCGAAGCGGACGATACAGCGGCGGCGGTCTGAGCGTCCAGTGACGTCGAGACGGCATTGACAACGGAAGCTGCAGAGGCAGCGGCAGCAGAGGCTTGAGAAGCTGCGGATACAGAGACGGCCGAAGCCTCAACTGAGGCTGCGGAGACAGCCGCATCGGCGGCAGCAGACGCTGAGGCAGCGGCGGAGGATGCGGAAGCTGAGGCTGATTGCGCGTACAGTGATGCAGAAGCAGCAGCCTGAGAAGCCTCAGACTGTACTGAAGCAGCCGAGACTGAAGCAGCAGATGCAGCGGCAGTGCCCGACGCCTGAGCAGCCGACGCCGCGGCAGCAGCTACAGCTGCTACCGAGGAAGCAGAAGCAGCCACTGACTGAGCATAGTCAGATGCAGAAGAAGCGACTCCAGCGGCCGAAGTGAGTGCGGCAGCAGCTACAGACGACTGTGAGTCCAGCACGTCAGACAGCGATGCAGCAGCAGAGCTGGCAGCGGCGGCAGCCGAAGCAGACACCTGAGCAGCATAGGCGGAGGCGGAGGAAGCAGCAGCAGCAGTGTAGCCGGCAGCAGAGGTGGAGGCAACGGACGCCAGCGAAGCGCCAGAAGCGGCAGCGGCAGCGGCAGAAGCTGAAGCAGCATCAACAGCGGCAGCAGCAACCGAAGAGGCCGATGCCACTGCCTCGGAGGCGGCCGATGCGGCACTCGCGGAAGCGGAGGCAACGAGGGCAGACGCAGAGGAGGCCGCAGCGGCAGCAGAGCTGGAAGCGTCAGAACCGACGGAAGCAGCCGAAGCCAAGGCGTCAGAGGCGGATGCAGAGGCAGCGTTGGCGACCGAAGCTGCGTACTGAGAGGCAGATACGGCGACCGAGGAAGCAGAAGCGGCAGCGGCGGCAGCGGCAGTGGAGGCAGAGGCCGCCACGGCCGAGTCTGAGGATACGGCGGCAGATGCAGCCTGAGCGGCCAGGGAAGCGCTCGAGGAAGCCGCAGCAACAAGGGAGGACGCATAATCCGCGGCTGACGAAGCTACCGCAGCCTGGGAGGCGACAGCGGCCTGAGCAGCCTGAGAAGCTGATGCTGCCACATCCGAGGCTGATGCAGCGGCTTGGGAGGCGACAGCGGCAGCGGACGCCACGGCCGCTTGGGCAGATGTCGACGCGGCGAGAACGATGGAAGCAGCAGCAGCTGTAGCAGCCGAGGCAGCGCTAGCAGCGGAGGACTGTACCACAGCATCAGACTCGATGGCTACGCTGAGGGCAGAAGCGGCAGAAGAAGCTGCGGCTGCAGCCGAGGAGGAAGCAACAGCAGCCTGGGAAGAAGCTGAGGCTTGAGCAGCAGCGGCCTCGGCAGAGGCGGAAGCTTGAGCAGCGCCGGCAGCGCTGGTGGCTGAGGCAGCTGATTCGGAAGCAGACGAAATGGCGGCTGCAGCCGAGGCCGAAGCAGCGTCAGCAACCGAAGCAGCATATGCAGAGGCTGAGCTTGCTGCAACAGAGGCGGAGGATGCCACAGAGGCAGCGGAGATCGAGGCAGCGGATGCAACTGCAGCGTCAGCAGCGACGGCGGCAGAGGCTGCTGCAGCGGCCGAGGCAGCTGCAGAGGTGGCAGAAGCGGCAGCCGAGGAGGCGTAGTCTGCCGCAGAGGCAACGACAGCTGCGGCTGATGTCGAGGCAGCGTTGACAACGGAGGCCTGAGAAGCGAGAGCTGCGGAGGCCACGCTGGCAGCAGATACAGAGACGGCATCAGCAGAGTTGGAGGCCTCGAGAGCCTGTTGAGAAGCCGAGGAGGCCACGGCGGATGCTGACGAGGCTGCAGCTGCGGCATAGGAGGAAGCCGAGGCAGCGACAGCGGCCGTATAGGCGTCTGCTGAAGTCGAGGCGGCGGAGGCGACCGATGCTCCCGATGCGGCGGCGGCGGCAGCGTACGATGATGCGGAGGCTGCAACAGAAGCGGCAGATGCAGTAGCACTCTCGACGGCTTGCGAAGCCGACTCCAGGGCAGCCACAGCGGACTCGGACGCGACAGAAGCAGCAGACTGGGCTGAAGCAGCTGCAGCGGCAGCTTGCGCCGAGGCTGAGGCAGCGGCCTCAGAGGCGGAGCTAGCCACACTGGCTGCAGAGACGGAAGCAACAGAGGCAGCAGAGGCACCCGACACTGTGGCGGCGCTAGCAGCAGCAGCGGCAGACGAGGCTACTGAAGCTGCCGAGGAAGCAGCAGAAGCAGCGTAGTCTGAGGCGGATGCAACGACAGCCGAAGCTGAAGTGGCGGCGGCTGATGCTACCGCAGCTTCAGAGGCAGCTGCCGACTGAGCAGAGGCGGCAACGGATGCAGCATACGATGCAGCAGAGGCAACGGCAGCGCTGGCAGATGTAGAGGCATCGAGTACCAGCGAGGCGGCGTTGGCCACGGCAGCGTCTGCCGAAGCAGAAGCGATCGAGGCCACAGAGGCGGCAGAGGCAGACATGGCAGAAGCCTGGGCGGCAGCCGAGGAAGAGGCAGCTGCTGCGGAGGCAGAAGCCGATGCGATGGCAGCGGCGGCCGAGGTGGAAGCGGCATTGGCCGAGGATGAAGCAGAAGCAGCGACGGCGGAAGCCTGGTCAATTGCAGCCGATGCGACAGCTGCAGCCGAGGAGGCGACCGAAGCGGCCGATATCGATGCGACCGAGGCAGCAGAGGACCCAAGAGAGACAGCAGCTGACGCTTCGGATGCAGCTGATGCAGCAGCCAGAGAGGCAGAAGATGACACTGCCGCCGCAGACAGCGAAGCACTGTTAGCAGCAGCCAGCGCAGACACAGATGCCACCGAAGCGAGCGAGGACTGCTCGGCGATGGCCGAAGACGCCGAGGCGGCAGCGGCAGAAGCAACGCCAGCAGCGGATGTAGAAGCCGCCATAGCTACGGAAGCAGCAGCAGCAGTGGCCGCAGAGGCAACAGCAGAGGCAGATGAGATGACCGAGTTCTGCGAAGCGACGGCAGCGGCTGCAGAAGCAGATGCGGCCGAGCCAACAGCTGCTCCAGAGGCAACAGCGGCATCTGCTGAGGCTTGTGCCTGGGCGGCAATGGACTCTCCAGAAGCAATTGCAGATGCTGCATACAGGGAAGCTGAGGCAGCAGCAGAAGCCGCGGACTCAGAGACCGATGAGGCTACCGCTGCTGCTGCTGATGCTGCATCAGCTGCAGACGAGGAAGCTGCTGCGGCCGCAGAAGATGCGTACGAGGAGGCCGAAGCCGCAGCAGCAGAAGCCGAAGCTTGCACTGCAGCGGCAGACGTAGAAGCAGCAGCAGCAGCAGAGGAGCCCAGAGATACGGCAGCATCGGCAGCAGATGAGGCCGAAGCTGCAGCTGAAGCTGCCGAAGCGCTGACCGAAGCGGCATAATCGGCAAGGGATGAGGCGACCGAGGCAGCAGAGCTCTCAGCTGAAGCAGCGACCGCAGACTGAGAAGCGATGGCGGCGTCAGCAGCAGCAGAGGCAGCAGCAGAGACCGAGGATGCGTAAGCCGAAGCAGAGGAGGCAGCACCTTGAGCGGAGGTCGCTGCAACGGAGGCGTAAGAAGCAGCAGATGCCGCAGCGGCGGAGGCGTAAGCAGAGGCAGAAGACCCAGCCGATTGAGCTGCCAGAGAGGCTACCGAAGCTGCACTGGAGGCAGAAGCTTGAGCAGCCGAGGCAACCGAGGCACCGGAAGCGACGTCAGCAGCAGCTTGAGAGGATACCGATGCAGCGACTGCAGCTGCTGAGACACCAGCAGCAGAGGCAGCAGAAGCAGCCGAAACGGATGCGCTAGATGCCGAAGCAGCGGCAGCGGCGGCAGCTGCCGTAGCAGAAGCGATGACACCAGCAGCTGAAGTGGAAGCTTCCAGTGCCTCCGAGGAAGCAGCTGAAGCGGCAAGAGCAGCGGCAGACGAGGCCGAGGCGATAGCGGAAGCTGCCGAGCTCGAAGCGCTCGCGGCCGCTGCGGTGCCCAGAGAGATGGCATCGGAGGCGGCAGCGGCAGCCGAAGAAGCCACTGACTCGGCTGAAGCTGATGCAGCTGCTGCGTAGATAGAGGCAGCGCTTGCGACGGCGGCAGCCGAAGTCGAGGCAGCGTATGCGATAGAGGATTGCGAAGCCACCGCAGAAGCTGCAGCGACCGATGCAGATGAAGCGACATCGCCAGCGGAAGCTGTAGCGGCAGCTGCAGACAGCGAGGCCGAGGCGGCCGCAGCCTGTGCTGAGGTGATGGCAGCGGCTGCAGAAACCGAAGCTTGCGAGGCGATTCCGCCAGCAGAGGAGGCAGCGGCAGCAGCATACGAGGCGACGGAAGCGGATACCACGGAGGCCATGGAAGCACCTGATTCGCTGGCAGCGCTAGCGACTGAAGCTCCAGAGGCGATGGCGGCTGCAGCCTCAGATGAGGCCACGGAGGCCACGGAGGCTGCTGAAGAAGCAGCGGCACCGGCGACGGCGGTGGCGTTGGCAACAGCATCGCTGGCTGAGAGCGCGATCGAGGCAGCGTAGGCAGACGCAGCAGCAGCGGCACCGGACGCAGAAGCGGCGACTGAAGCAGCAGAAGACGAAGCGGCAGCAGCGGCTGAAGATCCAAGCGAGACAGCGTCGGAGGCAGCTGAGGCGGCCGAAGCAGCGACTGAAGCAGCAGAAGCCGAAGCAGAAGCTGCGTACTGCGAGGCTGAGCCAGCGGCCGATGTGGCAGAGGCCACAACAGCAGCGGCAGAGGTCGAAGCTTCCGCAGCAATGCTTGAGGCATCAGCAGCAGCTTGAGCGGCTGAAGAAGAGACCATGGCGGCGTAAGAGGTTGCAGAGGCAGAAGCAGCAGAGGCAGCAGCTGAAGCAGAGGCGAGCGCGCCAGCAGCAGATGTTGAAGCACCTGCAGCAACCGACAAGGCATACGACAATGCAGAGGCGGAAGCGGCAGCGGCAGCCTCGGAAGCAATCGATTGGGCTCCAGCTGCCGATGTTGACGCAGCAGAGGCGACCGATGCAGCACTTGAGGCAGCGGCAGCGGCGACGACGGAAGCGGAGGACAGGGCTGCAGCAGCCGAGGTCGAGGCGGCATCAGCGACAGAGGCAGCAGAAGTCTGGGCAGCAGCAGCAGAAGATGCAGCAGCTGCGACGGCTGAGGTGGCAGCAGCGACGGCTGTTGCGGCCGACTGAGCGACCGCAGCAGCAGAGGCAGATGCTTGCGAGGCAGCGCTGGCTGCAGAAGCTGCAACGCTCGCTGCTGAAGAAGAGGCAGCAGCTGAAGAGGCAGATCCCAAGGAAACTGCAGCGAGTGCGGCTGAAGCAGCGGAGGAGGAAACCGAAGCAGCAGAGGAAAGGGCAGAGTCTGCGGCTGCAGAGGCAGATGCGACTGCAGAGGTAGCGGATGCGACCACGCCAGCAGCAGAGGTGGAAGCCTGTGCCGCGGCGTCCGAGGCAGCAGAAGCGGCCACAGAAGCAGAAGACACCGCAGCTGCGGCAGAGACCGAAGCAACGGAGGCTTGAGAAGCGGCGGAGACAGAAGCGGCAGCAGCAGCATCCACCGCAGACTGGGAAGCGGCGGCGGCGGCGGCAGAGGCAGAGGCAAGTGCGCCAGCAGCAGACGTGGCAGCGGCGGCGGCAACCGAGGATGCGTACAAAGCAGCAGAAGCCGAAGCCGCCGACATTGCGCCGGCAGCTGAAGTCGAGGCGACGAGGGCGACCGAGGCAGCATTGGCTGCGGCGGATGCGGCAACTGCAGAAGCAGACGATAGGGCTCCAGCAGCCGAGGTCGATGCAGCGTTGGCAACAGAGGCAGCAGAAGCCTGAGCATCTGCGGCCGACGAGGCAGCAGCACCAACTGCGGAAGTGGCGGCAGCAACGGCTGTAGCCGCAGATTCAGCGACGGAGGCCGCAGAAGCCGAAGCAACGGATGCAGCGCTGGAGGCTGAGGCTGCGACACTGGCAGCAGAAGCAGAGGCTGCTGCAGACGATGCAGAGCCGAGAGAGACAGCTTCGGACGCAGCAGAGGCAGCAGAGGCAGCTACCGATGCCGCTGAGACGGATGCAGCAGCAGCAGCAGCCGAAGCAACTCCAGCCGCAGAGGTGGCGGAGGCTACGACCCCAGCTGCCGAGCTCGAGGCGGCGGCAGCGGCGGCAGAAGCCGAGGCCGCCTCAGCAGAGGCCGATGCTGCAACGCCTGCAGCTGACGACGAGACGACCGAAGCATACGACTGTGCAGAAACGGAGGCAGCGGAGGCGGCAGCGGAGGCGGACGCGAGCGCGCCAGCTGCCGATGTCGCGGCGCCCTCAGCAGCAGCCGATGCCGATGCCAGGACGCCAGCTACCGAGGTGGAAGCAGCACTTGCTACAGATGCAGCCGAAGATTGAGCAGCGTCTGCAAGCGATGCAGCCGCGCCGACGGCCGACGTAGCTGCAGCAACAGCAGTGGCAGCTGACTGAGCAACGGAGGCAGCTGAAGCGGACGCGATTGAGGCAGCGCTTGAGGCCGAGGCTGCGACGCTGGATGCGGACGAGGCAGCTGCTGCTGAAGAAGCTGATCCAAGAGAGACCGCAGCTTGAGCGGCGGAGGAGGCGGAAGCAGCGACCGAGGCGGCAGAGACGGAGGCAGCAGAGGCAGCAGCAGAAGCAGCGCCAGCAGCGGAAGTAGCGGAGGCTACGATTCCGGCAGCGGATGTGGAAGCTGCAACGGCAGCAGCGGATGCTGACGATGCTGCGTCGGCCGCTGAGGATGAAGCGGCAGCAGCGTAGGATACAGCCGAGGCAGAGGCAGCAGCGGCTGCAGCAGACGCTGAGGCCAGGGCACCTACAGCCGAGGTCGAGGCAGCAGCTGCAGCGGCCGAGGCAGATGACAGGGCACCGGCGGCAGAAGTCGACGCTGCTGATGCTACCGATGCTGCGTATGAGGCGGCAGCTGCAGATGCGGACGATTGTACGCTGACGGCGGACACCGAAGCTTCGCTGACAGCAGAAGACGCCGAGCTCTGTGCAGCAGCAGCTGAGGATGCGGCAGCTCCAACAGCTGATGTGGCAGCAGCGACGGCGGTAGCAGCGGATGCTGCGACGGATGCAGCAGAGACAGATGCTTCTGAAGCGACGCTGGCTGCGGATGCTGCTGCGCTTGCGGCGGACGATGATGCAGCAGCGGAAGAAGCTGATCCGAGAGAGACTGCGGCTTGAGCAGCGGAGGATGCGGAGGCAGCAACCGAGGCAGCAGAGACGGAGGCGGCAGAAGCGGCAGCAGAGGCTACACCCGCAGCGGAGGTGGCAGAAGCGACCACCTCGCCTGCCGAGACGGAAGCCTGTTCGGCAGCTGCAGAGGCCGAAGAAGCTGCGACTGAGGCTGAAGATGCTACACCCGCAGCTGATGCAGATGCGACCGATGCGTACGAGAGAGCCGAAGCTGAAGCGGCCGAGGCGGCGGCAGAAGCGGAAGCAGAAGCGACAGACACTGCAGCGGAAGCTGAGGCGAGAGCTCCAGCAGCAGACGTAGAAGCGCCCAGGGCGACGGAGTTTGCGTAAGCGACAGCCGATGCCGAGGCAGAAGCGGCAGAAGCAGAGGCAGAAGAAATGGCAGCTGCTGCTGAAGACGAAGCGTCGGCAGCGACCGACGAGGCGTACGAAGCAGCAGATGAGGCGGCGACCGCAGCGGCTGATGAAGCTGAGGACAAGGCACCCGCGGCCGAAGTCGAGGCGGCGCTGACGACCGAAGCAGCCGAGGACTGGGCAGCAGAAGCAGAAGCAGAAGCAGCTCCGGCCACTGAAGTCGCTGAAGCAACGGCTGCCGTGGCAGACTGAGCAGCGGCAGCAGCAGATGCAGACGCTACGGAAGCTGCGCTTGAGGCAGAGGCTGCGACACTGGCAGCGGACGAAGACGCAGCAGCTGACGACGCAGAGCCTAGGGAGACTGCAGCAGCAGCAGCAGAGGATGCAGACGCAGCCACCGATACGGCTGAGGCCGATGCTGCATCCGCGGCCGCAGAAGCTACACCGGCTGCCGACGTGGCAGAGGCAACAACACTAGCTGCCGAGGCGGAAGCTTCCAGAGCAGCTGCTGAGGCGGACGAGGCAGCTGCAGAAGCAGATGAGGCTACGCCAGCGGCAGAAGAAGAGACCTCGGAGGCATAGGCAAGTGCAGATTGTGAGACGGAGGCAGCGGCAGCAGCAGCAGAGGCAGAGGCAGCGGAAGCAGCAGCAGAGGCCGAAGCCAAAGCGCCGGCCGCTGATGTAGAAGCATCTAGGGCCACAGAGTTGGCGTATGCTGCTGCAGAAGACGAGGCGAAAGCGGCAGATACCGAAGCAGCCGACTGGGCTGCGGCGGCAGAGGCAGAAGCCGAAGCAGCAGATACCGAGGCGGCAGATTGAGCAGCAGCGGCAGATGCAGAGGCAGCTGCAGCAGAGGCAGAGGCGGCTGAAACGGCTCCAGAAGCTGATGTAGCAGCTGCGGCAGCAATGGAGGAAGCATACGAGGCGGCAGACGCGGCTGCAGAAGCTGCTGATGCCTGTGCGCCGGCAGCTGAAGTCGAAGCGGCCTCAGCAATCGACGAGGCGGATGCCTGCGCGGCAGCAGCGGACGAAGCAGCAGCTCCAACCGCAGATGTAGCAGAGGCGACGGCAGTTGCAGCTGACTGAGCGACCGAAGCAGCAGAGGCCGATGCAATGGAAGCTGCGCTTGAGGCTGAAGCGGCTACGCTGGAAGCTGAGGAAGCGGCAGCGGCTGAGGAGGCCGACCCAAGGGAGACGGCGGCAGCAGCCGCAACAGAGGCCGACGATGCGACGGAGGAAGCTGAAGACTGCGCAGCGGCGGCGGACTGCGAGGCGGCGGCAGCAGCAGCCGTGGCAGAAGCTACAACACCAGCAGCAGAGGTCGATGCTTCGGAAGCTGCTGCTGAAGCAATGGAAGCGGCCTGAGAAGCGACCGATGCGACGCTAGCTGCTGACTGCGACACGACGGCGGCATACGAGACTGCAGAAGCGGACGCGACCGAAGCAGCGGCTGAGGCGGATGCCTGAGCACCTGCAGCAGATGTGGCAGCGTCGGCAGCGACCGACGAAGCATAAGCCTGGGCAGAGAGCGAGGCAGAGGCAGCAGCAACGGACGCGGCCGATACAGCGCCTGCGGCGGATGTGGAGGCAGCCGAGGCCACTGAGGCGGCGTAGGAGGCAGCGGAAGAGGCAGCTGAAGCCGCAGCTGCGGATGCCGAGGACTGTGCACCAACAGCAAAGGTGGAGGCAGAGCTGGCCACCGAGGCGGCAGACGACTGAGCAGCAACGGCAGAGTCAGAAGCAACACCGACAGCAGATGTAGCAGAGGCGATGGCAGCGGTAGCGGACTGGCCGACGGCAGCAGCAGAGGCGGAGGCGGCAGAGGCCACACTCGACGCGGAAGCAATAACACTGGCCGCCGAGGCAGAAGCTGCTGCGGAAGAGGCTGATCCCAGAGACACGGCGGCGGCGGCAGCGGACGAAGCTGAAGAGGCCACTGACGCAGCGGATGCGATGGCAACAGCAGCAGACACCGAGGCGGCGCCGACTGCTGAAGTAGCGGATGCCACAACGCCAGCTGCTGAAGTCGAAGCCTCCATAGCGGCCGCCGAAGCAGAAGATGCCGCGACTGAGGCCGCAGAGGCAACACCAGCTGCCGAGGCAGAGGCGACCGAGGCGTAAGACGCGGCCGATGCAGAGGCCGAAGCAGCAGCCTGAGACGCAGACTGAGATGCAGCAGCGGCGGCAGCCATAGCGGAGGCGGATGCGGCAGCAGCAACAGAGGCGGCCGACGACAGGGCTCCCGAAGCTGAAGTGGCAGCGTTTGCAGCCACAGAGGCAGCGTACGAGCTAGCAGATGCCGATGCAGCGATGGCGGATGCTGAGGCAGCTGAGAGAGCGCCTGCAGCAGATGTCGAAGCAACAGAAGCAGCCGAGGCGGCGGACGAGGCAGCAGCGGCGGCAGCAACAGATGCAGAGGACAGTGCTCCAGCGGCCGAGGTCGAAGCTGCACTGACGACCGAAGCTGCGGAAGCCTGTGCATCAGCAGCTGAAGCAGCGGCAACGCCGGCAGCGGAGGTAGCAGATGCAACAGCCGCAGTGGCAGACTGTGCAGCAGCGGCAGCCGATGCCGATGCAACCGAAGCGGCGCTAGAAGCGGATGAAGCGACGCTGGCAGCCGAAGAAGAGGCAGCTGCCGAAGATGCGGAACCGAGTGAGACTGCAGCCTGAGCCGCAGACGAAGCAGAGGCGGCCACGGAAGAAGCAGATTCCTGTGCTGCGACAGCAGCTGCAGAGGCGACACCAGCGGCGGAGGTTGCAGAGGCGACGACGTTGGCAGCCGAATTGGATGCTGAAACGGCTGCAGCTGAGGCGGAGGCCGCTGCCGCAGAAGCCGCAGAGGCAACGCTAGCAGCAGACGCTGATACCGAAGCAGCAAGAGACGATGCCGAAACAGCGGCAACGGAGGCAGCAGAAGCAGCGGAAGCAGCAGCGACAGAAGCAGCAGCAGATGCTGAAGCCAGAGCGCCGGCAGCAGAGCTGGAGGCATCAGCAGCGACAGAGGCAGCGTAGGAGCTGGCGGACGCAGAGGCCGCAGAGGCCGAAGACTGAGCACCCAGAGCAGACACCGAGGCAGCACTGATGATGGCAGATGCAGACGACTGGGCGTTTGCAGCCGACGATGCGGCAGCCCCAGCAGCTGAGGTAGCAGAGTTGACGGCAGCAGTGGCAGATTGGGCGGCAGCGAGAGCGGCGGCAGAAGCGACGGAGGCTGCACTGGACGCCGAGGATGCAACACTAGCAGCGGATGAAGAAGCGGCTGCAGAGGAGGCGGATCCAAGCGACACCGCAGCCTGAGCTGCGACTGAGGCGGACGAGGCTACCGAGGAAGCAGAAGCGGCAGCAGCGACAGCGGAAGCGGAGGCGACGCCAGCGGCGGAAGTAGCAGATGCTACGACGCCAGCGGCCGACGTCGACGCGGCGGAAGCAGCAGAAGCGGCCGATGAAGCGGCAGCAGAAGCTGAAGCCAGAGCGCCAGCGGCGGACGTAGAGGCAGCGCTGGCGACCGATGCTGCAGAAGACTGGGCAGCGACTGCCGAAGCGGAAGCGGCGCCGACTGCGGATGTCGCAGCATTGATAGCGGCAGTGGCAGATACGGCAACAGCTGCCGCAGAAGCGGATGCAACAGATGCGGCGCTCGAGGCTGAAGATGCAACGCTGGAAGCCGAGGAAGCGGCGGCCGCGGAAGAGGCAGATCCGAGGGAAACTGCAGCCTGAGCAGCAGACGATGCAGACGAAGCCACAGAGGCAGCTGAGATGGACGCTGCATTGGCAGCGGCAGCGGCGACACCAACGGCCGAGGTGGCGGATGCCACAACGCCAGCAGCCGAAGCAGAGGCAGCCGAGGCAGCCGAGGCAGCAGACGATGCAGCTACAGAGGCTGCAGCAGAGGCCGAGGCGAGCGCACCAACAGCGGATGTAGAAGCAGCAGAAGCGACCGAGGCAGCATACGAGCTAGCAGAAACCGAGGCTTCGCTAGCGACTGATGCTGCTGACGCTCGAGCAGAGTCGGCGGAAACCGAGGCAGCGCCGACTGCCGACGTGGCAGAGGCGATGGCAGCGGTAGCGGACTGTGCCACTGCAGCGGCGGATGCAGAAGCCACTGAAGCTGCGCTGGAGGCTGATGAGGCAACGCTGGAGGCCGAAGAGGCAGCTGCGACCGATGAGGCAGAGCCAAGAGACACAGCAGCAGCAGCAGCTGACGAGGCCGAAGAGGCCACTGAGGCAGCGGAAATCGAAGCCGCATTCGCAGCAGCGGAAGCGACTCCAACAGCAGAGGTGGCTGAAGCCACGACACCAGCGGCCGAGTTTGAGGCAGCAGAGACAGCAGCGGCAGCTGAGGCAGCAGCAACCGAAGCGGCAAGAGACGCCGAGGCAAGAGCGCCGGCCGCAGACGTGGAGGCAGCAGCAGCCACAGAGCTGGCAGAAACAGAAGCAGCAGAGGCAGATGATGCAGCGCCCGCCATGGAGACGGAAGCTGCGCTTGCTACAGAGCTAGCCGATGACTGAGCTGCAGCAGCCGAGGATGCAGCTGCTCCTGCAGCCGAAGTGGCAGAGTTGACGACGGCGGTGGCGGAAGCCGCAGCCGCTTGAGCAGCAGCCGAGGCAACAGATGCAGCACTAGAAGCCGAAGATGCGACGCTGGCCGCAGACGACGATGCTGCAGCTGATGAGGCGGAGCCAAGCGAAACGGCTGCCTGAGCAGCGGCAGAGGCGGAGGATGCGACCGAGGAAGCCGAGGCCTGGGCATTGGCAGCAGAGATGGAGGCTTGGCCTGCAGCGGACGTCGCAGAAGCAACCACGCCGGCGGCTGAAGTTGAGGCGGCAAGAGCGGCAGAAGAAGCCGAAGCAGCTGCAACGGATGCGGCAGAGGACGCCGAGGCAAGAGCACCGACAGCTGATGTCGAAGCAGCGCTAGCGACGGAGCTAGCCGACGACAGCGCAGCAGCAGCCGAAGATGCGGCAGCCCCAGCAGCCGAGGTGGCAGAGTTGACAGCAGCCGTGGCGGACTGGGCAGCAGCGACAGCAGCGGCAGAGGCAACCGAGGCAGCGCTGGAAGCCGACGAAGCAACGCTAGCAGCCGATGACGAGGCGGCGGCTGAGGAAGCAGATCCCAGGGAGACGGCGGCTTGAGCTGCAGCGGAAGCAGACGAAGCCACTGACGAGGCAGAGGCCTGGGCAGCAACCGCAGAAGCAGAAGCTGCGCCAGCAGCGGAGGTAGCAGAGGCAACTACTCCAGCAGCCGAGGTCGAAGCGGCTGAGGCCGCGGAAGCAGCAGATGCAGCAGCGACGGAGGCAGCAGCAGATGCCGAGGCGAGCGCACCGCTGGCTGATGTCGAAGCGGCAGAGACTACAGATGCGGCGTAGGAGCTGGCGGACGCAGAAGCGGCACTAGCGACTGACGCAGCCGATGACTGAGCAGCAGCGGCCGAAGACGCGGCAACTCCAGCAGCGGAGGTGGCAGAGTTGACGGCAGCAGTAGCAGAGGCAGCAGCAGCAACAGCAGCAGCCGAAGCGACTGAGGCAGCACTAGAGGCCGACGATGCAACACTTGAGGCGGAAGATGCAGCGGCGGCAGACGAGACCGAGCCAAGGGACACGGCAGCCTGTGCTGCAACGGAGGCTGAGCTAGCTACAGACGAAGCCGAGGCCTGAGCAGCGACGGCCGACGCAGAAGCAGCACCAGCAGCGGAGGTAGCAGACGCGACTACACCAGCGGCAGAAGTCGATGCGGCGGAGGCAGCAGATGCAGCCGAAGCAGCAGCGACCGAGGCAGCAGAAGAGGCGGAGGCGAGCGCACCGACTGCCGAGGTCGACGCTGCAGAAACCACCGAGGCAGCGTAAGCACTAGCCGAGGCAGAGGCAGCAGAAGCCACAGAGGAGGCGTAGGAGTTGGCAGACACCGAGGCTGCGCTAACAGCCGAGGCTGCAGAAGATTGGGCAGACGCGGCGGAAGATGCAGCTGCTCCAGCGGCGGACGTAGCCGAGTTGACAGCAGCGGTTGCGGATGCGGCGGCAGCAACGGCAGCGGCTGAGGCGACCGACGCAGCACTGGAGGCCGACGAAGCAACACTCGAGGCTGATGATGCGGCAGCAGCAGACGAGGCGGACCCGAGAGAGACCGCAGCCTGAGCGGCCAAAGAAGCCGAAGCCGCGACTGAGGCAGCAGAGACTTGAGCGGCAGCAGCCGAGATAGAGGCAACACCAGCGGCGGATGTAGCCGAGGCGACGACACCAGCGGCTGAGGTCGAGGCCGCAGCAGCAGCAGAGGCAGCAGACACGGAGGCGACGGAAGCAGCAGAAGATGCCGAGGCGAGGGCTGCACTCGCAGAGGTTGAGGCAGCAGAGGCAGCGGCCGCAGCCGAAGCAGCAGCGATAGAGGCAGCGGCGGAGGCCGATGCCAGAGCTCCACTTGCGGATGTCGAGGCAGCAGAAGCGACAGAGGCAGCGTAGGAGCTGGCAGAGACTGCGGCGGCGCTAGCTGCAGAGCTGGCCGACGATTTAACAGAAGCAGCAGATGAGGCAGCTGCTCCAGCAGCGGACGTGGCCGAGTTGACAGCAGAGGTTGCGGATGCGGCGGCAGCAACGGCGGCAGCTGAGGCGACAGAGGCAGCGCTGGAGGCGGATGATGCGACGCTAGCGGCAGACGAAGAGGCTGCTGCTGACGAGGCGGATCCAAGGGAGACTGCAGCCTGGGCAGCGGCGGAAGCTGAGCTAGCGACCGACGAGGCAGAGGCCTGAGCAGCGACTGCCGAAGCTGATGCGGCTCCAGCAGCAGCGGTAGCAGAGGCGACAACACCCGCAGCTGAAGTTGAGGCAGCAGCAGCGGCGGAAGAAGCCGACGAAGCTGCAGCAGATACGGCAGCAGAAGCAGATGCAGCAGCAACAGATGCAGCAGACGAGGCAGAAGCCAGAGCACCAGCCGCAGAGGTCGAGGCAGCAGCAGCTACTGAAGCAGCGTATGAGCTAGCAGAGGCAGAGGCGACACTGGCGACCGATGAAGCAGACGACTGAGCAGCAGCAATCGAAGCAGAGGCCGAGGAGGCGGCAGCGGCGGCTGCCGATGTGGCAGAGTTGACAGCTGCAGTGGCAGACTGAGCAGCAGCCTGGGCGGCGACAGAAGCGACCGAGGCAGCGCTGGAGGCCGAAGCAGCGACGCTGGCAGCCGACGAGGAAGCGGCGGCAGAAGAGGCCGAGCCCAGAGAGACGGCGGCCTGAGCAGCGGCGGAGGCCGAGCTAGCGACTGAGGAGGCCGAGGCCTGAGCAGCGACAGCCGAAGCTGAAGCAGCTCCTGCAGCAGAGGTAGCAGACGCGACGACGCCGGCGGCAGAGGTCGATGCAGCAGAGGCAGCAGACGAGGCCGATTGAGCAGCAGCAGAGGCGGCAGCAGAAGCGGAAGCGGCAGCGGCCGAAGCAGCAGACGAGGCCGAAGCGAGCGCTCCACTAGCAGAGGAGGAGGCGGCAGATGCAACTGAGGCGGCAGCCGAGCTAGCAGAGGCCGCGAATGAGCTTGCGGATGCAGCGTACGAGCTGGCAGAAGCCGATGCGACGCTAGCAACCGATGCGGCCGAAGACAGTGCGGCAGCAGCAGAGGAGGCAGCAGCACCAGCAGCAGATGTGGCCGAGTTGACGGCGGCAGTGGCAGACTGTGCGGCTGCAACGGCGGCAGCCGAAGCAACGGAAGCAGCGCTCGAAGCAGAAGCAGCGACACTGGCAGCAGAGCTCGAGGCAGCAGCCGAAGAGGCAGAACCAAGAGAGACTGCAGCCAGAGCGGCAGCAGAAGCTGAGCTAGCGACCGAGGCAGCAGAGGCCTGAGCGTTGGCAGCAGCGACGGAAGCTGCACCAGCGGCCGAGGTGGCAGAAGCCACCACTCCAGCAGCTGAGGTGGAAGCAGCAGAGGCGGCAGAGGCAGCAGAGGCAGCAGCGACTGCGGCGACGCTGGAAGCAGAAGCGAGAGCGCCCACGGCGGAAGTGGAAGCGGCGGCAGCTACCGAAGCTGCGTACGAGCTGGCAGATGCCAGTGCCACGCTTGCCACAGAGGCAGCCGAAGACCGGGCAGCCTCAGCCGATGCAGATGCAGCGTTGATAGCAGCAGTGGCAGACTGGGCGACAGCAGCAGCAGATGCAGAAGCTACAGATGCTGCGCTGGAAGCCAAGGATGCGACGCTGGAAGCAGACGAAGCGGCGGCAGCGGAAGAAGCAGAGCCCAGAGAGACGGCGGCCTGAGCAGCAGCGGAAGCCGAAGAGGCGACGGAGGCGGCAGAGATCGAAGCGGCGTTGGCAGCAGCGGAAGCGACTCCAGCAGCCGATGTGGCAGAGGCGACGACACCAGCGGCCGAAGCAGAAGCCTGCGAAGCGGCAGCAGAAGCAGAAGCAGCGGCGTTGGAAGCGGCAGCTGATGCGGATGCCAAGGCTCCAGAAGCAGATGCTGAGGCGACCGATGCAACAGAGGCAGCGTAAGAGCTGGCAGAGACAGCAGCAACGGAAGCAGACGAAGCAGCTGCGACAGCCGACAATGAGGCTGCGTTGGCAACTGACGAGGCCGACGAGAGCGCAGCGGCAGCAGACGAGGCGGCGGCTCCAACAGCAGAGGTAGCCGAGTTGACAACAGCGGTAGCAGACTGTGCAGCTGCTACGGCAGCTGCAGAAGCGATGGAAGCGGCGCTGGAAGCCGACGCTGCGACGCTAGCTGCGGAGGAAGACGCTGCTGCTGACGATGCAGAACCTAGAGAGACCGCAGCCAAAGCAGCGGCAGCAGCCGAAGAGGCGACCGAGGCGGCAGACGACTGGGCAGCGGCAGCAGACGCGGCAGCTACGCCAGCGGCAGAAGTAGCCGAAGCTACGACACCGGCTGCCGAGTTCGAGGCCTGAGCGACAGCTGAAGAGGCAGAGGAGGCGGCAGCAGATGCTGATGCAGCAGCAGCGACGGCAGAAGCTGAAGCAGCGGCGACAGCTCCTGCAGCAGATGTCGAAGCACCGTAGACGACCGAAGACGCATACATGTTGGCAGAGATTGCGACGGATGCAGCCGAAGAAAGCGCGTTGGCGGCCAAGCTCGAAGCTGCACTTGCAACCGAGGCAGCTGAAGTCAGAGCGGCAGCAGCCGACGAGGCAGCAGCGCCAGCAGCTGAGGTAGCTGAGCCAACAGCGGCAGTGGCGGATGCGGCAGCAGCAGCAGCAGCGACGGAAGCAACGGAAGCAGCGCTAGAGGCTGAAGCAGCGACGCTGGCAGCTGAGCTCGAGGCTGCAGCCGAAGAGGCAGAGCCAAGAGACACGGCAGCGAGAGCAGCAGAGGCAGCTGAGCTAGCGACCGAAGCAGCTGAGCTCTGGGCAGCAGCGGCGTTAGCAGCAGCGACGCCCGCAGCGGACGTGGCAGAGGCGACGACACCAGCAGCCGAAGTCGAGGCAGCCGAGGCAGCAGCAGCTGCCGACTGAGCAGCAACGGAAGCCAGAGATGCAACGGAGCCTGCCGAGGCAGACACGCTGGCAGCGTAAGCGGCGGCAGAGGCAGATGCAGAGGCAGCAGCAGCGGAAGCCGAAGACAGGGCTCCAGCAGCCGATGTAGCGGCATCGTTGACGACCGAGGATGCGTAGGCGTTGGCCGAAGACAATGCAGCAGCAGCAGCAGACGATGCCGAGGCAACAGCTCCGACCACGGCGACGGATGCGACGGATGCGACCGAGGCAGCGTAGGCGCTGGCGGAAGACTGAGCAGCAACGGCAGAGTTGGAAGCTGCGCTTGCTACAGAGGCAGCTGAAGACAGAAGAGCAGCGGCCGACGAAGCGGCAACGGCGGCTGCGGAGGTAGCCGAGGCGACGGCAGCAGTGGCAGAGGCAGAGGCAGCACTGGCAGCAGAAGAAGCAGCAGATGCCATGCTGGAACATGAAGCTGCGACGCTGGCAGCAGAGCTCGAGGCAGCAGCAGACGAGGCAGATCCCAAGGATACAGCGGCCAGAGCGGCGGAGAGAGCCGAGCTAGCGACTGAAGCAGCGGAGCTCTGGGCAGCAGAAGCGGAGGCAGCAGCAGCGCCAGCAGCGGAGGTAGCAGAAGCTACCACACCGGCGGCAGAACCTGAAGCGAGCGAGGCCGAAGCAGCAGCAGAGGACGCTGCAGCGGCAGCCGAGGCAGCGAGACCAGAGGCTGATGACGAAGCTGCTGAAGCGTATGAAGCGGCCGAAGCCGAGGCAGACGAGGCAGCAGCTACGGCAGACTTGGAGGCGACGCTGGCGGCTGAAGAAGCAGAGGCCAATGCAGCAGCGGCCGAAGCAGAAGCAACGGAGTTGACCGATGAGGCGTATGCATTTGCAGAGGATCCAGCCGAGTTCACTGCAGCGGTAGCCGAGGCAAGAGCAGCATTGGCAGCGACCGAGGCAACAGATGCCACGGAAACGGCATAGGCACTAGCAGCAGCAGCAGCGCTGGAGGCAGAGGACGAAGCAGCGGCAAGTGCAAGGACGGCAGAGGCCGAGGCTGCGCTGATAAGCGACGAAGCTGCGGCCTGAGCAACAGCGGCTGATGAAGAGGCAGAGCCTGCAGCCGAGGTGGCCGAGCCGCATGAGTCCCTGGCAGATGCCGAAGCCGAGGCGGCCTGAGCTGATGCAGCCGAGAGGAGACTGGCTGCCCAGGCTGCAATTGCATTTACGGATGAAGAGGCAGCAACTGAAGAGGCCGAGCCGAGCGACGCTGCGGCAGCTGCAGCGGACGAAGCCGAGGCGAGAATCGAAGACGCAGAGGCGGCGGCAGCGACAGCAGAAGCAGAGGCAGCAGCAGCAGCAGATGTAGCGGAGGCGACGACGGCAGCAGCGGAAGCGGACGCCGCAGCGGCAGACGCAGAGGCAGCATTCGCAGAGGCCGAGGCGGCCGAGGCGACAGACGCCAATGAGGCTGACACGCTGGCAGCGTACACAGAGGCTGAAGACGAGGCGGCCGAGGCTACGGCTGCGGCCGATGAGACTGCTCCTGCTGCAGACGTTGAAGCTGCAGAAGCTGCAGCAGCAGCGTAAGAGCTAGCAGAGGCCGATGCGATCGAAGCGGAAGCTGAAGCGCCAGCCATCGAGATGGAAGCAGCGCTGAGCACAGACGACTGAGATGCCAGAGCTGCAGAAGCCGAAGCGGCAGCAGCCCCAACAGCAGACGTGGCGGAGTTGATAGCAGCAGTGGCAGACAGGGCAACAGCGGCAGCAGCTGCAGAAGCTACAGAAGCTGCGCTAGAAGCCGAGGCTGCGACGCTGGACGCAGACGACGCCGCGGCTGCGGAAGAGGCTGAACCAAGAGATACGGCGGCTTGAGCTGCAGCAGAAGCAGACGAAGCAACTGACGAAGCCGAAGAACGTGCAGCAGCAGCAGATGCCGAGGCGACTCCAACAGCCGAGGTGGCAGATGCAACGACGCCAGCAGCCGAAGTGGAAGCAGCTGCAGCCGCACTGGAGGCAGCGACGGCAGCAGCCGAAGCCGAAGCAGCTAGACCTGAAGCTGAAGTAGCCACGTTGGCGGCAGAAGCCGACACAAGCGCAGCGTACGACGAAGCAGATGCAGATGCAACGGAAGCGGCTGCTGCAGCCGAAGACAGGGCAGCAGCGGCAGACACTGAGGCGGCAGAGGCGACGCTAGCGGCTGACGAGGCGGCGACGGACACCTGAGATGCGGCCGAGTTCGAGGCGACGGAAGCGACCGAGGCAGCAGACACCAAGGCGCCATTGGCAGCAGTCTGAGCGCTGACGATTACCGAGGCGGCAGAGCTGGCAGCAGCAGAAGCGGCTGACGTAGCAACGGATACCACCGAGGATGCAGACGACAGTGCCGAGTTGACTGAGAGTGTGGCAGCAGCGGCAGCAGCAGTGGCTGAAGAGACGGCAGACGATGCAGAAGCTGCCACGGCGGCAGCAGAAGTAGCAGCAGCAGCGGCCTGAGCCGAGGCCGCAGAGATAGCGGAAGCGGCAGAGCTCGAAGCCGAGGCAGAGGCAGCCGATCCCATGGTCGCAGCAGCGGAGGCAGCCGAGGAAGCAGACGAGGCTACAGCAGCTGCAGAGCTAGATGCAGCTGCGGCGGCGGCCGAGGCAGCAGCAGCAGCAGAAGTAGCTGAAGACTGAGCGGCACTGGCAGATGCAATCACGGCGGCGGCGGCTGAGCTGGCAGCACTGGCGGCAGCACTGGCAGCTGCTACGACTCCGGCAGCGGAAGTCGAGGCAGCATCTCCTGCTGAAGAGGCACTTGCAGCAGCAGCAGCTGCCGACATCGATACCTGGTTGGCGTAGGCGACAGCTGATGCGGAAGCGGAAGCAGCAGCAGCGGCTGCAGAAGCAGCGGCAACGCTAGCTGCCGACGAAGCAGAGACGACGGCGGCATTGGCGACCGAGGAAGCGGAAGCTACGGCACCAGAGGCCGAGGTCGAAGCACCCGAAACGACTCCAGCAGCGGAAGAGGCAGCAGCAGCAGCTACCGAGGAAGCCGATGCCATGGAGACGCTGGCCTTGGAAGCAGCAGCAGCAGCCACGGACGAGGCCGAGGCAATTACTGCATTCGCCGAAGTGGAAGCGGCCGCGGCGGCAGACGAAGCCGAGTTGAGAACTGCGGTGGCAGCTGATGTAGCCGAAAAGATGGCCGAGTTGGCACTGAGGCTGATCGAGCTGGCAGATGCAACGAAAGCCGCAGCGGCCGATGCAGCAGAGGCTGACACTGAGGCAGCAGAGGACGATGCAGAAGCAGCAGCCGAGGAGCCCAGAGTTACGGCGGCAGAAGCAGCAGCAGCAGCTGAAGCAGCGACGGAAGCGGCCGAAGCAGTAGCAGAAGCAGCTGCAGCCGAGGCCGAAGCGACGGCAGCAGTAGCCGATGCTACTACGGCGGCTGCTGAGGTGGCAGCGCTGCTAGCCGCCGCCGAAGCGGAAGAGGCAGCACCAGCAGCGTACGTCGAAGCAGAAGCAGAAGCGATTGCAGCGGCAGCAGAAGCCCAAGAAGCCTGCACTGAAGCGACTGAAGCAGCCGACACCGAGGCAGAGTAGGCTGCAGCTGAGGCAGAGGCGACGGCGGCACCAGCAGAGGAAGTGGCAGCGGCGGCAGACGCCTGAGCATTCTGAGCTACGAGCGAAGCTGAAGAGGCGGCAGCCGATGCAGCAGCAGCGGCGCTGCTAGCAACCGAGGAAGCGGAAGATACGGCACCGTTGGCTGCTGTCGAGGCTGACGAGATGACGCCTGCTGCCGAGGTAGAAGCAGCCAGAGCCACGGCAGCGGCCGAAGAGGTGGCAGCTGCAGCTGATGAGACTACCACTGCTGCCGCGCTGGAAGCAGAGGCGGCGGCAGCAGAAGCAGAGGCGGCGACTAGAGAAGCCGACGACGATGCAGATGCAGCAGCAGATGATCCCAGGGATACGGCAGCAGCAGCACTGGCAGCAGCTGCAGCAGCTACGGATGAGGCAGACGATGCAACTGAGCTGGCTGAGCTCGAGGCGGAAGCTGCGGCTGACGTGGCAGAGGAGACGACCTTTGCTGCCGACGAGGCGGCGGCGGCGGCGGCTGCCGAGGCCGCATTGATCACCGATGTAGCTGACGAGGTTGCGACGCTGGCAGCTGAAGCTGCGCTCACGGTCGACACGCTGGCTTGCGATGCGGCAGAGGCTGCAGCAGCCGAAGCGGCCGAGATGGATACGGCAGCCGAGCTGACGGCGCCAGCGGCGGCCTTGGACGCGGAGGAAATGACCGAGGTGGCAGAGGCAGTGGCGATGGAAGCGTTGGCGCTAGCAGTCACCTCTGCGAATACGACGTCGGAATCGTAGATGGCAATGGCGTTGGTTCCACCACAAATTTCGGTGCTGTCACCGTAGCATGGCGTGGTACAGGCAGCCGAATTGGGAGAATAGGTGGGTGCAGCGGTGGAGCACCAACACTGATAACCGGCTTCGACTCCAAAGAAGTCGTAGTTGCTGTTAGTGTAGGCACAGAGGTAAGCACATGTCTCGATGGTCATCACACTCCAGTAGAGGTCGTATGCGGCAAAGTTGACCAGTCCCTTGTAGACGGATCCTCCAGGTTTGTCAGTGTAACATCCAATGTATCCATCAATGCTAGCAGCGACCACTGTGTTCGTCCTAGCTTCCAATGGGGACACGTCAGTGAAGTTTTCGCGCTTGGCTTGGATGTGTTTCTTTGCCTTGACTTCCCTCTTCTTTTCCAGGTATTCCTCCAATCCTGGAATCGTCGTCTGTGTAAGATTGGACACTGACGGGCCCACATCCCGAGAGATTTGGACCTGTGCAGGAGCCGCTCCACGACCAAAGATGCGGTTCAAGAATCCAGCCTGAGCAGGCTCGGCAAGAGCGGAGCCCAAGCTCAAGAGCAGGAGTGCCCGCGAGAGTCGCACCATGACTAGGTGTCTCTCCGGTAGAAGGTGGTAATTGGTAGTAGTAGGAGTAGTCCTGGCCTATTCGTTGGATGAACTTCGTCGTCTAAATTATACGGGATAGGATGAGGATGTAGGAGCTTCGTGGACTCCAAAAGTGCTTGGTGGGCCGTTTGCAAGCGGTACTACGATGTGTATCTTCTAAGCTAAAGTAAGTGGTGTGTGAGGGGGAACTGCTGCAAGTTCTGTACGAGTGGCTAGTGCGAGTACGCGTACGAGTACGAGGTGGACGGATTTCTTTTGGTGTGTGGTGAGGGATCGAATAGAGTTGTAACGAGTGCGATGCAAAGGATGGGCGGATACCACAAGGGTCAAGGGAAGGTGAGGGGGGGTAGGGAGTGTGGGGGGAGGGAGGGGGGGGGGGGAGGGGATTAACGAAACGTGGGTGGTGAGAGTGGTAGGGTTGGGAAGGAAGGGATAGGCATGGATGGTAGTAGTCACAAGCAGCAGCAGCGGCTCAGCGTGCGGATGAGCGGGCAGGCAGGCAGGCTAGGCTAGGTTAGGCTTGCCCATCCTCGGCTAGGCGGAGACTTGGACATGCCAAGCGGCGATGGGCAGACGAAGGCGGCAGGCATCATCGGGCTGTTGGTGCTGCTGGTGCTGGAGTCGTCCTGTCGAGTGTCGGTGTCCTGTCAGAGGTGCAGCAAGGTGTATGTGCCTGGGTAGGTGGGGGGCGAGGGCCAGACCAGGGGGGGCGATGTCCATGCCTGTCGTTCGATGTTGGCTGTACAATCGGGGTGGCGTGAGATCCGGGGGCGAAGGAGCCGGGGCCGGTGTCGGGGAAGAGCAAGGAGGAGTACAGCACCAGAGGACGATGGTTGCATGCTGCCAGGAGCCGTGTTGCGTCTGTGGCTGCAATGTTTCGCAGCCGCTCCCAATGCGTCGCGCCAAAGGACTTAGGGTTTGCGCGTCTCTGCTTCCGTGTGTGTGTGTGTGTGTGTGTGTGTGTGTTGCTTTGGGCCAGGCGCGGGCGGCGGGCGGACCGGAGCGGAGCCTTGTGCTGCGTCCCCCCTCGGCCTCTGCCCTGGTGCCCGCAGGCCTGGCGTGGCGTAGAAGATGTGCGGGCTCCATTCCGAAGTGGCAAAGGCAGAATCCAAATCCAATCCCAATCAGTCACCCCCGCCGACGCCAGTGCACGGCCACTCAGGCACACGTACACATACACACACATACACACACACACACAGATGCACACGCACATCGCAGCATCGGCCTTTGATCCACTCGCCCTTGCGGCTCAAACCCCAGGTGCGGCCGGGTACTTTGTCAATGCAGCGGAGAATTTAACTTTGGCCCATCGTCTCTAGCTCATCCTCCCCCTCGCAGCTATGTTTCTCACGCACACGCACACACACACACACATCCTCTTTGACGTACGCCGTCGGACAGGGCGGGCCGCTTCGTTGAACCGCCCCAGTGGCGAGCGAGGACGGGAAACAATCGAAGCCAGTACCCGCACAAGGTGGGGTTTCCCGGCAGCTCGCAACGGTACACAGAAGCAAGGGTGGCCGACGTACATACAGAAAAAAACGCATACCTACAGAGTTGTTGCTTGGTTGGTCGGTCGGTCAATCGCTGCTTCTCGCCCTCTGAATCGGTAATACATTTCCCCGCCGCCAAGCACCTTTGAGCGACTCGTCACTCCTGCCATGATCCCGAAATGCCGCACCTGCGCGTCGGGCTAGGCCCATTCAACGGCGGGTGCGCACGGACAAAGGACCCGCTTTGGTTCTAAACAGGCCAGCCGTGTTACATAATTAGACTCGTTGAACATCTTGGCCCTAGACTCTGTTGACATTTTCGTACAGTATGCTTTGCCCGTCGTATACGCCACTCTCTGACTGACTGCCTGCCTGGATGCCTTCCAAGGAAAACTCATTGCCCGCGGAGTCACAATCCTTTGCTGCGCCGCTCAGGTCCAATCGGTAATCCCAGTCCCCTTTCGAAAGCCAGACGCGGAATGCCCCCTCCCGTCCATCGGAGAATGTGACTGGCTAGGGCGCACATCTCACTCTGCCGCCTAGCCGCTTCCTCGCGCCCGCCCATTTTCGGCCGAATGAGAGCTCCGGCGTACACTCAATGCGTCGATGACAATCATCCACGACCCTCGTCACCGCCGGCACTTGGTCTCTACAAAGAAGCGGTCTCACTTTTCGGCGAGCTGTCAAACCTTGAGGGGTTCAGCGGTAGCCAGTATCCAGGCCCTGTCTCACCCCTTGACAACCGTCTCACCGTCTCCTTCTTTTGCTCCCGCTTGCTCTGGCCCGCCTCAGGAAGAGCTCGCCGGAAGGTCTACTGGCTCCCTGTGACTCACCATCGCCGATCGAGAGGGCACGCCTCGAACTGAGCATCGCATCGCATCATGTGTCAGACCGCTCTGGGCGAGCTATTGTAGAGAACATGCCGGCTGAGACTCAGCGAGCAAGTCACACTTTCCCAATCCCTCCAAAGAAGGGAGCTGACGGCCTTTGCTTCACCTCGAAGCTAACCATCCATGCATTCGCCGTACTGACGCCGACGCTTCTGTGAGACCGGGACAACCATAACGTTGGGTGAGCACAAACCAAAATGACCCGGTATGCTAAAACTGCCCATCCACTACATGCGATGCGAATTGCGAGTGAGGGCACGAGATTGTAGAGACGGATTCAGTAGTCTGGCTCTCGGCAGGCAGTGCTGACTCCTTTCAAATCGAGTAATCGTGCGGCTTCCTATTTTTCCCCTACCCTGCTCAAATCAGCTCCGTATCTCGTAGTAATGAGCAGGGATTCTTCTCAGCCCGTAAGCGAGGCGACGTCCAAGCGCATTTGCTTGCTTGGCACGCTCCCCCCCTCACCTCGCTTGCGCGCCAATCACTTTGGAAAAGATGGACGTGCGCGTGGAGAAAATATTGACCCGCCCCCGGCCCGGCCCTGAATGAGAAGAGAGACAAAGAGCAAGAAGCGTACAATGTGCCCGGGTCCGAAGGGCTGGAAGACTTGTACCAGAGCAGCTACTTGGGGAGAGGGGGAGCAAGATCGGGCTGTACTCATATACCGAGCATTGCTGTCTACATGTGATTATCTGCAGTTGTGGGTGAGCGGAGGCACTGGCGTGGCGTTGAGGCATTCACGTATCGTATCGGCTTGTGAGCTATGCGGAAAGAGAGGAGGGTGTGTGAGGGTACGGGCGCGCCTCGGAGCCGAGATGCCGCTCGGGCACCACGACCATCTCACCCGTGCTCGGCATAGCGTCAAGGCCTGGCTGCGCCAACATTGTGCTGCACCGAGATCTATAACGCTACTATGCTGCATTTTTGTACTGTTTGTGTCCTGGTGGCAGTGCGATCTACGAGCAAAGACCTAGTAAGAGTGTCTGTTGGACAACTGCGCTTGCTTGAAGAGAACCAGCAAGGGTAGTCACCCTATTCAACAGGCAGGACAGACAGACAGTGTCACTCCCCGCCCCCCGATGGTCTTCCCCAGCTTTGTAGCTTTCACATCCTTCTTCCTCGCCAGGAAGTAGAGGAAGAGCGACTATAGGAGATGCTACCATCATCATGACCCCAGTCGCCTCGATATGATGAATGGCTGTGCTGACATATCGACCCCAGCTCGCTCCCTGTCGCAGAGCATCCTACAGGAGATCCATATATGTCAAGGCGACTTGTCTCGAGCACGACGGGCAGACTCAAGAATCAATGTCATCCGTGCAGCAATAGTGTCTCCTTGCTCGACACGCGTAGACGCTGGTCAGTCGCAGCTGTATCAGGCGACGTGCACTGGTCAGCTGCAGAACCAGCGCACAGGTCCACCCGGGTGGGGCAAGTGTAGAGAGGCACTGTCTGACCTATCTCTGTAGTAACAAGAGACATGTGAGCATCTCAGCTTTCTGCAGCCCTGAAGGGGTACCCGGTCATTGCGACGCAGCCGGACCCTATCCTGCCGGTTACGCTGAGGAGCAATCCCCGACTGATGTCATACAGACAAGATGAGTCCGTCCACATGCTACACTTCACGACCCTTCCGCCATACCAGCGAGACTTGTACAGATGCGCACTGATACATACGAGGGCAACGGCCTCGAGCGCCAGTGGATCCAGTGCATAGAGCGACGAGCTGCTCTGAAGACGACGACGTTCCAGCACTCTACTCGCTGCCGACGCAGAAGTGTTTGCGAGACTTCCGCCGACTTGTCTCTGCTGCACGCCTAGCATCATGGCTGCAGACACATTGGCAAACATTCGCTCGCGCTGCTCTGCACTGTCGTGGACCAGGGGCGGTGCGGAGTCACAGGTTCCACGGCCATGTCCGACCCTGCTGATGACTTCTGCAATGCCCTACACGGCTAAACCTCCTTCACCCATTCGGTATCCAGGTGAATACATGCACAGCACGCAGCCGCGTCGCTGGTGTACAGTCAGCTGAGGCGGGATGAGATGAAATGAGGTAAATTGACAAGAATTGTACAAATGCGTCGAGCCATACCATCGCTGGACCGCGTGACTCTTTCATCCTTACACCTAACCTCCCTTGACTCATGCTGCTTATCCTCTCTCTCGAACGATCTATCCAGCCTACAAGCTGAATGCTCTGCTGAACCCCTGCGAGAATCGTTGGCCAGCCGTTCGTGGATAGGTAAGCGCTTGCGTGCCTCTGGCATATTCATAAGCCTCGCAATGGCCAACCCTTGCACTGCGAGGAACACAGCGCAGCGAGGGGTTATTTCAATCTTCAAGGTATTGAGTTGGAGGAACTCTCCGCGCTGGACTGACAGACACTGGACAGGTCCTGGCTCTGCTGGTGTATCTGCTGGTAATGCTATTCGGCACGTGGTGCCTTACACTCCAGCACTGTCATTGAGCGCACAGCATACCACTGCCTTGTTGTGGCCATTGTACTGCCTGACAGTCTCTCCACTGTTGAGCTCCCACAGCCGTGCAACGTGGTCGCTACTGGCGGTGACGAGGTAGGCAGAGTCGGCGGAAAAGGCAGCGTCCCATACCCAGCGTTGATGACCAATCAGGGTCTTCTCGAGGGAGAAGTCGTAGCGCGAGGTGGACCAGATCTTCACCGTGGTATCCGCTGAGGTCGTTGCCAAGTGGCTGGGGAAAGAGTAATTAGATGTAATGATACGTATGGTCAGTGTCTGATGGGTACCGAGGCCGAGGAGACACCTAGGAGTAATCACCGAACGTCAGGAGACAGGATACACCGTATGAGGTACTTATCATGCGCTCTGAATTTCGTCACCGGTTGCAGGTCCGTAAAGTCCCCGCCAGGCTGCTGACCTCCGCGATCGCTGCCTTGATCACCTCCCTGCCCTTGTCCCTCTCCCGGCATGGGCTTACCAGCTGACTTGCCAGCCTCGGCCGTCTCTCCCTGCGTTGGATACGAGCCGCTCTGTATCCTCCAGACGTAGACGTTTCCCTTGTTGTTTCCTGCAACGAGGCAGCTGCCATCGCTTGCTACGCTGACGCTTCTGATTCCCACTTCCTCCTCTGGCACGAGCTCGTGAGAGCATCCGTTCTCGCCTAGGTCCCAGATCTTGATGCTGCCTCCGGCATCACACGAGATGAGCTCTCCCTGATTCGGGTGAACGACGACGTCATTGACTGGTGAGCGATGATCGTAGACTCGTTGAGGCCGGGGAGAGCGCGTATCCCAGATGCGGAGCATCCCGTCTTCTCCACCAGTGACCAGCCACTTGCCCTCACAGTGCCATGCGACACAAGTGACGTTGCCGACGTGTCCCTCGAATGTGGCTACGGGCTGTGTGACACCAGGTGCGACTCCAGCTTGCTGCTGCTGCTGCTGCTGTTGTTGCTGTTGTCCTCCTCCAATGCCTAGCGCGCTCCTGCAGTCATACAGCCTCACCACGCCCACCCCACACGAGGCAAGGTAGCGCTTGTCGGGCGAAATGGCCAAACGATTGACCTGCGAGTCCGGATGCTGTATTGTGCGAGAGCAGATACCTGACCATGCCTCCCAGAAGCGAATGGTGTGGTCGTATCCGGCTGTGACGAGGAGCACAGAGAGGTCGTCTGGCACTGCTGCTGGAACTGCCGAAGAAGAGGTGGAGCCGGTAGCGCTGGGCATCGTAGAGGTGGTCGTAGAGGTGGCCATGGTGACTGAGTGGGGCAGCCGAGCCTTCGATCACCGCAGACTCAGCGACGAGAACAAGGTGGGCCAGAGACCAACGACGCTTGAGATGGTTGGTATCGGCAACTACGATTGGAGTAGGGAAGCCTTGGCGGCAACGGAAGGAGCTAGGCAGCGTCCAGCCAGGCCCCACATCCTGCTTCCGTTCCGGCGGGGTGCTCGCCCCCGCCTTGGCTCATCGGAAGAAGCGCGCGAACGGCTCCGACGGCGTCACCCGCTCGAGCGAGAAGAAATATTATTGGCCAGGCAAGACTTGGTGATCATCTCGCCGCACCTGCTACTAAACACCTACTACCATCCTCACCACAAGCGGTATCATCCAATGGCATCGCTGCCCAGTGCCGTACGGACAACGTCGAGGAGGACACTCAGGCAGCTCGTGGCAGCAAGGGGCGCCTCAGCCTGTGCCTCCTCCTCAAAGGCACCCAGCAGTTGTCAGCACCCACGCCAGTCCATCCGTCACAAGAGCTCGGTAGCATCGTCAAGCGGCAGCAGCTCGTCGTCGCCAGCTCCTGCTGGATCAGCTGCACCTCCGGCTGCCGTGCCGCCCATTGCGCGATCGGCTCCTGCAGTCTACGCTGCCCTCCTCCCCCATCAGCGGGCCACTCTCACCTCTCTCCTGGCACGTCTGAACCTGCCTACCGACGATGAAGCTCTCCTTTCGCAGCTCTCATCGGCCCTTACGCACCCTTCATGGACAGTACTGCGGGACAGCCTTCTTGACAATTCCTACAAGAAGGAGTCCCTTGGCTCCACCCTCGCTGCCCAACTTGAAGCTGCCCGTACAGCCTCGCAGGGCGGCGTGTCTCAGCACAATGCAGCATTAGCAGGACTTGGAAATTCGCTCTTGGGCATGATCACCACCGAGCATCTCCATCTCACATATCCCAACTTGCCCAATCGGGTACTCAAGGCAGCCCTGTCTGCCCACGTTGGGCCACAGACTTCGTCGGATGTAGCCGTAGAGCTGGGAATGGGCGCAAAGGGCGTTATGAAGTGGGACGTATCGGGCGAAGACAAGGTGCGAGGGGCAGATGGCAAATGGAGAAAGAGGAGTAGCAAGGAGGTGTTTGCTCAGGCGATGCGAGCCGTCGTCGGGCTCATCTTCCAAACAAGGGTGAGCAGGTTTGCACAACGTGTGCTGCGAATCACCTCGCGACTGTGCTGACACTACCTCTTCGGTTCACTCTTCACCACCTCAGGGCATCGCGCAAACGCGCTCCTTTGTTCTATCACACTTCCTCTCCCGTCTACCCCTGCCACCCCCCATCAGCTCTGGACCAGTCACCTCCACCTCCAGCACAGCCTCCTCTTCACACCCTCTCGCCCCCCTCCTCAAATTCACAGATCCAAAGAGGAACCTCTCACTAGTGTTGCAGAGGTACAATCTAGAGAAGCCTCAAAGTAGACTGATCGCAGAGACGGGTCGGTTGAGCCAGAATGCAGTGTTTGGCGTGGGGGTGTATAGCGGCTCCAGAAAGGTCGGTGAAGGGTGGGGCAGTGCAATCAGGATGGCCGAGTACAGGGTAAGTCAATGGGAGCTGTTCGCATAGTGGGACAACGTCTGATAAGTACAACAAGCTGATCACATACCCTTGTCTATTTCCACCCGTGCAAATTCAACAGGCGGCCGAAGATGCTCTCCGCCGTCTGTACCTCTCTCCCGCACCGGCCCTAGCATCGGAAGAGGTGCCGTCATCGACTCTGGACGCCGTCTTCGCTGGCAGCAAGCCCCTACTACCTGGCAGTACCAGCCGTTCGAGCCAGGGAAGGGACATTTGGGCGATTGGAGAGGATCTGATGGATTCCCGTGCGAGCGGGGAGTACAGGCCGAGGAAGCTGGGAGAGAGTGAGATTGTCTTTGGCAGCAAGGCCTGATAGTAGACGCAAGGGGAACAATAGGGCTTTGATGCAATGTACAACTTCACTGTGACTCTACATGGACTGTTGTTGACCGTGCCTTACTTGGAGTGCTGACGGACACGAGTCTGATTGAGTCAACATATCACCTTCATCGGCAAGGTGCATTTGCGCCTGTACCGAGCTTCCCGTTCCTTCCGTTCCGATGAAGTGCCTCCGCCTACGAGATTGTATGCGCGCCAATGCGACCGGGAAGGGGAGCATCACCACCACCACCACCTCTATTGGCGCGCCTTCCTACGATCTCAATCCTCAGCCTAGCCTCGCCCCACCCCTCTGCAGAGTAGTACACGCAGACCCGGTGCTCTTCCGCTCCTTGTCCTCTTTCATCTCCTTGGCTACTGCCTCGCAACCATGTCCCTCATGGCCGACGTGGACATGCAGGGCGTGCCCTCCTCGCCCCCGCCGGACCGCTCCATTGCAGGTCAGCCCATGAGTGCTCCGGAGCCTGCTCCGCTCAGTCCTTCAGGTCATCACGACGATCCTCCTTCGGCTTCTCGAGGCACCAATACCGTTGGTGGCGGTGGGGTGGGGAACATATTCGATGATGATGACGATGATGAGGAGGACAAGAATGCTACCGCCCGAGGGACCAATGGAGCTGGAGCCGGAGCAGGAGCAGGAGCAGGCATGATGGAAGAGGAAGAAGAAGATGACGAAGCTGACGAGGAAGAGATGCGTCGCAGGAGACGTCGTCGAGCTCGTGAAGCTGATGAGGAAGAAGTGTACGAATCGGAACAACGTCGTAAGAAGAAGTCTCGAAACCGAGGTGGTGATGATGCAGGGGAGGAGGAGGAGGAGGAGGAGGACGATGAGGATGCAGATGGAGAGACGCAAGATCAGACTGGAGAAATGTCACAATCTATGGCTCTGGAGGCCAAGAGACGGAAGCTGGACGAGGATATTGCCAAGGCCGCCAAAGGTGGACGCAAGAAGATCAAGCGTAGGAAAAAGGGAGACGAGGAAGACTTGGGAGCAGCGGGAGATTTAGAGGTGAATGAACTCAGACAGGATATGCTCACAGCGGCAGAGGATGATGCGATTGCAAACGAGGAGCGAAAGCCAGCTCTGGCAAAGTTGAGGATGTTGCCACGGGTGGTAGATGGTCTGCAAAAGTGAGTCAGCGCACAAGAAGGAGAGGGGAAGCACGACTGAATCTGTACTGACCTCATGGCCCTCTGGTCTGCCCTACTCTGCCCTCCTCCCTCATCGTAGATCACACTGGCAACAATCCATCTTCGACTCCAATCTTCTAGAGGCAGTACGTCGTTTCCTCGAGCCACTCCCAGACAAGTCTCTCCCTGCGCTCAATATCCAACGCGAGCTATTTGCGGCTCTGGAGAAGCTCTCGCCTGCAATCGATACCATCTCCCTCAAGATGAGTGGGTTGGGTAAAGTAGTCATGTTCTACAGCCGTAACAAGCGTGTGGAGGGAGACCTGAGGAGGAGAGCAGATAGACTGATTGGTGAGTAGGGGTTGGGCACACAAGTAGTACTCAAAGCCGTACTCCTCGTCGACTTTATCCAGCTGACACCCTTTTCCCCCGCTTTCCTCTTCAAACACCTCTGCCCCTTTTATTGCACACACAAGAAATGTGGTCCCGCCCCATCCTCAAGCGCTCCGCCTCGTACCGCGCCATGGAGATCACTCGCAAAGCCTACCACGGCGCCTCTTCCCAATCCCAATCCACGCGAGCCCTCATGGATTCTCAATCCCAATCCCAATCCCAATCTCAAGATAGCGGTAGACGCAACGTCTCTATACCTCAACCAGTCATGGGAGGATTCAAAATTGCACCACAGAGCTCCCTTGGTAGTGGTGGTGGTGGAGATGGGGAGAGTGGAGTGGGAGGGGGTGGTGGAGATGAGAGGTTTAGAGCTGCTGCTGCTAGTAGAGATCGATTGAATGCATTCAAGAGAAAGGTCAAGGAGGGAAAGAGGAGGTGAGGTGAGGTGAAGAGGAGGCGAGGAGAAGAGTAGCGGTAGAGTAGAGTAGAGTTCAGAAGGACGATGCAGTCTTGTCAACTCAATCCCATCTCTGAAATCCACGGAAATCCACGGAAATCCACGCATTGGCAAACCATCTAGATTACTTCATCGAGTGCCAATAGTCGCCAAGGGGTTCCCCCCCCTCCCCCCCCAACTCTGTCTTGGACCTCCCGCAAGCTCTACTCTTGCATCATCACTCTAAAACAACCTCTGCAGGAAAGTGAAGTAAAGTACAGAGCGTGGTGCCTGGCCTGGCCTGGCCTTTGGACACCACCTCGTCATCTCCAATTGCTTTCTTTCATCTTTGTATTTGCTGGTAGGTGCGAGAAGATCGTTCGGAACAGGCAGCAAAGTAGTGTGTGTGCGTGTGTGGAGAAGAGAGAGAGAGAGAGAGAGAGAGGGTGGGTGGGAGGGAAGAGGAGACGAGAAGTAAGAGAGAGGTGAAATGCGAGGTGAAGATGGGAGGATGGAGGGGAAAGTAGGATGTGGGTGAAGCGGGGGAAGTACGCTATCGTTGCTGCCTGCCGAGCTAGTCCACCTTTCCAGTGCCTGCTCCTGCTCCTGCTCCTGCCTCTTCCTTGCTGAATGCTCGTCCGTTCGCTCGCTCGCTCGCTTCTCCGCAAAGCTGCCCGCTGTTGGTTGGAGAGGACGTCTACTTGGACTGGATGAATCCCTTGCCCTTGTACCCATCCGAGGAGATACCTGTGAGTAGTGAGCAGGTAGGCGGAGTAGTGTTTCAATCAGTATCTCCCTCTCACATCAAAAGCAGTCCCTCTTGTCTCTCTCTCTCTCCCCCCCCCGGGCCCTCTACGTACCAGTGATGGGGTTCAAATTCTCCTCTCTAGCCTTTTCATTCGTCTGTTCCTGGTATTCCTTTGTCATCGTCTTTGGTGGGGGTGTGGCATAGTGTCTCATGCCAAAGAAGACTACGGCGGTTGCTCCCATTAGAGCACCCACTCCTACGGCGGTTCGCATTGCCTGACCTGGCTGGGTGATGGGCCTGCGTGGGCCGTGGGGACCAAAGGAGACAAAGTAGGCTGTGGAAGTGGGATAGAGAGAGAGAGAGGGGAGAGAGGATGAGCGGGAGGAACAGAGGGATGAGCCATCTTTCTTCTTGTCTCTGCCGCACTCACCTGCCTTTTTCTCATCAAGGCTCAACTCCTTCCAATCCTTTCGCTGAATCTCTTCTAGCTGTCTGTAGACGGCATACTGTTCCACTTTACTCATTCCACTCCACCTGGCCTCGATTTGAGGGACTACATCCTTGAGGGACACTTTGGATTCGGGGGATTCCAATGCAGCTTGAGCGTCCTGCTGGGTCCATCGCTCTGCCTTTGTGGTGATGGCGCGACGGAGCTGGGGTGCGCTGGTGGCTGCACCTCTGCGGACGGTGCTGAGTGCCGAGGAGCGAATGGGTGCGATCATTGTGAGATGGACGAGTTATGCGGAGATGAGAGGAGAGGAGGAATCACGAGGGAGATCTTCCGACGATGCGCTGCTGTGAAGTTTCAGCAAGGGTGATGCGCAAGAAGAGCTTGGTAGGCGGCAGGGGTGATGGAGCGATGCTGATGCTGCTGCTGCGCTTGTCTTGTCGTAGGGACGATGAACGTGGTTGATGGTATCGATGACAAAGTGAGAGAAGATTGTCCTCTGCTTGCCCTTGGTTGCCTCGCCGCCATGTCCGCCCTGCCCAGCGCCCAAGTTTAGACAAGGGCGGGCTGCTCTGCCTGCCACGCCTTGAAGCTCACGCGGGCGCACACACACACCCACACCCACGCACCCACGCGGGCCACGCTGCCCGGCAAAGATCGGAAAGGATCCACCCCACCGCGCGCTCTCGACCTCCCTCCGCCAGGCGCACCCACCTAGGCAGGCGGGCCAGGCGGGTAGACTACGCCGGCAGCCAGACACCCACGCACGCAGCCACCCCCCGTCCAGCCCCAGCCAAGCCAAGCCAGGCCAGGCCATCCACCGGCCCCGACGAGTCCTTCTCATCGCCATCGCCATCGCCATCGCTCCACCCATCAACCAACCACTCGCGGCATATACCCTCCCCATATCACCACCACTCCCCACTCCCACCTCAAACCAATCATGTCTTCTGCTACTTGGCGCCAATTCTTCTCGTGAGTACCACCGCAGCCAGCCAGCCAGCGGCGAGCCAAGGAAGTAGTGTCGAGGTAGACAGTCCTCAGGCGATACTCATTCACTCCCTCACTCACTCCCTCCCTCCCTCACTCACTCACTCCTTCTACCTCTTCATCTCCACACCTCCTCTCCTTTCAGGTACAACCGCTACACCTCCATTTGCGGTAGGGCTACCCGATCTGCACTCAAGGAGGGAGAGAGGGTAAAGGCAGAGCGAAGGGGTGATACTTCTCTGAGGTACCAGGAATGGAAGGAGGGAAAGGCTGGAGAACAGGTGAGTAGGGATATTGAGGAGCAGACAGGAGGGCAAGGAGCAAGACAGGGAGAGGGGATCGAGTTGGGAGAGGATGATATCAGGGGGAAAATGGGCATTGTTGGTAGACCACCTCGTGGATAGAAGGATGGGCCTCTGTCCACTTGGACAGACGATCCAATCGGAACAGCATACCAGGGCGACGGATTCTACTCTATCTCCCTCGGGAATTCACCACGATCTGGCGCAGTGCGATTTCAAGGTATCGAGAGTCTCACCTCACTCACACACGCGTTCAATGTCTCCCCCCTTGTACCCACCCACAGCGATCCGTCAAGGAGCAACAACAAAAGTCTGCCTAGACACCCTCTAGGGCATAGGGCAAGGGCAGCAGCGGTCACGGCCACGACATCATTGACAGAAGAAGGAGAAGAAGAAGAAGCAGGGAACCCAGATTGGCACACTCACTCCTCGTCAAAAGTCATGACATGATGATCGAGTGTTAGAAACAAAGGGGGGACCTCTCGATAACTTCTCGAATACAATCACTACAAGACAGATTCAGGACTGAGGACTGGCGTGGGCGTGATTGGGATCACGAGGGAGATTGTACAAAGGGTCCCAGGTGTGGCCTGGAGCGGGTGCGAAATGTGCTGTCAGAACCTTTAGCGAGACCGATGAAAGGTGACAGAATGCTGCTAGCTCACTGACATATGCTCACACACCAGAGAACAGGCGCAGAGGTTCAATCACGGCGCATGACCTCATGTCATGGTGGCAGGAAAGCAAACGTACAACGAAATAGCTCTGCTCACTTGCCTTCCGCTGCCAGAGTCGCGTTGCAGTACGCCCTCAGCTTCTGCACAGCGTCATCGACGGGAGCGCCTCTGATCGGGCCAAGGCCCATTGCCGTTCGAGCCGCCTCCCCATGCACATCGTCTTCCTTTCCCCGACCTTCAAACCCCACCTCACCATCTCCAGAAGGGAAATCCGAAGGTGGTCTGCCTTGTCGAAACGCCTTTGCTTGTTGCAGAACGTACCGCCAATTGTTGGCCGTAAGTGGTACGGCAGGGATGTACATCACAGAGGAGTCACTCTGACCGGTATGAGCCGCCTCGACAGAATGAACTGCATCGCAGTGCCAGAGGACTAAATCCCCTGGATTGACTTGCGGGAGGGAAATCATGGTTTCCTCTAGTCTTAGGTGCGGGTGCGTAGCGGGTGAGAGCTCGAGATTCTGTCCTACGAGGCAGCCGGGGAAGCGACTGGAGGAGCCATCGAAGACCCAATTGGACGGTGCAAGGTATCCATCCATCGCCTCTGCCTGTTCCTCTTCTTGACCCCAACGCCCCTCCCGAACTGATGACCGTGCCTGGAAGAAGGGCCGCATGATAATGTACGCCGTCACTTCTCGCAAGTTGGGCAGCACCCTTAGTGTGCCCTCTCCCGGTCCTGTACGAGACATGGAGAGCCAACCCTGCAGAGGTCGAAAGATGGTGCACTGGCCTGGTCCGTTGTACATGCCTGTACGCGCCGTCATGCGTTCTCCATGAGTTCCGAGGGACCAATTGTTGAAGTGCTGCCAGCCGAGAGCGGAGGGGGATAGGATGTCCTGCCAGAGGGAGAGGAAAGTGGGGTCCTCTGCGATGTGGAAATCGTCGTTGTTTGGTCAGAGGGCCGTTTCAAGACAGCTGTTACTGCTGGCTGCTGGTTGAAGCGGCGCGGCGTACTCACCCCATCTCTCAATACCCCCTCCATCGATGTGAGGTCCCAATGCAAACGTCGCATCGCCCGGGGAGCGAATGCGCAGACGATCCGCATACGTCAAGGGAGTGCTCATGTCGGCCATCTGTTCAACAGTGAGCGTACCAGCCTTTGGTGCTTCATCACTCTTCTCCATTGTACGAGGTCGACGCCACATCTCGAGGATGGAACGCGAGGCAGTCAACAAGGCAGGGTGAGAGCGCGCTGCCAGTTGAGCTCGACTCCAGTAGAGCTCAAACACCTGCGGATCCTCAGCTGGGAATCCCTTGGCGCCATTGCGAGAAGCATACTCTCGAATCTCCTCCTTCCACCTCAACGCCATTGCCGACGGCACCACGTCTCTCACAATGACTACTCCGCGCTTACGCACCTCTTCCTGTGTGCGGGATGACATCCAGCCCGCCAATCCCGCCCGCGCAACCTCTTCCCCCGGCCAATGCACCTCGGGTATAACGCTCTGTTGTCCCCTCGCAATAGTCTCCACCTCTACAGCCAGTCGTGGAAGCAGTTCAGACCAAGACTTTTCGAGGTGTTGCTGGAAATTTGGATGGCTACTGATGATTTGGCGCTTCAGATTGGCAAAACGGGGAGGGAGGGCATCTTGGAGCGATTTGCCCGAGAGAGAGGCGAAGATGTCGGCAATTGTGCCACCCGACGCCGCAGTGGAGGCAGAGTCGATGTCGACGCCGAGCTTGGGCGAGGTATTGAGCCAGCGGGTAGCGGCAGGTTGTTCAGATAGGGTGATCTTTGAGTGAGGACGCGCTCGTAGGTGAGCAGAGGCCCTCGAGCTGTACGCGCGTGCGAAGGACTTGGTGAGCATCGTCGAATTCCCAGCTTGATGGAACGAGATCAGAGCCTATGGTAGATGTGGAGCTTGCGACGCTACGAGCCTCGACACGCGCTAGAGACGTAGCGGTACAGAGTCAGATCCCACTCGGGCATTCTGGGCCTGTCTTCGGTGTCTCAAATTGCCGAAGTCTGGCCCTGGGATGTCCTCAGGTCTTGTGACAGTGGGGCATTGTGGGGTGCGGGGCGATAGTGCTCGGCAATTGACACTCGGCAATCGGCACATCTTCGAGCGGGCGGTTGAGTCAAGTCTTTGTGCCTGAAGACATCGCTACTTTGCCAGCGTGCTGATATTCCCTCGCTACTGACCTTGCAGATGGGTCGGGAAGTTGCGTACCGGATTCACCATTCGCTGCCGTCGCTTTCGTATCAATAGGCGACTCCCACGTTGGGCTGTGCCGGCCAGTCACTCCACGACATGATCACAGGTGAAGTGTCGTCAACCATCATTCACAGGCCTCGAGCTCATCCTCCTGTTATCACTATGACTCTGCTCGACCTGGACCCTCAATCTACCTCTCCTCGGAGAGATTGATGGTGGTACGTGCGGCACGCATGACCCTTGATCTCCTCTCCGACTTCCGTTCCGTTGCGAGACGATGCAGCCCAAGCTTCCAGTCAGTCACACCCTTGGACGCGTCGTCGAGCCAAATGCTGTACGCGATTCCCAACACTCGCTCGCCCTGACGCTCACTGATGAGCCATCGCAGGAGAGCCGCTCCGCAGTCTGGCTTGGATGTTGAACAGTGTCGCCGGCGCTTGGCCGTAGCTAGTCTGTTCAGCTCAAGTCTCTAGCAGGCGTGCTACAGCCAGGTGATCTGCGCCTGAGATCTCCCACCTCCACACCTCAATCCATACCCGCCATGACCTCCCACGACTCTTCCTCGACCAGCATGTCTTCCATATCCCAGCCCAAATCACGAGGAGCAAATCGCTCCATCTCCCCCTCTCTCAAAACCTTCACTATGCGCTGTGTCGATGCCAATCTTCTCACTGTGCAACAATGCGCCTCCCTCGGTGCCTTTTCCCTCTCCACTGGTAATCGTCTCCGAAACGAATGGCTCGAACACAATTGCTCCCTCGGCCCTCCAAAGACGGGGTTCATGTCCGGTCGTCCACGTTCTATGAATCCTGCGGCAGTAGAAGCTCTAAAGGATGTGCTGAAGTTGAAGGAGGACATTACGCTCAAGGAGATTCAGCAGATCTTGATTAGGTTTGGATTTGAGAGTTTTAGTATCTCGCTCTTGAGTCGACAGTTGAAGAGGATGGGACTTAGTAAAAAGGAAGTTGCAAAGGCGCAGCTGCTCTCGGAGTCAGGCGGAGTATCGGGAACATCGCAGAGCTTGCAGAGTGGATCATTCGCTAGACCAAAGGCCAAGGCGAAGAGGAAGGACCGGGGGGCAGGCGATGGAGCACAATCATTCACTCAGTCGGCAGGGGCATCCAATGGAGCATCAAATGTGAATTAGCAATGGGAATAGGAAAGCGAGGCACTGGTAACACTAGAGAAGCAATGTGCACAGGAGATGGCACGACGCAACACGATACTGCAAAGGACTGAAACAGACCACCGAGAGCACTCTGCTGCACCTTCCTCCCTCTCTTCTTCCCTTCCTCTACCCGATTTTCGACTCGCTTCTCTTCGACTAGCTGTACACATTCAGCGGGTTGATCCTGTCCATGGGGAACAGGAAATTATTGGCTCTATCCTCCGTCTCGAGGAATCTAGTCGGGAAGACGACCAGATTGCCCACCGTCTGATCCAGGAGAGCCTCCATCTGCTCCAGCTCGCGCTGGGAGAAGGACCCATCGGACGTAGTGGCAGACCCCGGAGGGGCTTGAGGCTGGTGGGTGCCCGGTGAGGATTTGTGGTCGTCCTTGGCCGAGGAGGGCGAAGAGCCAGTAGCGTCTCCTTGAGCTTGACTGGAAGAAGTGTTTTCCTTCTCCTCGTGCTTGCCCTCGCTCAGATCCGCGCTGGCATCTTCATCATCACTGCTGGAATGACCGTGCCGTCCCTTGACCTTTGCCTTCAAGCCATCCTTTGCTCCCGCAGCCCGGTTATGTTGAGCTCCTGGACCCCTGGCCTCGACAGGGATCCCACCTCGCTCCTCTTTTCCTTCCTTTCCGGAAAAGTTGCCACTCTTCGAAAGCCGGTCACTCCAAGCCATGAACGCCTTGTACTCGCTCCAGTTGGTAATGGTATCGTCGGGCACACAGCGGAACACCTTGCGGTAGATTTGCGTGTTGTGTAGGGCAGCAGCGAGCCAGATGTCCCTGTAGAAGGGATCCGAGATTGGGTCGTGGAAAGAGGTAGACGTGTTGATCTCCGGCACAGAGATGGGGGGTTGCCAGGGGTTGGGCGAGAGGTAGGCATTGATCTTCTTGCGAGCCTCTTCCTTGGGCGTCTTGCCAAATGTGGGAGCAGAGGCCGAGTGGTCCATGTGGCGGGTACGATGCTCCATAGGCTCCGGCTCTTCTGTCTTGGCACGGTCGTGACGGCGACTTTGCGAGTCTGCCTCGTAGTCGTAGTCTTCGTCACCTTCACCTTCGCCTTCGCTCTGATAAGCGCGATCACCCTCCTCGGCTTTCTCGCCCTTGTCTCCACCCGATTGGTGCATCTCGGACAACAGGCGCTCCTCAAGCGTAGTCGAGAGATCCTCCTTCTTCCTCTCTTCTTGCGAGAGGCCCTTCTCAGGCTCAGAGTCCACGCCAAAGCCACTAGAATCCTTGAGCTTGGGGTCTGCATCGCCCTCTCTGTCACCAAGAAGAGTCTTGAGGTTGTCTTGCCTCTTGAGCTCGTCCGCATGAGCATCCTCTCCCCTCTCCTCGCCCTCTTCATTCACATTTGCCTCATCCGCATCGTCGACCGGGTTGTCGCGGAGCGTTTTGCCCTGGGTAGGCCTGACCATAAAGTCGCGCGTCTGCTTGCGGGCTCCCCTGGCCATGTCCTTCATGGCAGTCCCAGCATGAACGCTGAGCTCGCGACCGCGATGGATCTCGTGCTTGCTGCGAGTGATGTTGCCTTCTGCAGCCTCATCAACACCTTTCCTCTCTTCGTCGTCAGGATCCCATTGCTCCTCGTCCTTGGTCAATGGCTTCTTGCGCTGATCACTATGCTCGCCATCCTGTTGCTGATGATTGGGCTGACCATTCTCACTGGCCTTGCTCTTCTTCTTCTCGGCATCAGACTTCTGTTCCGTCGTCTCCTTTCCTTGCATCTCCGAAAGATCGAGATTGGCCTCCTTTGCGTCCAACTCGTCCACATCGATGCCCACGTGCTCTCTCATGAGTCGCACCCTGAGCGTATGCGCAAAGCGACCTACCATGTAGGGTTTACCGCCCATGCGACTCTCGATCATGTCCGTGTCCCTAATGACACAGGCTAGCTCCGAGTCTCGATCTCCGCGTTGAGAGCGCTCATTGATATTAGCACTTCCGATGATGACGATGCGATCGTCGAACATGGCGCACTTGCCGTGGATGTAGACCTGCTCCGTGGTGAGCTGACCACCCCTCAGCTTACCCCAATTCCTCAAAGAGAAGAAGGAAATGTACTGGTCTGGATCGATGCCCTCTCTACGCAGCTTGCCGAAGATGGAGTGCTCGCCTCTGCAGATGGAGCGGAATTGACAGTCGCAGATGATCCTCACCGACGAGGCGTCTGGCTCGGAGATTGGCATTGGGAAACCGGGGATCAGCGGGATGACGATGATCGCCCTCCAAGGCGTGCCTTCTCTGTGAGCCCTGATGATTCTCGAGACGAGGGCGTTTCCGATGTTGTTTTCGATCGCAGTTCCCTCCACGACCGTCGAGGTGACGAAGAATTGATTCTCAATATAGACAAAGTGGTCGCTCATCTGGATGCATTTGAGATAGGCATTCTGAATAGAGTGCTCCACAGTCTTTGAGGTTCCCAGACTCCAGGGTCCAGCCGAACGACAGATCTGAGTCTCACAAGTTCCCGTGAGCTGGTACTTCTCCAATTCCTGGACAGTGAAGTCTGGAGCCGGAACCAAAAAGGGGAACTTCCTCTTGTGGTTCTTGTTCCTGAGCAAGTAGTTCCATCGTTGAGTGAAGTGTCGAGAGAGATCACGAGCGGGCTGTCCAATGAGCTGCAGACCCGTGTCGTGCCAGGGCATTCGAGGGAACTTGGTCCTGTCGAACAAGTCCTGGGCCGGCTTGGTGAGGTCGGACCATTCCGCCACTCGCTCATTGGCGTAGTCCTGTCCGGGCCAGACGTGTGCCTCTTTACCGTCCTTTGTGGGAGGACCCAACAGCTCCTTAGCGTGATGATTGCCCTCCTGATAGTCGGTCTCTACGTCGTCTACGAGAACATGTGCGGCAGTGTCATAACGTCCAAAGCAGAGATCGAAGCCTCCCATGAAAGCAATGGTCTCATCGATGGCGCACATCTTCTCATGATGCGCCCAGAAGAAGGTTCCAGTCTGGAAGTGCGTAGGCGAACGCTGAACGTAGATGTTAGGATGAAGAGCAGACAGCCGGCTCTTAGTGTAGCCCGAGTCGGTAGGGGTGAAATTGTTCGAAACCTCATTGTAGAGGATGACGAAGACCTTGACTCCTTCCTGTGCCTTCTTCTGCAGGATGTTGTCTAGTCGCCATTTGGGCTCTCCAGGTCGGCGGAGATACAGCTCAGGGCTCAGCCACCAGTCATGAATCATGATGCGGTCCTTGGCAAGCAAGAGGGCTCGCGAGACTTCCCAATAGTAGTCTCTGCCATCTACGAGCCATTGAGCATTGACATTGAGCCGAATCGGAGCGAAGGAGCCAAATCGATTAGAGCCAGCGAAGCAAGATTGACGGGCGACGCGCTCCATGGAAGCGATGAATTGCTCGAGGATCCTGTCGGACTTTGCAGAAAGCTTCAGCCGACGCTCAGCATTGCAGATGTAGAACGTGTGCGAAGAGACGTTCGTATTTGCGCGTGCCTTGCCCTTGGCGACTGCTGCCTTGCGCTTGCCTGGATCAGACTCATTCTCTGAGTCCGTGCCAGCATCGCCTTCTCGATGCTTGAATTGCCCCTCGGTGAGCAAGGCGAGATTGTCAGATCTGTCATGGATGCCAATCTTCTGCTTTCCTGCACCGCTTTCGCCACCCTTCTCGCCGCCACCCTTCTCGCCACCACTCTTCTCTCCGTCTTTACCGGCCTGTCTGATCTCAGAAGCAAGATGCGTGGCCTGCTTGTAGAATCTCTTCGGCCGTTCCACTCGGAACTCTCCGTCGATCATAAAGACGTCGTGCACCTCGAGTGTCTCGGGTCCAGGGCAAATGGCAATGTAGCTTTCTCTGACAACGAACCACTTTGGCTCATGCCCGTGGATCCATGTCGAGGGCTTCATTACGCTTACTTGGTCCGTCTTCCTTCCACCTCGACTGAGCACACGTAGGTAGCCCTGCTTGCCTTGGAAGCCGCCTCTACTGGCTAGAGAGATCCCCAACGCGCTCATCTCAAAGAACTTGCAGAGTCGATTGGCCTCTGGGCGGAACATGGTCCGCCTCACTAGGGCAACAATGTAATCCTCTAACGCATCTCTCTGAACTCGAGCAAAGACCTTGCGAGCATTACCGCTCTTCATGCCGCCCTGAGACTGCAACTGACGGAAGTAGGGTAGGGAAGTCTTTGGGAAACGAGGCAGGCCGATCTCACCATCCGGTGTTCCTTTGTCTCCCACTGCTCTGCCGAAGATGCCCTTGAGAGCAGCAGCTCTATAGTGGGTGTGCAGAGCGATAAAGTCTCCAAGCGTACGATAGATGACCCACTTGATCATGTCGTCTCCGTAGCTCAGTTCGATACGAAAGACGGCAGAGGTGTTGTGGAGAGGGTTGACAGAGTCTGTCACTTTGAGATGCAAGTGATTGAGGAGGACAGGCACGCGACGATGACCAGCCTCATCCCTTTCGAGAGCCATCTTGAGCATGAAGACGGGTAGGATACCAGACTGGAGCTCGGCGGTCATATCGAGCCCTCCTAGAACTCGCTTCCGGGACTGCTCCTTTTGCTTGTCTGCTCGTCGCTTAGCAACTGCTCCTGTAGCTTGCACTCGTTGTTTGAGAAGGGCCCATCGGTCGCTCGAGGTAGTAGCACCACCACCTTCGCCATCATCACCAGAACGAGCAGCTCCATCGCCGGTAGCCTCGCCATTGGCGTCGTCTTTGCTGAGCATGAGCTTCGAGATCTTGTTCAACTTGGCATGATCGGGAGAGGCGTCATCTCCGTGCGTCGCACTACCATTGGGAGCAGCTTTGCCTTGACCAGCGGACTTGTCCTTCTCCTCTTTGGGCGGCTCCTGGTTCTGATGGCGATAAGGGTCCCCATCACCGGTAGGGGCACCCTCGTAAGCACCCAAGACTCCTCGAAAACCCTTGCCTGCATCTTGCTTGCCATCTTGATCGGGTTCCTGCTGCCCAGCGTCGTGTTGACTCGGCTTAGATCCTTTGTTTGCGCGGGAGACTCCCAAGAAGGACTGCAGCTTAGAAGACTGAGTGCGGTTCTTGCCCGGCCTTTGAGCACCATTGGCACCGGAGGCTTGAGCACCATTGCCTTTGGTGTTGCCATCTTCACCCTCCCCTTCGTCACTGGAGCTGGCACTGCTGCCATCCGCTTCCTTCTTAGCCTTCCGCTTCTCTTCCCTGAGCTGCTGCATCTTCTTGCGCTTCATCTCCTTGAGCTTTTGACGCTGAGCATCGTCAGGTCGACTAGCCCACATGGGTCCCCTGTGGGCGGGATGGTCATCATGCTGGGGCTTGGTCGAGTAGGCAAGAGGATGTCGCTCCCTCTTCGGTGCGATCTCCTCCTCGGCTGGCCGGTCGCTATCGCTATCAGACTTGTGACCTATGCGAAGACTTTTCTTTTTGCTCTTGCTTTCCTTCTGCTGCATGTTCTCGTTGCTCTCTTTTCCATCAAAATCGACTGACCAGGGGTCTGCTTTGCGATTGTATTGGTCCTCTTCGTCGTCTCGATGCCCTGCTCCTCTGTTGGGTTCTCTGTTCAAGGCACGGGCGAGGGCATCACTCTTGGCATCCTTCTTGTGTTCGAGGGACTTGAGATTGATGGCTTTGTTTCGGCCCTCGTCAGCTTCAGCGTCAGCTTCATCGTCAATGCCATGAGGTTTTGCACGGGGAGCAGAGGCGGAAGAGTCCCCTTTGCCTGCTTTGGAGTCACCGTTGGGCTTGGCATCGATGGTACCATCTTGATTCGGGTGATTTATGGTAGCATTTGGGTTGTCAGGATGATTACCAGGTCCAGATCCCCAAGCTGGCATCCACCCTGTTAGCCAGCTCGACCCTTGTGCATTGCTCTGATCATCCTGGCCATTGTGACCATCAGCAGCAGCAGCAGTATTGCTCTCCTGCAATTGCTTTCCGGTGGGCTGATGCTTCTGGCTATAGGCCTCCTGTGTAGCCTGTCCCTCCCCTGGTTGAGCTTCCTCGTCGCTGCTGCTCATGGAACTGCCATCGGCGTCGGTGGGCTTCTCCTGAGCTGCTCCACCTCCCGGGCCTCCTGCTCCTCCTCCCATACCGAGGAGTCCCCAGGCGGCATCGGTGACCTGATGATATGCGTCTGTGGCAGACGAGCCTGCTGCCGTCATTGTAAACGAGTGGTGGAGGGGGGAACGAGAGGAGAGGATAAGAAGCGTGAAAGCGAGTCTATGGGCGTCTGTCAATGCTTCGATGAGACGATGCGGAAGCAATGAACAGCGCAGAGAGGGGTACGTGCTAGCCCAGCAGGGCAGAGTGAAGGGTAAAAGACCCGCGCTCTACCGAAGTGGACGAGTGATATGGTGAGAAAGGGGAGTATATGCGAGTGTAGTCAGGGGTCAGAAGGAAGGACGAAGCACAAGGACGAGGCCGAGGATGGTAAGGGTCAATCGATCAAGGTCCAGGCGGCGGAGTGTCGTGCCTCGGCGATTGCCTGCGTCACTGCCCTGTGCGTGGGTGCAGTGTGATGCGGGGGCTGTGGTCCCAGGCAGTCACACATCCCTCGTCCGCCGTGCGCCCGTCCTCCGCTCCGATGCACTTGGGCGCAGCAAGAGGCGAGCGGAGATTCAAATCCAAGCAGATCGCGGACCGGGAGCAAGAAGAAGAAGAGGAAGAAGCCCATCGGATCGGCATCACCACAGAGCAGAGGCCACCCGCTTTTTCCGCTTAGACGAGACTACCAATGGCCACACTCGCCCTCGCACTCATCCTCACCCGCCCCGCCCCGCCCACGCCTTAGCAGTCATGGTCTGGTGGAAGCCATTCTCTTCTTCACCGCAGCCTGGCGTACAGCAGCCAGTAGAACTACGGCAAGAATCTCCTGTCCCTCCTCCTACGCCTTCACCACCTCCCTCACCGCCGCCCGTCTCAGCAACCCCCTTCCGCTCCTCCCCCGAGATCTTTTCGCACCCACCACCCCCACCAGCCACACTCACACCTACCTCCTTCCTCTCCTCCATCTCACCCACCATTCCCCTCGTCTCCCTCTCCCTCGGTCTCGCCAGTGGACTCTATACCGGTGCAAGTCGTGCCGGACTGGTGTTCATGGCAGAGAATGCTCATCGCAGACCGGAGACGGTGCAGGGCTGGTACTTCTACAACAAGACAAAGAACTACAAGGTGCTCCTCTCTGGAATTAAAGCTGGAATCTCTACTGGAGTGAGATTGGGTGGATGGACGGGCCTGTGGGTTCTGGCTGATGCAGGGGCATTGGAGGCGAGGGAGCAGTGGCTTTCTTCGACTAGTAGCGCATGGATGGCTTATGCGCACCAGAATGGAATGCTGGGATGGTTGGGACATTGGACCGATGGAATGGTCGCAGGTCAGGCAGTGGCAGTATTGGCATCGGCGGCGTATAGACTGCCAACGATGAGGTTGCTTGCAATTGGTACACTCGCGGGAGGGACCACGGGAGCACTGCAGGACCTCCGAGACTACCTCATTAGGAAGAAGGAGGCTCAAGATGGGGTTTCTCAGCCCAGATCACACCTTGTTGGCTCTGCAACATGACCACAGCCTCTCGCCTCCACACGATGATGACAGGAGACAAGCTTAGGCACTGTTCTTCACCGGAAGGATAGCACAGTGCAGACCTAACCCCTCTCCACTACTCACAAGCGCAAGAAGGTACGTACCTTCAAGTTCGGAGGCTATACGTATCGGATCCTCCGGTCACTCTTCCGATTCTTTCGAGCGGTCGCGGTGCCCTCCAGCAGCCTCGCGCTAGTCTGTCGCCCAAAGCCGACTTTGATCGCTACACGACATAGGCTGCAAAGTCAGGCGTTTCCTCTTACGGGGCAAGAACTCCGCGACCAGCTAGAGCTACACGGGAGCAACGACATGAAGGTGAAGGAAGCAATCAAGGCTCGATGCATTGCTCCGTTGCCGATCGTCTGCCGGCTGTGAGTGTCTTTTCGTCCATACCGCAAAGCTCGGCTTCAGCAAGCGCCCGAGGCAATTGCTGCTTTGCTCATGAGCAGCCAGCGACAAGTCGATTTGCCGATGGCGCAAGAGGGAGGAATAAGAGTCAAACAAACGAGCGAGCTCGCATGAGATTGCTTAAGCATTTGCTCGTTGGCTCTCACGGACATCGTGGACTATATATGCTCCTGTCCTTTGGTTTGTCCTCCTCTTTCGAAGCTCAGCCTTAGCCTCAGCCTCAGTCTCATCTTACTGCAACAAACGCGCAGAGCTGGACTCTTCTCGCACCGCACGCTCGCTTTCACTTCACCTCATCTCAAAAGCTTCCTGCCACGCAGAGCATAGGCCCTACCGTCAAGTCGACCATGAAGCTCCTCCAAGCTCTCCTCCTCGCATCCGCCACACTGGCCGTAGCTTCCTGCAGCGCCCTCGCCGCCCCAATGCCTTCACCATCGCCTTCGCCGTTGATGCTCCCCACGTACGGACCGTCGAAGCCCCAGACTCCAACAGCGCCTGTGCTGAAGAAGGAGGGGACGAGCGTGCCACAGCCAGCCGGAGCAGGAGGTGGAGCTGGAGCTGGTAAGGAGGGGACGCTTGCCCCTACCGGGGAGAAGAAAGAGGAGGGCAAAGAGGAGAAGCCAGAGGGTCTACCCGCCCAGAAGGAGGAAGGCACCGGTCTTGGCGCTGGAGCTGGTCCTGAGGGAGCTCCCACTCCTGGTCCTAGCCCACTTGACGCACTTCATTCAGACGGCCCCTCACCCGCCAACGGTCCTGATGACGCTCCTGGCGCCGGCGATGGGGACGGTGATGCTCCTACCCGTCGTTCGCGCTCCACCGGCCGCGAACCTAAGCGTTTGGTCACGATGACGTCCCTGGCCCGCCCGCCTCCTCCTCTCTGGGTCAAGCGCCCCAATTACTACTAGGAACGCGTTGAAGGGCTTTCCCAAAGAGGACGGTCAGAGGGTAGCTCACCCTCAAGTTCTGTTGGGGCTCAGTGAAGCTGGCTGCACCTGCGTATGTATCTACGGCTTGGCGCTATGCTATGAACATTGGACGGCAATGGGGTGTCCATTAGAAGGGACCAGACGAATCCGCTTTCCTTGTAGCGACATCCGACACAGTATGATAAAGCAATGACATCGAAAATTGTATTGTGCCGAGCGAACAAGGAGTGCATGGGACCGAAGACGAAGAAGAAGTCAAAAAAGGTATGGTAAGAAGGGTGTAGGCGAAGACGAAGTACGATCTGACGAGGTGACAGGAGGAGACCAAGAGAACAATTGATGGTATGAGAGAGAGAGGGCTGAAGGTGTGAGAAAGAGGAAAGGTGACGATGGAAAGGCCGTGCCCAGAGCCCATGGCGAGGCCAGAGGGCAATAGCACTCCCGCTTAGAGGATGTAGAGAGTGCAAGCCTCCTTGCTGACCGTCTCGGTGATGGTGCTCGTGGAAGTGGAGAAGGCAGTAAGAGCAGTGTAGGTCGAGGGCGTAGCAGTGCTAGTCACCGTTGGGTCAGGCAGGTAGCTCACCGTAGGCCTGGTCACCTGTGGAATAGTGGAGGTAGTCACACTGTACACAGTCGAGACGTCTGTCACCATCCTAGTGCTCGTGACCGTATCGTACTGAGTGTAAGAGTCGCGAGCCGTCTTGATCTTGTCGGTCGTCAAAGTGGCAAACACGTACAGAGTCTGGAATGGATCGTAGACTGTCGAAGTCTTGGCAACGGTAGAGGTGGCCCAGGCAGTGAAGTCTGTGACGACAGTCGTGGCCGACAGAGTCTGTGTAGCTGTACCAGTGTAGTCTGTCACCACGTAGGTGCCGGACTTGTCGGTCACAGTAGTGACAGAATGCACTGCTCGGTCCGCCAGGCCAACGGCAGTCTCGACAGATCGCTTGTCCTTTTTGCTCGTCGACTTGGCCTTCTTTGTTGTGCTGCTGGCCTTCTTGGTCGAGGTGGACTTCTTAGAGGAGGTAGTACTAGATGCTTTCTTCGATGAGGTGGAAGAGGACTTGGAGCTACTGGTCGCCTTGGTCGAGCTACTCTTGGCGCTCGAGTTGCTCTTACCAGTCGAGCTGGACTTTGTGGTCGTCACACGACCGCCCAAGGCGCCATTGCCAAGAACAGTCGCAGTCGACGTGGGAGATGCAGTCGAGGCAGCCTCCACGATGGTACCGCACTGGGTAGCAGTCGTCGTGGTTGTGATTGTCGGAAGAGTGACCTGTGTGGTGGAATTTTGAGGCAAGGTGGTCCACTGAGTGACGATGTTTTTCGCTGGTCTGGTGATAGTTCGGAAGACTGTAGGAGTTGCTTGAGTCACGAACTCGGTCTTGACACCGGTGAGAAGGGAGCTCGTCGTCGATTCTACGCGCGTCGTTGTCACACCACCATAGAAGGAGGCAGCTGTGGGACCAGGCACGATTCGTGTACCCGTGTACGTCGTAGTGAGGTAGAATGTCCTAGTGTTGAGGTCTACGGTAGCAATTGGGGTGACCATGGATGTGTAAAGTGTGGAGATCGAAGAGTAGAGGAACTTCGTCGCCGAGTGGAAGGTATAGGTAGAGGTGGCCGCAGTGAGAGTGGACGTGGCAATGTCGTTCCTGTAAGCTTGCTGGAAGCTCTGCAGACCTCCGGTATTTCCATATACGTCCGAACAGCTAATCGAGAACGTCAAGACATCATCCTCTGGCCAGCCATTGCCGCTGTTGCCAAAGCGGAAGGTAGTCTGTGGATTACCCTTCGGGCTGGTCTGCTGCCATGTAAAGCCTTTGGTGGAGCGACTAGAGACACTCTTGACCACACAGGTTCCGTATTGGGTCTCATCACAGCTAGAAACGTAGCCGACAACGTACGAGGCATCGAGGACGTCGCTTCCATCTTGGGGATATGGTAGCTGGTTGACACTAGGTACAAAGGTGCTAGAGTACTCGGGTACGACTTGCAAAAGAGCTTGGCAGGAGGTAGACTGGTAGGGTGTGCTGGCGTTGAAGGTGATCATCTGTTGGCCAAAGCTGACATTGGTTGAGGGTCCCGGAGACTGCGAATACGAGACTGAATTGCTCGCCCATAGATTCGTGTCACCAGTGATGACGCTCTCGCCCAAGTAATCGTCCATGGTAGCGCTGCACCCCTTCTTGATGCCCAGATTGGTCGGGCAGTTGAGTGTTGGCTTGTAGGTCTTGTCCACAGACGAGACTGCAGTGGTGGTGTCGTTGCTGGATGAAACGACTTTGGGTGCGTCACAGTGCTCAGAGTACTGTCCGCTCATCTTGACTCCAATGGACAGGTAATCAGTGATCACACTGGGCGTGAAGCCGTTCAGGAGAGTATCAATGGGGACATAGAAGTAGCGACTTGTTCCCTGCGAACACTGGGAGTCGGAAGCCAGGCAAGCCGGATTGGCTCCAAAGTCAAAGAGGACCATACCAGAGGGGTAGACGATGTCCGTGACGACACTCGCAGAGCCTCGGCATTGTGTCACATCGACTGAGACGTAGCAGGTATAGCCAGCTGGAGGACTGATAGTGATAGCAACCGAATTACTGAAGTCCTGTTGAGCAAGTACCTCGGTACCAGAGGTGGAGCTTGAATCACTGCCAGTCGAAGTGGTTCCGCCAGTAGTGGTGTCCGTGCCACTGGACGAATCGGAAGTATCGACACTGTTGAAGCCCACAGAGATGCCCACGGACGATTCAGCACCGAAGAGCTCGAAACCAAGCGTGGTTTCGACGTTGCCGTTGACCTCCGATGACGAGCCTGATGACGAGCTGGTGCTAACCGTCTTCTCTGTGGTTGAATCGTATTGGAACGACTGTCCAGTCGAGCTCTCTGTGGTCACTGTAGTGGACACGGTATAGCCTTGCGTGACCGATAGTGAGATCTGTGTACCATCCGACATGGACCTGCCGTATGTGGAAATCGAGTTCTTGGAGCAAGTGCCTTCATCTGGGTAGAAGTTGACTTCGGCATTGAGGCCGTCCAGGCAGACCTGCGCTGGATTCTGGTCGTACTGCACGATGTCGACGTTGCGAAGGACTGACAATCGCGCGTTCCACCCTCCGTACGAGGTGCCATAGAACATATCGCTGCGGTAGGTTCTAGGTGTAGCGAAGCTAGTGACGGGGAAGTTGAAGAGAGAATTGGCGTTGTCCATCAATACTCGCAGTTGAGCATCTGTCAGCACCCGCAAGTCGTCGTTGGTTGCCTTTCGGCAGACTTCCGTCGCAGTCACCGAGCGCTTTCCCAGATTGTGAAGGCTGCGCTTGATCTCGGCGCGTGTCTCGGGAGAAGTAGTTGGTTTGACCTCGAGACCTCGGTCTGAAAGAGGCAGTGGCGTAGCATTGACCGATTGCCAACTGCTCAGGCCGCAGAGGAGGGCGGTGGTAACGCCAGGAAGTGAAAACTTCATGTTGAGGCTTGCTAGCAATCACTCTTCACCTGTTGGGATGGACGAATGATTTCTGAAGGAGCCTTTTTGGGAATTGCTTGGAGTTGCAAAGATGGGGGAGCCGATGAGGCGCTATACTTCAAGCCAGTGTCATTAAGAGGATCCGCTTGTGAATGAGCAGCAGTCTTGTCCCTGCTTAGACCACCTCAGCTCGGAGTTGCTTTGCACTGGCTCACGTTTCGAAGAGATGTTGAAGCAGAATGGCTCGCAGCTCAGTAGATCTTTGCCTTTGCCAGCCGGAAAAAGGCTCTGTGTCTACAAGACATGGTGATCTCGCAAGTCTCTACGCCGTCTCTCGTCCCCAGGGCAGCTTGTGCGGAGTCGGGAGCGTTCCAGGACATCGAAGCGAATATTCGAAGTGAAGGCTACCAAGCCACACAGCTACGGAAACTCTCATACAGCTGAGTAGAGCTTGCCCTGTCAAACCCAAATCTCCTCATACGGGCGTTTTCCGGAGGTAGGAGACTATGACCCTTTGTCTGGAGGAGCCAGTGGCGTTTGAGATCCACGGCGAGGGTGAATTGTTCGAACGGCGGTAAGACGACGCGGCGCAACCATGAGTCGACGAATTAACATGCAAGATTGCCTCTCCGCCTTGCAGGTCTGAGAATATCACTGGCGCGTGCCGCACAGGGATTGACTTGGGGTCTTGCTCAGAGGGTACCACAGGGAACCGCGGCTGCGTCTCCAACCCCCAAAGGAGTGGAACAGATGTAAATTGACGGTGGCTGACCCGCCCAAAGTCAGGCGCAGCCATGCCAAGCCGCACCACGTCGACGGGGTCTGAATCTAATCTGTCAGCATTGGTCCGCCGGCAAACCCAACTTTGAATTGACCTCCCGACCCCGCCGCCACTCCTTCGCAAAGGCCGGACGTGAGCGTACCAAGTCTTAGCGCTCTCAACGGTTGCTCAGACAGCCTCGCAAGTGCGCTGCACCTCGTCGCCTTCACGTAGAAGGCATGTACCTTCTTCGTAAGACGACATCTCTCTTTGGTCAGAAATATACCCGGGAATGTGGGCATGAACAGCAGAGCAGCGGAGCAAATGGGGACATACCTCTCCGTGCTCCGAGAGAAGTCTGAGGTCGGCGGGAGCAGCGGCGCAGACGCCACCCTCGCAGGTGAGATATTGGAAGAACCTTGCAACCACTCCGAAGATGTGAGCAGTACATTCTTGTGGGGTGGTGGAGAGCAGCTCGCAATATAACATCGTTGTCTCTCTTCAAGAGTTACCGCAAGACTCCCACCCTATTTTTTCATCGCAATCAACCTAAGCAACAAAGTCGAATCGCCGAGTCACTTCATCAAGATGCGCTTCACTCTTCTCACCCTAGTAGTTGCCTTCTTCCTTTCTGCCTCCTTGGCTATCGCAAAGCCCATCGATGGCGAAGTCGTGCGTCGGCAGTCATCAGATGACGCGCAAATCAATCAATTCTGTAAACGATTCAATGCGGCCTGTGTCGCCGTTTGCACGAGCGACAAGCGCGCTGGTACCACGACCAAGGTCGTACTCTCCTGTGAAGCCTCTGGAGACTGGTTCAACTTCGGCTGCAAGTGTGGAAACATCGACAAGACGAATTCGGCATTCAACAAGCTTGGCGGTTTGACTACAACCACCAAGACCAGTACCAAGAAGGTCACCACGACTTCTACAGCTAAGCCCACGGTCACCAAGACTAAATTGGTCACCTCGACCGGCTCAGCCACTACAACACAGATGTATTCCACGACGTCCACTTCGCACACTACCAGCACGATCAAGACCACGACCACAACCACGTTCCTTTCCGTAGTGCCAACGACCTGGGTCAGCACAGCAGTGTCAGTGATCCCCTACACTACACAGACGACTACAGACCAGACCTCTGCTTCGGTCCAGGGCCTGCCCATCGCGACAACGATTCCTTACAACGTCATCGAAGTCTCCCTCGCTGACCCTGCCGCCTCGCGCCGAGGCCTGGCCCCGCGAGCGGCAAACGCACTCTGCAGGAACTTCCTCGACTCCTGTGCTTCCGAGTGCAAGCGTGTCAGCTCGGTGCCCAAGACGCAATTCTGCAAGCGAACTAGCACGACCTTGTACTCTTACCAACTCGGATGTGTCTGCCAGAACGGCATGACCGAAACCAGGCACGCTCTAGCAGACATTGAGGAGAGCGTCGACATCGCCTCGACCATTCAGACCTTGACCTCCACTGCTACGATCACGAGGCCTACAACCACCATTCAGACCATTACCGGGTATAAGACTCTGACGTTCCTCGAGGAACTCACAAGCAGCTTTACCATCACTATCACTACCTCTACCAGCACCACTAGCACCTCGGTCACCTCTACCACCTATTCTCCTGGTACCACAACGTCCACCACCACTTATAACCCAATCGCAACGAAGATCAACACCTCGACTACCTTGCAGGTACTGTCTCCCACAGGTGCTCTGAGAGTTCGCCGCTCCTACGACGATGTCGCCGTTGGCTACGTCAAGACTTCGGACGCCTCTGGCAACCCCGTACAGGTAGACACATCCACCGGAGCCAAAGCTGACGCAGACTCGTATGTGCTGATCAAGGACTCCAGCTCCTCCGGCCTTTACCGTCTGTCTCGTACGGACTTGGACGACGGCCGCGACTACTCGATGGTCTGTGAGCTGTCCTCCAACACTGCCTCTACCACCTTCTCCACCACTTCCTCCAACTACTGCACCCTCGAGAGTCTGATCTCTCAACAGACTTCGGCCGGAGCCGCCTCTATGACTCCTGCAGGCAACTTCTTCCAGAACTCAATCGAGACGTTCAATTGGTTCCCTCAGATTGGAACGATCTCTGGCATGTCCGGCTCACAGCTCAAGGTGTACCCTCAGTGGATCAATCCGAGCTCACCCACGAAGCCAGCTACCTATCTGGTCGCTGGCGGTAAGAACCTCTTCCTCACCGGAGACCGAGCCGATCTTGCCAAGGACATCGGCACAAACTCGCCGAATGCCATCAATGTCGCGCCGCTGTACTTTGCCTTTGAGTCCTAAAGGTAGATGACATGGCAATCGATGCCATCATCCACACCATCTCCCTTCCTTACCTCCCTCCACATTCGTTCTTTCTTTCCACTGTCTCGTCGTCACCGTTCTTTGTTTCGCCTTCACACTCGAGCCGCTATGTGCGGCTCCTTCTATACCACTTGCAAGGGGAAAGCCTTGCTCTTCCACCGGTCTCCTCTTTTTGGCCTCACTTTGCAATGTCTTTGACTTCCATCACATTTTTCGCCACGCCCACTCTGGCATTGTCTTCTCCCTGTCACTGTCACTTTCTCGTATTGAAATCGAATGCTTCCCTTTCACTACGCCGCCTCTTGTCTGTTTCGCAATATCTGATAGCCCGTCCCGTGTCAGACTGTGTATGCGCCAGGATTTCGTGCTTCACTTCCAGGCTCTCTGTTCGTCCATTCCGATGCAGCGACCTAGGTTGCCTCTTTGCACGCACGAGTGGTCCGACTGAGCGACGACTCGACGCGTGGCTCCATCGCCCCTTCAGATGTCTCACTGGAGCATGCCAGCCATTTTGCTCATACCTCACCTCCAAGTAGTTCTGACCGAGACATAGAAATGGTCGATATGCTCTGCGAAGCTTCTCCGTAGTAGACGCAGGCGGAGCTGCTATCGAAGAGTGGTGCGGAGAGCAAGTGCAGGATGCCAAAGGCGACAGGATCTCTCCAACAAAGGCGGAGTTGAACGGAGGCGGAGTAGCAACCTGTACCGGTCCACGTCAAGCCACGTCGAATCGGGGTGGCGGAGATGAGATTGAGTTCACCCGCCAAGCCCCGCTGGTTGCTGACTGCTGCACCCACATTCCGACCTTTACGCTGCACGTCGTCGAGCAAAAGCTTCTCCTCTTCGCTCACGACAGACTTCGAGTGCACATCACTCAAGCGCAGATCCAGACTGCTGGAGAGAGGGTGGATGGTTCCAGTGAGGCTGCACTGCTGATAGTGAACACTGCAAGCCACAGGCACTCGCAATGAGCGCAGGAAAGGTGGGCCATGCTCGAGGCCACCGACAGGAATGGGGTTTCTATGGTGGGTCGAAAGAGACACTCGATGCAAAGGCAGACGTCTCTTCGCTCCAAGACAGACACCCTTTCTCCATACTTTCTCCTATCTTCATATCCTCTACGTCCCCCTTGGAGGCAAAGCAGATACTGCCACCTAGGTGACTCGCTCCCTCCGCTACTTTCTCGTCAGCATCACAATGAGACCTGCTCAAAGCGCTCTGCGCCTCACAGTGTCTGCTCTGCTGCTAGTCCTTCTTTCGGGACTCCAGACGACGGACGCCGCATCGACCTCAAGCAACATTCTCTCAGCACGACGTGCGGCTACAACATCCTGCTCGACCAAGAAGCCCTGCCCTGCTGACTCGCTCAAGTACTGCGATACCAGCTCGAAGACTTGTGTGAAGCAAGTAGCCGACGGAAAAGCCTGCACAAGCGACGCTGCATGCCTTCAAGGAGTCTGTCAGTCCAATGGCGTTTGCCAGTCGACCAGTCTGGCCAATGGGAAGAAGTGTACGGCCGTTGTGAGTAAACACTGTCTACTCTTTTGCTGCACGATGGGCTGACACCACACCTTGACCTACGCCCCCTCTGACAGACACAATGTACTTCTGGCAACTGCAAACTGACGCTTGCGAATCCTATCTGCGCTGCCAAGGTTGCCAACGGCTTCACTTGTGCTGCAGACTACAATTGCAGCAGCGGCAAATGCAATCTGACGACCAAGCTCTGTCAGGCCATTGCTACGACGTCATCTAAGTCCGTCAAGACTACCAGCTCGAGCAGCACGAAGAAGACTTCTGCCTCTTCTTCGACCTCTTCGACCAAGGCCAGCTCAAGCACTACGAGCAAGACGTCCTCTACCGCCACGACGAAGACTACCTCTACAACTTCGAGCACTTCGACCCCTCAGATCTCTTCGTCTTCCACCACAAGTGAAGATGCAACCACTTCTTCGACAACGACAACAGAGCAGTCCACACCGACTATCCCTAGCGTGACATATGCGGCAGCGGGTCCATATCAGGCGTGCACAGTACAGGGCGGCTGCCTTGGTGACGGCGCGTTCGTCTGCCAAAACGCAATCTGCACAGCTGCAGGAGGCTACCTCCAACCTTGCCGACCGGACAGCACGTGCACCTCTGGTCAAGATCTCTACTGCGCTGCCTCCGATGGCTTGTGCCACCGTACGACTAGCTGTGATCCCCAATGTGATCCCAACACTCAAGGCTGCTTGTCCTACGTGGTCAACCGCCCGGGCATGTCCTACGGTGCCTATCAGTGCGTCGACACAACGGGATCGGCTGGTGAGACCTGTCTGGCCGACGGAACCTGCAAGGACGACAGTCTCTCCTGCGAGTCCAGCAGCAACACTTGCAAGAGCAAGGTGGCATCGTCAACTTCCACGGCTCCTGGTGCGGCCCCCACCACATGTACACCAGCGTGCGATTCCACGAAGCAAGTGTGCTCAACTTTCACAACCAACAGCGGCACCACCTACGCCTGCCAGGCCGCAGGTGCTCGTGGTCAGCCCTGCCTTGGCGATGGGACTTGCTCGACTGATCGTCTTCAGTGCAACGCCGAGAATACATGCGAAGCCAAGCCACAGACGACGTGTGAACCTGCTTGCTCTGCGGCGCAAGTGTGCCAGCAGCAGAACTTCAACACCTTCACATGTATTGCCGCTGGTGCTCTAGGTCAGCTACCTTATGTGAATGGAACGTGCAACGCTGGTCTGCTCACGAATTCGACTACAGGATTCTGCGACTTGCTGCCGGCAGGCGCAGTCTGCACTGCCGATGCACAATGCTCTGACAAGGCCCTCCGGTGCCTTTTGACTGGCGATGGCAGTGGCACAAAGACTTGCTCGGCAGCAGGTCTCTCCGGTCTTGCCTGCTCTCGTACCGGCAAGTGCGACAGCTCCAGCTACTGCTACAATGTGACTGACACGTGCAACGCCTTTGGCAAAGTTGGCGATGCCTGCCCTGGAGGAGTCGACAGCCAGTGTGTGGGACCTCTCCAATGTCGCAGCAAGGTCTGCAGCGTCGTTGGCGCGCTTAGAACCCCTTGCTTCTCCAACAGTACATGCAGCGGGACTGACCTCACATGCGACATGACCTCTTCTACGTGCCTCTACAGCAGCGCCGCTGGAGTCGGCGCGACGTGCATTCAGCAGGCAGACTGTGCCTCTAGCCTGAGGTGCACATTGGCAACACATGGAACATCGACGTGCCTGACCGCCGGAACCAACGGGAACCCCTGCCTCACTACAGGAGGCTGTTCGGACAATTCGACCTGTGTCTCTGACGTTTGCCGGGCTTGGGGAGGTATCAACGCTACCTGCTCTGACATTGCCCCTTGCGTCGACGGCACTGCCTGTCTCAATGTCACAGTACCCCTAGACACAGCCTCCACTCAATCGACGTCCTCTCGTCGCCGCGATCTATCTCCTCTGATGAATCTGGGCACTCGACCTCTGGCACCCTGGCACCCGGTCTGGATGCTTCCACGAGATGACATAGAGACGACTCCCGCCCAGAACACCACAACTGTGCAACAGTGTGTGCGCCTAGGCTACGTCAATGACACTTGCTTCAGCAACTCCACATGCCGAGCGACAGGCGGAGCCGTATGCAACACGACTTCAATGACCTGCGGTGTCTATCATCCCAAGGTCAATGAGAGCTGCACACAGGAAGGCGTGCTGTCTCCGACTGGCAATGTCACGTGTGATTCGGGCCTTCGCTGCACTACAAGTACGAACATCGTCAAAATCTCAGGCAAATACGGCTTCCAGAATGTATCCACATGTCAACCTGCTGGAGGTTTGAGCCAGAGGTGCCTGCTCAACCAAACGGACTCTACATTGCAGTACTGCAACGCTGGCATGACCTGTTCCTCGAATACAACCGCCGGTAGATGTCTCAAGAACCTCGGAGAGTCTTGCGCCGTGGCCAACATCACCCAGTGTATTTCTGGAACCGTCTGCTCTGCCAGCAGCAAGACCTGTATCTCGGTTGGTGGTCTCGACGAGGGATGTATCAGCGATGCCGTCTGCAATGCTGGTCTGAGGTGCATCAACTCTACGGGCACTCCAACTTGCAAGACGAGGAACAATGCCACGTGCGAAGACTTTAGCACCTACAATCTGACCAGGATCTGTCCGGAATGCGACACACTGTGCTCGTTATCGGTAGACAGCGAGACGGTCTTGTGTAGCTTCCCAGCTGGAACTCCCTACAAATTCATGGTTCCCAGAGGTATTGATAATGTCACTGTCATTGCTCGATCCGGTGCGGGCGGTAACGGCACCATCTATGCTGCCAACTTCACGGGGATCAACACCACGATGAGCTCGAATAGCTCGACGACGGACGATCCGACCTCTACTAGTAATTCGACAGCAACGCCCGCATATGTCATTCTCAACGGGACTGCCTATCTGAACAATACGAACACGACGGTTCCACTGTACAAGAATGGTACAACATTCGGCGGTGTAGGTGCTTCTCTCACGACGTGGATGATGCTGGTGGCCAACCGCACCTACTCGATTACCGCTGGCGGCATTGGCAATCAGTACCAAGGCGGGTACAACGGAGGCGGCATGGGCTACTACGACAATGCTACCAACTCGTCATCGGGTGGTGGAGGTGGTCGGACAGAGTTGATAGATACCTTCAATGGCACACGTCTCGTCTGTCTGGGAGGAGGAGGTGGTGGTGGCTACCTCTGGGGCGGTGGTGCAGCCATGACCAAGGGCAACGGCACGGAAGGCTTCGGTCTTCCTGGCGCCTCCAATTCTACTTTGGGAATGGACTCGGCTGCGATTGGTCTTGGCGCTGGAGGAGGCGGGTGCAATGGTGGTACTGCAGCTTTCAAAAAGGATAGCGGCGCAGGTGGTGGTGGTGGTAATTCGAATCCTACAGCGGGCGTGGTGGTGGCAGATTATACCCACTATGGCAACGTGACGCTGAAGCTGTCTCCTTCGTCTGGATTCGTGGGACTTAGCTTCGCTTGCCCAGTCTCTACATATTGAGGACAACAGGGCAGCAGCAGCATGATGGGCCCCTCTCTATTCTCTTCTTACGTCACGCGCACTCTCATTGTTCCATTATGTTCATCTTTCGTCTTCGATTACCCCCTTTTCTTCTGGGCTATTGCTTCTTCTATTTGCGCCGGCTGAGCGCTTCTCAATGTCACCCATGAACTTCGCATCAAGAGTGATTCAGATTTGATCAGCAGCAGCAGCTGTACCCCACAGAGGTACGACGTGAACCCTGGCCTAGCGCGGGTCCCCACCCCCGGGTCTGACGTTCCGGCCAACCCATTTGCCAATTCCCGGGGAACCAGGCGCGCCGTGGTGGATGTGTCGGTTGTCGGAGTTGCGCGTCCGAAGTTGCGGAAAGGGAGGCGGAGGGGAGCGAGGGCAGCAAGAAAACGCCAAGATCAACACCGGCGGCATCTGACGCTGACGCGGGAAATTGCCAGGGCGGAGAAAAGAGGCAGAGGGGCAGAGGGCAGATACAAACACATACATACACAGCGGAGATGGACTTGGTTGGAATGGAAGCCACCACGGACGCAGACGCAGACAGACGCAGAGACAGATGAGGGTGGAATGAAGGCCACCGAAGCACAAGCACAGGGGCACACGCACACACACCCACACACACACTCGCTCACCAAACAGGGTCTGACATCGCACCCTTGTGTCTCTGCCCCTGTTCCTTCTTATACCTCTCCTTGTCCCCCCTTCGTCCTGTTTCCCCACTTTCCCTCCTGACCTTTCTTGAATCTTTCCTTCGTACAACTCCCCCCCATCTCGCTCTCGCTCAACACACTTCCACACACTCTTTACCATGCTCTACCGATCCATCACCGCCACTGCCGCCCTGGCCCTCGCCGCCAGCACCTCTTCCCTCGCTGTAGACATCCCCAGGGCCATTGCCCAGGATCTCACCCAGTTCGAGGCTCAGGCCCTCATCCCCGAGCCCATCGACTCGGACTACCTGGACCTCTCCTCTGCCCTCGTCCTCGCCTTTGGCTCTACCAATGTCACCACTGGTCAGCGCTTCGAATTCCCCGCCGACACCTCGGCCCTGGCCACTGCTCCCACTTTCCAGCTGGACGTACCCGCTAGCATGGCATCCCAGTATGCCGCTATGAACTTCACTGCTATGATCGTCGACCCTGGAGCGTACGGACAGACAATGGGAGGAAGCAATGTCACTCGTCACTACCTCGCCAACGACCTGCGTCTTTCCAATGGTAGACTTACCAACTCCACTCCTGCCATTACATCTTATGCTGAGCCAGGACCTGCAGCTGGAACTGGAGCTCATAGGTACATGGCATTGGTCTTTGCTCAGGAAAGTGGATTTGAAGCACCTGATGGTTTCACTACTCAGATGGGAGTATCTACAATGGAACTTGCCGACTACGTTGACGATGCCGACAACTTGGGCCACATTGTCGCAATGACCTACATCATGGTCGAGAACGTAAGTGCACGTGTAGAGCGGAAATGGAAAAGATAGAGTAACAGCTGCAAAACAAATTGTAGGCCAAGAGACCGACCCTTACTGACCCATTCTACTCGCTTTGCTCCGCCTTCCTCCTCCTGTCTCACAGACCGCTGACGGAACCGCAACCGTCAGCAGCAGTACCGCCGTCCCCTCCTCGTCCGTCGCAGCCGCCGAATCTTCCATTGCCTCTTCTCTCAGCCTGTCCACTTCGATGACCTCTGCCGCCAGTGGCGCATCGAGCTCGGCTGCCGGTGCTTCTTCGACTGCTGCTTCTAGTGGAGCAGTTGGAGCTGCTGCTGCCTTTGGTGGAAAGAGCGCAGTCATGGCCGCTGTGCTGGGTATGGCTAGTGTGGCTGTGGGCGCTTGGGCGCTTTAAAGCAGGGAGTTCCTTCTCCTCGACTCTTCGCACGTCGCACTCCATGCTCTTCACTTCACGGACTGCTGCAGAGACCAGACCAAGGGAACTGCACCCAATCCCCCAACCCCCCACCTCTTCCTCACTTCCACCCCTACCCCTCCGCCGCCCTCTTCGGACGGGCCCGCGTCCTCTTTGTACCTCTTCGAAATGACTCTGACCCCCCTCTACGAGGTACAATCTGCTTGTCTACTATTTGCTAAATTCTAAAGCACTTTACGACCTACCCTTACTTTCAAATTGATCTGTCTCTGTCTGAATTGTGGTAAAGGTGAAGGGTGAGGATCGAGGGGTGAAGAGGGAAAGCAGACGCACGATTCTGCATATCGCTGAAGTCAATGGTGATGCACAAGCAAGACTGAGGCGACGGTAAGCATTGGGGATCCTGGATAGCTATGATATTTGCAGCTGTGCTGCGCTATGCTATTCGGTGTGCACATCTAGTGCTATAGGCGACTATGTAATAGGGGAGAGAAATAAGCTCGCTCGCTCGCTCGCTCGCTCGCTCGAATGAGCGCTCTACCTGCCTGCCAGTCAATCGGGACGAATGTGTATACTGCCTCTCATCCTATCACAGCCTCTAGGCCCAACCACCGCAAACGACTCTTTCCTTCTCTCCCCATCTCACATCCCAATCTACCCACCCTTTGCCCCCTTACCTGCACCCCCACTCTTCATCGCAGCAGGAGCCGCTCCAGGGACAATGCGCTTCGCTGCGGGTCTAACCGCTTCTCCTCCTTCGCCGCTCTGCTGCGCCTGCCCCTGCGACTGCTTATCACCACTCTTCTTTGCAGGACGAGGGGAAGATCCATCCCCAGAAGCACTCGTCGTTGTCCGAGACCTGTTGTTGCCGTTGGCAGCAACCGCGGAGCCTTCGCTGGAGAGACGGAGGTGCCCGTTGGCTGCTGCTGCTGCCGCTGAGGGGGAGCTCTTGATGTGTGATGCTGCAGGACCACGGGAGCTGGCCCTGGACTGCGATGCCGATGCCGACGTGCTCGCTCCATTGGCGATCGCGTGGGCCAATTCTCCATTCACACCCGCATCGAGTCCCTGTCTCTTATAGAAGAGCAGGTAAGCCAATCCATCATGACCTCCATTGCCCCTCAGTGGTTGCCCCGCCTTCCTGCCTACGTGCTCCGAGGCGACGGGCCCAAAGGTGGTGTCGTCAAAGTGGATCCAGCCACTGCCGTCCTGCCGCAGGACATCGACGGTGTAGTGTCCTCCCGATGCGTACCTTCCATGGTGGTAGACGACGCCAAAGAGGCGATACCTGGTGGGGCCCTCGGCTCTCCTGGTAGGTGAGACCATCTCCCCTCCGATGTCCAGTGTGTCTGTGTACCCTACCTCCTTGACGTTCTTCTGCACACCTCCGACTTCATCGTACAAGAATCGTTTGAGATGGAGGACTAGGATGGGTGGAGTACGCTCGATAAAGACTTGCTTCGTGGCATCGACCAGTCCGCCTCTTGCTGGCGAGTAGACGCCAGGAATCGTTTCGGGAACCGTCAAGTTGAGCAGAGCATCTTCGATGGTGTGCACGTGAGACGGCTGGATGTCAAGCTGCAGCGGCTGGTACGGCTCCAGAGTGACACTGTCTTTTGCTCCTGGCGTACGGAGGACGGAACGCAGCTTGCCGCCGAACATACGAGTGATGGGAGACTCGGCATTGGACGTCGTCCGGGTAAAGGCAGTCTTGCCCTTTTGTCCAACTTCCATCCATCCTTCCTCACTGGGCGAGGCTGGGCGTTGCACCTCTCGCTCCTCTTCAATCTCGACATCGTCTTCACCGACAGGTGCATCGTCCGAGGATGTAGCAGCGTTTGTACTGCCAGCAGCAGCTCGTCTTGCACCTGCACCGCTCTTCTTCTGCATAGCAGCTACACGTGCATTGGACCGTTGAATGGCAGACAAGAGCTCTTCGTGTAGAGTATCGAGGAAGAAGCCGAGGAATTCTTCAGCATCTTCTTGGTGACCGCGTCTCATGAGGTCGAAGCGCTTGTTGAGCTTCATTGCCTCGTACACGTACTCTGGCACCAGAGGCTCACTCAATTGCGGATTCGGTGCCAATTCGCTGGCTCCTGTCCTCCCACCTCTGGGCCGCTCCGCAAGATGGAACTCCCTCAGAAAGTGTACCACGGCCTCCATCAAAGGTGTGGCATTGGCAAAGTCGGCGCTGATCTCATCTCCAACCTTTGTGAAAAGGTTGTAGAAGGGAGCGCAGAAGACGAGGACCTGCATGATAGCATTGGCGAAGCAGAAATTGCCTTTGTTGATGAGACCCCGAGGCAGGGTGAGGGGAGCAGTAAATTGTGTGTGAGCGTCTGCAAGAAGAGCCTCGAGTGAGAGGCGAGGCTGGCGCTGCCAAGACCTCGAATGCTGCTGCTGCTGCTGATTAGAAGAGCGACCATTTGAGTTGGATGGGTGGGGCGCGGCTATTACGGATGCCGATGTCGAAGCTGCGCTGGGCCCATCAGCTTCGGACACGGCACTGCTGGCTGGCATCATGAAGCTCATGGCGCCGGTGTCCTTGGAAGCCAGACGGGCCCATGGACGGGGCTGTGACCACGCTGGAAGTGTCGGTGTGCGATTTTGAGTTGCTGGGGTGGGTGTGGTAGAGTCGGGAATAGATGCATCTTGACGAGGATCGAGGGTAGCGGAAAGGTCGGACTTGAGGGAGGGTGAGAGAGGGGTTGCTGGTAGCGTCGAGGCGGGCGTGGTCGTCTCCAGAGTGAGAGCGTCGGAAGTAGTCTGCGTGCGGGTGGAAGAGGGAGTAACAGTACCGCTGTTGCTCTTGTGCCCTGTCCTCCCAGCACCTGTTGTCGATCCTGCTCGCCCAGCTGCTGCTGATGCCGCCGCATCCCCTCGCCGCCCCATACTCTTCCATGCTCTCCTCTGCTGCTCGCATTGCGTATGCTGACTTTCTTCTACAAATATCGTTTTGGGGTCGATGCCTGCACGATAGGAGAGTGTCAGGGGCGGTGCGGTAGCGGGAGGTGGTGGCGCTGAAGGTACTATGGCGAGGGTGACGTTGATGGAATTGGCGACCATTATGGGTGGAAAGGGGGAATGCCGAGACTGCGATCTACGGAAGCGGCTTTTCCTCGACGAGGCTCGTGTGTTGTATGTCGTCTGATCATCATGGGTGGCTGCTCTTGAAGGGGGCCGTCTCGTCCTTTGCACCGAAGGGTATGAGGGTTGCGCAGAAGAGGAAGCCGACGTCACACTGAATCCCGAGATGGCCTCGAAGTCGCTGGCAGTGGAATTGCTACCACTGGAATATGTTTGCTGCACTTCATCGACGAGGGTGAGGGTCAAGCCGTGTGTAGCAGCCCTGGGAGCATAGTGGGGTACGGACACCACTGGAGGTGGGGAGCGAAGGGTGGAGGTGGATGCTGACGAAGAAGATGAAGATGAAGATGCGACTGGATCACTTGCAAAGGGTGTAGAGGAGCCAGAGGGCTGTGCTATGGTAGTCACCATCTCTGCGTACTGCAGGGAAGCGATGGCGACGTCGATGGCCTCCTTGCGCGTAGTCGAGGTTGTAAAAGGATCTGTGACTGCTGGAGCTAGGCGCAGTGGGTATGTATGAGTGGACGGTTCCGAGCTGTGAATGAAGAGGGTGCTGCGCAGCGAAGGATATGAAAGTGTGAGGTATCTGCTGAGTGAGCGTATCTGTGGTGCCTGTATGCGATGAGGGTATGAGTATATGCTGGGTGGTGGTGGTGGTGGTGGTGGTGGTGAGGACGACGACGACGACGACGATGACGATGATCGATGTGGGGCGATGGTGTCCGTCGTGTGCGTGAGTGAGTGCGTGGGTGAGCATCGTGCGCCTGGCTGCCGGAAGATCGTCTGACCTCCGCCCAGCCGCGTGGGCCAATTTTTTGCGCTCCACTCCCGCCTGCACGCCTCGGCTCGGCCCCGCGCATGGCCCCTCGCTTGACGGACGACTCTACGCCCGTACCCAAGTCTCCTCACATCTTCTTGGCCATCAGACTCTTCCTATTCACCTCCCCAGCAGCTCACAGCATATCATACCGCCTCCACTACCCTCGAAGCACGTCACAATCTCACCTCCCAAGCTCCCAGACTAGCTCCAATCATGACCCGGACATAGACTCTCCCCTCGTCAGCCTCGGTCTAATACAGACGTCCCCGACTTACTCCCCACGAGCAGGGGAGAGGTGCTGATAGTAGATTACATTTGCTCTGGATCACGCAAATGTCAGCAGGACCGCAGCCCAGTGGGAGTCTTAGCCCAGGGGCCGCTCAGGGATTGAGTGGCCCCGGGGCAGCAGCGGCGCCAACAGCACGGGGCGGGGCAGGCAGTAGTGGGCCCACTTTGCTGGCTAGACCTGGCAAGGTATCGGCGCCAGCAGTTGGTAGCAGCCAAGGCTCTCCGCAAGTCACTTCTCCTGCCGATGCAGCAGCCTTGTCTTCTGGACTCACCTCCCTCAAGCTCGCCACGCCCCCGGCCGCAACGTCTACATCTGCCCTGCCGTCAGTGCCGTCAGCCCTCGATGAGACCCTCTGTGATGCTCTTCGCTCCTCCAAGGATCGCCTCTTCCTGCTACGACAGGAGCAGCACATGATAGACTTCATCGCCAATCCTGATGGAGCGACCGAGCACGTATTGCCATTGATGAACTCCTACCAGCGGTTACTCGTACACCGATGTGCCGACTATTACAATCTACACAGAGACGTCGACGTGGAGACAAAGGTGGTCAAATTGAGCCGAACTGCAGATACTAGAATGTGAGTAGCTTCTAGAGTTATTGCGCTCAGATCTCCCATCACGAAACTGATCCCAAACTGATCCCGTCCACGTTCTTTCATCTGCCAGCCCGCCTCTCCGGGTCACCCAGCTCTTCGACAGGATGAATGCCGCTCCTCGACCTGGTGATGCCTCGCCCTTCGCAGTCACATCGATTGGAGGAAACCAGGCTCTTGCCGGAAGTTCTCGGAGCGGCGACTCGAGCCCTTCTGTCGTAGATCAGAACGGCTCACCTGCCGGTGGAGCCCTTCCTGGTCCCTCCAGCTTCCGTATCATGCGCAGAGACCCATCACTGGGTACAAGAGGCATTCGTGCTGGGGCAACAGGCCCGGGTGAGGACGGCTCTGGCTCTGAGCCGGGGAAGAAGAGTAGAAAGGATATGACAATAGAGGAAAGAGAGGCTGCCTACCGAGAAGCTCGGGACCGGATCTTTGGTGCGAGCCTCGCAGAGAGCGAAGAGCAGTCAAAGCCTGTGGGTAGCTCGGTTGACGGAACAGCAAGGAGTAAGGGAAGCGCTGCCAACAGTCCCAGCAATGCACGAGCTGGACTCGGAATGAACTCTGCCACAGCAGGAACTCCTTCGTCTGCCAAGGGCTCGGTGGCAGGGCCTGCTCCACCACAAGAGGAGTTCAGGCCTTCGGGCGCTGCTATCAATCCCTACGCTGCCTCTGGTATGCCTCCACTACCGTATCAATCAACGTACTACGATGCCAATGGCGCTCTATTCGGCGCTCAACAAAACGAACCAGGCCGATACGCAGCGAGCACAACAGGCTTCGATAGAGAACCCGTCTGGCCTCAACTGACTCCCCAGCAACAGCAGCAACCCCCGTTTCACACTCCACCCTGGTCCCAATATCAACAGCATGCCCAACAACAGATGCCCCTGTACTCCCAAAACGGCGGTTCTGTACCGCAAGCCATGTACCAGTATCCATACCCTCAGCCAAGTTGGCAACATTCTCAGCAGGGTGGCCTGTACTATGCTCAGAATCCCTCTGGTAATGGCTCTACTTCCAATCTCAGCAGCTTCGATGCCTTCTCCCCTTTTCCCCCTACGCCCAGCACAAACAGCTCCGTCGGTATACCTTCTCCGGCGCCGAGCGTGAGCGGCAGCAGCAACTCTGCCGTCAGTCGGAGGGGAGGCAGAGGAAACGTCGAAGGAGATGCGCAGCGGAGGGGAAGCAGAGCCAGTAGCTCCAGCGAGAGTCTGAGCGTCTCAAGAGCCGGCGCGACTGCGGGAACTGCACAGTCTGGGTTTCCATCCCTGCCTCATGGGCGACAACAACAGCAGCAGCAGCAATTTGGAGATCTACAGGCTTCTTCTGTATCGACTTCGCGCTCTGCAAGCCCCGCCTCAATGAGGCTACAACCAACCGACGGTAGAAGGATCATGACATCGGCTGGCAATGGGAGCTCGGGACGACTCAACGTGGGGGACAGATCTTTGTTCGACCCCAATCGTACTGGAGGAGGAGCAGGAGAGTCTTCCACCCAAGGCAGAAGCGCCAGGGTTCAACATGGAGCAGAAGCAGCTACGTTGACAACACGGCAACATCAACACCAACAGCAGAATATTCCTCACTATGCTCCACAACAGACTGTCATCGGCGGTGGATATGCGCCGCTCCCCTGGCCTCCTTCAACAGCTCCTTTCGTACCATCGCAGCAGCAACAGGGAGTGTATCAACAGCAGCTCCCCTTGGCAGCAATGGGTTACTACGGGCTGCCTTCCGCCGTCCCCGTCTCGGACATGCCTCTGCGCTACCCGACTGGGGTAGCCTCGCCGCCCGCTCTGACCGCAGGACTGCACGGTCGTCCGCTCCAGCACACAATCGGATCCTCCTCCATTCGTCTAGGCTCCGTGATACCGGCTCAAGCCGTTCCGACTTCTCCGGTCGTTGCATCTGAGGGCGAGTCGACGCAACATGGCCACCAGCAAGGACAAGTGGAACAGGGCAGTGTCGCAGGAACCATCTCACCACCGCCGGCCTCGATTCCTGGCTTACCCGCGAGACCAGATTGGGTGCTGGGCTCACTCAATGCGCCTCACGACGTGCGAAGCGCTGCGCTGGCCTCGTTACCAGGCAACGCACAGAGTCCTAACCCTGCCACTACAACTTCAGCAGCAACAGCATCGAAAGCCAATGAGGTCGGGGTTTCCGCTGCCCCTGGTGCTCTAGAGCCAGGCAGTCTAGCCACCACACCAAGGTCCAGCGTTCGCTCTCTCAACGGCTACGTGATGAGCGACAGGGCCGGCGGGGATGACGAGTTCGGCTCCAGTGAGGCTCGTCAAGAAGAAAGACGAGGAGGCGGCGGCGCATTGCTCCTGAGCGACAAGATGGCTCGAGCAGGTCTCTCCAACGATGTCGACGTCGACGTCCGCGGGAATGGAGACGAGAAGCAGGACGAGGGGGAAGAAGGCGACGACGATGACGAGAGTGCCGAGAGCTCCAGTTTGGGCCCTAGCGCCAGCGCTAGTAATGTTGGAGGTGACGATGAGAGCGAGGGAGCTCCACCTGCCGGGGACAACGACGAAGATGAGGATGAGGGGGAAGCGGCGGGCGAGGCGGACGGAGCGGGTGGTGCGCTTGGGCTTGGGGTCCGGGGTGGGGAGGCCAATCCGAGCAGCTGAGCACTTGAGGCCAGGCCACTGCTGGCGGAGCAGAAGGGTGAGCAGGAGCAAGGGTCAGTGGTACAGCTTGGTGGGAGGAGCTGCAGGAAAGCAGCTAGCTCATGCTCCGGCGAGATGCAGAGGGCGACGGACGAGACACAAGGCAGAGAGGGGGCCTACTTCGCCACCCCTATCGCTATAACTTTCGCCCCGCCAAGCATTTTTGATAGCCGAGAGGAGTTGAAGATGGTACCTTTTCGCCCCTTGCCCACGATCGATCGGTTGATCAATCGGGCGGGCTACACTTTCCCTTTACTCCGCACATGTGGTCTTACTGTTCCCTCACTCCTGGCTCGTACACTCATCCTATTGATCATATGCATACATACATTCGCACCTACATAGTTTGTACCGAGTTTGGGCGCGTAGTCTTGGTGATTTCGAAGAAGGAGAGGCAGTGCAGTCACGCTGCGATCGTCCAAATACTGTGGGGCGGGGCAGAGCGGGCCCTGAGATTCTCAGACTCCGAATGGGGAGACCTCGGTGTAACCCCCACATGGGGCTTGCTCTTCGATCGCTCGCTGTACAAGACACTTTCTGTGCCCTGCAGAGCAGACGCAAAGCTGGATTACACATCCTGCTTCATCAGCCTCGTCGATCCGTTTGGCAGGGTCTAACCTCAGTGGAATTGAGTTCACCCGTCCCCTGATTTACCGCCGTACCGACCGGCCGTATGAAGTCGCTCTTCGTGGGTTCGGGGTATGGAGCGCTCTCGCGCTGTCTCAGTCGAACGGTCATACTGTAGCAGATACACTGTACGCTGCACATTGCACAGTCCACAGTGCGAGAGGCACGGAGCCCCGCGTTAGGTTCTCGTGCGTAGGGTAGCAGATCTTCAGAAGAAGTGCTCGGATGTAACGGCTCGGAGACTGTATCTGAAGTTGCGGCGAAGACTCCCGATCAGGGGTGATGTTGGGGGCAAGTTTGCGACCAAGCTGTGGTTGGATGGCGTCCAGTGCGGGACCAGCGGGGTTGCTACTGCCAAGACTTGCCTTCTTCTGAGCCTTGGCATCCCCATACGGTTCGATCAGCAGTACTGTAGCTCAGCGGTTAGGCTCCTCAGGCTCCTCCACGGGGCTTACCGGGGCTCTAGAAGGCTCAGCTTCCCGCACAAATTTAGCCTCTGACTGGTCCCGTCGCGGCCATACCCAGAGTCTGGGAGCGAACGCCGTCATCTGAGCGCAGGGGCGGAGAAGCGAGTGGGCAGCCACGCGTGGGCAGCTGGGACTAGAAGCGAGGTGCAGGGGAGCAGAGGAGGGCGTCACACCATGCATGAGTAGGGACAGCCTCCAGGTCTTGGCAAAATTATTAGGAGTCTGTTTCTGGGAGCGATTGCAAGGGCAAGACAAGAAAGGAACAGCACCTCTCTGCCAGCGCCACACCAGCACTGTGGGGCTCCGCTACAAGACGTATTGCCTCAAACCGGAAGTTGCTCTTCGCCTGACCTTGGCCGTGTGCAACCCCGGACGCATCTCCGAATCGCAACAGGGCAAAAGCGCCGCTTCCCCTCTGCTCCCACGTACATCTCAACTCGAAACTGCTGCATCTTGCTCTTCAAGGATGAATTGCCGATCATCCTCTTCTCATTCGCCGTCGTATATGTGGGGTCCTGCCATCTTAGGCACCAGGCACCCAGGGCCAGCAAATTTGCACGTCCGACTACCAATGCACGCCACTTCGCATTTTACCCCCCTGACTTGCTGCACTGCACTCCCCGAGCAGGATCACCTCACTTCACATCGATTTACCTCCCGCCCATCCCGCACCTGTCCTGCACTGCTATGCAGATCCGTCAATGTCTGTCCGGTTGCTCCCGAATGTCTCGCATATCTGACCTGGCCCTGACGCTTGTGCGCCCTCGGGTCGTGTGACGGTCGATCCGCCTGCCCCAAACCAATTCAGTTTCCTCTGACCCCACCTTCCTACTTTTGCCCAGGGCAACTCGGACCCCGGATGTACATCGTGCAGCGCCAAGCATCGGCGGAGTAGGCCGAAGATCGCGAATGATCAGGTTGTGCATTGCACGAGTCTCGAAGAGATCTCCGGTGGGGGGCCCCTGACTTAATTTACTTTGTAGGAACGATATTGGCTCCAGTCGCAGCGGTGGGGCGGGGCTGCGTAGCAGGACCGACGGTCATCGTGCGGGGTAAAGCAATTGTGGCGGTGGGGTGAGGGCTGCAAGTGAGATAGGAAGAGGCGGATGCAGCTGTACCGTGTGATGTATAAAGAGGATGCGGATCATCGGCCCTTCATTGCCACCTTCCTCCCGTCAGCACGTTCTCACCCCAGTAGATCCTACCCTAGTCGGCATATTTTTCATCGCGACGTCCTCCTCGTCGCGTGTTCCGTCTAGACCTCCTTACTCGCCCGCTGTCTGCGACACCTCCTCCCCTTCGCCCCGTCTACACTACCCGCCGCCCCGTATATACCGCGCACCATGCTGCTTCGTCACCTTCGTGAAGTGCCCTCCGAGTCGCGATCCTGGATCCGACTCTGGTGGCCAGTATGGACCATCGGTGCTCTGGGTATCTCTCGCGGTCTCGACGAGGGAATCATCTCCGGTGTCATTACCCAAGCCAGCTTCAAGAAGAGCTTCTCCTTCGAGGCCGACTCGTCTGTTGAGAACAACATCGCATCTATGCTCCAGGCTGGTTCCATCGTCGGCTCCGTCCTTGCCTTTGCCGTCTCGTGAGTACACTGTCGACACCGACATGCATTTCCTTCCCGCCTGCTAGCCACTGACAAGCTCTCTGCATCCTCATCTCCGCCTTCCACCCTTAGTGACATCCTCGGTCGACGCAGGACTGCCCAACTTGCCTGTCTCCTCTGGATCATGGGAACCATCATCTGGTTCACTTCCGTCCACGGACAGGAGGGCGATGGCAACCTGAGCCAACTCCTTGCTGGTCGTTTCCTCGCTGGTCTCGGTGTTGGTTGCACCCCCGTCGTTGCCCCCACCTACCTTGCCGAAATTGCCCCCCGAGCCATCCGAGGTCTCTGCGTCTGTGTCTTCTCTGGATCTGTCTACATCGGTATCCTCCTCGGCTACTGGGTCAACTACGGTACTGCCAAGAACATCTCCAGCGCCTCTAGCTTGCAGTGGCAGGTCCCCGCAGCCCTCAACTACATCTTTGCCGGTCTCATCTTCATCAATAGCTTCTTCATTCCCGAGTCTCCTCGCTGGCTTCTCAAGGTCGGCCGTGAGGAGGAAGCACGCAAGTCGCTCAACTGGCTGCGAAACCGTGGTGACGAAAACGCCATTGTCAACCAGGAGTTCGGCCAGATGGCAGACACACTCGACGAGGAGCGCATTGCTCGTGGCAACCGTGCCTGGTACCACGTCTTCCCTCAGCTGATCAACAACCGTCGAAACTTGCACGTCCTGTTGATCGGAATCGGAATCCAGCTCTTCGGACAATTCTCCGGCGGTGGTTCCATGACCGTCTTTGCTCCCAAGCTCTTCGGCTTCGTCGGTATCAAGGGTGCTCAGACCAAGCTCTTCACCACTGGTGTCTTCGGTATCGTCAAGCTCGTCTCGTCGCTCGCGGCTGCCTTCTTCCTCGTCGACTTGCTGGGTAGGAAGACTGCCGTTATGGCCGGTCTCACCATCCAAGCCATCTCTTGCCTCTACCTCGCCATCTACCTCAAGTACCACTACAACACAAACACCACTACCGAGACCAGCGCGCAGAAGATGATGGCCGATGTCGGAATCTTCTTCATCTTCCTCTCGGGAGTAGCCTGGGCCATTGGAGTCAACTCTGTCCAGTACCTCTCCCAGACGGAGATGTTCGCCCTCGACGTGCGATCACTTGGAGTCGCCACCATTTCCGTTATCCACTTCGCCTGCCAGTACGGGTCATCGCGATCAGTCAACCCTATCATCAACTCGGGTGGACCTTACGTCCTCTTCGTCTTCTTCTTCATCATGTCGGTCGCTGCGTTGGCCTTCGTCCTATTCGCCATGCCTGAAGTAAGCGGAATGCCCCTGGAGCGAGTTAAAGATCTCTTTGATAACAAGAAGTGGTATTTGGTCGGTATCACCCAAAATCGACCCCTCAAGGGCGCCGACCGCGTCGCCAGCAACGAAGAGGAGGGCCTGCCTCAGCTTGGCAAGGCCAACGAGATGCGCGAGGGCTACGCTGGTTCCGACGAGGACAAGAGCGCCAAGAAGGAGGACAGTGGCATCACCACTACCACCAAGGATGCCTGATTTCTTCCACTGCGGAAGAGGTAGAAAGTGGAAGTGAGGCAGAGCGACGCATCTGGCGGAGCGGAATGCGCTCCCGCATAGTGTCGTTCCTCCGCACTTTACTTCCGCACCCCCTTGCATTGTTTTGATTGTCATTTGCTAGCTTTGCTCTGCTGTCGCGTATTGTATTGTCACCATACTCTTACTTAGCTTGAATACGAGTAGTTGTGTTAGCTGCTTATTGTATTATGCCTGTGTGTCTGAGTGAGCGCACAAGCCCTGAGAAAGACTGATTAGGCGATGTGATGCGCATTGACCTTGTAGGGGTCCAAGTGTGGCGGTAGGGTACACCTCAGATCTTTCCGTCTTGCCTCTCCTCCATCGCATCCTGCCTCGCCCTCTCCCGCAAGAAGGGCCCAATGGAATCCCGTTCGATCTGCACTCCATCTTCTCCCTCTGCTGATCCGCCCTGCTGTCTACGCTTCTCCTCCTCCTGCGCCTCCTCACGAGCGCGTGCCCTTGCCACCGCTCGAGCCTCCGCTGGCTCCAGCCCGGGGACCACCTCGAGGTGGAAACAGAGCTTGCGAAGTGTGGAAGCGAGGTACGCCGTGGTAGAGGAGGTGAGGAGGGTAGCGCTATTTGCTGCCGCTGTCGCAGTGGAGGAGGGGGAAAGGAGGAGGTGCTCGTCTGACGAAGTCGAGCTCGTAGCTTCTTGACCCTTTGAGGAGGTACTTGTCAGAGGCAACAGTCCAATCCTCCACGTCTTCACCTTCTGCTCTTCTTTGCTCTCCCCTGCGCCCGTGTCCTGCCACTTCTTCCTCTCCCCTTGCCAGAACTCCTCCTTCAGCACAGGCACCCCCTCTCCCATTCTGACAAGGACGTGCATACCACTCTGGCAAAGAGCTCGCCTTCGTCCATTGGGGAGCGGAAGAGACGGCAGGACTTCCCACCCGCCCATACGTGGAGCAGGGGCGGTCAGCGGGAGGAGTGGAAAGAGAAGCGGGTAGGATAGCACAGGCTGCATGGCTTGCGTGTCATCGTCGGAGGAGGAGGCGGCAGACTTCAGCAAAGCGGATACGAGGCGGAGCACTTCGTAGCCTGAACCGCTTCCGATGCCGATGTGGAAGGGACCCTTCTCGCGTAGATAGTCGCCCACTCGCGCTAAGGAGGATTGTAAACCTATGACTGCTGGTCCTTCTGCATCGCTCCGCCGATTGGGGATGAACCAGTCCCGATCAGGCGCGAGCATGCCCTCGGCCATGAGCAATGACTCGGCATCGTCCAGCCCAGAACGAGTGTATATCCTGAAGGTCTCGCTGCGAGCCTCGTCGTCCGACTCGGCGAGCGATTTGCGCAAGGAGGCTAGTCGCTGCTCTGCAGGCGATGAGACTGCTTGTGAAGAAGACGGGGTAGGCGACGTTTGCGCCTTATCGAGCATGGCCTTCCTGGTCTTCTCGCTCTCCACCTCTCCTCCTAGCGCATCCAGTAAGGAGCAATCTAGCAGAGCTTGGCGGATCTTCTCTCCTCTGCTGATCTTGGGGCTTCCACTGCTACTGCCACTGCTCCCCGAAGCCTCGTTGGCAGCTTCAGGATCCACTGCGAACCCTGCCTCGAGGAAGTGCATCTCCCAGTGCGGAGGGAGTGAGTTGATGAGGGGCGCTAGCTGAGCACGGTAGGATGCCGCAGATTGCGAGGCTGACCATGTCGATCGAGAAGGCGAGGAAGACGTTGAAGCGGGACGGGAAGGGCCAGCGTGTAGGGCGAGGATACGTACAGGCCGTGGACGATTTGCAGGGATCTCTTCAGACATGGTCGTGGTCGCTGTGTGTCTACTGCGGGTGGTAGTATGGAGGAGTAGAGTAGGGTGGAAGATCTGCTCGGACCGAAGAAGCTTACACTACCGGCGCACAAGGAAGGCGGGGAATGCGGGGAAGCGGTGCCTGGCTCATGCGTCGGCCAATGAGCTTGTGCCTGTGGCTTGGTCACCTTCCGATCCGATCTCGCTCGCCAAGAGACGGATGCCCGCCGACGTCACACGGAAAGAAGGCGGTACCGCTTTTGAACAACAGAGGAGATGGAACGGCACTTGGATCCCCTTTGTTACCATCGTCATACCATCACCACCCTCTCGAGAGATCTTCACTGTCTGCGGTAAGCTGAAAGGCCCACAACGCTATCACTGCTAATTCAGTGGAGAGCAGCACAGCCTGCGCGCCGCCTCCCCGCCCGCGATGGACCCTACGCCATCCACCTCGCAGCTCGAGGCGCGTCCAGCTGCTGCTCCTGCTGCTGGTCCCATTGCTGCGCCACCGCTGGCCCAACCTCACGACTCTAATATGAGTGCAACGATGCGCCATGCTGAGCCCGTGAATCCTTCAGGCCCATCGCTTTCGTCGAGCGGAGGAGGGACCGATCTTGCAGCCTCCTCTTCAAATACTTCTGCAGGACGACGGGGAGAACCGTCGACCTCTTCCTCGCCTACCCAGCCCTTGCGTCGTCTCTCCTCTTCCCCTACTACCTCAGGCAAAAGACGGTCACCCAAGCGGCTCAGCGCTACAGAGCCCAGTGAAGATCGGTCCACCCCAGCCTGCCTTCGTTCCATCGAGTCCTGCACAGACGCCATCACCTCTTGGACGGAGGACTTTCAGCGCAAAGAGCAGGAGAGAATCGAAGCGCGCAGGGCCAAAGAGGATGAAGATGGAGATAAGCCTGATCCCGCGTGGAAGAGGAAAGGGATGATACCCCTCGTGGCGATTATACTTGGTTGGGTGTACGTTGGTGAGTAAACTGCGTGACTTGTGTAGCTGCAAGGCGAGGAGGGACACTCCAGCTCACATTCCGGTCGGTACCTCGCCTTCTTGCAACTATCAGTCTATGTCTGGCGCATATGCGTACCGGCAATCCAGCAACCTCCACCCCCTTCCTCCCTGACTCACCCCCGCCCCCTCGCAAGCAGAAGCACAGGCATTGCGCTCATAGTGGTATTCCATGTTGTCTACCTACTTACCATCTGGTCATACATCAAGGTCGTCCTCACGGGTCCTGGACTAGTCAGAGATCACGTAGAGAAGGAAGAACAGCCCAAGCCCCCGGGTCTGGAGAGTAGATCACGGGAGCAGCAGCAGCGGAGGGAGACGCAGCAACAGTGGCGGGAGCAGGGACTTGGGGGTCCTTACCTTGGCGAGGAGAAGAAAGAGGCGCCTGCGGGAGAGCAAGGACCCACTTCTGATGAGAATGCTTCCACAATTGCACTGCGAGGCGATCAAGATGGGTATCATGGCTCTCGAGGAGAGGGCCCGGGAGACGAGCATCTTGAAGACCCTACTCTACCCGCAATTCTCGGACCCATTGGAGCCGGCTTCGCAGCCGCCGCTGGGGAGGACGAACGAGCCCTGAGCGAAGCCGAACAGACCAGGACACGAGCTCCGGCAGTACAACGGCCACCACCCGAATCGGCGCCTTTGCCACCCATTGCCCCAACACAGTACCCACGTAGCTACCCTCAGCACCCCTTCTCCGACCCGGAGGAGCAGCCTCCGACACGACAGCCGCCTTTCCCAGATTATGCCCCGCTGAGAAGGAGCAACAGATACTGCCATCGATGCTCTCACGTCAAGCCTTACAGGGCGCATCACTGCAGACATTGTGGGACGTGCATTGAGAAGATGGATCATCATTGTCCTTGGGTTGGGGGGTGTGTGGGTGGTGGAAATCACAAGGTGAGTCCCAGATGAGATCTCGAAGATAATGATTAGTGCACAGAGGCTCACCGTATCCCGTTACACTGCAGTTCTACCTCAACTTCGTCCTTTGGGTTACGGTACTGGAGTTCTTTGTCCTGATCTCAGCTGGCGTCCTTTTCAACAGAGGCGTTGACAAATCGATCGAGGGTTGGACCGTGGATGGTTTCATCATCAGTCTGTTCCCGATGTGAGTGGCATGGGTCGTACCTCATCTTTTGCTCCTCATCGCAGCCAAGCTGACTTTCCTTCGCCTGCTCCCGTCTCTCATGCAGCTGTGTCGTCTTCATCCTCTTCACCTTCTCCCTCCTCGTGACCCATACCTGGCTCATCATGACAAACCAAACGACTCTCGACCATCTTAACTTCACTCGAGTAGCCAGACGAGAGGAAATCGCCCTTGCTTCCTGGTTCTCCCGCAAAGGAGGCTGGGTCAAGCAGCAAGATCGAATTCGTGAGCAAGAACGAGCTGCAGTGGCGGGAGATCTGGAGAGTCAAGGAGTTGGAGAGAAGGGATCCTCCAGTGCTGGTGGTCGTGCTGGAGCGAAGAGAACAGAAGGCTTCAGAATGATCAAGGAGCAACGCCAGACAAAGAAGGCCTGGGATCGAGAGTGGGGCAGATTGCGCTATGAGATCAATCTCTGGAAAGTCGAGAGGGCTCTCCCCGCTTCCACTTCCACTCCAGCTTCAGTCGACGACTCCTCTAGCCTCGTACGCTACCGCAAGCTCAGTGGACTGCAGTCCCTGCACGCCAACTGGACACAAACGATGGGCTTCAATCCGCTCGGTTGGCTGCTGCCCATTGGTCGACCTGGGCTTGATCCTTCACGGAAGAGCAAGGATGGAGGTTGGGAGACGTACCCGGTCAATCCTCGCTTTGGACACGAGGGACAGTGGAGGAGAAGGAACGAATGGCCGGAGGAAATGAGATGAGAGCAGAGCAGACAAGAGAGGGAAGTGGAAGTGCAGCGGTGTATAGCTATGCAAGTCCTGTACGAATAGACTGTGGTCGAGATACCCGGCTCTCTTTTTGAGTATCACACTTCATATTGTCATACAAGGTCATCGTCGTCGTTCAGCAAATCTTTTCGGCAGTGTGTTCAGCAGATAGTATTATTAAACACGCTCGCTCAACAGGCACATCAGTCCAGCTCTCTCACGCGTCCTCTCATCTCTCGCATTATGATACAAATACCCACCTCATCTCATCTCACCTGCGGACAAAAGTGGCACTGTAGTCCTCACAAGGATGCGTAAGACTACTCTTATAGTTGGGCGGCCATTCCCACCCGTCCCTCTGTTCTTCCTCCGCGGATCTCCCCGCCGGAGGAGGTCTCTTGCCTAGACAGACCTGCCCCTCGTGGGGGGCTGCCCACTTCACGTCCCATTTGGGAAGTATGAGCGTAAGCACCGCCATTGCCTCAAAGTAGGCCAATGTCATACCGAGGCAGAGGCGCGGGCCTCCGTTGAAAGCGTGGAACTTCCATGGACCCAGATTGGAGTTGAAGCGCCAGCCTCCCGGACCACTTTCGTCGGCCAGGAGGAAGCGAGAGGGCTTGTACTCGGCGCAGTCCTCTCCCCAGACGGTGGGCAGTCGCGCTAGGACCCAGTCAGACCACGCGACCATCTCTCCCTTGAAGACCTTGACCGGAGGAGGCGTAGTGGAGGTGCCAGCACTGTTGAGAGGAACAATGACATCGTCCTGAAGGGCGCTCTTCGAGTTTTTGGGAACGGGAGGGTGGAGTCGGATAGACTCTGCTAGGCAGGCCTGCATGTACGGTAGCTGGCGAAGATCGTCGTATGCGAGGTAATTGGGGGTGCTTGTGTCCGTAGCTGACGAGGGGAAGAGCAGGGCGATTTCATCCAGAATTGGTTGTACGTGCTCGGGGTGAGCGAAGAGCTCGATGAAGAACCACGAGAGGGACTGGGCAGTCGTGTCTCTTCCAGCTATGGCGTGACACAGTGACGACCTTGAAGGGTCAGCATCACATCCTGTTACAGTCCAATACATTCGACAGACTCACCGATGATGAAGTTGAGCACCACATCCAGCAGCTCTTCGGGGTCTCTTGTCATATCCATGAAGAGCCCCAGCAGGTCCTTATCATTGCCATCTCCAGGCGCCATGCCCGCTCTCTGACTCTTTTCATTCAGTGCCGCCTCAGACTGGCCCATTGCGATTCCCCTGTCCTGCATCTCCTCGCCACGAGCCTTTTCCTTGAGGTCCAGCAGCATGAGCCGATCATCGATGATCTTCCTGGCAAAGTCTCGCATGACCTTTGTCCAGGCCACCATCTGCTTGCCTCCTGGAGTGTATTTCTCCCACAGTTGCCAGCCGGGCTTCGTGAAGCGGTTGTTGATATGTTCTTGCGCCGAATCAAAGGCCGTGGCGAAAGGTACGTCTTCCTGCAGACATGCAGGGTCTGGTTTGAGGCACTGGATGTCTGCGCCAAATGCCATCTTGGCGAAGGACGAGAGGGTGTAGCGGAAGAACAAGTTTGGCAGAGCAATGGTACCTTGTCCTGCCTCGCCAGTCATGGCATCTAGCACACCATTTACTGAGTGTAATTCCTCATGGACAACAGTGGTGACGACGCGGCGAAATTGGCCCACAGAGAAGACTCTGCTGGCCATCTTTCGGCTCCTCTTCCACTCCTCGCCATCAGTCACAAAGATGCCCGTTGTACCGATGAAATCTCCGAAGGCGTTCTTCAAGAAGTCACCCTTGACATAATTGTTGAAGTTGGTCTTCTGGATGTGCTCGATGTATGCGGGATGATTGAGGAAGACAATCCTGCCCACAGGAGGAACAGTCCAGGAGAAATTTGGCTTGCCAGGGGGACAGGAATTTGCAAGATACAGGAAGTGATCAAACTGCTTCTTTGTCTGAAAGGGCAGGGGGGACATAGAGGTTCATCGGATCAGCCTTGAAGCCGCGGTCTGTCAAGACTACTTGCTCACTCACTCCTCTTCTGGCCACATCGACCAAATTTCCGATGAGGGGATAGCCGGGAACAGTCCAGACATAGGCTCGATCACTGTGTGTGCCCACCAGCCTATTAGGGTATCTGATGATCAAGTACAACAGATACAGCACCGTGAGGGGCAGGACATAGCCGAAGGTATCAGTAATGGAAGCAACGAAGTTGGAGATCCATGAGGCAAGCGACATTGCGACTCGCTGCTTCGTGAGAAGATGGAGCAGTGCGGATATAGTCCGGGTGAAGGACAGCAGACAGTTGGTCAGGTATCCAGAATCGGCGATGGTATGGTAGACAAGAGGGTCAGGGTATATCACAGCATGTATCGAGATCCGTGAGAAAGGACCCACCCTCAAGAATCTACCTCGGTCTCCAGAGCGGCCCTCGAAGATACCTCGCTCCTGTGACCCCCGTCATTCAAAAATCGTGGCGCCCTCCGGCTACTCTGCGCCTTGCCGGAATCCGGAGATACGCTGCAGCACAGGCCAGAGCATTCAGATCTCAGCTGCGCGGGCCGTGCGTTCCGGCGGTGAATACACTGAGGACTCAAACACGTGCACATTGGATCATTCCACCTGTGTCTTCAAGTCAGTGTCGTAAGTAGAGCTCGGGCGGAACCATTGCTTGGGATCCTGAAATCTCTCTGGAGATCTTTCTCGCCCGCGAGAGCAATGACCGGAACTCCTGATCCGTGCAGGATGTTGCAGGGCACAACGGGAGGGGATTTCCGGGTCTCCTCCCTCTTACAGAGTCGCATATAGACTGCGTACTCGGCATTTAGGCTGGAAGAGGTTGCCCAAGAGCAAAGTAGCAAGCGATTTGCTGTCACACGCGTCAGGAGAGCAACGCAACCCGCGCTCAGGCTCTGTAGCAACGGCTTACTGACAGGGATTTGGCGCGCAATAGCAACGTGTCAAAGTCGATGATGTGCAAGGACGAGCGCAGAGGTGTGAATACGTGACCGCTGCGTGGGACTACGAGAACGAACGACTTCGGCCGAACTTGCTGGCATATAAACTGGAGCCATCGGATATTGTGGCTAGCTGCCAAGTGACCGATCCGCGGTTGCTCCGAGCTAACCAACTTGCCATCCGAACTTTGCAGCAACAATGAGAGCCGCTATAAAGGGCGAGCCCCGGCCGAAGGCTCTGCGCACCAACCTCCTCTTCTCTTCAGCAGCGCTCACTCACCTTCGCCAATTTCGATCTTTTCGTCTGCCACTCGACGTAGAACCGGTCTTCATACGTCTGGCTATTTCAACAGCTCTTCCTTCGACGCAAAGGCGCTCCATCTGAGACCACGCGCTAGCGATACTCAACATCAGCGTGAAGCCGAGGTCCCTGAATTCTCAAATATAGCGGGTCATCACTGGAAAAGAAATTTCAGTCATGAAGCTCAATGTCAACCACGTTGCACTAGCTATCAGCCTCTCTCTTGCTTTCTCGTCTGGCACGGCCTTCGCTCTGCCCTTTCTCAGCGATGACGATATTGACACAGTCACATCTGTAGGACGTCAAGTCGCCGACGGCTTGCAGGCCGGTACGGGCAGCCGGGGCTTGCAGAGCGTCTCGGCCATACCGATTGACACCTCGTTGCTCAATGGGCACAACGAACGGTCCTCGGTCCTCACAAGGAGCACTCCCCGAGCCCCAATCAACCCCCCTGTCTGGGTACCTATGGACCCGGAGCGCGAAGAGCTGGGGCCTGGCGAGGCACCGAGGCCAAAGAAGCCCCGACACGCCAAGAAGAAGAAGTCTGCTCATCCCAAAAGAGTAGCCAAGAAATCTTCAAAGAAGTCAGCTAAGCTGTCCCAAGTAGAGCGTAAGCTGTTGCAGCATCAATCGGCTTTGCGCGACCAGAAGATGCCTAGGAGCAAAAGTGCCAAAGCAGGCAAGCCAGCTGAAGGGGGGCACCATGGCAACTCCAAAAGTTCTCACAGCAACAGTCGGCCTCCACCACTGAACAAGTCAAATCACAAGGGCAAAGCAGGCAAGGGCGCGCCACCGGGCAAAGGCGATCACAAGCACCCCGGCAATCTCAGAAGATCTCTAGATGAGAACGAACAGATGTTCGAAAGGGACGAGCAGGACGAGCAGACAGAAAAAGCAGGGCAAGCTCCAGGACAAGGAGAGCCCAAGGGAGACGAGATCGAGCAGCCGAAGGGCCCTCAGCCCACACTTGCGGGCATGCTGCTGCCTATCAAACGCTCTCTGTGGTCATATCCATCCGGCGATCTCTTTATCTATGACAGAGACATTGGTGAAGCTGTCGAAGACGCACGTGACGACGATGACGGCAACGTCTTTTGGGACCGAGATATCGATGATATCGAGACTCGAGATGGTGGACTCTCTGAGCAAGAGGTGAGTCCAATCTACACAAAGTCTGCGCATGCTACCGACACTGACAAGACCCCCATGTGATGCCCTTCTGGAAGCTCGAGGACGCCCGAGAGCTCTTGGCAGACTTAGTGACTTCCGAAGATGCGCGAGACAGCGTAGCTCAAGAGCTTTTCGCTGCTTACCCACCCACAATCGGCAAGAGAGGCGAACTCGACGACGCGATCGAAGACGCATGGGCTCGCGCTATTGTTGAGGACGATATTGCCGCCCGTGACTGGCGACTTTCAGCGCAGAAGGCCATCGACTGCAGCGTCGATCCTGGGGGCTGTGCCCTCAAGTACGGCCTCAGCTACACCGGCCTTGAGCCTTCTGAGGGGCAGAAAGCTACTTTTGACAGATGGCGAGCGGCTGCACAGAAGGTCCGCGATTGTGGCACTAATCCAGCGGGATGTGTCATGAACCATGGCCTCAAGTCTGTGGGCCTCGAGCCGCCCTCGAGACGATGATGAGCCAATGGAGAAGATCTCAGAGAAGCTCTGCCGAGCTATCGATCTGGTACAAGGCAAGACCAAGTGTTCGATCCGCCCCGCTTCCCTGTCATCATAATTGTGACCGCTACCCTGTCCAGACAACCCACATGCTCACATGTCGCAATCTAGGACTTCACCCTGATCCTTCTTGAATTTTGCTGGCCGCTCAGACACGTGTCTATATTTGCAGCAGAGCCTCGCACGCGGAGTTCTCGAAGAGCTGTGACGCCTCCCCCGCCGAATCTAGAAGGGCACTCATGACAATTTCTAGAGGGGCCCATCTCCAGAGGGCCCCACAGTAGTTCGAATCTTTTCTGCTTCTACTGATTGAGGGGCTGAATGGTGGCCGTGAGCACCAGAATCGATTTATGTCCATCTATTCAAAGAAGGTGAATGACGGGCCGAGGCCACATCAGCATAAGTAAGGATAGTCATAGGGAAGGGTGAGGGCAGAAAAAGAAGGACAACAAAGCAGGAGAAGACTCAGAGAATTCTCAAATCGGCACTCAGTGAGGCGATGCACCAATCACAGCTGTACTATTGTCTACTCGTGATCGCCCATCGACTCGGCGCGAGCCAGGACATCATTCATGTACTCGTCAAACTCCCGCTGAGTGATGTCGGCGTCGCTGACGACGTCTCGCCTAGCCAAGATGTCCTCAACGAGATAGTCGATCTCGCGCTTACTGAGGAAGATAGAGTGATTCTGCTGCTCGGGAGCGAGGACGGAACTGCGAGCCAGCACCTGGTTCAGTGCACTGCTGCCCTGAAGTGCGGCAGAGTCGTGTGCTTCGCCTCGACGCAAGACGCTGCCCGCGGTATGCAGGACACCGGCTGTCACGAGCTTGAGGCCGGTGAAGAGACCCTTGCCGAATTTCTTGAAGGAGAACCTTGGTGCGAGCTCGTCTGAGCTGCGGGCTTCAAGGCCGGTATTGATGTCAGAGTAAGATTGTACTTCACGCTTGATCTGTAGTGGACAAAGAAAGACGAGGTTTAGGATTGTCAGATGACACAGGCACAAGGACAAATCGAAGCAAACTCAATACAACCGCTGCTCAGCTACGCACCGTGTTGGTCTGAGTTCCGCTGCCATGCTCCTTCCCATTTCCTACCGTGGTAGTCTCGTGGCCCTTTGTGGTGCTCTTGTGCTCAACCGTCGACTTCTTCTTGTTGGCTTCAGGGGTAGTCGTGGTAGTGCCGGTAGGCTTGTTAAAGTGCACGGGACCGGTGGTCTTCTTCTCAGTCTCAATGCTCTCCTTCTGAGGAATGGTCTCCTTGTGGTTAGTGTGCGCGGTAGTGGTGGTGGGTGTGTGGACGCCCTTCTTGTCTAGGGGCTTGTTCTCCGAAGTCTTCTCCTGGACATTCGTAGTCCCATGGTGTGCACTTTCCTTGGAGGCGGTGGTACTGGTAGTCGTGTGGTCCTTCTTCTCCTTGCCATCGATGGTAGTCGTGTGCCCTTTGGTCTTGTGAGTGGGTGCATCCTTCTTGTGAACAGTCGAAGCGGTCTCCTTGTTGTGCGAAGGCGTCTTGGGAGGCTCCTTCTGGCCATGGTCGCTGCCCTTTGCGTGTGCAGGGTGAGCGGGGGCACCCTTCTTGCCTGTGCCGTAAGTCTTGCTCTCAGTCTTGTGGCCTACTGACTCTTGTTTGGCGGTGGTGGTCTTGCCAAGTTTCTTGGGTGTAGTAGGGACCTTGCCGACAGGAGTCTTCTTCGTGGTAGTCTTGTGCCCGGCTGTCTTCTTTCCGGCAGCACCCTTGTGCGAGACGACCTTCTTGTTGACGAGGGGTTTCTTTGATCCAGTCTTGGGCTTGCCGCCGACCTTGTTCTTTGTACCCCGGGGGCCAGTCTTCTTCTTGGTAGCAGGAGACTTCGAGCCGGTCCTCTTCCTGGTAGCAGACTTGGCGCCTGTCCTCTCCTTGTCGGGAGACTGAGCGTCAGACTTCTTCTTCTTGTCAGCGGGGACCTTGGTGCCAGTCCTCTTCCTGGTCGCAGGCTTCTTTCCGCGAACGGTCTTGTTGACAGTGACAGAATTCTTCTTACCACCCTTGTTCTTGCTGACCACACGCTGCTTGCTAGCATCCGTCTTCTTAGCACCAAGCTTGCGAGGACCAGTGGACTTGCCTGGAGCCTTGTTCTTGCTGACGGCTCTTCCCTTTCGGTTCTTGCGGGAACGCTTTGAATCGAGCTTGTTGTTGGCCGTCTTCTTGGAGTTGTTGAGCTTCTTGCCACTGCCACGCTGCTTTGGCTTCGCGGACAGCCCGTTCTCGGCACCGGCCTTGTGAGCCCCTTTGCGCTTTGGCTTAGCGGTCAGTCCATTCTTGGCGCCGGGCTTGCCTCTCTTTGGAGCGCCCTCCTTGTGCTTGGTTGTGGGACTGTCGCTTTTGTGGGCCTTACCATCTTTGCCGTGGGGATGAGATGGCTTTTGCCCGGAAGACTTGCCAGCTTTGTGAACCTTACCACCATCGCTAGGCTTGCTCTCATGTTTGGGCTTGTTCTCTGGGCCCGCCTTGCCGAGACTCGTCAGCTGCGTGTTGTGGAGCTTGTCTTTGCCGTCGATCACCATCTCCTTGCCGGAGTTTGTGTTGATGACCTTGCTTCCACCAGTGCTGTGCTCCTTTGTGGGAGGCGTAGAGGTCTTAGATGCGGGCTTGGTATTATCGTGGCTGCTGGGAGACTCGGTCTTGATCTTGCCATTGCCATCGACCTTGTTTTCAGTCTTGATGTTGGCATCGGCTGGCTTGGACTCGGTCTGAGTAGTAGACTGCTTGTTGTCCTTCGTAGGGTTGGTCTCCGCTGTTGTCTTGCTCTCGGTGAGAGGCTTGACAGTGCCGTTGGGAAGAGTGCTCTCAGTCTTGGTAGCGCCGTTGGGGGAAGACGTCGTCGTCGTGCTCTTGTGAGTAGTCTCCGACCCAGTCTTTGTAGCCGTCTCGCTCTCCGACTTGGACTTGCCAGTTGTAGTCTCGGTTTTGATACCGTTGGGCTTCTCATTCACTGTGCTAGGAGTGTGCAGGGGAGTAATCGTTTGTGTCTGGCCAGCGTCTCGCTCGAAGAAGTCTTCTGAAGCCTCATCTTCGAAGTCGCGCTCTTCGAAAGAGGCGTCGTCATCAACATCTCGCTCTACAAACGAGGCGTCGTCATCGACATCGCGCTCTTCAGAGGCATCCTCATCGTCGATGTCACGCTCTTCAGAGGCGTCCTCCTCCTCGAAGTCACGCTCATCAGAAACGGATTCGTCGTCAATATCGCGCTCCTCGGAATCCTGTTCGTCGGCGTCGCGCTCCTCAAAGGCAAAGTCGTCGTCTTCGCTTCGCTCCTCGAAAGACTCTTCTGCTAGATCAGCGTCACGCTCAGAAAGGTCATCGTCTGCCTCGTCGCGAGCGTCCGAGAAGTCGACTTCATATAGCACGTCCCTCTTGCGGTCATGTTGAGGTGGCTCTCCAGGAATGATGGCACCCCCATCTCGCTGGCCCGATCTGGCCTCGAGCTCCTGCTTGGCAGCAACTTGGCTGAGGGCACCAGAAGATTGGGAAGCACCGGTCTCTGGTGATGAAGCTGCACGGGCTCCCTCAGAGCTGAGAGCCATGGCCAATACGACGATGGCAACGGTAATCTTCATCTTGACGAAGGTAGGGGGTCGCGTGAAAGGAAGGTAATGGCTAAGTACCTCGAGTCTCCGTGGGAAGGAAAGGGTGGTGTTCGCGAGGGACTGGGGAAGAAGTGATTAGAACCAGTCTAGTACACAATGGACTCTTGCTTCTAGTCGGAAGTACCTCGAAGATCAACTCAGAGGGTAGAAGCACGGGACTGGGTGAGGGGGAGGGGGTAGTCGTGAGCACTGCTAACGGAATGAGAGAGGAAGAAGGAGAGCGTGCCCGGAGGGCAGATTATATATCTTGCCATCGCCACCCACTTGCTCTCAGTACCTGAGCTTGCTAGAGCGAAAACCATTGCGTGCGAGCAGCGACACATCTCTGCCATGGCTGCACCTAGCGGCAGCTATAGGTCTTTGCTCGCACAATCGTTTCTCGGGCTACTCTTCCGAGGAGCGTTTGCGAGAGCCTCGGAGACTTACGCAATCTTGCCTTCTGGACAGCGTCTCCAAGTTGAGCGAGAGGCGACCAAGACAAGGCAGTGTTGCTAGGTGAGCGTGTAATTGCGACGCCAGAATGCCCAGCATTGCGAAGATGCCCCAAGGCAGCGCGTTCTGTCTCTGACTACCATGGGAAAGTTTATCTTAGTCAGCTGAGCTAGGCAATGTCCATCGCAATTGCCACATGGCAGGACTTTCAATCATGTGACGTCCGGATACCGGACCTCGAGAAACACCGGCGTTGTCTCTGCCTCCGCTTGCTTGACATATTGCCCGTACCTCAAGGCAACTCGTGATGGAGTTGCTGTTGCGCCTGGGACTGGCAGGTGTTCATCATCCCTCGCCCGTTGCTTCACCGAGAGTGAGACCGAGTGTAGCGGCTGTCCTCGGACTTTAATGAGCGATACAGGTTCTGGAGCAAAGGAGAAGGTAGCAAGCGCAACGGGAGGACGGATGACTTCGTCTCGGCAGGACGAGAGGTCTCTCAGAGCAAAGCGCCCCTCTGCTGCGCGAGAGCTTGGCGAGGTTGGCTCAGCCGTACGGACGCTAGCTCTGCTGCATTTCTACACTCATTGCGGTTCAGGTAGTCACCTCGAAGAGGAATCTTGACGTTACTTCATCGAGTGTGGTGAGGAAGGAAATCGCGTTGAAATGGGCACACACAACGGAAACGGAAGGGGCGCGTTGCACCTCGGCCGAATGCTCCGGGATTGCCGAAGACCGACTCCGGGCCGAGGTGGACTGGGCTTGGGCCGAGGTGCCCTTTGCCGACCCCGCATCGAACAAGTCTTCCCCGCATCAATGGGACCGGGCCTGGTTGCGCCGGTCTTGTGTGGGACTTCCCTCTTGAGCCGGTAGCTAATCTCTCGCCTACCCGATTGCGTATAGTCACACTTCTTCGTATCCTTCCTCGCTTGCCTCAGTCTCCTCCTGTTCCATCGTCTTGATCTTGCGACCCTCGTCATGTCCGTCCCTGCCAACCCGCCTACGGGTCCTCAAATCCTCGAGTCGCCTCATGCTGCACTGCCAGGCAAAGTGCCCCGCGGACTCAACCTAGCCACCTTCGTCCAGAGCAATCCTTCCAATGTGCCCTCCTCAAAGATCGCCTTCGTCTCCGCCCTCGATCCTTCGCACAAGCTGACTCGAGCAGAGCTCTTCCAATCCGGACACGAGCTGGCATGGAGTCTGCGCAATGTGGCGAAATTACAGAAGAGGGATCGCGTGGCAATCTTTACGAGCAACAATCTCTGGTACCCAGTCTTGGTGCATGCAAATCTTCTCGCTGGACTGGTGAGCGTCACGCTCAACCCAGCTTACACGGCTGAGGAGTTGGCTCACCCGCTGGCGGATGCAAAGCCCAAGGTCATCTTCACTACGACGGACCTAGTGGGGACTGTGAGGGAATCGGCGAAACATGCTGGCTGGAAGGGAGAGATCTTCGTTGTAGACCGTGAAGAAGGAAAAGGCTCAGAGACGCACGTCAACCAGCTGATGACCAAGGCCAAGGGGCAGAGTTTCAAGGCAGAATGGATCGAAGAGCCCGAGAAGGAGGACGCCTTCATCGGTGAGTGGTAGTGTTGCGCGTTGTTCTGCACGCAACTGTCTTAATATTCTGACTTATCATGCCCTGCACTTCTACAGGCTACAGCTCGGGTACGTCTGGCAAGCCCAAGGGGGTCCAGCTCACACAGTGAGTACGATTGATGAGAGTTTACTAAACATTTCGCCCGTTTACTGACCCGCTGATGCCTCTTTCGGTCAATCCCTCGCTCCCAGCGCCAATCACATTCAGCTCTGCAAAATGATGATCCCAGGCAGGCACGGCGACCTTTCCCCAGATGATGTGGGGCTGGCATTGCTACCCTTCCAGCACATCTTTGCCCTCTTCCACTCTCTCATCTTCGACCTCTGGTTTGGCGTGACGGTAATCGTAGTTCCGCGCTTCAGCCTCAAGGAGTGCTTGGGGTACATCCAGAAGTTCAAGGTGACAAAGGTCGAAGTGGTTCCACCTATTGTACTACTGCTGGCTAAAGATCGCCTGGTAGACGAGTATGATTTGAGCTCCCTCAAGTGGCTCATCAGTGGTGCTGCACCCCTCTCGGCCGATCTGAGCGATCAGGTCGAGAAGCGACTCAACACCTCTGCCAAGGGCGGCAAGCTGACCATTGTCCAAGGGTATGGACTCACCGAGACGGCTCCGAGCTTGACAGCTGGTGCTGTAGCAGACTATCACGAGCACAAGGGCTCCATTGGTGTTCTCTTTCCCAATATCCAAGCTCGCCTGGTGGACCCAGACACGGGATTGGACGTTGCCTTTGAGATCGATGCCAATACCTCCGAGGGCGCATCGAAGAAGAGGAGCAAGCCTGGAGAGCTCTGGGTGAGGGGTCCGAGTATCATGAAGGGCTACCTGAATCGGCCTGATGCTACTGCGGAGGCCATCGACAAGGAGGGGTATTTCCACACGGGTGATATTGCGATTGTGGAAGATGGCAAGCACCTGTATATTGTCGATCGGTTAAAGGAGCTGATCAAGTACAAGGTGAGTCCGGCAGCGGACAGGAGTAAATTTACCTGTAACCTGACTGACAATTCTTGTCTCGAATTGTTCACACCGGCCACTCCATAGGGTTTCCAAGGTGAGACAGCTCTTGCTCTATTCGCACCCGTTCTCCCTTCCCACTCACCGCTGATGACTTCTTCTTCTCTCTCCTCTCCTCTCCTCTGCTTCGCAGTGGCGCCCGCAACGCTCGAGTCCCTCCTTCTATCCCACCCAAAGGTAGCCGACTGTGCTGTTATTCCGCTCCATTCTAAGGAGCAAGCCACCGAGCTCCCCTTGGCCTTCATCGTCCCCTCTCCTTCTAGCTCGGGCTCATCTCAAAGCGCGTCTGAGCTAGCCAAGGAGGTACAAGAGTGGGTCGCAGGTCGAGTCGCCAATCACATGAAGCTGAGGGGAGGTGTGAGGGTGAGGGAAGAGATTCCCAAGAGTCCTTCAGGGAAGATTCTGAGGAGGGTTCTGAGGGATGAGATTAAGAAGGAGTTGGAGGAGGGGGAGAAGGGAGCGGCTCCCAAGGCGAAGCTGTGAAGAGGTGGGACTGCTGCTACTGAGAGGCTGCGTGCCTTTTTGCAATAACATCTTCGTACACTACATTCCTACAGAGCGACAATGGATGTCATGGATCATCTGCTTTGTATTGGATTCAAAGCATCGTGAACATAGCCTTGGCGGAAGTAGCGCGTAGAGGGGTGCTAAATTCAAATTCAGGCCCGTATCACCGGAACGGAAGCCAGTGGTGCTGAGCCGGGTGTGAGGCGAGGTGCTGTGCATAGAGGCAGAGGCTCCACTCGGCAGAGTCTCGGCTAGTAAGACTGTGGTGGACTGAGAGACGAGAGAGAGAAGGGCGGATGGATGCAAAAGGCAGCGAGATACGAACATCGTCTTGTCATTCGTACCTCTTCGTCCAATCTACCACTGCTGTCCCATCGTCCCTCGTCGTCGTACTGCGTGGCTAATCTGTCTACTTCTACCGTCATCGTCCCCTCGCACGGAAGCATCACCGGCCCTTAACTCTGGTTGCCCTTTGCTGCCACTGCTACTCCCGCTGCCTCCTCCGCCCTCTCTCTCTCTCTCTACCCGCCGGAGTCATCGTCGCCTGTTCTGAGCCACAGTGTACGGAGAGTGCAACTTCCTCTGCCACTCAGGTACACATCTACACGCACCTCCCGCCGCCGCCTGCACCTTCTTTGCTTTCCCGCAACACTCGACACGCTCAAAGTGCCAGACAGACAGACGGGTCACATTTTCATTGCATCCACTGAGCAAAGCAGGTGATACCACTCCGTCTTTGCCTAGACATCATCTCCTCCTCTTGAGCGCTTCCTCACGGTCTCCCGCCTTGCACGCTCCATTTCCCTTCCACCCGCCATGTCATCCGAAAAGTCGGCCCAAACGGTTCCCTGCGCCTACAAGACCGGCCGCACACTAGGTCAAGGCACCTATGCCGTCGTCAAGGAAGCCGTACACATCAAGACGGGAAAGTACTATGCCTGCAAGGTCATCTCCAAGAAGCTCATGGAGGGAAGGGAACACATGGTACGAAATGAGATTAGTGCACTCAAGAGGGTTAGTCAGGGACATGGAAGTATCGTTACATTGGTGGATTACTTTGAGACGATGAACAACTTGTACCTCGTCACGGATCTCTGCGTGGGTGGGGAATTGTTTGATCGGATTTGTGAGAGGGGGAGTTACTACGAACAGTGAGTGGTAAGAAAAGAAGGATGGTAGATCTCATGGGCAAGCCTAAGGTCTGCTGAGTTTCCCCCCTGCTGATCGATTGTTACTCCTTCCCATCCTCCTCCTACTCTGCTATCTAGAGATGCGGCTCACATTGTGCAGACAGTCGTCAAGGCAGTCAAGTATCTCCACGACCAAGGAATCGTCCACCGAGGTCAGTCTAGCTTCGTTCTCATCAGAGAGCGCCACCCTTCATCCTCACCTCATTGCTCACGCCTCCCCCTCCCCCTCACCTTCCCCTTCACCTCATACCCTCCACCTCGAAGACCTCAAGCCAGAGAACCTCCTCTTCCGAGACAAGACCGAAGAGTCCGACTTGCTCATTGCAGACTTTGGTCTCAGTCGGGTCGTAGACGATGATACCCTCTCGGTCCTCTCGACGACTTGTGGAACTCCAGGGTACATGGCGCCAGAGATCTTCAAGAAGAGGTGAGTTTGGAGAAACCAGAAGAGGGGAGGTGGAATTGCTGCTACAGAGATGTCTAGATGCTCATCAGACGTCTGGCTTCTCTCTACCCTTTTCTTCTATAGCGGACATGGTAAGCCTGTGGACATGTGGGCCATCGGTGTCATCTCCTACTTCCTCCTCGCCGGCTACACTCCCTTCGACCGGGATTCAACCGCCCAAGAGATGCAGGCCATCGTCAATGGCGACTATGCTTTCGAGCCCGAGGTCTACTGGCAAGGCGTCTCCCCTTCTGCGAGAGACTTCATCAATAAGCTCCTCACAGTGGACCCTTCCAAGAGGATGACGGCGAGTGAGGCATTGGAACATCAGTGGTTGAGCACAGATGCTGCCAAGCAAGAAGGAGAACAGAAGGATCTGCTGCCGGGTATCAGGAGCGCATTCAATGCAAAGATGACTTTCAGAAAGGCCGTGCATGGTATTCGGTGAGTGGACAAGAAGAAACAGAAGCGACTAGAGACTCCAAAGCTTCCTTATTGATGACGCTCCCCGCCCTCTTTATTCTCCTCACCCCTTCTCAGACTAATCAACCGTCTCCGCACAGAAAGCAGCGAGCAAGTCCCGCGCCACGAAGTGGAAGCTCTGCGCAAGGGAATCGCCGAAGCCGAGGCAGAAAACGTGCAAGAGGTCCTCGATGTGGATTTGCCCGATGCTTCTGGCCATCAGGACAAGGATAAGAAGGAAGAGAAGGAAGGAGGGGGAGCAAAGAAGGAGGAAGGAGACGAGAAGATGCAAGAGGGTAGTTCGTGAAGTGATGATTACAGAGGAGTTATGGGTCTTGTGCGATGTGGAGCAGTGGGCGCAAGTTATCCACACGCACGCTCAGTCTACTATTCTTAGCCTTGGTCGTAGCCCTGGTCAGCCGACCTAGTCAACTTTTATATCAATAGCCTCTGCTTCTGCTCGTCTGCCTCTGCTCGACTGCGACACTTGTCCTCCTCCCCACCTTTCTTTCTCGTCACGTCCATCTGTGTCTCCGCACCTCGCACCGACGCCCCAGCGTGCCGTAACTGGCCGCAGGGTGGGGGGAAGCTCCTCTCTGCTCCCCTGTCAGGACGGCGATATGGATGAGATTGCGCTAGTGTCCTGCCCTGCCCATGTGCGATGGGATGAGAGCATGCCCTGGGGTTTCCAGAGCGATGTCCAGCTGGGGAAGCTGGACTTGGAGCTGGATCTGGGGCTGGACATGGAGATGGACAGATCCCGCCTGTCTACAATGGGTATCTTGGCGCGCGGGACTTGTCTAGCATCGCTCATGGCATCGGCAGCCCCAAATCGCGATGCAGCAGCTGTACCATTTCCACATATCCTTCTACATCCTTCTCACCCTCACGTATCACCCCCTTCCTGATGAGAAAGTCCAACATGACTAGCCCGCAATTGGGCTTGAATTCGCCCTTTTTCAACAGGTCCATGATTTGTGGAACGGAGAGGAGATCAAAGGATTGGGCTTCACCGTCGTTTGGCTTGGGAATGAACTTGGCTTCCTCTGCATCGCCATCGGCAAAGTCAGGTGCAGGAAGAGGAAGATCATAGATGTACTGCACCTCGGGCTGCAGATACCCTCCTCCCTCCTCCAGAGGCAGGGTGCGATAGACGTACGTCACCACTCCTGCTTGCTGGATTCGCGCACGAACCACGTCCTCAGAGAGCGAAGCCTCCTCCTGACATTCCCGCACAATCGACTCAAAGGGAGCGTCACCAGAGGTGATGCCGCCTGCGACGCTGTTGTCGAGGTAGCTAGGCCAGGTCGCTTTGCTGGCGGAGCGACGGGGCACCCAGACCTTGAGCAAGTCGGAGCTCGAGCTCGTGTCAGCATCAGAAGCGCTTGTGCTGCTGCTTGGCTCCTGGGTGTAAGCAGTGAGATGCACCCCGTAGGTGACTAGGCCGAAGAGGGCGCAAGCGGCTCGCTCCAGCTCGAATACCGCTCCTCTTGACCCTACCTCTGTTCCACTCCGTGTAGTCCTCTCCCAGGAATTGAATGGATGCGAGTCGGAAGAGTAGACTGCGTACATTTCCTCGCGCCAGCCATCGAGAGCGTCTCTGAAGAGCCCGACATCTCGCCAGGAGCGAACGAGGCTATTAAGGGCGTTGCTCCTCTTCTGAAAGGAGTCTAGACTGCGTGCCAGTCCTACCCGGCCCTCGGAGTGGATGAAGATCCCCTTTGCATCACCTTTGAGAATCTCAGCCAAGACAGCCTTGGGTATAAAGCCAATCTGCGCCGTGGGAGGGCCTAAGTGCAGGTGGAAAGGCGTAAAGTAGTCGGTAGTGGGGGAGGAGAAGAGCGGGTAAGGGTGGTTGTGGCAGCGTAGGATGATGGAGAGGAGCGTAGGAGTAGATGGGCTGGCAGCGCTATTGGTCGTCGTCGTCGGCCGCTCGAAAGAAGCGGAGGTCATGCTCGCAAGGCCAGCGAGGAGGAGGAGGAGGAGGTGAGGGAGGTTCTGACGATCTGGGCGATACCCGCCAGTCCGGATCAGAAGAAGCAGAATCAATGCACGGCCACCACCACCACCCCGCACTTTTTGCTTCCGGTCCGATCTGAGCCTCCACCCGCCTGCCACCGGTTGACGCGACGCACGCGGGCGGGACGAGGCTCGTGAGAAAGTCCCCGCCCGGAGACCGGATCTGGACCGGGAGGGCTGCTGCGATTTGTACCACTCAGAAGTGCTACCATCAGCATCAGCATCGACTCATAGACTCAACATCCTTCTCTCGCGAACCACCACGCCCTCCTCATTCATTTCTTCTCGACGAGCAAGAGCCTAGCCAATCATGACAGGTCAAGCGGAAATCCCGCCCTTTGCGCAAGCGGCAGCTGGTGCAGCGGGGTCCATTGTATCCAACACCATCGTCTATCCCTTGGACCTCATTTCCACCAGGGTACAGACGTCGGGTTCCAAGGCCCAGGCTAAATCGCCCCTAGCGGCCATTTCGGAGGTGGTGAAGAAAAAGGGCATCAGTGGCCTCTACCAGGGACTGGGGACGGACAACCTTTCCAATACAGTAAGTGCTCATCCGCTGCGCAGCATAAAGCAATAACGAGCTGGCTAACATTTGACTTCTGCAATATCTCCTCCTCCTCCTCCCGTCAGCTCTCCAACTTTCTCTTCTTCTTCTTCCGAGCAGCAATCGTTGAGCGTATTCACGCCCGTTCCGCCTCTTCAGCTTCATCAGCAGCAACAGCCAGCAACAGCAGTAGCAGCAGCAGCAGTAGTAGTAAGCGCAAAGGACCTCCACCGCTTACGCCTGGAGAGGATCTAGCAGCGGGTGCTCTAGCGGGTGTATTCTCGAGGGCATTGACAACTCCGTTGAGCAATGTGACTGTGAGGAAGCAGACGCATAGCAGTAGTAGTAAGGGGAGCGCAAAAGGAAAAGGAAAGGAAAAGGAAAGGGGGAAGGGAAAGGACGGGGATGCAATGGAAGACGATTCTTCCTCGGATGAGGAGACTACGTTCGAGGACGAGCCTTCCATCATGGATGTGATTAATGAGATTCTCAACGATAAAGGCATCGCAGGTGAGTCAATGCGTTCCGACTTAGGGGGGTACCACCGCTCTGCTTCAGGCTGACAGTCGCCCCGTCCCCTCTCCTGATGCTCCTTGACTCAGGTCTTTGGTCCGGCTTCGAGACTGCCATCCTCCTCTCCACCACTCCCGCCCTCACCTTCTACCTAACAAACATCTACACCCGTCTCCTCTTCTCCTCACGTCGCCCTTCCTCCTCATCCTCCTCAGGCTCCAGCAAAGGGGGCGAACCCATCCAAACGCCCCTCCAAATCTTCCTCTCCTCAGCCCTAGGAAATGCCACTTCTACCAGTCTCCTCTACCCTCTCATCCTAGCCAAGACACTCCTGCAATACCGCTCTCCACGTACTGGACGTAGGACCTATCGCAACTTGGGGGATGTACTGATTAAAGTCGGGAGGGGGAAAAAGGGAGTGGCGGGATTGTATCAGGGATTGGAGAGTCAGTTGATCAAGGGTGTGATTAGTCATGGGGTTACTATGCTTGTCAAGTCGAGGGTGGAGCTGGGATTTGTGTGGCTTTACCTCTGGATGAAGGGGAGGAAGTGAGGGTAGAGGCAAGGCGAGGGTGAAGGAGAGGTCATCCTGTAACTTGTGGCTGCAGTCTTTGTATGCTGTGCATGCTGGTACTGTTATACTTCTATACAATTGGCGTTGTGCATACAGCTCCTTTATCCCGCCCTCTGTAACGGCGGATGATTCGTCGAAAGCTTGTTCTGTGCGAGCACTGCCAAAGGAGGGCAGAGATGGTAAGGGATCGGTCTGTCAGCTGCTTCTCTCCCCTCGGGAAGGCCCTGCGTAGCAGACTGCTGTTTACTCACCCGCCTCAATCGCTCCCCTCAGCCCATCCGAGTCCACTCCTCTCCTTCGCATCACTCTCCTGACCTCTCCTCTCACATCGGATCTCTCCTGGGCCCCATCTGTCAGCTCTTCCTCGCCTCCCTCTTCTCCCTCGTCCAGATCTAGATCTACGTCCTCAATCTCCTCTGTCTCCAACCCACCTCCAAGGAAGTCCATTGCGGGATTCTTGACTACCCATTCCACCCACGGACCCGCGATGATTTGCTTAAGAACACCAGGGAGGGACATTCCTCCCGTGCCTGGAATTCCACCCCCGCCTGAGCCCACCGAGTAGCTCGAGCCGTCTGCTGTAGCTGCACCTGCACCAGATCCTCTTCCGCCAGCTCCTGCGCGCACAGGTGGTGAGACGGGGTCTGTGAGTATGACGAATGTGTACATGGACGCCGTCTGATAGTGCCCGAGTGCGTAGGTGGGCGTGGTATAGGTGTTGAAGTGGGAAGTGCTGGTGGCTTGTGCAGAGGGGGAGAGCTTGGCGAGCATATTACGCAGGGAGAAGACGAGACCGTAAATGAGTTTGGCCTGGTCCGTTAGTGCTAGTGCTGAGGAACCTGCTAATGAGGAAGGAGTGGGAGCTGCGCCAGGGGCGGAAGAGGTAGAAGTGGAAGGGATGGGCTGGTGTGCGATACTCCTGCTCACGCCGGGAAGGAGGTCGGGGCCTGGTTGGAGTGCAGAGCTGGAGGAGAGTGACCAGTCGTGGTGATAGACGAGGGTACAGTGACGATCGTAGATCCAGATGGAGTAGGCCTAGGGACGGGAGAAGAAGGAGAGCGTAAGAGTGGCGCTGAGAGGTGGGGAAGGAGCTCGGAGGTTGGACTCACCTTGGTTGCCATTGTGGTAGAGAGAGAGAGGAGAGATAGTCTGGACTGTCTTTTATGTGATGTCTGTGTGTCAATGTATGGTCTGGGTATATCGAGGCTGGTCTATCAGGTCTTCGGAATCCTGGTGGAGACTGGGAAGTGTTGGTCTCAGAGTGGTGAGTGAGTGAGTGTGTCTGTGTCTGTGGCTGCCTGCCTTGCACCCTCGGCCTCTTTCCGGTGCAGTGTGGGGCGGCGCACCTCACCGCGCATGGCCCTTGCACTTCCGCATCCACCGTCGCTTGAGTGATTTTTCTGGGTCGAGTGAGAGCAACGGAGCAACGCATCTCATCCCTCACCATCACCACTCCTGTGCCGCCTTGCCCTCGGCATCGCACCTTCGATCGCCCTGGACACTTCGGGTCGAAGATCGTCGTCGCAAGCCATCACATCTCCTCTGTCCTCGACTGGCTTCAGCAGCCAGCAGAGCCTGCCTGGCCTGGCCTTGCTGAGCTCGCCCGCGCAAAGAGGCCCGCCCGCCCCCTTTGGCCATAGCTTCCTGCCCGGTCCTCGGCGCGGGCTGATCAGGCAGCCATGGAGGACAAAGGCAGCACCAATCGCAGGGGAAGGAGCGGCAGAGGCATCGACGACGCCGATCAAGGTTCTTCCCTTGCGACGTCACCTCCTGCTCCTCCTCTGGACCCAGCTGCCAGTGCAATGGTGCTTAGGGGACTACAAAACTTATCCCTACCCGGCAATGCAACCTTCAACCCCTCGCCTTACGGGGACCATAGCTATGCCTCGGCCGCGCCCATGCTCAACGGCGACGCTTCCACTTCCCCCACTTCCAACATCGACTTCAATGCCATCCTCGCCAGCCTGGGATCTGGGGCAGCTCAGTTCCAAGATCAATCTCAATACGCACAGCATCAACCACCTGCATACGTCTCCGCCAGTCAGCTCCACCCATACATGGACACGTCAGCAGCAGCCGGACCTTCTTCATCTTCTTCCAGCACCTTGACAGGCAGCAATGCAAACAATGCTGCAGGCTCTTCGACCTCTGGCGCAGCAGCCAAGAAGAAGGTGGTGAACAATGGCAAGGCCAAGTCTACCACTCCCAGAGCCAGCAGTCCTTCCGAGGAGAACACCGGTGCCTCTTCCTCCTCTGCCAAGCGAGTCCCACCCTTTCTCAACAAGCTTCGCAACATGATTGACGACGAGGCGACGAACGAACTCATCTGCTGGCAGCCCGAAGGCAAGACTTTCTTGGTACCCAACAACATTCGCTTCGCTAAAGAAGTCCTTCCACGCTTCTTCAAGCACAACAACTTCTCTTCCTTTGTGCGACAGCTAAACATGTACGGCTTCCACAAGGTTCCTTCGCTACAGCAGGGATCACTCAAACACGAGCAGGAGATGGAGGTGTGGGAGTTTGAGAACGACAACTTTGTCCGCGATCAGCCCGAGCTGATGATCAACGTTCAGAGGAAGCCTGGTCACAAGGGTGATGGCGCTGGAGGGGAACGTGGCGAGGCAAAGGATGACAAGGAGGAGGAAGAAGACAGGAACAAAGCCCTCGTAGATAGCAAGTCGGAGGGAGGACTCAATGCTGTCAGTGGGGCACTCACACGCATCGGCGATTCAGAGACACGGCAAGAGCTCTCAAAGGTATGGCATGCTATTCAAACGATTAGAAGTACGCAAGAGAGCATCAATGATAATCTACGCCATCTCAGTCTCCATAACGAAACATTATGGCAGAAGGCCATGGAGAGCGAGAGGAGAGCTGAGCAGCAATCAGAGACGATCAATCGCATGCTACGCTTCCTTGCAGGGATCTTTGCCAACCAGGATGTACTCGGCGGAAAGCACGACCCTGGGACACCGAGCAAAGGACGCAAGAGAGGCGGTCAAGGTGGCAGTGGTGTCGGGCCCGGCAGAGGTCTATTCAGGAGCAACTCTAGTCACCCGCTCATGATCCAAGGACCGGATGCTGCCAGCTCGTCAGATCCGTTCGATCAGCGGTACGATACTACTGATGATGCCGAGGACAACAGCGAACGCTTCCACGAGCTCTTCACCCGCATCTCGGAGACTGGCTCGAATGAGAACACTCCCAGAGAATCAAGATCGCCGACAGAACCCGGTTCACCCAGCAAATTCACAACGCTTCGATCGCCTACGCCTACTCAAACGTCGGCACAGCCAAGGTCTGGGTCGAGTCGACCAGGTCGTCCATCTCTGTCAGATGCAGGACGCAGACCTTCCACCCCCTCGGGCAGCCGAAGCGGGTCACTTGCGCCTCAGCAGATCCTCAGCGCGCTACAGCAAATGTTTGCGGGCAGTGGAGGAGAGGGCGGAGCCAGTCTGCCCGGAACGCCATATGCCGGCCGATCTGGGACTCCCTTTAGCGCTCGAGGTGGTACGCCTGGCCCGGCAGGGGCACCCAGCCCAGCCAAGATGGACCCCAACTTGATCGCCTCGCTGCAGAGTGTGATTGCCATGATGCAGGCCCAGCAGCAGAACTCGGGCGAGGGAGGTAGTGGTACTGGGACAAATGAAGGAGCCTTGGGCATTTACAATGCCGAGGATCAACAAAACGACTCCAATCGCTTCATCTATCCTTACACTGGTGGCCCCACTGGCTTCACCCCGCCTTCATCAAATTCGCCAGCACCGAGCCATGCGAGCCCAAACTATGGCGGTGGTAACCAATTGACGCAGATGACCCCGGACAATCCCTTTGCGCAGTATCTCCAAGGCACAGAGGCGGATGCAGCAAGCGTTCAGAAAGCCATTGGAGCCCTAGTGGAGGCTTTCCGTGTTCCTGGCTCTGGCAGTCGGGGCAGTACACCTGGACCTTCTTCGTCCACCGCAGGAGCTGGATCATCGTTCGGTCAACGAAACAGTGATGGTTTCGCCACTGGTGGAATCGCTCCTGGCAATTGGAACCAGTACGCTTCGTCTGCGGGCTCCGCGAGCCAGCGCCGCGGAAGTGTCGACAGTACGGGCAAGAAGGGTGGTCCGAAGACGCCTGCCGGTGAAAGCACGAGCGATATCGACGTCGATGCACTCCTGTCGCAATTCATTGACTCGTCCGCTGCTGGTTCTACCGGGCCCGACGAGGAGAACGCTACCACCCCTACTGCCACGAGCGCAGAGAATCAACCAGCAGGTACAACAGCAGCCGAGGTGAAACAGGAAAGCAGCAGCAGCAGCAGTCCCTCGCCTGCCCTAGACAGTACCAGTCGGCCTTCATCCCCCTCGGCCGTCGCTCATGCTACACGGCAGAAGCGCAAACCGCTCGATGCGCAGGGCGATGTGGATATGCAGTCTGCTGAAGTGGAAGGAGGAGAGGCCTCTTCAGGTGGGCAGAAGAGGAAGAAGACGAATCATGATACCCGAGGAGGAGGAGGAGGCGGAAGAAGCGCGTCTGCTGCGGGAAAGTTTGGACAGACGAGCGTTGAAGATGGATGACGAACGGAGCGTGGGATGACTCATAGAAAGGGGAGAAGCACTAGGCAGAGGATACTCGAGGAGACGAGGCTTCCTAGACGTGAATGGCGCGACCTAGGTGTCATGGTCCGCTGTGCGCTCCTGCACATTGTACAATTATCTCTCCCTCTCTCTGTAAAGACTGGAGTCCCAAATACTCGCTATCCAGGTCCTCTTCTTTCGTGTCTTTTTGACTGCCGGACGTACGCTTTCTACTAAAGGTGAGGAGTACTCTCCATCAGCTTTCTCTACCCATTTTCCGCATTCCCTCGCCTCATTCCCCCCATTCCGCACGTTCGGTCGTCAGATGGAGACGAGAGGGCAGGCCAGGCGCGCGGGCGCGATGCATGGGCCAATTGCCGGACTGCGTGGAGCCCCAACCCAAGACGGTCTTGTTCCTTCCTGGATGGACCTACTACCACAATTGACGTCACCATTCACCTTCACCATATTCTCTTTCTGGCGACTGCAGAGGAGTAACTTCATCTTCATCTTCGAAGCTTCGATAAAGCTTGTTTGTGAAGCTTGGTAGTCATCCTCCTGTTCCCAAGGGGTTGATTCGCGGCGCCTTGAAAGGCCTCTACTTCGCGCTCAAGCAATACCCGCAACTTGGCTCTTTATTGCCCCACTGCAACGCACTTTTACTCCTCCTTCGGTCCAGCGATCCGCGTCCCACTGTCTTTTCTCGTACTTCAAAGCCTTCACCCCATACCTCTAGTCTAGCATGTCTTCTTCCCAAGATCTCAAAATGTCAGTAGCAGGACTCGCTCCATCTCTGCAGGCTTCATCACCAGCAGCAGCACCACCTCCTCCAGGTGAAGACGCTTGGGATGCCAAAGCGATTACCATCTCGCGTGGTCGAGGTTTCGGTCCTTGGTACTCCATCATGCGCTGGATCGGTCGAAGATGCTCCTCCCACTTCTTCTCCTCGGTCACAGTCCTAGGTGGGGAGGATGTTCCTCGTACTGGAGCCTTCATTCTTGTTTGCTCCCACTTTAGTACCATTATGGATGTGGCGATTATTAGTGCGCATTTGCCGCATGGGAGACCGATCCATTATTGGGCTAAAAAGGGACTTTATAGGGGGAAATGGATTGCTTATATCTTGAATGATTCGGGGAATATTCAGGTGGATAGGAAGAATAAAGACAATCAGGCGCTCTTCAAGGGAACGTTTGATGCGATGCAGGCTGGAGAGGCGATTGGACTTTTCCCAGAAGGTAAGTCAGAGGGTACAGCATGCCATCATGGGCTTGCGCAGATCTCATCTCGCTCATACTATCCTCTCTTCACGCTCTTGCAGGTGGCTCGTATACCGAGCCCCGCCTCCACTCGATGAAAGCGGGCGCAGCATGGGCCGCTCTCGAGTACGCCAAATTCCTCCTGGCCGAAGAGGAGAACAAGAAGGACGGCTCACCCGCCTCTCCCTCCGAGATCAAAACTGACGTCAAGATCATTCCAGCTTCCATCAATTACACTGAAAAGTCGCGCTGGAGGAGTCAAGCCATCTTCCAGATGGGCAAGGCCTTTTCTGTAGACGAATATACAGACGAATTTCTTGCTGCTTCGACGGAGCCGTCCACTAAGATCGCCGTCAGCGCTACCTCTGACGAGGATGGTTTGCTAGGCAATAGAAGTGATGGCAGCTCCCGACGTTTCCCAGCACCGCAGACGCCGCTGTTCCCTGCTACTCCAGCAGCATACAGCGATGTTGAGCCCTCGTATCTCGACCCAATTGTCAACCCTGGAGCCGGTCTGACCGTTCCTACCGAGCGCCCGCCTCTTGCTCGAGGCACAACACGGCGATCGGATCGGGCCGCCAAGGATGCCGTTCAGAAGCTGACGGACAGGATCTCGCGCGAAATGAACCAGATCACCATCAATGCTCCAGACTGGAAGACGTGGCATGCTATGAAGGTAGCCAGGGAGCTCCTGTGGCAGGGAGATGCCAAGAAGGGTGGGACAGAGCTGGATCTGACGCATATCGTGCCGATCAGCAATGCCCTCATTGCTCTCTTTGAGGTGGATGAGAACTCGGACTCGCCTCCTCTGCCCCAAGCAATTCACGCCTCTGAGGTCCTGCTGAGACTGCAAGCTCTTCAACTCGCTGCACGAACTGATCTGCCGACTCTCAACGCCATTGCGCCGTCGTACAACAAGCGCAATTACTCTTTCCCAACGAAAGGCCAGACCAGCAGGGCACTCCTGTATAACATTGCGCAATTGGCGCTTCGTAGCCCCCTCTATGTGCCGGTCTACATTTTCTACGGGCCTGCGTACTTTGCGGGTTGGTACATGAGTTCGAAGCATGCAAAGCATGAGGAGGAGAGTATGGCGAGCGTGAAGAGCCTTGTGTGAGTATTTCAACTCACTTGACTCGAGGTGCAGGCAAATATTACGACGCAGCAGCTGACCGATTCGTTGTGCCTTCCCTATCACAGCTCCTTCCCGGTGGCCTTCCTCACCCACTGCCTCCTCTTCCTCTTCATCTCCGCCCTCTTCCTGTTCACCCCTCCCGGTCTCCTCATCGCCTTTCTCCTCTCTCAAGCTCTTCGCATCACGGCGGAAAAGTACGTCCTCTCGTCAGCGTATCGTCTTGCCAAAGAGACGGCCGCCTACGGACGTTGTCTCACCATTCACCTAGGTCTGGTCAAGAGCTTTACCGGTCGTGAACGGGAGGTAGAGGTGATGGTCCGCGCCGTCGAAGTGGCTCAGCCTGTGCAGTGGACTCTGACAAAGGCCTTTAAGCGGCAGCCAGATGGCAAGCGCGCCAGAACTACGTCGCAGTCGCAGTCGCAGGCTTCTGGGGAGGCAAAGGGGGAAGTCAAGCTTGCCATGACTAGCAGTGTGGATGGAGAGGTGCCTGGGGAGAAGATTGTCACTCTCAAGAGGGTAAGGGGAGCTAGTCCTGGGGGAGGCAAGAGACGTCCAGCACCTATTCGCCTGCTGAGGCTTGCACTACAGACGAGGCGGGAGAGTATTCTCAGTCTGAGGGAGCTCATCAAGGCTGTACGGGAGAGGGGGACAGATCGACAGAGGGAGGCTTGGATGTACTTGGAGAGTCAGGGAGCCAAGCTGGTGTGAGACGGAGATGAACAGTGCGAAAAGGTGGGCGCGGTTGTGCGAAGTGTCAAGTGTCATACCAGGGCCTGTAGAGCATACCATGTCTCGTCTGAATTGATCAAGGCGGGAGACATGACAATACCATCTAATTCAACACGTGCGCAATGCAGTGAACGTCTTTTGTCTATGAGAGTCTAAGTCTGGCGAGTCCGTCCGCTATTGCTTCTCCTCTCCTTGGATAGTAATAAAGAGCTTCTCCCCTTCCCACCGCGCGGACACGCCGCTAAGGTCCTGACAGACATAGTCTGCCCCCGCCTCCCACATCCTTCCCACATCATGCGTCGTCTTCAACCCCAGCACCCTACATCCTGCCGCCTTTCCCGCCAATACCCCCGGGGGTGCATCCTCCACCACCAGGCATCTCTTAGGATCAGCCCCGCTCTGTTTGGCGCCGAGGAGATAAGGGTCTGGAGCGGGTTTGCCGCGGGAGACTTGATCGGAGGTGATGAATGTGCGAGGGGGAGAGGGGGAGGAGAGAGAGGCGGCGAAACCCACGTGCCCGTAGGCGGCAGTGGCTGAGGTTACGATGGCCCACCCTGGGCGGATGGAGGGGTTGGCCAGGGAAGCAGAGGAGATCTGAACCACAGCAAAGGAGAGAGAGGGAGAGGTGGAGGCACAAGGGGGACAAGAGTCAGCGCTCTCTCGGTCAATGTTCCACTTGTAATTGGTTCGACTGCGAGCTCACCTCGGCTAGCAGCTTCTTTGTCCCGGGCAGAGCCACGATTCTTCCCGGCCCACCCTTCTCTGCGGCCTGCGCAGCAATCTCGGCGATGCGCCCCTCGAAGGCCCGCACCCGCTCTGGGAGCTCCTCGTCTGTGATGCTAGGAATGAAGCGCTTGAGGTTCTCCACTGTACGGTAGCCATGGCAGCGCTCCATCTGTGAGGGAGGAGGGGAGGACGTCAGTGGTCACTCAAGGGGTAGGCAGATCCTCACAGCGAAAGTGTCTCGTCCACTCACAACGTACGGCAGATCAAGATTGTACTGCTCTGCAAATTCGCGCCTGTAAATGAGCGGGCTCAACGTTAATCCCCCTTCTTCCACTTGCCCACCCACGGTTTCTCCGCCTCACCATGTCTGGTTCACCGCCGGTGTCGAGTCAATCAGCGTGCCGTCCATATCGAACAGCACGCAATCTACCTCGATCTCGTGTACAGGCATCGTGGCGGTCTCGGGGGGGGGGGAAGGGGGGGGGAAGGGGGGGAGGAAGGTGGTCGAACGACTATGGAGAGAAGGAGAAATGTGGGGTTGAGGGTAGGTGATTGACTCTGCAAAAGGCGGGGTACAGGAAGAATGTGTCTGATTTCGCACCCTTGCACGGCCTCGTCGGTGACTGCAATTCGCCGAGGCAGCTTGAGCGAGGCTCTTTGCTCGGGGTATATATATTGTCATATCGTCTCTCGCACTTCTATGCTCGGGGACCCGTAGCTCAGCTGGTAGCAGCGTCAGATTCCAATTGTCTTGACTCAAGCACATTGTCTCCTGGAGGTCGTCCGTTCGATCCGGGCCGGGTTCAATCTTTTTGCCTTCCGCGAGAGGCAATTCGAGGGTAGTCAATCGCCGCCATTACAGGCCTAGAAGCTGGCTGGTGTCAGTGCTGCGTCTTTTTCATTCACTTACGGTTGTTGCCTCTCGCGAAGGGGAAGCCGTCACCTCCGACACCCTTGTAAGGTGGGACGATCTCACAGTCGCCGCTCTTGCCGCCTTTGCCGACGAATTCCGATCATAAGCAAGTTAAGCGAGACGCGGGGGGTCCACCGCATGCTCTGGCAGATGCTGAAGAGAAGCATTTAGAAGCCCCAGATCCTTATCAGTGGCCGACACCCTGAATTGGTCAGACACATCAATTCTCCTCGGCAGGCACTAGAAGCCATTGCTGACACCTGCTGACACTCGCTACTGGAACACGTCTGAGCTTCAGCGCCTTCCTTGGCGCATTGGGAACCCTCTCTCCCACGATGCAGATGCACAGGCAAGCGAGGCGATAATCCCTCGAGGCAATCTTCTCTTTGGACCAACGGCACTGATAAGGACTGGGCATGCGGTGTGTAGGTTTGACCTTATATATAACGGAGGTCAAGCTGCTATGGCTTCCCCTACGAAAATATCTGAGCCATCAAATCTCCCTACCTCCACCAATTCACCTAATCACGCACCCTCCGAGGTCACAATGCCTGCTCCTCTCCATCATGCCGGCTCAAGCCGTCTTTGGTTCGTCTTTCTCATCTCCTCTGCTATACTGGCTGTCGTATGCTCGCAGGCTGTTACCGTTCCACAGGCCAGAGATGTCGCTCAGGTAGCCGTAGAGGAGCGCCAGTCTTCCTACGTCTACCCGGACCTGAGGAATGCTTCGATCCACGACCTGCAGAATGGACTTGGGGGCGGTCACTTTAGCAGTGTAGACCTGGTCAAGGTGAGCAAAGCGCCCGCAGAGTTCGAAGGTAGCCCAGTGACCGTCTTCATCTGCTGACGTGTACTCTTGATGTCTTTTTTTCCTCGACTCGCAGGCCTACCTGCAGCGGATCGAAGAGACCAACGACGTACTTGGCGCCGTCCTCGAGCTTGCTCCAAGAGCGTCTGTGATCAAGCAGGCAAAGGCCCTCGATGCCGAGCGGGCCAAGAGTGGGCCCAGAAGCCCACTCCACGGTCTGCCAGTGCTGCTCAAGGACAACATTGCTGTAGATGCCGAGTATGGAATGAACACCACTGCCGGTTCCTATACCCTGCTCAATTCCATTGTCCCTGGAGATGCGCCTCTAGTCAGCAATCTGCATGCAGCCGGTGCTATCGTCATTGGGAAAACAAGCTTGAGTGTCTGGGCCAATTTCCGTGGCAATCTCACGCAAGGTTGGTCGCCCCGCGGTGGCTACTCTTCCTCGGCCTACTTCATCGGTGGAAACCCCTGCAGCTCGTCTTCAGGCAGCGGCATTGCTGCTTCAGTCGGTCTCGCACCTCTCATTCTAGGCTCCGAGACCGATGGTAGTATCAACTGCCCAGCCTCTCGCAACGGTATCGTGGGCGTCAAGCCAACAATTGGCCTCGTTAGCAGATTCGGCGTGATCCCAATCTCCTCCACTCAGGACACCGTCGGTCCCATCGTCCGCTGGGTGGAGGATGCCGCAACCATCTTGACTACCATCACCACTCCGCGCTCGTCTTCTGGAGGATCTCCCTCTCTAGATGCCGCGACGGCGAAGCAGCCAGACAGTGCCAACCAAGGCGGAAGCGGTGAAGACTATGGCTCCCAACTGGCCAATCTGGCTCTTCATCATAGGGACCTGCCACTCGATGGCGTTCGAATCGGCATTGTGGATGGTCTTTTCGTCAACACGACTTACAATGGCTTCACTGACGACGTCGTAGACGCCTACTATCGAGCTCTGGATGCTCTAGAGCAGGGCGGTGCCACACTGGTTAATGTCACACTTGGTGTGGTGCAGAATGAGACTGCTCTTGACGCAGCCTTTGCAGCCGAGAATACCGTCCTCTACACCGAGCTTCAAGCTGGATTAGAGAACTACATTAGCTTCCTCACCGAAGTTCCCTCTGGCACTCGCACCCTGGGCGCCCTGGTAGAGTTTGCCAACCAGCATCCAGATTTGGAGCTGCCCGTGACTGCAAAAGGAAACGAGAGCAGCCAGACGGACTTTCTCACCGCTCTCCTCTCGCCCTTCTATGCGCCTCTGAAGCCAGGGCAGAGCACTACTGACTTCTCCCAACGCCCTCTCAATGCCACATACGCTGCGGCGCTCGTCGATGGCAAGGAACGCGTCTCTGCAAGTATCAGTGCAGCGCTAGACAAGTACAACGTGGGTGTCATCGTAGGTCCTGCAGATGGATTCCTCTACTCCCTCGCAGCCATCGCGGCCAATCCCTCTATGACGGTCCCTTCTGGTTTCTATGGTCAGTCAGTCGAACCAGAAGTTGGAACTCGACCCGTCTGGCCTTTCCCTGGCGCGCCAGTGGGCTTGAGCTTCATTGCGGAGAAGTGGGACGAGGCGACGATGCTGAGGGTTGCACGGGGGTTTGAGGTCATGCAGCAAAGGTTGGGGAGAGGAGGGTACGATGGAGTGGTGAGGACACTGGAGCGTGTTACGCCTACGACGCAAATTCAGGATGTCATGTGAAGGGTCGATGTAGACTAGAAGCAGCGAGAGAAGAGCAGACGCACGACGGCTAAATGTAGACTCTATAGAAACAACGTCGTTGTGTACATCGATATGCGCATACAAAATGCTAACGGATCTGCCCATTGTTTATTTGCCTCAGCCCCCTGCCCGACGCTCGTGTTCAGGCGTCCCACTCCTCCGGCGTGTCTTCCCTCCGCAACTGAGCGGCCATCTGCTGCTGACGGTGAGGCGGCTGATAGCCTCCCCTGCTCGACAGTGCAGATAGCCCAGGTGTCCCGCTTCCGGCTGACCTCCAATTGCTCGCCGAAAGGGCTGAGCTGTTCGTGGAAGAGGATGTAGGCGCGTTCGCAGGTGTGCCAGACCTGGCAGTACCGCTGGAGGAATTGGTCCTGCTCATGATGGGAGTTGAGCCCCATGGATTTGTCCTCGCAGGAAGATGCGTAGAGGAAGTGCTCGGAGTGGCAGGCAAGGAGCTGGCTACTGCCGCCCACCCCGACAGCTTGTTAGCACTTCCACCTGCAGCGGCCGACGCAGATGAGAGGACTGACCCACCAGGTCGATCCTCTCTACGTACAACTCGATTGCTTCCGGCATCATAGCAGCATGGTACAACGCTCTGCACCGCTTGGTTCATCTTCAGCACTCGCGTCACGTCCGGTCTGGTTGCCAGGAGCCTAGCGGGAGGCACATTCGCGTCCTTTGGCGTGAGAAGGACCGTTTCCTCTCCCACCCACTTGATGCTGAAGGGGATGAGACGCAGAGGAGCTGACCCAAGAGGCGCGGGCGAGGGCGCTGAGGTCAACAGGCTTCTCAAAGCGTCCTCGTCCACGCCGAACACGCCGTCTAAGAGAAGAGCGTTGAAAGCCGAGGGGGGCGTCGCATTCCCGCTCCTCATCGAAGTCAGTCGAAGACCGTTGCCCCCGGACGAAGTCGAGCTGCTACCCAGACCTGATTCTACATCCCGCTTTGCCTTGTCCCAGACTTCACTGGGAGGCATGCGGGGCACCTTGGCTTCTTGTGTCCTCCTAATCTGCACACTCCTCTTTGGCTCCAGATCGAGACTCTCCGTCGCGAGACCATACGCAGCTGCCAATTCATGAGTGAACATGCGTTGAGTCCGTGAGGCAGAGGGCAAGATAACAGAGTGCCGAGGAGAGCGGATGAACTCGGCTAATGTATGCTCCATCTCCGCGGCAAAGCGACGATCCTGCCCGTAGAATGCGAGGAGCTCAGCATCGTAAGCGGGAGGAGCGGTCTTCTCCCCTACATCGAGACCCAATGCCTCAGCCAGCTTGGCATTCCGCTGCGCCACTGTACATGCCTCGTTGCATTTGAGCTGACGATCCGCGGCATCTCCTGTACCAGTGCTGGCACCACATCGAGTCTTCTGCTTGAGATGTCCGCAGGGGCAGGAGACGGTAATGACTTCTTCGCAGGGCTTGCTCTCGTCGCAAGAAGCAGGAGCGTGGCATCTGTCCTTGCAAGGGTGTCCACACCTCCTCTTGGGCTTTCCGCAGGTGGCAGTGCACTCTCCACAGGCCTCGGGAGCGCCGAGATGACAGGTGGCGGTACAGCGATGGAAGCCACAAGGCTTGAGCGCTCCGCATACCGAACCACAAGAGACCCGAGTGCGGTGGCAGGGTATGTTCTGCACTATGTTTTTGCCACAATCACACGCCTTGGAGGTGAGATAGACACAAGGCGGGCAAGGCCCATCTTCATGGCAGTCGTGGGGAAGCTTTGGGTGACCGCAAGGAGGCGGAGGTCTGGCGCATGGGAAGCGACAGACGGGTCTTTGACCACACGGTACAGGTGGCTCGAGGACGGTCCTACCACAGTGGCAAATGACCTCCTCAAAGCAGGCTTGGAGGCAAGGTGGGCAAGGCCCTCTGTGACAATTCAAAGGGCATTGATGGCCTTCCTTGCCGCACGAGAGAGGCTTGTTGCAGGGCATTGTGCAAGCATGAAGCCTTGCAGGGTCTTGCTCATCCAGCTCAGCTTGTGTCGGCGCTCGAGCTCGCGAGCCTTGCTTGCGAGACTGCTTGGCCTGGAATGCCAGAGGGCAGCATTGAGTCTTACACTCGTGGCGTCCGCAATGCCGCAAAGCTCGGCAGACGACGTCACAAAGGACTACATCCTGCTGCGCTGTTTCGTCTGTTCGCTCATTGCAAGGCAAAGTCGGGCGAGACTCGCCGCACCGACAGGGAGCGCTGACAGGTACCCTGCAAGGAGGGCATGGCCCCGTATGACACGTTGATCGACATTTGTGATCACAGAGTGAATAGGCTTTACCGCAGGTATTGCGACAGGTCCGAATGGGGTCTTGGCATGACTTCCTGTCCGTTCGAGATTCCGCGCCACATGGACACGTAGAGATGAGCGCAGGCGAGTACGGGCAGGGAGGCGGTGACGAAGATGGCGGGTGGCAGGCCTTCTGGCAGGTGTGGTGGCCACAGTCGAATGCTCGCTCGCAGAGGTCTTCGCACTGCCAAGACCCTTCCCACACGTCTTGTCCGTCCATGCAGACTTTCCTGAATCCCGAGCCACACTTCATCTTTTTCTCGCTCTTGCCACAGTAACACTTCGCAGTGACAGTCTCGTCGCAGGCGTCGCAATTGCCGGGGTGGCAACGTAGATTACACTTGTGCCGTCCGCATGAGAGCTCTTTCTTGCAAGTCTGGCCACAAGAGATGCCACCATCAGCTCCGATACTCGAGGCGGTGGAGGTCCTCTTCGTCTGAGACTTTGACAATTGAGAACAACGCACAGCGATGTCCTGACCCCCGCAAAAGCAGCGATGATGGAGAGTGACAGGGCAGGGCGGGCAGGGTCCGGGATGACATTGTCCTGCTGAGCAGCCATGAGGACATTTGCCCTTGGTACAGCTCTTCCCGCACGAGTGCGGTGGGACAAGTCCTTTCTTGCCGGGCTTGGGGTCCTGCGTCTGTCCATCCCAGCAGAGGTACACGGTAGGAACCTCCTCCCTGGCGAATTGACAACCGGGACACCTCCACGTCCCCTTTCGTTCTCGGATTCTGGCGTCTTCTTGCATAGCGTTCTGCTCCTCTGCTGCTCTTACACTGGAAGATGCCCACTGCTTGACGCACGAGAGGTGTAAGACGGTATGACACTGAGAGCATGACCAGACGGGGGCCTTGTAGGAGATGCCCGAGTAACAAATCGAGCAATCGTAGGTACCAGCAGTGAGCTCTGCCACCAGACGGGAGCGAAGATCAGAATAGTCTATGGGAGCTGGCATAGTCGGGACGGGAGCAGCAGCCCCACCGTTGCTACTTGAAGTCTTTTCGTTGTCACCTTGAGTGGACAGCTTGCCACCAAATTGCTGCCTTCTACTGTTACGAGGTGCAGCTTTGCTACCTGCCCGATCCGCAGTCTGCTGTTCGTTCGATGACGCTTCTGCCTCAGATGCGTCATTGGAGGGAGCACCTCGTGCGTTACTGCCACTTCCCCTACCGCCCCTACCCCTCCCTCTTCCATTGGCCCCTCTGCCTGGTCCCCGACCGCCTCGTGAGGGCCCTGTGGGTATTGAGCCCGAAGCTTGGGAGTTGTGTGCTGGCCCTTCCGCTGTATCTCTCACCGAGGTCGAGAGTCCTCCCCCGCTCTCGTTGTTGCTGTTGTATTCATGCTCCGGACTTGAGGTATGTGGCGCGCGGCCTCCCCTTCCCCTACCTCTGCCTCTGCCGCGTCCCCTCTCCGCTTTGCCCTGCTTTGGAGCTGACAATTCTGCGTGAGAATGATTGTCATTTGTGGATATAGTATGATGGGTAGTAGTGCTTGCGGTGGAGGATGTGGGAATGGAGTCGGTCATGCGATGGATGGGTATGATGGCGCTTACGGAGGGGATGTCGTGTGCCGGACTATGAACGGTGAGGATGCAGGATGAGCGTTGCTGGGGCAATCACAAGATCTGTCTAGCCTGCGATGGGTGATGGAATGAGTTATGTAGGATGCGTAGCAGTCGTGCTCCTGGTGGATGGTGGCGACGCGTCAATGGTACCAAGCGGAAGAAGGTGCCAATCTCCTTCGAGTCAGCAGCACCGTAGACGGACTTTTCTCGCCCCGCCTCTATTCTACCGCCGGTGGAATTCATACTCCGACGGAAGTGGAGCGGCAGATCGGACGTCGATTTTTGCCGAGACAGGCGGCGCCTCCTTTTCTTCTAAAAGCAACTATGGACCGCCCCTCAGCAATAACAAATACCAACACCATCGCCATCCACACCCACATCTCCTCGCCAGCATGGCTCCCAGGAGCAACGTGAGCAGCCCTCGCAATGGAAGGCTACCACCATCATCTCCTGCTCAAGCCCCTGCACCACGTGACAAGGCAGCTACGAAGCAGAAGATGACACTGCAAGACTTGGTGAATCGCCTGCATCCAACAGTCAAGGAGATCCTCTTCACCCAGAGGTATTTCTGGCACGTTGCTGCTGCCGTCCTCGTGGCAGACTCGATATTGACATTGGCCATCATTCGCTTCGTTGCCTGTGAGTCAACATTCGCCTGGTTCTCGACCATGAGGCCCTTGGCTCATCCCTCTCTCTTTCCTCTCTCTCCCGCAGACACGGAGATTGACTTCTCGACCTACATGCAGCAGGCCCAACAATTCCTGGCAGACGGGCAGCGAAACTATAGCCAGATCAAAGGAGACACAGGCCCATGTGTGTACCCAGCTGGCCACCTCTTCTTCTACTCGATAATCCACCGCTTGACAGATGGAGGCAAAAACTTGCGGGTCGGGCAGTACCTCTTCGGAGGCCTCTACATGATCTCGCAAGCTCTCATGGTAGCCATATATCAGAAAGCTGGTGCCCCAGCCATTCTCTTGCCCATACTAGCTTCCTCCAAGAGACTGCACTCCATCTATGCTCTGAGAATGTTCAACGATGGAGTCGCCATGACTATCATGTTCTCCGCCATTCTTCTCCTCGCCAACCACAAGTACCGTATGGGAACAGTGGTCACAAGTCTGGCACTGAGCGTCAAGATGAACATCCTCCTCTTCGTTCCGGCTCTTGCGGTCATCCTCTTCAGAGCTAGAGGATTCTGGCCAGGGCTAGTCGATGGGCTGACACTCGTTCTGGTACAAGTCCTCGTCTCCCTGCCCTTCTCCCTCACCCATCCGTTCGAGTACTTCTCGCAGGCATTCGACCTCTCGAGGGTGTTTCTTTACAAGTGGACAGTCAACTTGCGCTTCTTACCGGAAGAGGTCTTTCTGGACGTGCGATTGAGCATGGCGCTGCTGTTGGTGCACGCCGGCCTCCTGATCGCGTTTGGATGGTACAAGTGGACCGCCATCAGCAGAATTGGGGCGTCTTCGTGGTTCAGAGCGCAGTGGAGAGCAAAGGAGGTGCTGAGTCCAAAGTGTGAGTTCTTGCGAGAGGCAAACAGTGCGTTCATTCGTGTGAGGTAGTTCTCACCTCCCCACTCTTTCATCTGTCCCCCTTCTTCTCGTTCCATACAGTCATCGTCCTATCTCTCCTGACCTCGAACCTGATAGGCATCATCTGCGCCCGATCCTTGCACTACCAGTTCTACGCCTGGTACGCTCAATCTCTCCCTCTCCTACTCTGGAACGTCAATCTGCAAGGAACGACAAAGTGAGTCTGACCTACATGGTCACCAGAGGATGTTTTGAATCCGATCGGCTGACCTCTCATCCCGTCCGCTTCCTTCCCAGGGCTATCCTCCCTATCGCCATCGAGGTAGCTTGGAACACATACCCCTCGACGAATACCTCGTCTCTGCTGCTCTGCGCCTCCAACCTCCTGCTCCTGCTCGGTCTCTTCAAGATGGATCATGCAGGGCTGGAAGCGTCTAGCAGCACAAGCAACGGTATTCGCAGTAAGAGCAGCAGCGCTAGTGGGACACAAAAGAAAGACTAGCCAGCATAGATAGGAACTCATGCTTGTATATACCTCATTGAGTCATTGACTGATAGACCGCTATCGAGAATGTCCATACTTTCTTTCCGCGATGCTTTCCCCTGTCGCGCTCCTCAGTGTGTTTGAGCGTCTAGCTCTCCGTGACCATTCCATAACCCGCCAATGCCCCTGCCGGAGCGATGCACCTCGTCTCTCACGCTCTCCACCTCCCTCTTGACCTCTTCAAAGACCTCCTCCAAGCTCTTCTCAGCATCCAATGTCCTCCATCGCGTACCCATCCTACCCTCTACCTCTCCCCCCTGCTCTTGCCCTTGCCCTTGCCCTTGCCCTTGCCCTTGCCCTTGTCCTTGGTCTTGCAAAGAGCGTGAGCCCTGCCTCGTCACCTCTTCAATCTCAGCAAATGCTTCACGCACTCTTCGCTGCATCTCTTCCTTCTCATAGCGCTCCTCACCATACCCTCCTCGCTTGGCTGCTGCAGCGGCGGAGAGGGAGAGGAAGAGGGTGAGGTCGGGTGAGGGGAGGGAAGTGTCGGGTGATAGGAGCCAGGGGAGGGGGAGACCCTGTTGAAGTGGAGATGGGAGGGGTAGGTCAGCGGATTACATTCGCCTGGGGTCATCTCTGCACACAACTTCGTACCTTTGCTCGAGAGTAGGCTACCCCGCTTCCCGCATACCGATCCGCAATGATGTCACATCCGTCGTTAAGGTCCTTCAAGATCTGATCGTGCAGCTCCCATCTATTCGCAGAGAAAAGGAGATGAACAGCCTTGGGATGGAGAGAGATGGAGGGATCTGTAAGGTAGGAATTGAGAATACGGCCAATGGGAGTTGTCCGGTCTGAGGGAGAAGAGCGAGGATGAGCGTCGGTCAGGTTGTACATGGTCTATAGGCCTCTGCCTAGGCGAGCGACTCCACACACCCGGGAATTTCATCACTTTCACTTTGCCGTCCTGCTTCCGGTCTGAAAGATACTGCGACAGGAGCTCCACCTGGCTCGATTTGCCGGCTCGGTCTAGCCCTTCGATGACAATGAAAGATCCTCTGTGGAAGGATGTCGAAGGATCTCAATAGCGTCAGAGGTAATTCCATACTTGGTCGAAGATCATTACAGCCCCTTCGTGTAACTCACCGCTTTTTTGGTGCTAAACTGCCGGTGACACTCTGAGCGGGAGCGGGTGGCGCAGCAGAGGTAGTGGGCGTTGGGTCTATTGATGGGTTGGTCGAGGAAGAAGCAGCGAGATTGGAAGCAGAGCTTGATCCGCTCGCTTGAGCTTGTGATTGGCTTGATGTTGCGCTTGCCATACGCCCAACGGTAGCGAAGCTGCGACCGCGGTAGATGGAGAAGGATGAGCAACGCAGCGGTGGGATGAGTTCTTTTGGGCCTCTAGACTCACCTTGTCAGCTTATCAACCTGTACATGGCTCGCATCTGCTGTGACACCATGGCTGTGTAGGAAGCTGAGGAGGCTGTCTCGGGTAAAGAGGACACCTTCGTCTGCCGCCAAGTCGCCTGTCAGGTAGGAATAGTGGACAACGGCCTGGTGAGCAATGAGAGCTTCGACTGGAATGATAGCAGAGTGTGTCTCACCAGACTGAGCAGAGCTGATTCGAGCTTGCCTTGGTGTGAATATCAGTGACATCGTCTGCGGAAGGAGTGAGGATAGATGTGCGGCCTGCCGAGGTGCGGAAGTCTGGGCTACGACCATTACCGCGAAAGTGTTGCACTCTCTCGTTCGCGTTCAATCTCCGCTCGCGACTCTCTTTCCGCTCCAGGCCCAGGAAAGCAGCCAGGCGTGGCCAAGGCTCCTTCCCCTGTTGGTCCAACCACATCACCACGACGCTCCCACGGCATCGACTTGCAAGGTGCTCCCACCTTCGACGGGGTCATACCTCGGGTCAGCGCTCCGCAGCGCTGCTCTGCGATCGCACCATTGCCGCATCCCAAGGGCAGCTCCCACACTCACCACTATGGCACACGCAGGGCCGTCCACCTCCTCTCCCAGGAAGGCCGTACCAGACTACCTCCACTCCCTATCCGCTGCCCAGCTCAAGGCAGCAACTCACCCTTCGACGGGAGCACTATGCATCTCTGCTCCTCCTGGATCTGGCAAGACGAGGGTGCTGACCTCCAGGGTGGCATGGCTCGTCAGGGAGGAGAAGATCATGCCGGAGGAAATGGTCGTCGTTACTTTTACTAACAAGGCGGCCAATGAGATGAAGCAAAGGTTGTTCAAGCTGATTGGGGGAGACAGGACGTCGAGATTGGTACTAGGTAAGATATCTGAGCTGTGGTGACTCAAGCCCTGAGCAAGCATTGGACTCATCTGACCCCACTTCGTTCATACTCTGCCTTCCACCAGGCACCTTCCATGCCACCTGTGCTCGCTTCCTACGCAAGTATGGACAGCTGATCGGTCTCCAGAACAACTTTTCCATCATGGACGCAGATGATTCTCGAAAGGTCATCAAAGCCATCTTGGGAGATATGAAGGAACATCTCGATGCAGAGAAGCTCAAGATTACCCCGGAGACTGCACAGAGCACGATTTCATGGGCCAAAGCAAAAGACGTTTCGCCGGCGGCATATCGTGCGACGATCAACAAGAGGAGTACAGCCAAGACATGGCGAGGGGACGAAAATGAGACTTCCAATTGGAAAGCGGTCATTGCCAACGTCTACGAAGAATATCAGGACAGGCTACAAGAATCGAATGCTCTCGACTTCGATGATCTACTCGTCTTCGGTGTGAAGCTTTTGAGGAAACACCCTAGTGTCGTGGACAACATTCGTCACGTCCTAGTAGATGAGATGCAAGATACTAATACTACCCAGTATGAGCTCATGTCGCTCTTCGCCAGCGCTACACGTTGTGTCACCACCGTAGGAGACCCTGATCAGTCCGTCTACGGCTGGCGAGCGGCGGAGATCGGAAACCTCGATAGGATGTCGCGGGAGTTCAAGACATCACACTGCCTTCTCGAGGAGAACTATCGAAGCACTGGCAAGATCCTCGAGGCTGCTTTGGCAGTCATTGAGCAGGACCCTGCCCGAGTGGCCAAAGGGCTCTTCACCTCGCATCCGGCTGGACCTCCGGTTACGCTCAAAGTGGCCACTTCGCCTCAGGCTGAGGCGGGTTTCATAGCTACAGAAGTCAAGCGACTGATTGCTCACAGTGGTGGAATGCTGAACTTTGGTGATGTGAGAGGCGAGACAGCAGAAAGAAGGACGACAGCGAAAGACATCGAATTGACAGTCGACACTTTTCACCTACTCCGCTCAGTTCGTCGTTCTTCTTCGTTACAATGCTCTCAGTAGAGACATCGAACAAGCCCTGCAAGCCGAATCAATACCCAGCCGCATGGTCGGCGGCTCGAAGTTCTTCGATCGTATGGAAGTCAAGGACATCCTGGCTTATCTGACCCTCGTCGTCAATCCGGGCTACACACCTGCCTTCACACGCGTTGTCAATGTTCCAAAGAGGGGTATTGGCGAGAAGAGCGTGGCAGGCTTTTTGGCCTCGGCACGTGAAGAGGGTGTATCCGCGATGGTGCTGGCGGAGCGAGTGGCCGACTCTCCAAGCAAGAAACCACTCTTTGGCGTTAAGCCAAGCAACAAGACAGGTCTCGTCCAGCTCGTCAATGGCGTCCGCGAGCTTCGCGATGCTGCTGCGAAAGGCGCTCAAGTCCATCGACTCATCGAGATGGTCCTCGACAACATCTCGTACAAGTCTCACATTTCCAAGGAGCCTGACTTTGACTCGAGGATGAAGAATGTGGAAGAGCTGATGAACTTCTCTAAGATCATCATGGAAGCTGCGGGGTCTCTTCAGGATCTACGAGAGCTGAACAGGCCGGATCGCGAGGACAGCTTCGAAAGTATCCCCGACGCGAAGGCTAGTGGGCCAGGCACAGGGCGTCGTCCGAGCATCCAGGAGGACAAGAAAGCTCCTCTGTCGATTGAGTTTGATCATTTCGACTCTGACGACGGCGTAGTCGAGACAAAGCCAAATGGGCTCAACGATACCAAGAAGGAGACTGGTTCGCAATCAAGAATTCTAGCGGCGCTGGACGCATTACAGGATGAGCTTGAGGACGTCAAGCCCGAAGCGAGCACTCTCAAGCGGGGTCGCACTTCATTCGGTAGCTCCAGCCAGGGCCAAGGCAAGGCCGATGCCATTGAGATATCCGATAGCAGTGACGAATCGGCCAGGAACACACCAGCGCCATCAAAGAAGAGTAAGATGAGCCCTCAGAAACAAAGCGGAAAGAAGAATCCTCGGCAACTTTCAGCACGAAAGGGCAGACTGTCTCACGGACAGGAGTCGGATGATGAGAGCGACGTGATGCCGAAGGACAGTGTCGAAGTGCCTGCCAACAGTCCTCTGCGAGCTTTCCTCGAGGCCTGTACACTTTCAACCGATCAGCAGGGCTCGACAACTGGCGATGGCGAGAATGAAGAAGGTCCCAAGGTGACCATCTCAACCTGTCACGCCGCAAAAGGTCTCGAGTATCCGGTCGTCTTTGTGACGGGAGTGGAGGACGACATCATCCCCTTTTTCCGCTGCACGAAGGAGCATGAAATTGCCGAGGAGCGTAGGCTGCTCTACGTCGCCATGACTCGAGCCCAAGGACTGCTCTACCTCACGCACTGCCGACAAAGGATGGCGAGGGGCGACTACATCGAGAAGAGCCTTTCGATGTTCCTGCGACCGATCGTGGACAGGCAACTTGGTGGCAATTACGGCGGGACGTCTGCCTACAACACAGCAAGGAAGATGACCAAGGTGGATTTCAGCGCTGCCAGGCCCGAGCTGGATGCAGCAGCATGTGCTGTGCTCGCAAAGATTCTCGATCGACCAGCTCCCTCCTCTGCGGACATCGAAGCGAGGGTCAAAGAGTACTCCCAGAGCAGGACTGCCGGCATGGCATGGCAGGGCGATCAAGTCTATGCCGACGGCTACGATCGATCCTATGGAGAGCTCAAGGGACCTCATGGCTATGCTGGCGGTGGCTTCAACTCCTTTGGCGGTGGGTTCGGCATGGGCGGGTTTGGCATGGGTCGATACGGTAATGCTGGAGATGCAGGAGATGGATCCTTCGGCGGCGCAATGGGAGGTCGATCCTTCTCGTCCGGACCGCTTCGCGGCACCACGAGCAATGCCGCTGGATTCTCATCTGCGCTGAAGAGCTTCGGCGCCAGTGGGCAGGACAGCAAGCTCGGACTTCCACAGCGTTCCTCCTCTGGCCCGGCCTCGCGTCCACTTGGAATCGCCAGAAGTGGCGTCTCGACGGGCTCTGCTGCCCTAGATCGCAAGAGGTTCAGCAGCGGCTACGGCAACTACAAGGACGAGTCGGCCATGGAGTTGTCGGATCCAGGATCGAGGGCAAAGGCCGTGGCTCCTTCGCCACGCTGGCTCGAGGAGTATAAGAGCGGAAATGTCATCGATGTCGATGCAGACTCGCGACCTGGGACGGACTTGAGCAGCTTTCAGAACTCACACAAGGCCTCGTTGGATAGTCTCAAGTCTTTCTTGCCAGAAGGAGGGAGTGCGGCTGGTGGTTCTAGCAGCAGTGGTGCTGCCAGGAACATGTCGAGCGCAGGGCTGGTGCCACGCCCGCCTGCTGCGTTTGGCAAGGCTCCCAAGGTCGGCGGGAGCAAGTCACTGGGGGTGAGGAGGGCGCCCTCGAACTCTCTGAAGAAATAACCGAGAGGAGGCAGGAGGACTCGCTAGCAGAGCGGCTGGCTCGTATCCATTTCCGCGTGTATCATAGCCCCACCCCCTTGAGCCTCATTGTGTCTGCCGAGGCCCATGGATGCTTACGTAATGCCTGGCTCAGCCCCAACCCGCCTTGTCTCGCCTTGCCTAGCCTGAGCGCCCCTTTCCGTTATCAGTGCTGAGCGCTGGTGTTTGGTACGCGCGAGTCCGTCCGTCCGTCCGTTCCGCCTGTGCGGTGCTCAGCCCAGCTCTGGAAATTTTTAGACCAAAGCCGAGCACGGGCCCTGTCTCGGCGCTTTCCTTTAGCCCGAGGGTCCCTTATCAGTCCGAGCCCAAGACAGTTCACTCCCAGAGGGTAGAAAGGGGACAGGAGAGCAGGGAGTGGATGGGGTGGGATGAGTTTAATTCAATTCGATGGAGAGGAGGTCAAGAGGTTTATGACATGAAACAGAGAATTACTCCATCCATTTCGATACCTCTCTCCGATTCACTTCTACATTGAAGAATTGGCTGGACAATTGGCCGAACTCACAATGGCTCTCCTCAGACCTTCTACCTCTATCTCAAACACCGCCTCTGGTACTACCACTATCACTTCCACTCCCTCTCTCTGGTTACCCCTCTCCCTGCCCCGTCCCTCCTACCTCCTCCTCACCTTACTTCGTCCCCTCTACCCAACCCTCGAAGTAGCCCATCGTCTCCTACTCAACAGTCTTGCCCTCTCCCTCCTCGCATGCACTCTTCCCTTTTCCATCTATCTCACCCTTGGACAAACAGCGAGAATCGCAAGGGGGGAGGGGATTTGGGGGATGAGAGTGAAGGAGTTGAGTGGTTTGCTTTGGGAGGGGTTTGATTGGTTGGAGGAATGTGAGGATGAGGGAGTTTTGAGAGAGTGGATTGAGAGGACGCTGTGAGTATGAAAAGCAGCGCGGGAATGTGAGGTGGAGTGGGTCGGGAGGAAATACTGATACTAATACTCTTTTCTGGTCTTGTCTTTGACAGAGGAGGAGGAGAAGAAGAAGAAGAAGAAGATGGACTGCACGATGGATCTCACAAGCGTAGGCCACAAGCTGCTAGCAACGACGATGCTTTTGGACCCAACATTGCTGCTGCTAGAAGGGACTCGGGCATCGAAATCCTTGACGGGTAGGACAATGCGCTGCACTGCACAGTCTCATGGCATGGCATGGTCCTTGCCGCATCTACAATGGGCAACGAGAGGAGCTCCCGAATTCCGCCGCCGCCTACTCCTCATTCAGCCCGTCTAGGCACCTCGATGGACACCTCCCAGGCTCATCACCGCCACGCCCTTCTTCTTCTTGCCCTTCGAGCCGCCTTCACCACTACCACCTCCACCAGGCGTGCTGGCTCCACTACCACCAGCGCCTCCCAGTCCAACATCGTTGAGTCTCCTACCAACGGCAGAGACATCAAGCGGATTGGCCCTCTCCTCTGGAGAACCTGGCGAATCAATCCGACCACCCCCGCCACGACTGCTCCCTCCATTCCCCGCAACAAGCCAAGGAGTCGAGCTTCCTGACGTCCCACCCGAGCCTGGACCAGCACGATTGAACAAGGCCCGCTTCTGAGCCGCAATCGCCGAGGCATTGGCGTTGAGCGGCAGAGCTGGAAAGGCATGGCCGCTGCTGCCCTTTGGCGCTTTGGATGCCGAGCCATTGGATGCTTTACTGGCACTCGGGTAGGATGAGGAAGAGTATGGGACAGGTGGGCTCGGCATAGTAGGAGGGGCGACTCGAGTCGTAGAAGACGCCTGTGACCAAGGTGTGGAACCATGGACAGCTCTCAGATTGGCATTTACCTTGGCTGCATGCGAAGCCGAGCCGGGTACTGTAGACTTAGCACTCGCAGAGGACGAGGCAGTGAAATGCTTGGAGCCTGCTGCTGCGCCCAGTGTTGGAAAATGCTCCCTGTTCGTACCTAGTCTGCTAGAAGTTTGACCACTGCCCCTTGCAGCTGCCCTCTCGACATTCTCCCAGATCTGATTATTGGAGGCCGCCCTGCTCTTGATGTTACGGATGGAGCCAGAGGGAAAGCCGCTGCCAACTGATGCGTAGCTGCCGCTTCCCGGTGCGACTGGTACCAGAGACGGAAACTGCGTCCTTTCGATCCTGAGCTTATTCCACGCTTGCAAGACTGCATTCTTCTTGTCCGCATCCGTGTCGAGCAAGTCTACCAGCCCATTGATGACAACGGCTGTATTGTCTAGATCGTCCACCAGCGAGTAAGTGTTGTCGACGAGGTCATTGGCAGACATTTCTCCTGCTCGGAAGATTCTCACTGCTGATCTGAACGAGGCCAGCTTGCTTTCTGAACCACCGAGGATGCCCTGGACTCGCGCAAGGTAAGCCTCGTGTCTCTCTGTTGCGCTCTTGTCCGAGGAGGAACCCCCGGCTGCAGAGCGCGAGTTAGATGCTGCCAGGGCATTAGCAGCTTGCTGCTGAGAGCTCTCGCCCGTCGTAGTCGTGTGGCCGCCAAAGTGGATACGTCTGCTGTGATTGGCAGGTCCTGCGCCAGGAACATTGGCGCGTAGGGCCAAGGACGAAAGAGCAAGAGGGTCGCTCCGTGTGGGAGGATCTGGCTCAGCAGGCCCACGCCCGCCACGCTTATCTCGCCGGGCTCGCGGTGCTGAGCCACTGGAGGACCCTGCAGCATTTGGATCCTCATAGTGAAAGTTCGCTTCGATCCTCATCGCCTCCTTCAGCTCTCTGTTGCTGAGCTCAGCTCCATGCTCTGCGACCTGATGCGCTTTGAAATCCATCTGGCTGTCGAAGACCACGAACTTCTTTTCCAGACAGTCCTTTGACATGCACAGGAAGTGTCGTTGCCTGAAATGGTGCTCGAGCATATTGTAGTCTCGGAAATATTGCCAGCGCTCCGTCTCGCTGCCGGAAGCTTTGCAGATGTGGCACTGCTCATGCTTGTCGCGCATGTGGGTGTAGAGTTCGTCGTCTGAGTAGAAGTGAGTATGACAGTACTCGCAGAAGCGATGATCGCCCTTCATGTGACTTGCTAAAGACTGTTGTGTATGCATCTCGTGCTCATGAGAGAAGATTTTCTTGTTCTTGATACACAAGTCGCTGAGAGCCGGCAGGGATGCAAAATGGGTAAGCATGCAGACGTTGCGTGAGACCCTTGCTCCAGGATGTACTTACCAGATCAAGCGATCATGGTCTCTCTTTGCATGCATCTTCAGGTCCGCCCATCCTGCGCTCGTCACCTCACACCTCTCGTCTGGGCAGTTGTAGCGCAAGAGGATGAGAGTGTCCTCCATGGCTTCTCTCGTCTCGAAGCTGATGGCCAGCTTAGCATCAGAATACGGCAGATCCTCTCCGGTGAAGTCGGAAAAGTGCTTTGTGGGTGAGCTGGTGAAGATGAGTCGGTTCATCGTGGATCTGCAGCTACTGCATTCCCTGGTCTTGTATAGAGCCCGCAGCCTTACTGCACATATATGACAGGTCGGGTGATTGCAGGGTCCTATCGAGTACATCTTTGTCGGTTCTGCGCAAATGCCACATAATCCCTCGTCTTCGTCGTCATCTTCTGGAGCTGGTAGGGCGGTAGAAGCTGCAGACGGCGGATTTGCTGGTGTGCCTTCCTCCACCTCGTCCTGATCCTCTGCCTTTGCCTTGCCCCTTGCCGACGATTCCCGAGTGGGTTGAGACGGTAGTGATGTCGGTTCTGGCAGTTGCGACTGCGGTTGGTCGTCTGTCCTGGTCAGAGAGCCACCAAAGTTGCCCCTTCTGCCGCCGCGTCCTCTTGCGCCTCCTCTTGAGGACGACCCTCCACGTCCACGGCCGCGGCTGCCATCTTGGCTGGCTCCCCTGCCCCTTCCTCTGCCGCTAGCTGGAGGAGCTGACATTAGCAGGCGGAGCTCTCGCTTGCCTGTCTGCCAGGAGGAGAAGGTGTTGAGGATTGGGGGGTTGGGACGATGCTGATAGGAGATGGTGAGTGTTCAGATGTGATCTTGCTGCTGCTGCTGCGATGCTGACTGACCGCTCGCAGTGATCACCTCCTGGCTGCTGATCCTGTCGTGCGTCTGTCTGGTCCTTCCTTCCTGCTGTCGGAGTGTGAATGCCGCGTGCGCGAGTGACTTCGGCTCCGGGTCCTGCCTTTTTTCGAGGGAAACTTCGCTCGCCCCCTTTGCTCTTGTCTCCTGGGCGTGGCGTGTCTGGCTGCGTGAGTGGGCGGGGCAGTCGAGATTTGCCTTGCCGCCCGCCGCGGTGCCTGGCAGAGGCACTTTTTCCTCTCCTCACCAACTCTTCGGAGCCAAACCCCCCCTCACATCGCCACCAACCACTACTTACACACACGCAAGAAGCAACGTAGAGACGTTCTGCTTCTTACCTTACATCCAAAGCGAATCTACATCAAGGCGTCGGCAAAATATTGCGACCCCTTGAGCCCTAGCTAGAAGCACCTTTCAACAATCATGTCGAAGTGAGTCAATTCTTCGCATATCTGCATGTATGGTCACACGATGACTGACCTATGCGACTTGCTCCCTCGCCTCTTGTTCTCTTTACTTTCAGGCCTGAAGAGACGACGGCCGCTGCGCCGGCCGCCGGTGGAGCTGAGCTCCAGGTACCCGAGGGAGAGATCGAGTCCAACTGGGAGTCTGTCATTGACAACTTCGACAACATGGAACTCACCTCTGAGCTGCTCCGTGGTGTCTACGCCTACGGGTGAGTGGCTGCGAACCGGAATTTGTGGGAGAGCGAGCTCATATGCGTTGCGGAAGGCAGACATTGCCCTGGGCATGAGATGGCCGGTGAAGGTCCTGCCTTCGAGCGCAGCAGAGGCGGTAGAAAGCTCAGCAAAGCTTGCTCTCGGCCTGGAATCCAATCAATTGGACATAGCTCCATATGCTGACGGCACCTTCATCGCTCCCCTTCTTTCTCTTCTCCTTTGTTCATAGTTTCGAGCGCCCCTCCGCCATCCAGGCCCGAGCCGTCGTCCCCATCATCAAGGGACACGACGTTATCGCTCAGGCACAGTCTGGTACCGGAAAGACCGCCACTTTCTCCATTGCCATTCTGCAGCGAATCGACCCTGCCATCAAGAATGTCCAGGCCCTCATCCTCGCCCCCACCCGTGAGCTTGCTCAGCAGATCCAGAAGGTAGTCATCGCCCTCGGAGACTACATGCAGATCAAGTGCCACGCTTGCATCGGTGGAACCAACGTCCGTGAGGACATGGCTCAGCTCCAGGACGGTGTTCAGGTCGTCGTTGGTACCCCCGGCCGAGTCTATGACATGATCAACCGACGTGCCTTCCGAACCGACGCCCTCAAGATGTTCTGCCTCGACGAGGCCGACGAGATGCTGTCGCGTGGTTTCAAGGACCAGATGTACGAGGTCTTCCAGCTCCTGCCCCAGGACACCCAGGTCGTCCTCCTCTCCGCCACCATGCCTTCTGATGTCCTCGAGGTCACCAAGAAGTTCATGCGTGACCCCGTTCGAATTCTCGTCAAGAGGGACGAGCTGACCCTTGAAGGTATCAAGCAGTTCTACGTCGCCGTCGAGAAGGAGGACTGGAAGCTGGACACCCTGTGCGACTTGTACGAGACCGTTACCATCACCCAGGCCGTCATCTTCTGCAACACTCGCCGCAAGGTCGACTGGCTCACCGACAAGCTCCACGAGAGGGAGTTCACCGTTTCTGCCATGCATGGAGACATGGACCAGCAGCAGCGTGAGGTGATCATGAGGGAGTTCCGATCCGGCTCCTCCCGAGTCCTCATCACCACCGACCTGCTCGCTCGAGGAATCGACGTTCAGCAGGTGTCGCTGGTCATCAACTACGACCTGCCCTCTGACCGTGAGAAGTACATCCACCGAATTGGTCGTGGTGGACGATTCGGCCGAAAGGGTGTTGCCATCAACTTCGTCACCGAGCCCGATGTGCGAATGCTGCGAGACATTGAGCAGTTCTACTCGACTGTGGTCGAGGAGATGCCCCTCAACGTCGCTGACCTGATCTAAGCGAGAGATCAGTCCTGGTGCGGTGAGGGTCGTCGCGGAGGGGGTCGACGATCCGACCGGAAGGGAGATGTAGTGCGATGCGATGCGGTGTGCGTTCAGCAATCTATCATCCCCTTTTTGCTACCCCATCTCAAGAGTACTCTGTTCTTTCTTCCATACTTCAAAACAAGCCTGTAGCTGGCAACCCGCAAGCTAGTCTTACAACCATCAAGCCGAGGGAAAGAGAGAGGGAAAGTGTCTCTTACCTCTCCTACACTCTAGAGGTCATGCGCCACCAGTCACCTTCCCTTCTCCCCTTTTCCCCAAGAACCCTCTGCTTTACGACGTATCAAAAGATCTACCTTCGGCATCCGGCTATAGCATCGCAGCGAGCAAGCTTGTACACCACACCAGCTTTGTTTCTCTTTAGTTTTCGCTGCCACTTACCACCTTTCACTCCCCGAACACCACCTTTCCTCCGTCCCCCTCTCCCTCTACCACTGTGGTTGTTCCTCGCATACCTTGCTCTCAGTGCCTTCATCGACATCGATTGGTCTTGTCCTGATTTAGATTGAGTGATGTGATGCAGATTTGTTCTGTGGTGCTTCACCTCTACGCTGTGATGATGCGAGCGGCACTAGGACGAGGCTTAGTGTCGTTTCGCTGCGTGAGGACCTCTCTATCGCATTTACGAACATTGACCCTCACAGTCGATACCTTACCTTGACGTGTCAAGGTGTGAGCCTCTTCCGTCCCAGTCATCGTCGACGCCGATAAATATTCATAGCCACCGACATCCCCCAGGCACTCTTGCTTCCCACTTCGGGCCTAGCGGCAACGCGTGGGACTCGTCTACGCGCCCTACGCGGCTAGAGTGACACAGGACACGGAAGCGGAGATTGGATGAGCGAGCGAGAGGGTGTAGAGAAGGGTAGAAGCGAAGAAGTGGCCACTTGCGAGGTCTTAACAAGGACTCATACGCTGCTACTACCTTTGACGACTCTTGCTGATCAATGGCAGATGCAGTACTGCCAGTGTAAAGCATGAGACTCCCCGTACTGCTCCACAGAGTTGGACGATAGCCAAGGACCACCCTACCTTGCGCATCTGTATTGCACTAGCACAGCAGCAGCAGCAGCAGCAGCATGACCTCCCCCGTTCCTCTCTCCCTCACTCCCCTCCATCCAAAATATCAAGCACGCTGCCGTCGAGCCAACATCTTCAATGTCCATCAACTCGTTCTCATACCACCGAATGAGCTCGCAGGACTCCTCGGCTTGGGAGTAGAAGAGACCCTCCGTGGAGTACTGGAGGTGGTGGTTAGGGGATGCGTACCGAGGTGTCTTCGCTTAGGAGTGGGGAGACGTAGGCGCGATGAGAGGGAAGATGAACGGAGTCAGAGCGGATCGGGGAAGGGAAAAGAGAGGCAGAAGGATCTTGAGGTCTCCGATGGACTACCCTTCAATACAAGCTCTGGGGGCTACCGCATCACCTCTGGTGATGCAGGCCTAGACGCAGCGCTGGGAGGTGGAATCCGCACGGGCATGCTGACAGAGATTGTCGGTGAGAGGTGAGTGTGATTTCTAGATACAACGAGGGCTTGGATCTTATTCTGCCAGGATTCGTCTCACCTACAACCTCTTGTGGCTCCTTCTACCACAGCTCTTGTGGCAAATCACAACTGGCTCTGCAGCTCGCCGTACATACCGCCTTGGGCTCCATGGACAGACCGGCGGGGTCAGTAGCTCTGATGATCTCAGAGGGAGATACTCAAGGGAGCATTGCAGTCAGACGCATGCTGGATATGGCAGAACGTCTCACTCGACGCCGCTGGAGGAAGAGCTACGCTCACGCAAATGAGAACGGAACAGCTGATGATCGGGACGGTTCCAATCGCTCGGAGTCTGTGGAAAAGCGGAGACGTCTTTCTGGGCCAAGATTAGACCGAGGGAAACCCCAGGAAGAAGATGAGGCGGTCGAGTTTGCCAAGCAGCAGGTACTCAGAAATGTTCACCTCGCCTCAATACGAGACTTGGATGCTCTAGAGCACGTGATAGAGTACACCCTCCCTGGCCTGGCGCAACGGCTGCTAGAGCAAGAGACTCAGTATCGTCATAGAGCTCCTGTCGCATCGCAAGCTTCATCCTCAAGTGATCCAGCTCCTGCACCCTCTCCGCCGCTGCGGCTCGTGATAGTGGACAATCTCCCCTGCCTCTTCTACGCTACGCACCCTACCTCGATGAACGCCATGGTCGCTCGATCTCGCGCGCTGGGCAGTCTGTCTGACGGACTCAAGAAGATCGCTCGGATAGGCAGTCCTCTGGATGCCACGAGAGATAAGGGGAGCGTCCGGGTCAAGAATGATCCTACAGCCACGCCAGAAGCTGCCCCAGCGGAAGCCTCTCCAGCTGCGTACTCTGCTGACGATGGTGGCTCAGCAGTAGTGATCATCAATCACGTCTCGGACGTCTTTGAGCGGGACCTTCGAGCTCTGAGTGAAATTGCCTCTTTCTCAATCCCACCTTCATCCTCATCTTCGAGCGCAGCAATGCAAAGCTCTTCACAGACGTCAAGAACGACGGGCGAGCCTCCGCTAGCGTACTCGCACCAGTCACCCCTCTTCTCAGGCCTCACCACTTCCGTACGTGCGGTCTCGAGTCTTAGCAGGATGGACCTCCTGCAAGAAGAGGAAGAAGATGATGCTGCGCAGGGCCACCACTCTGCACTGCTCGGCAGACAAGTCCCAGACTTGTCCCACCTCGGAGGCGGTGGCGGTGGCTTTCCGACCAACTCCTTTCCCTCTGCCCTCGGCGCTAGTGCGGGTGATGTAGAGCTGGAAGCCGATCCTCTGATCAGTGGAGCTTTCCCAGGAGCAAAGCAGGCTGCGCTTGGCCACGTGTGGAACAATTGCATCAATGTCCGAATCATGCTCTGCAAGACGGGAAGACGAGTGCGCAAATCGCTAGAGGAGATTGAAGAGCGCGAGACCGACAAAGACAGGAACGGCCAGAACGGGGTACAACATCCTGTCACGAAGATCGAGAGAGAGGGGGAAGCTGCCTCGACTGGTGCGGCTGGCAGTCACCTCTTCCACTCGAAGCTCCGAACCTCGACTCCCATCTTCACTGCTACCCTCGTCTTTGCACCGCACGCCCCCATGCGAGAAATCTTTTTCCGGTTGAGCGCGGCAGGTGTGCAGAGCCTCTCAATCGCCGAGGTGAAGAGTGGTTTGCTACCCATTGGATATGCGAGGGAGGAAGAGTGGGCCGATGAAGAAGAGACGCAGCACGAGGGGCGGCAAGAAGAGGTAGTGATGCAGAAGGAGGAGCAGACAGGGGAAAAGATAGTGGTGCCTGTGCAGTCGGGCTGGAATGACGAGCCTGATGGTGGAGAAGACTTGGAGGAGGGCATGGAGGAGCTTGAGGCCATCATGGGTCAATTCGAGACGCCAGAGGCAGGACGAGATCCATCTTGAGCCGACGCCTCTGGTCGAGCGGTCTAGTCTGTCACGTTGTCCAAGGAGAACATCCTGTACCATAAATGCTATACCTATATCGCACACACACACACACACAGTCCCTCTTTCCTTCTCGTCCATCCGACTCTCCTCACCCTGCTCAAACATGACTGCCATGACCCTCTGCACTAATACTACTCTTCTCTTCCCCCTGTCCATCCACTTGCTCCTGTCCAACAAGTTCAGCTCCATGATCTTTCCCAGTTGAAGTATCCGTAGGTTGACCTCGATCAGCAAACCCTTCTGGACCATCCATGTCGGCATTTCCACGAGATTGACCAACTTCTTGACCTGATCCTTCCCCACCGCTGTTGGCTTGAGAGGAGGAGAGGTTAGGGTGGGGATGGCCGGTGTTTTGCTATTGGGAAAAGGGGGAGGGAGGAGGAGAGGAGGTGATTTAGCTGAGGCTTGAGCTGGAGCTGGAGAATGGAGCAGAGCAGAAGAAAGGCAGACTCACTTCGTAATTCTGTGCGTTCTGTGCATACTTCCTAAGCATTGCAAGGAGAATCCAAAGCGATTTCAAAAGTCGTCAGCTTCTCATCTCTCTTTCTCTCTCTCCTGTCACCCCCGTCCCTTGGCTCCCCCTGCCCGGCCATACTATTCCTCCCCTCCCCTACTCGCACTCACGCCTTCAAATCTCCCACGTGTCTATTCATCGCTTCAAAGTCGGGCGTTCCATCCGCCTTGGGCTGAGGTGCTGAAGGCATCTTTCCTGCTGCTTGCTGGTTGAGCTTCCAAAGATTCAAGAGTAAAGCTGAAGCTAAAAGTGCGGGGCGTGGACCGTCTTCAGAAGTACGTGGAGGAGGACTTGGGGATGGGGGATGGTGGATGGTTGTTACTGGTAAGGCTAGACTGGGCTGGGCTGGGCTGGGCTGGGTTGGGAGGGAGGGTAGTGCGAATCTTGAAGTCGCTTTGGAACAGGTGAGATGAGGTTGGAGTGTTCAGTAGCAGAGTAGCTTCGTTGTGTCCTGGGATAGTTGTAGACTAGAATAAACTAGTATGGCATAGCGTAGCGTAGCGCACTGCCTCTGCCTCTCCCTTGTCTCGACTCGGCTCGCAGGGTCGCCTGACGTCACATCACAGTCACAGGCGCGACCGGCGCACGTCCGTGCACCACAGTCACTCCCTCACTCCTCGTACACTTCTTCTTGCAGCAGCAGGAATGGGAACTCGATCAATCGACGTGGACAGAAGGAAAAATAGACACGGGCGTGAGAGGAGGGAGTGTTGGGGAGCACATGGGTGGATGAGTGGTTGGGTCGGAGTAAAGAGAAAAAAGTATCATTCGCATGGGAGCACACAAGGAGGGAACAACGACGACGAGGGCGAGGAACGAGACGAACAGGGAGGAGAGGGTGCAAGGTTCTTCCGATCCCTTTCACGGGTAGATCTTCTTGATCTCCTCCTTGTACTTCTCCGTCACCTCTTTCCTCTGCAACTTCTGCGCAGCCGTCATTGGCAGCTCTTCCGGCACCAGCAGAACCTCTTGAAGACTCTCCATTGGCTTGAATCCATTCTTCTTGCCCACATTGTTCAACTCCTCCCTCACCGCCGCTGCCACTTTACGATTCTTGCAGAGGGTAGCCAGGTCTTCTCCATTTCCACCCAGACTCTTGGAGGAGGCGAGCTTCTGCAAGTCTCCTTCGCGGGGGAAGACAATGGCCATTGGCTTGCTGGCATCCTGCGAGGCGTGCACGCACATGTTCTGCACTAGCGAGCAAGACTTGTACGTCGATTCGAGCCGCTCAATGGCAATGTACTCTCCTCCTTGCAGCTTGACCAGGTTCTTCTTTCGGTCGATGACGCTCAGAGTACCATTGGGGTTCCACTGTCCCACGTCTCCTGTCATCAGCCAGCCGTCCTCGCTGATCGTTTCCTTGGTAGTCTCTTCCCGCTTGAAGTAACCCTTGGTCACTGCAGGGCCTCGAATCAAGACCTCACCCTGAGGTGGGTTGTTGGTGGAGAAGTATCCAGCATCGGGCACGTCCTTCAGCTTCACCTCAATCGAAGGGACCGGCACACCCACTGTCCCGTACTCGTTGTGGAAGTCCGGCGTGACAATGGCGCACATGGCAGAAGACTCGGTCATTCCGTATCCTTGCAGCAGCTTCACCACGGCCAGATCCAGGAACTCCTGCGTCTCCCGGGAGATGGCTGCTCCTCCGCTCAGAGCCAGTCGCAGACGGCCTCCAGTTGCTGCCTGCACCTTCTTGAACACGAGAGCGTCAAAGACGCTGGAGAGAAGCGGAATCTTGTTGCGCTTGACTGTCATACCGGCACTGAACATTCCCCGAGCAAAGGCGGGCGCAGCGCTGAGCTTCTGGTTGATACCCTTTCGGATAGTCTCCCACACAGCAGGAACTCCTACCAGGACCGAGGGCTTGAACGCCACTAGATCACCCTGGCAGTTGCGCACCGAGGCATCAGTGAGCGTCTTGACGGATCCGTAACCCATGGTCACACCGACGAAGATGAGAGCGCATTCCACGACGAATTCGAGAATGTGGGCCAGGGGCAGGTAGGCCAGGAAGGTGTCTGCAGGTTGCAGGAAAGGACCCAGCAGCTGCGCAACACCACCGACCGATGCAACCAGGTTGGCATGGGTGAGGATTACACCCTTGGGAGCACCAGTGGAGCCAGAGGTGTACATGATGCAGGCAATGTCGTCTGCCTTGGGAGGATTCGGCTTGGCCACGTTCTGCTCTCCGTCAGCAATAAGCTCGTCGAGGGAAAGGAGACGGCTGCCCTCCCTGCCCTCGAGACCCTTCTTGACCTTGTTGAGGACCTCCTTAGACGGCTTTCCATCGTAGATGACGTACTTGACAGTCTCCGTCTTGGGGAGCGTATTGGCCAGGGTCTCGAGGAGGTTGTCATTTGTGAAGATTCCAACGACCTCTGGCTCGTTGAGCGAGTGAGCAAGACCTTCCTCTCCCAGTGTCTCGTAGGCTGTGCAAAATTGAATGTTCTGACGGAAGCAAGAGTGAGCAAGGACCTGCCAGTTGGCAGTGGTGGCAGAGTAGATGTTGAAGCGAGTCTCAGTGGTGAGACCGATGTTGCGGAGACCACTGGAGGCGTACTGGATCTTCTTGTCAAGCTCGGCATAAGTAAGGAACTACAGGACGTGCGGTATAGGAAGCAGAGCAAAGGAGTGAGTTTAGGTTTCAAGTCATAGATCCAGGCGGTATACATTTCGATCGTACCTTGTAATCACTCAGCTCGTAATACTGCCACTTCTTCATCTCTGAGGCAGCAGAGTGACAGAAAGGCAGGATAGGGTCCGAGGTCAGCTGACCTTGACTTCCTGCTTCGGCGGCGGCATCTCCCCATCGCAGATTACTCACCCTTTACGTCCTCTCCATCAACCTTCTTTGTGATTTCCTTTTCTTCGGTGTGCATCTTGATCAGCTCTCGAGAACCGACAATGGGCCTGTTGGTGTACTCTGCAGAGGAAGAGGGAAGATGAAGTCAGCCAGACGTTCCGAGCTGGGGTGCTCCCCCTACTGCCGAAGATGCTGGTGTGCTCACTCTTGTATGCAAAGTCGAAGATGTCGACCATGGTCTTGATGCCATGGCCAGGTCTGCCGGAGTACGGGGGGGCAGCAGAGCAAAGCGCAGTGTCAACAAACCTTGACCTCCCCAATCCAAAGCTGGCATCGCAGTACCGGCCAGAGTAGTGCCGTAGGACTGCTACTGCTGGTGCTGGTACTACTACTGTAGAAATGTACTACTCACCCTTCCACGAGCTCATTGGGTGTCAAGAAGCACCTTCTGACCTTGCCCTCTCCCTCGGGAGGTGCGTCTCCAACTTCTACCGATGCCATTGAGGGCGGTGCCATGATTGCAAATGAAAGAGGGTGGGAAGGGTTGCTGCTGGAAGTTGTACTTGTGCTAAGAACGTCGGAAGATGTATGTAGCTAGAATAGGTAGAAGAGCGAGAGGGGGTCGCCACCTTGTGATGATGGAATGAAAGAAAGGGAGGGAAAAGGGCAAAGGCTGCAATGGGCGGAGTGGATGAGTGGAGTACGGAAGCAGATTCCAAGCGGGAAAAGGGGCGAGGCGAGGCAAAGCAGGGGCGACATGAAATTAAAGGGGACGTGCTCTTGTGTCAGTGCCAGTCCAGCAATCCCGCCCCGTCCTCGGCTCAACCCCAGCCAGCCGCTGCGCACGCCATGACCTCGGTCTGCTACCACCTTGCACCTTCACCCTGGCAATGTTGACCAGGGCTGAGAGGTGCATAGGTGGTAGTGGCAGCAGCGTGCCCACAGCCTTTCGGATAGGCTCTGCCGCCGTGCTGAGGGGGACGAACCGATGCGGAGCTGCGCGCGCGGGAAGCTTCGGATCTAGGCTCACTCACAGCTGTTTGCTCCTGGGTATTTGTATTGAATGAGGTGAGAATTGGCAGAGAGTAATGGTATGGATGGTAAAAGGAGGTGAGTGGGGGTTGTAAGGGGTGGGGAGGAGGGTCAAGGCGGCAGAGAGTAGCCGTTCTGAAAGAGAGCGTTGGTGGAGTGTCGTGAAAGCGGGGGTGGGCATGACAGCCGAGGAGGGCAGAGACGTGGTCCATCGATGCCCCCCCCCCCACCCTGCCATCCCTCCATCGCTAGACGGGCCTGGGGCGGCGGGGCCACAGAAGGCAGACACAGACGCAGCGAAGGCAGGCGACGAGAGACAGGTGTCCTCGCCTAGACGAGGAACGTCTGCGTCACTCCTGGCCTCGCATCCCAACTTCAGATTCCGAATCTGGGGTCCCGCGCCCGCAAAGCCCAGGCAGGAGGCGTAGGCAGACGAGCACTCTGGCCCAGGCAGAAAGGCTCTCAGTACCACGACAAGTCGGAATGCTCAGTTGATAGTGTAGGCGGAGACTGCAACCTCTCCACCTCCACTGCCTTCTTCCGCCATGATCGGCTCTCCTCTACCAGTGTCAGATCACGGGCGCCTCCATCGCGGAGCCCACTGCCGCCTACTCCTTCGCCCGTTCTGGAAGTCGGGCGGTCGACCTGCGTACAGTAAGAGTGAGCGTCATGCGTAAAGTGTCGGGCATAAACGCCCGAGTCGGCGCGAAGAAGACGACCTGGCAGGACATTCGGCCCTTTGCCGCCTTGGACTCCTAGGGACTTACAGATCAGCGGTCAATCTTTGATCTCGAACTTTGAAAGACCATTGAGAAGATCTCGCCCCCAGTCGGTCGCAACTAGTAACACTTTATCAAGGTGACAGTCTGAGGTATGTGTTCACGGAGTACATAAGCAGCAGACTGAGGACAATCCAGACACTACAGTCGTGTACATCATGGTGTGACTGTCTCCCAGTACTTCCCTGTCCAAGAGATTCGACGAAGCAGTCCGATGTCTCAGCATAGGCTGCGCTATACATAGCTGATCAACACGCCGGCGGCCAGCGAAATCACACGAACATGAACGCTCACACGTGTAGAGGACGAAGGGTGTTGCAAAAGTGACGCTTCAGTGATCGTAGAATTTGGAAATAACGAATGCATTGATGGATATTTCTGCGCCGTGTCTAGATGAAGAATATATAAGGAACCAAAAGGTGCGAATGCGAAAGCGGAGAGGAAGGACTCGGCTGCCCAAGTCAAGACCGAAGGGGGATGGGAGAGGGTGAACGCATGGTGCGGACCATTTCAATTTTGCGTTTATGCAAGGGCGGCCTTGAGCTGCTTGATGAGGTGGGCAGCTCCAATGTTCTGTACACTGGCCTGGTAGTACTTTTGGTGGTTGGCAAATGCATTGATGATGGACCAGAAGTTCAGGCCATTGCACACGAGATCGTCCTATCAGATTGCGGAAGGGAGCAGGGGGGATGAACAAAGTCAGCAAGTGCTCGTGGGTGGAGTATTGGGCGAGGCTCGGCTCGGCTTGGCTTACTCACGACGTAGCAGATGTCAAGGGTCTTGCTGCTGTACCAGGCAGAAGGGATGGGCTGTTGCGAAGTGGAGTAAACGCCATTGGTACTGTTGGTGAGGGAGCCGCCCAATTGGTCCACATTGGAAATCTTGTAAGACAGCTTGGCAGGGTTTCCAATGAGGAGCACACCAGCAATGGCCTTGTAACCAGCAGAAGCGGTGTTGGTGTAGTTGGTAAGGGCGAGAGTGGTAGCAGTGGCACCTTGACTGTAGCCGAGAAGGACATACTTCTGGCTAGGGCAGTCGGTCAGTCCCTGCTCGATTCGGCGAACAATATCGTCGGCACCAATCTGCTGGGTGTTGTCCCCGGCGGGGTAGACGGTCTGGTAGGCGATACCACCGGTGATGTTACCCAAGGTGTAGTTGGACATGCCGGTGAGCTGGGCCGTGGGAGCCTGAGGCTCATTGGTTCCTCGTGTAGCGATGAGAACGTACTTGGCACAAGCGGGGTCGGCTCGGGCCTCGAGGTCGACGGAAACCTCTTCCAGGGCGACTGGCAGGCGAGTCAGGACAGGAGTGGCAGAGGCGGACAGTGTCGACATGGACAGGGCCATCAACAGGGATGCGAGACCGGCGCCAGCCAGAGCACGGGTGAGGTTGGAGAGCATGGTGGACGAAGAGGAGTAGGTGGGAGAGAGGCGGAAGGACGAGTTGTAGGTGTACTAGGTGAGGGATTTGTTTGTATGATGAAGGAAGTCGGATCCCCACCAGGGGGCTATTGCGCTCCTTTTTGTATCTTCCAAGACTACATCTGCTCCGGTCCTCCCGGAGCTACTGCATCATGGTTTGCCCAGCCCCAGAGGATAGGTCACGTTTCCTCCCTCGTGTCCAAACCCCATGTACTAGCCTGCTTCCATTGAATTCTCCTCGAGGTACAGCTAAGACATCATGTCTTGCACTGACATGCTTCTGCCACTCTCGGCCTGGTGGGGCGTCATCCCTCCGCGGAGATCCAGAGTCCATGCATCACTTGCAGACGAGCCAACCCCTCTTCCCCTTCCTCCGGCGGCGGCGGGGTATGGGCAAAGCTCAGGGGCTGGTGCTGGAATACACTCTTCTCCTTGTTCGGTACATGGGGAAGAACTCGTCATCATGTACGTTCCCGGATCCTTCGGCGGCTGTTCTTTGCTAGGCGTGTGTGTTTGCTCCGTTGGAGCGGCCTCATTCGTGCATCGGAGCAAAATTCAGGTGGTGCTAGACTTGGGCGCCGGTGGCTTGAACGCGCCTCACTGGCTGCAGGCGGGAGAAGTCGTGGCTGGGAGGTGGTCTAGGCAGCGGGGAGGAGAGGAGGGGGATTGAGCGATCTGCAGCGACCACTAGTGGTACAGACAGACGCACAATTGAGAAAGGTTGGGCGAGCAGCGCGATTTGCAGCATCCGTGTTGCAGAGGCAGTCAGCAGTTTCGAAGCATTCGGCGGCATCAAAGCAAGTCTGGCAAGGAGCAGATGACGGACGTCCGGCTGTAGACAACTAGAGACATGAAACAGTAGGGTAGAGTGAAAGCAATCGAAAGGCTGACTACAGGTAGAGAGTGCGTCGTTTCTACTGTCCCGCTCATGCCAAGGCAATCTTCAGCTGCTTAATAATATGAGCGGCTCCCAAGTTCTGCACGCTGGCCACTTTGTACAGCAAGTGATTGATCATTAGGTTGATCACTGAGAAGAAGTTCAGGCCATTGCAAACCAGGTCATCCTGTGTGATTGTCAAGCGAAGTTGGAACGTAGAGTCAATGTCAGCAGATAGGACTTCTTCCACAATGGCGTAGCCGATACAGGCAGCTGCTAGCCCTAGAAAGACTCACCGCCCAGCATACATCGAGCGTCTTGGTGCTGTACCAGACATCAGGAATCGTTGGCACCAGCTTGATGTAGACGCCATTTGTGCCATTAGTCCAAGAGCCGCCGACTTGGTCTACATTTGAGATCCTATTAGCCCGCTTCGCTGGATTGCCTACGACGACGACGGCGGCAATGGCCTTGTAACCAGCACTGTTGATATCAGTGTAATTATACAGAGCAATGGCCGTCGCAGTAGCGCCCTGACTGTAGCCCAGCAGCACATACTTCTGCGCAGGACAGTCTGTCAAACCTTGCTCAATCCTGCGAACAATGTCGTCGGCACCTAGCTGGTGGGTCCAGTCGCCTGCAGGGTAGACGGTCTGATAAGCGATGCCGCCGGTAATATTGCCAAGTGTGTAGTTGGTCATACCAGAGAGGGCAGGGGTGGGACCCTGCGCCTCAAATGTTCCCCTCGTAGCGATCACCACGTACTCGGCACAGGCCGGGCTTGCTCGAGCTTCGAGGTCGATGGGAACTTCTTGCACGCTCCCAAGGCGAGTCAGGAGGACGGGGGAAGCATTTGCTGAGAGTGTCGACGTCGAGAGGGCCATGAGAAGGGTAGCAACACCGGCGCCGACAAGGGCGCGAGCCCAGGCAGAGATCATGATAGCTGGGAAAAGCAATGAGATTGAGGGGGGAGTCAAAGGTGAGGGTCAGGGTGGGAGGTGAAGAGGATGCCTTTACGAGCAGGAGAAGTAGACGCATGAGGTGCCGGTGCCCACCTTGCACTTCTTCTTATACCCTCCCAAGACGATGTCTCGTCGGGCGATCCAAGCGCTACTTGCGTCGGTCTGTGCCACAAGTTGGTTTCGCACACGAATTGATGCAGATTGAACGAGGACCGTGTTCATCTCTACTACCTGAGAGCATGGTGCATACTTTGTTCCTTGATGCTAGACTTGGGTAAGACCCCTGCGCTGGCGGAAAGTACAGGACACGGGCGTCGCTCAAGCCTCTCCACTCAAGATTGTCGGGCCGCCATCTAGATGTTCATGTGGCTGAGCTAGCATATTTTGGCAAAATTGCCTGCACATCTGCGAAAGAGGGCCGTCCTCCTTGTTTCCCCACAGCATTCCCTGAGTAGTTGGTCTGTAGGAGAGTGCAAGACAAAAGCCGGTGATCGATGGCCCGGAAGCCTCGAGACTTTGATTCAGATGCTGTAGTAATTTTAGAACGGCGACGGCGTGTCTCATCTAGGTCAGCATCTGGACTCTTTCTTCTCTTTTCCGACAATGAGCTTTGCATGTACGAACAAGCCTCCTAGAGGCATATGATTAGCCGCACTTGGCCGATCTGGTGGTGCTCCGTCGGAGCGGCGGCCGGTGGGGCGTCGGAGCAACTCCGAGGCTTAGCCGAGCAGCGGGATCTGGCTCGCCACGGGAGAGGCGCGGCCGCCCAAGCAGAAGGACCGACCGGCGGAACAGAGCATCAGAAAGCTCATGTTCAATACTTGACAAGCGGTACAGCGACGAGATCAGACAACGACGACGAGGCTTTGTGACTCACATCGTGGTAGTCTTCTAGAAGGAGCCGACATCGATAAGACTGCAGGTTCAAGGTCCGCACAACGCTCCCACGGCCATCACACCCAAGCAATACCCGGCACTGAGTACCCGCACAGACGGACGTCCCGCCGTTGTCGGCTACCACTTCTTCCCGTGTCAGCAAGAAAGCGCTTCGTCCGCTTCATCCGGCGCTCCCGCCTATCATGGTCCGCCAGAAGCGCTTATCGGTGCAGCAAGCATTCAGACAAGCATGGAAGGCTCACCAGCGCATACTCGGCAGGGAAGTGTCCTTATCCGCGGACGAGGATGAACTACCACAGCAACAACGGAGACCAAAGAAGCGTAGCTCAACAGACGCAAGTGGAGGACATTCAATCACTAGCTCCGATGGCGGAGGCGGAGGCGGTGGGTTCATCGTCGAAGATGAAGACGAGCAAGAGCAAGGATCAAGCGGCGGCGGCGGGGAGTTCATCGTAGACGATGAGGAAGAGAAAGAAGACGAGGATGACGTGAGCTTGGGCGCTCACGCCCAGCCAACGCACCTAGCGCTAGAGGAAGTACCGCACGCCCTAGCCCTCCTCGGCTTACCCACAGAAGACCAAGGCATCCTCTCCGTCTTTGCCAATGCTGCCGAGGAAGACTACTCTGGTGCTCATACTCCCGCCGCTGGCATAGCTTCATCTTCGTCTTCCTCCCTGGGGGATGAGGGTAGGAAGAGAGGAGCAAGAGCGCCAAGACAGATGATCGTCAGTCGGGAGAAGTTTGAGCAGGTCTGTGAGGTCCTTCTGATGGACGAGGGAGGCGCGGCTGAGCTCGACCAGCAGGAGGAGGACCAGGAGAGCGATGCTAGGCGGCGGAGGCGGAAGCGACCGACTAGACCAACCGCGAGCGATGAGGGAGGCTCCTCCACCCCTGAGACTACTCGAAGACCTCGACGTGCAGCTGCTGCAGCTGCTCGTCGTCCTATGGCAATAGAGGTAGACAGCGACGACGAGGATGAGGAGGACGTGTACAGAGACGATGGCGAGAGCGACGGCCTCGACGATGCGGATGCAGCTCTCTCAGACTCGGACACTGCCACTGCCAAGCGGAAACCTAAAGCAGGAGGCAGAGGCAGGATTCGCCCAAGCAAGACGAGTGAATCTGCCACTAGTACACCCTCCAAGACGGGCGGTACAAGACGAAAGCGAGCCCGACCTTCTACATCGGACGCTTCTGCTTCTCACACCGATGCATCAGACGAAGAAGAAGATGAGGACGAGGAAGGAGGAGGCTCTGTTGGACGAGGTGGGGGCACTTCTCTGACGGGTGAGCAGCTAGAAGCGGTCCAGGATGCCTGGCACCTCTTTACAGACAAGCTCGATCAGATCGATGCTGGATGGCGGCAGCGCCAAGGAGGCGCAGGGGTGGGTTCTGGTAAGCAGAGCGCGGGAGGAGGGGAGAAGGGTCGTCTTGGTCTACGCGAGATTCAGCGCTTAGCCATCGTCACTGGTGTCAAGATGAGCGAGAAGGAGGTGAGTAAGCAGTCATTCCATTCCACAATCCACACTCTTCAGGAAAAGTTCAGAGGGGAAGCTCACAGCTCCTTCTCATCTTCGATTTGCAGATGGAGGAAATGCTCCTCTTCGCCTGCCAGTCCTTTGCACCCGCCACCTCAAAGTACATGACTAGAGAAGGGGCAAAAGCGCAACGGCTCGCCGCCGCCAATGCCGTCACGGCGAAAGTGGGTCCGGGGGCAGTTGACGAAGGGACCGAGGTGAAGGGGTACGAAGGTGGAGTTGGACTCGACGAGTTTGCGGGTGTGCTCAAGAGGGGGAGGATGATCTGAGCAGGGGACGATGCAATGCCATATCCAGACGATCAAGAGTGAATACAGTCAGAATGCAAAAAGTGTAATTGCGACAAGAGGGCGAAGAGAGAGTCGAGGATATGCGTGTCTGTGTCTGCCCACTCGTCTACTTTCGGTACCAGACGACACCCTTCCTGCTCCTTCGCATCTTCCTCTGCAGTTGCAGCATACCGTACAGCAGGGCCTCTGCTGTGGGTGGGCAGCCAGGGACGTACAGGTCAACAGGCACGATACGGTCACAGCCTCGCACCACCGAGTACGAGTCTGTAGTGGATCAAAAGCAGACAGGCGTGAGGTGTAAGTCGTCTGAACTTCTGGCTCAAGTCACCATTCGTCTCTGCACACTCACAGTGGTAGTAACCTCCTCCGTTGGCACACGAACCCATCGAGATGACCCACCTGGGCTCAGGCATCTGGTCATACACCTTCCTGAGGGCAGGAGCCATCTTGTTGGTGAGGGTACCGGCGACGATCATCACATCGGACTGACGGGGCGAGGCTCGGAACACGACACCCAGTCGGTCCTGATCGTAACGGGCAGTAGCGACGTGCATCATCTCTACGGCACAGCAGGCCAGACCGAAGGTCATGGGCCACATTGAACCTTGCCTTGCCCAGTTGACAATCTTGTCCATTGTGGAGAGCACGTACTCTGCGAGGAAAGAAGGGCGGTAAATTGAGGTGAGCTGATGCTCGCACGAGCTCACGAGAGAGAGAAAGCAGCGGTCCTCGAGGCCTAGGTAGGGAGCTGTACTGTGCACCTCGTGCGACACCGTAGGCATGGGACTATGCTGCATCTGGCAACCGTTTGACGCCTTGCCACAAGCATTGCCCTGTCCGCCCATCATCACTTCCGATATTCTCTGCCCACCCTCCCATTTCCAAGACCTCGCTCTACCTTTCTCACTTACTCACCTGCTCCGTTCTTTGGCTGCTGCAAGCTAAGTGCATTCGATCCCCTGTTGGCCACCTCGCTCATCGTAGCAGGCTCTGCAAGCTCATTCTTGCTCGTCGTAGCAAAAGATCGCACTGGCTCGAGGCGAGGTGCGGACGATGGGAGGACAGAGGTGGATGCGATGCGTGGGTATGATGAGGTGGTGCTCGTGCTGAGGAGACGGACGGAGCTGGCTAGAGGAGCGGCTCGCAGTGCTAGAGTAAGGTTGGGGCAAGGCAAAGCACAAGAAGATATGATACGCATTGTCAGCACTGCTTCGAGAGGGCACTCCTCTTCCTCTACCCGTCCGAGCGGACTCACTGTTCCTGCTAGCTGCAAGTCCCACACCCATGCTGGTAGCAAGCGATCGTCGTGCTGCAGAGGTCATGGCGACGGGTTGACCGGGTATGGTGGTGAGGTGAGGTGCGGGCGTGTTGCGGGGAAGGGGAGGTGACGATGGCGATGGCGAACTGGAGATGAGCCTCTGCTGCTGCCTGGGGAGGCGGCGGGCGGGCTGCCCGCCTCTCGCTCCGATTTGTCAGGACAGCCGCCACGCGCACGGAGCCGAAGATCTCACTTCCGTTCCGGTACCAGAACTATGGGAGGGGTGGGGGAAGCGAAGACTGCTGTGAGGGGGTCGTATTGAGAGCGATCTCTGAGTGAAAGGATCGAGGCAAAGGCGCACTGGTCGAGGATCAGCTTTTACAGTGACATTGACATCTTGCTCATGTACTCCGTGGTACCTCAAGCGGCATTGCGCTATGGGGCGAGGTGACGTGTATGATATTGCCAACGGCGAGGTGAGGAGGGGCCGTACTGAAGCACGGATCGGGTATGTAGGTCTTTCTACAAGATTCTCAAGGATAAGAAGGGAAGACGAGAGGGAGGAGAGCACGGCGTACGCAAACATCACAACGTGGCCAACGCGCCTACCCGAGTGCTCCAATAGGAGCTCAGCTAGTATCTAGCCCGTGATCTCGACGCCGGAGATCCCCCAGTTGACGAACTCGGAGAACTCAGTCATTGCCCGTTGCTTGTCGTAGGTGCGGCTACTGCCGAAGCCGGAGGACCCACATTCTTCTCGAGGAACTCCTTCCAATCCTTGGCCTGGAAGGAGCTCGAAACTGATCCCTCTACCAGTCCATTCCAGACTGGTTAAGTGGGCGAAAGCGCAAAAGCGGACGTCAGTCATTGCTCAGATCTGTCTCTGGTCTATTGTCCCTAATTGCCAGAACTCACCAGCAGTAGGCGTCACATGAATCGAGTTTTGTCTCCCAAACTTGACACAATACTTCAGATCCGGAATGACTGCACTTCCCGCATTTCCTTCTCCCACCTTCAACAAATTCCTCACCGTTCCTCCCAGAGGTTGTCCGGGAGGCAGGTTCACGAGTGGGGTAGAGCGAGACTTCTTCGGAGCTTCTCCGAGGACTTCAATAGCCATATTCGCCAGCTCGGCGCGAATTTGGTCTGGATTACGCGTGCGGGACTTTTCGTCAAAGTAGGCTTCTTGCTTGGCCATGAGCGTCTGGGAGAAGATCCAGAAGGAGTCTGGTAGAAGATAGCGCTGGACATCAGCTGTCTGCCTCTCTGGAAAAGCCTTGCTTGGGTGCGCTACTCACTCGTTTTAGGATCCGCAATCAGCTCCTGCTCCTTCCTCGCAATCTTTGCGCTAGCCAAAGCCGCCTCATTGAGTAGCGTCGAGGTGCCATGCCAAGGTTGTGGGTAGGGTCTGACAACGATCCTGACTTGTCCCTTGTAAGGAGCTTCCTCTCCAAAGATGAGAGGCAGAAGATGATGGTGGGCGCCAATGAGCTGTTTAGCGGAAAAAGGGCAGAGGTAGTCTACGTAGAGCTCGAGGGTGTGAGGAGCAAATGTGTCTCCGATTGCGAGAGGTTTGAGAGAAGGTGGAAGAGCCATCTTTGTATTGTCTTCAGTCTGGGGAAAAGGTGTGCTGTATACTATCTGGACAAGGAGGGAGGGAGGAGGATGGTCAATGCCTGAGAGCCATTCCGGAGATTTCGGAGATTCCAAGTGGAGGAGCCACTTCGCCCAGTCGAGCTCGCCATTCCGCTCACGAGGAGCGTGACGCGGTGGCCTACTGCGTGGCGAGAGACCTGAGGCGAGGACGTAAATGTGAGTTCGTCCAGGTCCAATACAGCAGACTTGCCCTTTGTTATCATGGCCACGACAAGCGCTCAGGCAAGACTCTCTCTCTCAGATTCTGTGCAAGTTTCAACGCCTCGCTGTGGCAAAAGACTAAGAAGGACTAGACTACAGTACGCTACGCTCTTGCACTACCCCAACCCTTCACTGCGACGTCTCCTCCTCGTCTCCACCTGCTGCTACATTCACACTCTCCTCTTCCGCATCTCCTCCAATACTGTCGCCGTTCCTCTTTTCCTGCGCCTGCACCTGCGACTGCTTGAGCGTGGAAGGAGGTCCAAGGGCACCACTGACAAAGGAAAGGAAAGGATCGACGGGCTTGCTCGAAGCATTGCGCTCATTGACCAGATCGTCCGATCCGTCCGACGACGACGAGGTGGGATCCGAAGAGGAGCCGCTAGTACGGTTGCTCTGAGGCGATCCGCTATTGGTCGAGACGCTGCTGCCGAACGAGGACGCCACTCCACCCTGCTCCGCTGCGGGGCCTGAGCCGCCTGTCCTGGTCCTCTCGGGAGAGGTGAGCGAGTAGGCTTCGGGATCCATGCCTTCTGCGTAGCCATTCATGCTCAGACCGAGGGGTGTAGACCCCGAACCGCCTTGAGCAACGGCAGCGGCATACGAGGGACTGGGACTACCTCCCCCTACACTCAGCAGATGATGCGGCGCCTCTTCCTGACTGCCATAACTGTCGTCCGCTCCCGTGTCCTCATTTGAGCCTTCCGCTCGCTCCTGTTGTCCATGCGCAGGCCCAAAGCCTTCGTAAGGGTGGTGCTGCGCGTGTTGCATGCCGAAAGGACCATCGTCGTCTTCATCGTCGTCGTCATCGAACATGGAGGAATCGGCTTCGATGTTGACCATTTCCTGATCCGAGTCGATATCGTGCTCACTCATGTGGACGACGTCCGCATCGTCGCCATTGTCTTCGTCGTCGGTGTTTGACAGACGCACAAGGCCGTTCACCATGCCTTCCCTCTGCTCGTCGTCGTGCTCATCTTCGTCCATGGAGAAGGGACCGCCCGAGCTCTGCTGCGCATTGCCCCCCTCTTGCTCCCACATGGAGACAGCCGGCTCAGGTCGATGAGGCCCACCCTCTGCAGGTCCCAAAATGAGCTCACGTCTGCCTTGCATGCCCGCTTGCGGTTCAGCGTTCCGAATAGGATCTTCCGAGTCGAAGAGATCCACAATCGTGTCACGCACCAGGGTGCTCGAGTCGGTGACTAGCTTTCTGAGCAGCTCAACGAGTTCGGGAGAGCGACTTTGCTCTGAAGCGTAGAGCTCGTCTAGGGTGCACATCAGGTGTACTGCACGAGTTAGAGCCATGCGCACATCCACTACGGGGTCTGAGCCAAGAGAGATGAGTCGTGGCAGGACGATGAGCTGGAAGGAGGAGCGCTGGATGCGCGACTCGACCAGGGCACGCGCAGCGAGGAGGAAGCCTACTCTTTCTCGGTAGCTGGACGACTCGCCCATATCTGCTAGCATACCCAGGACACCATCCGCTATAGTCTGATCGTGCTCTGCAAAGTTCTTGTACAGCGAAGGGACCGCCTTGACGCCTGCATCGCGGACGGCGCTGACTGGGTCGGAGAGAGCGACTTGCATGATGGACATGAGACTGCCTTCTTCGTCCTCGAGGACAAAGTGATCAGCCAGCATGGGTACTTGCAGCGCCAGGCCCTCTCGCAGCCTCCAGTCATAAGCAAAGCTAGTGGACCACATGTCGCGGAGTGCGCTCAGATGACGAATCGCAGTGTCCCTGGGAAGATGGGCCAGGATGACGTGGGTATTCTCAAGCGCAGACGCTTTGACGTCTGGATCCTCCTCGGTAGTCAGGTAGCGGTGGAGAACCGGAAGGAGGTCATTCTCGGTACCCTCGGCTCCGATCAGCTTGCCAAGCTCGTGCAGTGAAGCTCCAAGACACTGCCTCACCTTCGAAGAAGGGTCTGCACAGAGATCGCCATGGGCTTGACGAAGACGAGGCCAAGCTGCTCCGCCGAGAGTGAGGACGACTGCAGGGAAGTTGTAAGCCATGATCAGCGGTCGCTCTGGATCGCCGCCTTGGATGCCCATGAAGTTTGAGCCCCAGTGGGAGTCCTTGCGCGAATGCATTGTGCCGTTGTTGTTGCCATTGAGGGCGGCAGCAAAGCCAAAGTCGGCAAAGAGGAAGCTGCCACTGCCAGGAGAGGGCGAACGCTCCTCTCCGTGGCCTTCTGTAGTCGCATGATCCTCGCTACTGTGCGGGCCGTCGAATGGCTCATTGAGGAAGAAGCGGACCAATTCTTCTGGCACGCCCTCTTCCTCTCCGTGAAAGAGGTAGATGGCCTCGCCGATGACCTCTAGTGCAGCTGTCCTGACGTTCCTCGAGACGTCATTGGAAAACGCTCGGAGCAATGCGACCACACGTCGTCGTCGAAGGTCCCCAGTGATCTTCTTGAAGATGGCCGGCAGGGAAGAGCAAGCGGCTTGTCTGACGTGCCAGATCTTGTCCTCGCAGAATATATCAAACGCAGGCAGCAAGCGTCGCTCGACGTCCTCGTCGCTCAGATATCTGCTCAAAGGACCAAGCGCGACCGCCGCCTCCTTGCGAACGTAGAATGCCGGGTCATCTTTGAAGCTGACGATTTCATCCACGAAGCGCGTGATGACAATTTCCGCAGAAACAGCGTCTTCGGCACTGAGAGCTCCTAACAGACTGACGGAAGCCATTCTGCCCACAGCTGCCTCTTCGTCAACGTCAACTTTTCCGTAGGCGCTGAACATCGGCGAGGAGCTGTCGAAGGGGGAGCCGCCTTTGCGCCAGTCGTCGGCAGCCTGAGACTCATCTTGCATCTCTGCATCCCAGGAAGAGTCGCCTTCCTCGGCCGCGTTGACCTTGAAAGGAATAGGGGAGGAGGACGCTCCATCTGCAGTGTTGGCACCTGCGGCATCAGAGGTCCCCGCATGGCTTTCGCCACCATTTTCGCCGCCAGGCTGCTGTGGCTCGGAAAGCTGCTCCTCATGGCCACTGTGTGACTTGCCCATGGCCAAGGCAACATGTTCGAGCAGCTCATCAATGATCGTCTCTTTCGACTTCGGCCCGAAGCTGTAGTTATCGTACGCTACCGGTTCTCCATCTCGACCCTCTGCATGAGGTACGACAATGTCATCGGCCGACGTCTCTGCATCTACGCCTTCTCCACTGCTCTCCCGAGCGTGGAGCAATTGGAAGAAGCTGACGACGGAGCTTTGCGCCGTGCTCGCGACGACGGAGTTCTGGTTGAGGAGTAGAGCGCATAGAAGAGGAGTAAAGATGCCGACTGGTATACGCGGCCTGATGGCCATCTCCCTGGATCCTGACTCGTCTGCTCCAATCATATCCGCAGCAGCATCTTGGCTTTCTAGTTCAGCCAGAGGGCAGTTGCGGTAGAAGTACCACATGACGTGATGCACCTCGGCGGCAAAGGCAGTGCAGACATCCGGTTCATCGGTTGCTAGACCGTTGAGAAGAGGGATGACATACTCTACTGCTTCCGAGAGCTCTACTTCGCGAATCCAGGCCGGAAGCGATCGGGAGACGATGACGCGATGGTATGTCATCTCGCTCTTGGCAAAGAGGAAGATCCTCTCGAGGGTACTCAGACTCTCCTCCGGTTGCTCCATCTCTGCAGATAGAGCAGCTGTAGCAGCATCGGCATTGGGCTGATCGGGTGTCGGTGCTCCTTGGGACATGTCGCCCATAGTGCCATTCCCGTGGATGTCCACACCATCTAGCAGAGCATCGTTGCCGTCTCGTTGCGCCAGGTCCACTTCGTCTGCTGCAATGTCGCCAAGACTCTCCTGAGCCGCTTCTGAAGTAGACTGCAGATTTGCATCGTGGCTGCCTTCCCATGGCATACCCTCGGACTTGACCGACGGATCCCGAAAGTATTGCATCATACCTCCAGACGCCATAGATGGGCTTTCTGGAGGAGTCGGGACAGCAGAAGAGCGGGACAGGCTCGGCCGCTTGGGTGGCATCGCAGGCCTCTCTGCAAAGCTTGGTGTGGTCTGGTTGCCGTCCCGATCCGTAGATCCGTGGCCGCCATCATGACCTTCCCCTCCGCCTAGCTGATCAGCGGCAGCCGCTCTCCTCTTCTCACAGGAGGCAGTATCCTCTTCATCAGCAGAGAAGGCTTCATCTTCCGCATCGCTATGCCCATCCCGCTGGCCCTCCATATCCGCTTCTGTATCTTCCATATCCCTGTCGTCATCATCGTCTGCATTGCTGGCTGAGTCTTTGCCGCTCGAGACACTAGCTCCATCTTCGGAACCAACATCATCCGGGTCATCCGATAGATCGTAGCCGGATCTCGGCGGCATACCGATGAACGAGCGGGTCTTGGGAGGCGAGACCGAGCCCAAGTTGGCCGGCGATGAGGGCGAGGCTCCAGTCTTTGGGGTCTGTGGGCGCGGTAGGAAGGGCGATGAAGTGCGGAAGATCGGGGCAGAAGAACCGCTGCTATCATAGTCGCTCGACGGCCGCCTGACAGGACTCGGTGCTTGCTTGTCATCCGAAAAGTCCTGATCTAAGTCTGGCGGATCCTCGCCAGTTGGCGTTCCCTGCGCATGCGCATTTTGAGAGTCCACTTGTGAGGTAGACTTGGAAGGGCTGATTACTTTGAAAATTGGGCTCAATTCAGATGGCAGGACGGCAGCATCTGATTGACCTTTGAGACTAGTGAGCGGCGGAGCTGGCGCAGGCTGAGCAGCATCGAACGGACCGTCCCTCTGGTTATGTGGCGGGTGGGAGAGCAGACCCGCAAAAGCCGGCGGCGATGCGCTTGACGATGAGCTTGGAGATGATCCGAGGCTGGCCGATCCTGAAAGACTCCTGCGGTGCACAAGTCCTTCTAGACCAAATGGTATTCCTTTGGACTGCGTGGGCGATCCTGACGAGGACGAGCCCGAGGAGCGTGCCTGCCTGTCAAAGGGGGATCGTCTGCCTCCCAAGGTCCCGTTGGGCAGTCTCGAGGGGCTACGCGAGTTGGAACGGTCGCTGGGACCACCCATCGTTCCAGATGCCCAGTTGGATGCAGCATCTCTGCCTCGAGGAGAGGCCAAGGGCGAATGCCCCCCTTCCGATGGCCAGACCGAGTCAAAGGGATGCTCAGGATCCGGCCCAGCTGGTATCGGTAGATGACCAGCTCGGGGACTCGAGGGCAGAGGGACCGGTGAGGACGGGCGATTGGAGACAGCTACATTCCCGCCCCTGCCACTTCCGGAACCTCCTGAGCTAGGCCTCCTGCCTCGATTCGAGCCAAAAGCCTGTAATCGGGGAGAAAGCGGAATGCCATAACCTCTCGCTGGTGAAGAGCTGCGTCTGTTCAGGCTGTCCCAGCTTGCTGGCCCCATCACCTGTTGATTTGATGGCGAAAAGGAGTTTCGCTTTGATTCTGGCGATCTTGAATAAGGTGCATCTGCGCTGTGAGAAGAGGACGAGCTAGAGCTTGAAGCAGAGCTGCTTCCGACTGGTACGGGGCCAGGGTGCGAAGCCGGTCGGCTCATGGGAGTCGCTCTAGAGGCAGCAGAGGTGGTATTGTGGAGCGGCGACGCAGCCCTCTGTCTCGTAGCTGGGCTTTCCCAGCTGAAGCTGCCCATGTTACCCGCAAAAGGGGCTCCGGGAATGGTAGGGCTGAGATTGACCGATCGCGATCGTTGATGGTGATGATGCTTGCCGCTTGAAGCTGAGATAGTGGGCGTCGGCGGCTGTGCTTCTACGTCGGCGGCCCTGAGAGGCGCGGGATGACGGATAGGAAGTACTTGCGAGGTGCTGGGGGATCCTTCATGGGATGATGCAGATGGTTGGGAAGAATGCTGACTTGCTTGACCAGAGTGGAAGTCCAGTGTAGTGGACGTTGTCGAGGGCAGGGAGGAAGAAGCAGAAGCAGAGGGAGCTCCTTCGCTCACTGCGTGAGACATGTGGAGAGGGCCTGGCGGTGAGTAGGCTGCGTCCTCTGAGACGTGACTTGGTCCGCAATGACGTCGTACTCACCATGGCTGTCCTCTTGAACCCCCGTCATGGCGAACCGGTCAGATCACTCTTCGGTTTTGGAGAGTCGAAGCTACAATCTTTGCGTCTGCGATGGGACTGCCTGCGTGCCTGTCCGTTCTGATGTAACCTACTTGCTATCCGGCGAGTCCTCTCCTTTTTGCTCGCTCCTGGATGTACGAGCTGCTGCGATTTCTGCTCCCGCTTCGCTTGAGACGAAGGGAGATGGAATTAGAGAATCATTGAGGCAAAGAGGTGAAGAGGGTGTGGACTGCGATGCTGAGATGATGATAACCGGGCGATTGACAAGGGACAGGGGGTGGCAGATGGTAGGAGGATCGTCTACTCTTCGTGTGCGAGGTCAGTATATCCCCTCGGGATGAGCGAGAGGCAGCCGTCGTCTGCGTGGAGATTGGCTGCTCGCGTGCTGCCTGCCTGCCTGCCTGCCTGTCTGCGTCGTCTGGCCTGCCCTTTGCTGCCCGCCTGCCTTTCCTCCTTTGGTGTCTCTGTCCGCCGCCGCAAAAAATCCCAGAGGGGGCGGCGTGTCGCAGCTGATGCAGGAGCGCCTCGCGCAACCAATCACGCCTGCGAGATAGGCGCGTTGCTCCTCATGACCCGCAGACGTAGGCAATGGAGGCACACAAGGTCCACATTTGCTTCCCTCCTCAGACACAAGATGCCCCTTTGCTTTCAGTGGCAAGAAATATTGGATGGAAGCTGAGCACGAGGCAAGATGAGGCACAAGAGCGAGGCCAGGCGAGGTAGAGTATATAGTCTTACATGGGTCTGTCGAGCATAGCAACAAAGTCACACGAACGAGGCGCTGAGATTCTGGTCGAGACAGCAGGGACAAAGAAGCGAAGTTCGCAACAGGAGAGTGGCGAGAGAGAGAGGCCAATAACAGAGCAGTAGCCAGCCCTCCCACGCTTGCGACTAGACGTGAGAGGTAGCACTTGCGATGAATCTGTACAGGTCGTTGGCGTCCTGGCCGAACACAGATGAGGGCTGAGTGGTTGGAACCACCTACTGGGTCATCTTGGACCTCTTGCTTCAAACCTCTATGCGCTCTCGATACCGAAAGTGTTCTCTCCAGAGTAGCTGACGTAGAGGAAACCATCCTCGTCCTTGTGCTCCTCGTAGATGGCACTCATCAGAGCGGCAGTCGCCGGCAACACCTCGTCTACAAATATGAAAATGGCCTTCTCTGGCGATAGCTTGATCCTCTTGCGAATGACGTAGACGAATTGACCAACGGTGAGGTCCTGATGTAGAAGCGGAGATCGGGAGATTAGCAACGCCGTCTGCAGTAGCGCTGCAGCAATCACCCTCGCGGGCTTACTCACCGAAGGTACCAGATACTTCTTCTTGTCGATAGTTGGGATGTCTGTCCTGTCTGCCTTCTCACAAATCACCTGAGGAGAACAACAAGGGGATAAGATAGGGCCGGAAGGCGTCAGCGCACTGATCATATTTGCAGGCGTCAAGGTAGCGGATCGACTGGCACGAGGACGCTTCGACTCCCGGATCATACCTCCGCTCTCCTCTCAGGGAGTCCACCTCTGCCGTGCCACCACAAGAGCGCTGCCATTCTGTTAACTCACGGGGATCCTGTCCGGGTACTTCACTCGGATTCTCTCGGCTTCGGCCTTTCGCTTCTCTGCATGGGCCAACAGCAAACAGGAGGCAGGTAAGTGTATTCGGCGACGAGGTCGGGTTGATGTGAGATGCGTTCGTATGAAGTGATGTATGGGCGGAAAGAGGGTGGGGCATGATAGGTTGTCAGTCCCTAATCACTATCTGTACGAGAGCCGGCCTCCACCTGGACCCTAGGGTCTCCCCCGCTTGCTTGCGATCGACAGTCATCATTTCCACCCTCTCAGCATCTCAGAGAAGCCAGGCAGACAGGCAAGTATTGCGAAGAGCTTGTAGCGGGGGGAGCACGGCTCCTGGCTGAGGCGGTGACGCGTTGCCATCCACTTTAATCGAGTGTGCGTGACGATACTTACCGAATGGGTGCTCGTCTTTGAACTTCGAGCGCATGATGGGTGCTGGTATGCGATAGAGCTAGTGTGGCGGTCGAAGATTGTAGCTGTGTGGTGACCCTCTTGCTGTGTGAGATGGTGAGGATGGGTAGACTGTAATCGATGGGTAAGGGGGGAGGTGGGTGAGTGTGGATGAGGCGAGTGGGTGGATGCTAGTGTGCGTTGCTGAGCACAGGGCAACGCAACTGGCCGTGGGTGACGCTGCGCCTCTGCTCCTGTGCCGCACCCTGGATCTCGCCTGCCTCCCCCGTCTGCCCCTCTGCATGACCCCCCGACGCCTCCGCCCTGCCCGCCCGCGGTCCCGCTCTGCACTTGTGTCTCTCCGACCCTCCGACCCGATCACCATTTCCCCCTCCGTTCCGACGTCGCCTCGCGCTCGCCTCGACCTTTTGCAATTCCGAAGGTGCGCCTCTGGGTAGATGGTCGTGTTCAGCCAACGCGCTTCTGAGTCCGCTCTCACTCCTTCTCCTCCCAACCATCGATCTGCCCTCGCTCTTCATAGCGTTCCCTCTGCGTCTGCATCACTCCTTCTCGTGAGCGCTTACAGAGAGCTGTACGTTTGCAAAGATGGCAGACGAGGTCAAGATCGACAAGGCCCTCTTTGCCACGAGGCTCAATAAGCTCCTGGACGCCTGGAAGGTGAGCTCATACCTCGCACAAAGGCCACTAGCTTGAGCTTGCTCAGCACAGACGCAACGAATCTCACTGACCCCCCTTTCCCGTTTGCCACTGGATAGGACAATGGCTCCGACAACGCACAGCTCAAGGTGTTGCAGCAGACAGATGCTATCGTCATTATGCTCGGCACCCAGTCGGATGAGGTAGCGTACCACAAGACAGCAGCGGTCCACGTGAGTGTCCTGTCCCCGGAGGATCCCAAGGTTGTGGCACAGCGTCCGGGTGCACTTCGGCAAATGATGCTTCGGGGCCCAAGACGACTCTAAATGGATACTGACCTGTTCGCTTTCACACTTCCTGATAGACCTGGCTCCTCGGGTATGAGTTTCCCTCGACGATGATGCTCATCACACGAAAGGGAGTGACGTTCGTCTCTAGCGCAAACAAAGGTGAGCTGGAGCCGCTGATGAAAGCAATACAATGATTATGATGCTCAAGGAGCAATCTCCCGCTTACCTCTGTCCCCCTTCAGCCAAGTACCTCGAGGGCCTGGATGGCGCCAAGGGTATCAAGGTGGATGTGCTCAAGCGTGGCAAAGACGAGGCGCAGAACAAGAAGCTGTGGGCAGATGTCGTCTCTCGCATTAGCTCAGCTGAAAGCGGTCAAACAATCGGTCACTTTCCCAAGGACCAGGCCATTGGAAAGGTGGCAGAAGAGTGGCTTGCCTACTTCAACGGAGTGAAGAGCGAAAAGGACTTCAAAGAGGTGGATGTGGGACCGGCCATGGGAGTAATCTGGGGTGCCAAAGATGCAGACGAGCTGGTGAGTAGTACCGAGATGGGAGAGACGATGGGGATGCGTTGCCTAATCACGTCCTCTTCTTTCCTGCCCGCAGACCAACACAACCTACGCAGCCAAGATGCTGAATGGCGTCATGTCAAAATACTTTGTAGACGAAATGTCGACGATTCTGGATGACGGGCGCAAGGTCACACACGAGAAGTTGGCCTCGAGAGTCGAAGCGGTCCTCGATGATGACAAATTCTGGAAGAAAGTCAAGGGGCTAGCCGAGGTAAGTATGCTCACGTCTGAGAAATTCGCCACTGAGCAGGGACGTTGTCTGATCTGTCCTCCTTCACTGCCCTTCCTCAACAGGCCGATCTCTTGCTGGCTAATTGGGCCTACACGCCGATCATCCAGTCAGGCGGTCAATACGACTTGAAGCCATCTGCTCAGTCAAATAGCTCACGCATACAGGGAGCTGACGGAGGAGGTGTTGTCGTCGCTTCAATGGGCATGAAGTACAAGAGCTACAATGCTAATCTCGGTCGCACATGGCTTGTCGACCCACAGAGAGTACAGGAAAAGAATTTCACATTCCTGTGCGAGCTACAAAAGGATCTCGTCGAAAAACGCGTCCGAGCTGGCGTGACCGGTCGTCAGCTCTACGAGGCAGCTCAGAACTACGTCGCACAACACAAGCCAGAGCTCTCCAACCATCTAGTGAAGAACCTGGGCTTTGCTACTGGTCTCGAGTTCAGAGACTCCGCCTATGTCCTGGGGCCAAAATGCGAGCTCCCTCTTCAGCAGAATATGACTCTGAGTCTTTCGGTTGGCTTCAGCGGAATGGACGACCCTAATCACAAAGGCGAGACGTATGCTCTGCTGTTGATCGACACAGTCAAAGTGACGGATGGTCCTGCAGTATTCCTTACGGAACCGGTCAAGAGCGCGAGTGAACAATTCTTCTACCAAGACAAAGAGGAAGAGGAAGCTCCGAAGGACCCCAGCCCGAAGAAGAACGTGACCGCTGGCGGCAAGGTGCTACGAAACAAGGGCAAGACCAATGACGTGAACGTTGCCAATAAGATCAAGGATCACCAGCATGAGCTGGCAACATCCAAGCAAGAAGAAGGTCTACGGAAGTGGGCAGGTGATGAAGGCGAGGGCGGCATGGACACTGGCAAGACGTTCAAGAAGTTCGAATCGTACAAGCGCGGAGAGCTGATCCCTGCCAAAGCGCAAGACCTGAAGATTTTTGTTGATGTGCGCAACAGCAGCATCGTCCTACCGATCTATGGCTTCGCAGTCCCCTTCCATATCAACACATTAAAGAACCTCAGCAAGAACGAGGAGGGCGAGTACACGTACCTGCGCTTCAACTTCATCTCCCCTGGTCAGATTGCCGGAAAGAAGGACGACACGCCCTTCGAAGACCCAGATGCCACCTTTGTTCGCAGTCTGGTCTTCCGCTCGACAGATACCTTCCACTTCGCTGAGCTCCACAAGGAGATCTCTGAGATGAAGAAGCATGCTGCCAAGAAGGAAGCGGAGAAGAAGGAGTTGAGCGACGTCGTGGAGCAGGACAAGCTGATCCTCAACAAATCCCGTCCGCCTGTCCTGCGAGAAGTCTTCCCTAGGCCCGCACTGGAAGGCAAGAGAGTGCCCGGTGACCTTGAGATCCACACCAATGGTCTGAGATTCACCTCCCCGCTGAAGGATCAAAAGGTTGACGTCCTCTTCAACAACGTCAAGCACGTCTTTTTCCAGCCCTGTGACAAGGAGCTGATCGTGCTTATCCATTTCCACCTCAAGGCTCCCATCATGATCGGCAAGAAGAAGTCGAAGGACATTCAATTCTACCGAGAGGCCAGCGACGTGCAATTCGACGAAACGGGAAACCGAAAGCGCAAGTACCGTGCTGGTGACGAGGACGAGTTGGAGCTGGAGCAGGAAGAGCGCAAGAGGAGAGCTCAGCTGAACAAGGAATTCAGGAAGTTCTCCGATTTGATCGTCGATGCAGCAGACGATCTCGTGGTCGACCAGCCATACCGAGAGCTCGGCTTCGACGGTGTTCCCTTCAGGACAAACGTCTGGCTCTCGCCCACCAATGACTGCCTGGTCCACTTGACAGACTCGCCCTTCACCGTGGTGACCTTGGCAGACATTGAGATTGCCCACTTGGAGCGTGTGCAGTACGGCCTGAAGAACTTCGACATGGTCTTTGTTTTCAAGGACTTTACCCGCGCTCCTCTGCACATCAACTCCATCCCGACTGGCTCACTAGACAATGTCAAGGAGTGGTTGGACTCAGTGGACATTCTTGTGAGCGAAGGACCTGTCAATCTGCAGTGGAACCAGATCTTGCGCACCATCCAAGAAGCTCCCTACGACTTTTACTCCAACGGTGGGTGGTCTTTCCTCCGCTCTTCCGACTCGGACTCAGACTCAGACGAGAGCGAAGAAGGCTCTGCTTACAGCGAGTCGGACGCTGCTGCCGAAGAGGCTTCGTCAAGTGAAGACGACGATGATGATGACGATTCGGACTTTGACGAGGATGAAGACGATAGCGGTAGTGAAGCCAGTCTAGACTCGGATGAAAGTGAAGGATTGGACTTTGATGAATTGGAGAAAAAGGCGGCTAGGGCGGATAAAAAGGCCGGATATGGAAGCGATGATGATGGAGGTGGAAAGAGTAGGAAGGGCGGCGGTAGTGGAAAGAAGAGGTAGTGGCCTGCATGGAATCACTCTCTTCTTGTACTGTATTGTCTCTAGGTCAGAATCGGATTACGACGCGCCTCGTCTCCTGCCCAAAATCAATTCAGTCATGCAAGCAACATTCTCCGAGATCACAAGGTCTGAAAATGGTCGCTGAAGGACTCAGTGTGATGGTATTGTACATTGCGTATGGGTGTATGACAGAAGCTCAGACGTTTCAACCGCCCTCCTACGTCCGAGGCTTCTTGCTTGCTGCGCCTTCTTGCCTGCGTGAACAAGAGAGGAGAAAGAAAAACACCGGTGAGCGTCGTTGCAGAGGTGATTCGCTGGGCTCCGTCTGCAAGGCAGACTCACGTCTTCTGCCCTCTCTGTCTTATAGCTGCTCACATCGTCATAGCCTGTTCTTCTGCTCCACTCCCAACGGCCCGCTTTTGAGTTGCACCCATAGCTGTAGCTGCTCCTGCTCCTGCTCCAGCTTCGCCTGTGATCACGCCCCAGATCTGGCTCCTGGTCTGCTCATCCACCTCTACGCCCAGTCCCATATGGTCCCACTCGGGAGAGCGGTCCTTGAGTAGTCCGCGGAGGGAGATGTCGTAGACTACCTCTTCGATCTTCTTGACGTCGTACTGTGCGGGTGTGGGTCGAGGAGTGTAAGTGTGGGCGGGTATCAGCAATTCCTCCGCCCGATAGCTCTGCCATGGCTCGCACTCTTTGCTGAACTCACCTTGATTCCATCGAACCTCTTTCTGAGAGAGTCGTTCTTGAGATTCAGCATAGCAAAGCCAGCACTGAGGTCCTTTACAAAGTCGCTCAGACGCAGCGGTGTAGCGTAATCGTTCATTGTCACGGCATTGACTGCCAATCGTGAGAAGTCATTGATGAGGGAGATGATCGAATGAAGATACTCTTCAGTCGTGAGTGTCAGGCGAGAGGTGGAAGCCGCATCACTCGATAGACCGAGAAAGTGCAGTGATTGGTCCTTTGTGACGAGGGTTCCCGTGGTGAGGAAGCAGGCAAGGGCGCCACAGTAGTTGGCCCTCTGTAGGGTGAAGCTCCAGCAGTCGTTCCACTTCCAGAACTGATTGTCTGGTACGACTTCGACTACATCTCGGATACGTTGACGGAGTTGATCAAAGAGGGGCGCGAGGGAGAGGACCAGAGGTGTGACTTGGGCGGCTGGAGTGGAGTGTACGCGGTTGAGCGAGGCGGTGATCTGGCGCTGCACTGCATCGACTTCCTTTGCACGGGCACGGATGGTCTCAGAAAGGGCGCGTTCCGCTTCGAGCTCGAGGAGCAGAGGAGCGAGATCGACGTGGGAAGCAGCCATGTCGGGGGAGGGAACAGTGGTAGAGGTGAATGTGAGGACGAGGAGTGGTGGTGTCGTCGAGAAGATCTGTCATGCAGTCGGACTGGAGGCGTCGAGAATACACTCAGCTACGCTCGAGCCAATGGGAGCAAGAATGCTGATGTAAGCATCGAAGCAAGCCGGGCTGAACCACGTGTTTCCACAGACTTGCGCCTTGAGCAGCGGACTTGTGTGCCTGAGTACGTCGGAGCAGTCAGACAAGCTCGGTATCGGGAGATGTTGAATATCGGAACGGAGCTTCTCACAGGATCACTCTGCTATCGCTCTGCGTGCGTGTGTGCTTGCGTGTGTGTTGAATTTTGTTCCCTCGAAGGGTTGGATGGCTTCTGGCAGCATCTTCCTTGTGCTCGCTGCAGCCAGGCCAGTCCAGCAGGCGCGGGGTGGCGGGCGCAGAGGCGGGAGTGGAAATCTTTGGCCTCCACGCAAAAGTCTCCTGCATGACGCCAGGCGCGAAAAGAAGAAAGGCAGCCGAGCCATCGAAGGTCACCGAATCTCATCCTCAGCAATAAGAACCTCGCGATTTCACACCCACCACACTTCCTTTCTTCTCACCAAACACTATCCGATCCATACCTCCCCTTCACCCACACAACACATACACACATCATCATGACCAAGGCAGTCGGAATTGATCTGGGTACCACCTACTCCTGTGTCGCCGTATGGCAACAGGACCGGGTCGAAGTCATTGCCAACGACCAGGGTAACAGGACAACACCATCATACGTCGCCTTCACCGACACCGAGAGGCTGATCGGTGACGCCGCAAAGAACCAAGTAGCCATGAACCCCCACAACACAGGTGAGTAGCAGCGTTCTCAGTCCGGTGGTCAGCCTCTTCCAGTCATCTTCGCGATCTCTGGTAGGGCCACCACCGCCACTGCTCTGTCTTACCCTTAGTACAGCTCTCTGACTCCACCACTGCCATTCATACCTCTCTCTATACAGTCTTCGACGCCAAGCGACTCATTGGACGCAAGTTCGAGGACTCGGATGTGCAAGCAGACATGAAGCACTGGCCTTTCACCGTCGTCAACACCTCGGGCAAGCCTCAGATCAAGGTCGAGTACAAGGGTGAGGAGAAGATCTTCACACCCGAGGAGATCTCTTCCATGGTCCTCCTCAAGATGCGTGAGACCGCCGAGGCTTACCTCGGTGGCTCCGTCAAGGACGCCGTCGTCACCGTTCCCGCATACTTCAACGACTCCCAGAGGCAAGCTACCAAGGACGCTGGTGTCATCGCCGGTCTCAACGTGCTGCGAATCATCAACGAGCCCACTGCCGCCGCCATTGCTTACGGTCTCGACAAGAAGGCCGAGGGTGAGAAGAACGTCCTCATCTTCGACTTGGGAGGAGGTACATTCGATGTCTCGCTCCTGACCATCGAGGAGGGTATTTTCGAGGTCAAGGCCACCGCCGGTGACACACACTTGGGTGGAGAGGACTTTGACAACCGTCTCGTCAACCACTTCGTCCAGGAGTTCAAGCGCAAGAACAAGAAGGACCTCACCACCAACGCTCGTGCCCTCCGTCGTCTGCGTACCGCCTGTGAGCGAGCAAAGCGAACTCTGTCTTCCGCCGCCCAGACCTCCATCGAGATCGACTCGCTCTTCGAGGGTATCGACTTCTACACTTCGCTCACCCGAGCCCGATTCGAGGAGCTGTGTGGTGACCTCTTCTCCCACACCCTCGAGCCCGTCGAGAAGGTGCTGCGCGACTCCAAGATTGACAAGGGATCCGTCAACGAGATTGTCCTTGTCGGTGGTTCCACTCGTATCCCCCGTGTGCAGAAGCTCCTCCGTGACTTCTTCAACGGACGTGAGCCCAACAAGTCGATCAACCCCGACGAGGCCGTCGCCTACGGAGCTGCCGTCCAGGCCGCCATTCTGTCCGGCGACACATCCGAGAAGACTCAGGACCTGCTGCTCCTCGACGTTGCCCCTCTCTCCATGGGTATCGAGACCGCTGGTGGTGTCTTCACCCCTCTGATCAAGAGGAACACCACTGTGCCCACCAAGAAGTCTGAGACCTTCTCTACCTACGCCGACAACCAGCCCGGTGTGTTGATCCAGGTCTTCGAGGGTGAGCGTGCCCGCACCAAGGACAACAACCTCCTCGGAAAGTTCGAGCTGTCCGGTATCCCCCCTGCCCCTCGTGGTGTGCCTCAGATTGAGGTCACCTTCGACGTCGATGCCAACGCTGTGCTGAACGTCTCTGCCAACGACAAGACCTCTGGCAAGAGTGAGCGCATCGCCATCACCAACGACAAGGGTCGTCTGTCCAAGGAGGACATTGAGAGGATGGTTTCCGACGCCGAGAAGTACAAGGAGGAGGACGAGGCGGCCGCCGCCCGTATCACCTCGCGTAACGGTCTGGAGTCGTACGCCTACCAGCTGCGCAACAGCCTGAACGAGGAGCAGTTCGCCAGCAAGCTGTCCGAGGAGGACAAGAAGGCTCTGCAAGACGCCACCAAGGACACCATCGACTTCCTGGACGCCTCTGCCGAGGCTAGCATCGACGAGTACGAGAGCAAGAAGAAGGAGCTCGAGGCCATTGCCAACCCCATCATGCAGAAGGCTTACGCTGGAGCTGGTGGCGCACCCGGTGGCATGCCCGGTGCCGGTGGACCAGGTGGTGCCCCCGGTGCTGGTGCTGACGAGCCCTCGGTGGAGGAGGTGGACTAAACGTCTTCGCTTCCCTTCATCGTTTCGTCTAGATCTTAGCCTCTCATCATCATGCCTACGTCCGTTTCCCGCATCAATGTCTCGGCCCTCTCATACACCTTGTACTTTGTCTCTCTTTTCCCTCATGATTCCCATCTGACGTGGTCACAAAAATGAAGCCAATAGATGTTTCCCGAACATTGAGCTCTACCCTATGACTGTGTGCTCGACTTGTTTGATCCTCTGAAGGTACTTGCGCACTTGAATGTGCTCCTCTACTCTGTGCTTTACCAGGGTGTGGTGGCGGCCTTTCACCACCCTTTGCCTACTTTTCCCCCTCACCTTCCCTGATGATCTTTCTTTTTCGCCTTTACTCGGAGGAGGGTGCGCGGTTCTCCGTGGTGAGTGGAGTCCTGCGCGCGAGGCTGTGTCTGTGCCCTGCGTGCGTGGCGTGGCGCACTGAGGGGATGACGCACGGGCAAGCCATTGCCTCCTTGGCTTGGCGGTGCTTCTCACGGGGGTGGTGGCTGCTTCGCGGAAGGGAAGTAGCGTAGAGTAGTAGAGGAGCACCACCGCCGTCGCATCGCTTGTGTAGACGTGTTAAATAAGATCACATTGAGCTCACTTGCTTTCCTGCCTTCCGCTCTCTCCTTTCACACTCGTACCTGTACGACGCAAGACTACACTCTCGTTGCTAACTCCCATCAACTACTACTATGGCATACAATAACTACGGACCACCACCTGGAGCACCTCCACAAGGGTATGGAGCTCCTCCCTATCCTCCCCAAGGTCAAGGCGGATATGGTGCCCCACCCGGAGCTCCACCCCCACACGGAGGCTACGGTGGCGGCGGCGGAGGCTATGGGCCTCCTTCTGGTCCTCCACCCCCCGGACAAGGGTACGGTGGTGGGTACGGCGGCGGGTATGCGCCTCCCCCTGGTCCGCCACACGGAGCAGGAGGGTACGGTCCCCCAGGAGGTGCTCCAGGCTATGGAGCTCCTCCTGGTGTTCCACCTCCAATGCATCAGGGAGGAGCACCTGGAGCTGGTGCGCTGACCTACCTGTATACACAGGTACCCCCTCCACCTCCCAACCCACCTGCTGCTCCACCTGCCGGATATGACCCTTATCGAGATGTGGAGAGATTGAGAAAGGCAATGAAGGGCTTTGGGACAGATGAAAAGGCAATCATTGAGTGAGTGAGGACGATATGGAGGGCAGTCAAGTGTAGGCGTCTGCGATCGTTCTTCATACTGATTTGATCTGCTGCTTCCTCTGTGCGACAGGACTCTGGCTCCACTTGATGCCTTCCAGATCGACTCCCTCGGCCATGCCTTCAAGGCCACTGTAGGCAAGTCTCTACTGGCCTCCATCGAGGGCGAAACCAGCGGTTGGTTCGAAGGCGCGCTACGTGCCAAGGTCCTAGGCCCTGTTGGATACGACGTCTGGCTGGTTCACCGTGCCTGCAACGGAGCGGGTACCAACGAAGACATCCTCAACGAGGTCCTCATTGGTCGCTCCAATTCCGAAATGTGGGCTCTCAAGCAGGCATTCAGAGCTACGTACCACAAAGACATGGAAAAGGTGGTGGAGGAAGATCTGAGTATGAAGACGAGGAGGATGTTCGTCATGGTGATGCAGGCGGCTAGACAGGAGGAGTGGGCACCGGTGGATCCGGGTCTTGTGCAGCAGGATGTCAAGGATCTGAAGAATGCCGCGAGGGGCGCTGGTACGGATGAGATCAAGGTGAGCGAGCGAGCACCTCCGAGCGATAGGCGGACGAGAGGAGGACATGACTCAACTGTATCTCCCCCTATTCGTCTGCACCACAGATCTGCGGCATTCTCCTATCCCGCTCCAACAACCACTTGCGAGCCGTAGCGCACGCCTACAGCTCCAAGCCGGACGGTCTCTCAAGCATGGTCAAGTCTGAATTCTCCGGCCACATGGAAGGCGCACTCCTCCACGCTGTGCGCGCCGTCGAGGGCAATGCTCCCTACGGCGTCTCGCAGACTGCTGCTCTACTCGAAGCCTCGATGAAAGGTCTAGGCACGCAAGACGAGAAGCTAGTGTACCGCACTCTGAGGGCGCACTGGGACCGAAGGAGATTTGAAGACATTAAAGCCGAGTATGCTCGTACTCAGCACAAGAAGGGTCTAAGGAACCGCGTCGAGGGAGAGACCAGTGGGGATTACAAGAGATTCTTGGCTGCTGTTATTGGACACTAGTCAGTCGTCGCCTTTGGAGGTCCTGGAAAAGGAGCCTGCATCTAGTACCCTCGTTGCGAGATATCCCGGCGTCATAATTCCTTGCCTCGCCTTGCCTTGTCGCTTCTTGTGCTCCACCCCTCTTGTATATACTTTTCTCGTTGGTACTCATTTGCGATGTCCATTCTTTCTGCAGCCATGTCGACCTTTTGATGAGAATCAGGCCGTGCCGTGCCGTACTTTGGCCTGCCATTGTGCCTCCACCCGAAGCGGGGCCCGTGCACTTGCAACTGCGCATTGACCTCCCTCCTTTGGTCTGGTCTGCCTAAGCCACCCACGCTACGCAGCTCGCCCTTCCTTGCCTTGAATCGTATCACAGCATACTCTTGTTGACCGTAGGCAGACCCTCCTCCAAGCATACTGACATCCCTCTGTCAAGCAATCGCAGTCATGTCCTCAACTGCACCACGGAGAAGAGCCACCCACGCCGGTTCATGGTACAGTTCCTCCCCCAGCAAGCTCGATGCCCAACTCAACGGTTGGCTCAACGAAGTCGACCCTTCAGCCATTCCTTCTGCAGTGGAAGTAGCTTCTCTTTCTCCATCCCCTTTGACATCTCCTTTGACTCTGCCGATAGAAGGATGTAGAGCAATCATTGGTCCGCATGCTGGGTACTCCTACTCGGGACCGGCAGCCGCTTGGGCTTATCGCTGCATTCCTGCTACTACAGCAGGTGTACGGATCAAGCGCGTCTTCATGCTAGGTCCATCACACCACCACTATCTCGATCGATGTGCCCTCTCGCGCTGCTCCGTCTATGAAACTCCCTTGGGAGATCTTAAAGTGGATGGGGAGACTTCTAGGGAGATTATGATGAGTGGACAGAAGGGGGATTGGGAATGGATGGAGAGAGGAGTGGATGAGGCGGAACATAGCATTGAGATGCATGCTGCTTATGTGCGGAAGGTGTTTGAAGGGTAAGTCTGAGCCGTAGCCCTAGAAAAAGGAGGAAGAGGTAGAGGGTAAAGAGATCACAAGCGCTCACAAGGGCGTCATTGTGGACCAACTTCGCTCGCCGCTTGCAGACAAGAAATCACCATTGTCCCCATTCTCGTGGGAGCAATCTCAACAAGACAGGAGTCCTATTATGGAAGCCTACTAGCACCTTACCTTGCAGATCCAGACAATTTCTTTGTCGTCAGTTCAGACTTTTGCCATTGGTGAGTAGAGCAGAGGCGGAGGCAGAGGCAGAGCTGAGCCTTTGCCGCCAGCATATTCCACTGCAAAGATGTAAGCTGCTGACTGCTCCGATATCCTCCCGTGGTTCTGTAACATCATCAACGACCCAGGGGCTCCCGCTTCTCCTACACTTACTACCGCCCATCTCCCGATGCCTCGTCCACCTCCCTCTCCTCCACCTTCCGACCACGGGAGGGGGATGCACCCATCCACCAGTCCATCCGAGATCTAGACGACGAAGGGATGCAAGCCATCTCCTTTCCCACTTCCTCCTCTCCCTCCCCTTCAGGAAGTGGTGCAGTGCAGGGAGAGGGCAAGAGTGCCATTCAAGCAAAGGAGGAATTCGCAGCCTATTTGAAAAAGACGCGCAATACAGTTTGTGGAAGACATCCTATTGGAGTTTTGCTAGGGGCATTGGCTGAATTGGAGAGCCAAAAGGGACAGAAGAGCGAGTGTCGCTTTGTACGGTATGAGGTGAGTAAGAGAGGGTTGAGGAGCAGAGGGGCTGTTACGATGGCGATGCGGTTGGGAATGTCACAAAGAGTGGTAAGGGAGGCTAGTGCTGACACAACACCGACTTCTACCCGCCTCTCCGTCTCTCTGTCTCCCTCTCTCGTCACCCCTATCTTGCAGCAATCGAGCGAGTGTGAGTCGTATAGGGACAGCTCCGTTTCCTACGCTTCGGCTTTCGTGCGCTTCCTCTAGACTGCCCTCAGGCTGCAATGTATGACATTGTTGGGGCACAGTCAAATCTCCATCCAACAGCAGATGATATGCAAAGCATAGATCGGACGAAGATTCCAGAATCTCCGCGTGTGGCTGCAGTCAATCACATCTCTGCCTCTGGGCTGTTCTTAGAATTTTCAAGCCCTGGCCGTGCACAATGGATGGCAGACATACACTTTTGATAGATTACGAAGTGACTTCGCATCGACAGCGCCAAACGCCCGCACAAGCAATAGCGGCAGTGGGGGCATACAATTCGCACACCCCTTTCTTCATCTCAACCTTCGCCTTCGAACCAATTTTCGGTATCCTCCACCCCTCTTGAATTCTTCACACAAGTCTTCCCCCCTCCCCTCCTATCCCAACCTTTTCACCCCTCTAGACCCAACTCCTTTCGCAGTGTCCCCTCAAGCGCCGCACGCACCTCTACAGGCGTGTTCAGCGAGCACATAAAGTAGACGACGTTGCCCAGGGGTCGGGCATGGATGTTAAAGGGGAGGAGCGCCCTCGAGGCTTCGGTCGCAGCTCCTGCTCCGTTTGTGCTGGTGCCAGGTACGGAAGGGTGACCTTGCTGTTCTGCTGGGAGCAGACGGAGACGCTGTAGTAGGGAAGTGGCTGCTGTGGATGAGTAGCCTGTGATGAAGAGGAAGGAGTACGGAGATATGAGTGGTGGATTTTGAATGTCAGCACCTTTCTTGTAGTGGTCGCTAGAATCTCCTCGTGTGCCTCTCTCTACCATCATGCCCTCTTTAAGCAATATGACAACTTCGACTTTCGCAATCTGTACTACTCTATCCCACCCATGTACATATGTGCGTGTGTCGTTGGGTACTCACCAGCATTCTCTGCATCTCTCAATTGCAGTACAAGGACAGTGCCCATGGCCATGGCGGAAACTACACTCTCACTGCGGCTGAGGGCCAGAACCGTTTCTTGAGACCAGAAGGACCAGATTCCCGGAGAAGAGGAGACAGAGGGAGCTCCAATACCCCGGTCTTGCTGCTGCTGCTGCTGCTGCTTTGTGGCCACTGCCTTGCTGTCCAATCCTGCGCCGGCGGTGGTTTCCAGACCCCAGTCCCTCCTCTCCGCATCCCACTTCCCCTCTCTCTCCATCTTTGACAAGATCTTCATCGTCTCATTCGCCACTTCACACCCAACAGGATGCGCCGTATAGCTATGTCCATGTAGCAAAGCATCTACTTTCCTCTCTGTATCCTTGGTAAAAGTGTCAAAGATGGAACGAGAGGCGAGAGTGACGGACATGGGTACTAGACCACCAGTGAGGATCTTGGCCAGGACGGAAATGTCCGGGGTGCTTCCGAGGAGAGAGGTGGGTGTGCTGTGGCCAAGACGGTACAGGCCTGTGAAGACTCTGTGGGATGTAGTGGAGGCGAAGCGAATGGTCAGGATCGGAGAAGCTTAGAATTGGAGCGCATACCCTCTGTACTCACTCGTCATAGATCACCGGCAAACCTCTCCACTCTCCCGCTTCCCCCTCCTTTGAGTTCTCACTTTGCGGCGCTCGTCCATCGCGCAAAGGTGGGTCACTGAGGGAGAACAGGTCCTCGCTCTCCCTCACCACGTCGACTAGACAGCGCTGAAACACCGGATCGACAAAGATCATTCCTCCCGCACCTAGGATGATAGGTTCGATGACTAGCGCACCGAACCTCTCTCCTTCGAGACGGATACGCTCTTCGAGCCAGGCACGGATCTTCTTTCTATACAGGTCTGTGACCTGGTGTGAGCGCAGGCGGGAGGAAACGTCGTACGCTTCCTGCAGCGAGCTGAACGTGACTCGCGTGACCGTCTCTCCATCCTCGGAGAGAGAGGGCGGGATAGTGAGTACGGTCTGGCCGTCCTCTACTCCGATGCTGGGCGTGTCGAACCAGCACCCTCGACTGCGGTACCAGTCGACCTTCTTCGAGTACACGCTCGGCTCACACGCGTCCATTACGCCGATGGTATCCCCGTGATAAGATCCCTTGAGGCCGATGACCTTCCACTCCCCTCGCTCTCGTCCGCCCATGGAGCCAGGTTTGCGTCCGTGGGAGACACGTGCCTCTGATTCGGCCGTCAGGGAAGGAGGGGCGTAGCGCTGCCGCGTTGAAGCAATGGCCATCTTCAGAGCCACCTCCATACCTGTCGCTCCGTTGTCCGAGAAGAAGACACGATCTGCCCACCCTTTTCCCGGAGCTGGGTTGTCGTAAAACTCTACGTCGGTACTGCTGCTGCTGCTACTGCTGCTGCCTGCCTTGGCGTAGACCGAACGATCGCGCCTGCCTAAGAGGCCTTCGGCGAGCCTTAGAGCAGGGGCATTCGCGGCCATGGGGAACAGGACGTGACCGTACCTTCCTGCAGCTCTTGCTGCTGCCTGCGCCAGCGCGGGATGGGAGTGACCCAGACATTGCGTCCACCATGAGGCTGAGCCGTCCAGCAGCGGGTGTAGCTTCGAAGAACTGGCTTCTACCGACGCCGACGTATTGCTGAGAGCGCCCGACTGCTTGAAGGAGGAGAAGAAGTCTCCGTGGGCAGAGTCGATGACGGTCACGTCCGAATCGGCCTTGGCCAGTCCGTGCTGGGTAAAAGGCCACCAGCAGCTCTCTCTTGTCCTTCCTGCAAGAGTCTCAAGCTCTGCTATCCGGAGATGGTGGCCTTCCCTGAGTTGACGAACTACATCTACCACACCTCCGACTTGCTCTTCGTCTCCTTCTAACCGCCGCCTGCCATAGACGAGGCCCCTGTAGAAATTTTGCATCTGCTTGAGCTCCTCCTGCTGTGATGCAGCCCTCGAGGGAGGTCCGCCCCACCCTTCTGAGCCCTCCATTCCAGCCAGCGGCCAGACAGGTAGACCTACCTCCTCACCCCACTTGGCAAGATAATCTGCATTTCCCCACTTGTCCTCTTTCCCCTCGGTAAAGAGCAGCAAAGCGTCCACTTGATGGCCAGCCATCATCAGACTCTCGTACGCCGATCGAGTAGTGGAGATCCCACCGAGATTAGAGTCTCCGATGAGGATCGTGGGTAAGCGGAGAGGACGAAGCAGCGTCACCTGCGAGGTTCCTGTAGGCGAAGGCGAGTGTGGTCCACCTGCCGTTTCGATGTAGGCTACACTTGGCTCAGAGGGGGAAAGAGTGGCTTTGCCATCGATCCAGTCGCCGATGGAACGAGCAAGTTGGCTATCTGTTGGGATGCGGCTGAGGTCGGAGAGCGGTGATACGGAGGGTGAGGAGAGGCGTGCGGCTAGATGAGGGGAGACTGCATTGGGGAAGCGGAGCAGCGTCTGCTCGGATGAGGGAGAGGCATATTGAGAGATGTGACTGTGCAGAAGAAGTGTAGTCACGGTAGCAGCGGTAAGTTCCAGAACTTAGAATGCCTGTCTCTGCCCGGCGTACTCACCTGTCGTCGCTATCCTCCATCGGCCCTGTCGAGACGGGCTTGAGGTAGTGCACCCTCTCCCCCCTTCTCCCTCCTCCCTGATCCTGCATCGCCGCCCTCACGTTCCTCTCATGCTCTTCCAACGAGCTCTTTGCATCTCTGAGGCTGGCAGAAGAGGGGACAGGGAGGGAAGCGCTGGCCAGACAGAGGGCAGTGGTGAAGATGGTCTTGCCCACGTCTGTATTGGCCCCAAAGACTTGGTGCAGACGGAGGTTCTGGTATAGGTGGGACATGTTTGCAGGGCAGGAAGGAGTGAGCGATGAAGCTCAGGGTCTTCTGAACACCACTACAGAGCACAAGGCGAGGAAGAGAGAAGGAGGGGGGAGGGCCGGCTGTGCGATGCTGATGGTATGGTATGGTACAAATGGTATGGCGAAGAAGCGGAAGGACAGGAAGAAGTGACCCTTTGGGCCAAATGCACGGACGCGACATCGCCAAAGGCCGAAAGCTCCGACGACCCCACGGAATCCCAACAATTGCCCGGGAGGCTCACTCAGAGTGGCAGCATGGCGTAGCATAGTACGGCATAACGGCATGGTATAATAGTCGATATCAACCTTCGACGCTACAGCATCTTGCACAGGTATGCCGCAGCTTGACTTCCCCACCCAAGGAATCTCTCCCTAGCAAGCGTCGTCCCCTGTCCAGGCTTCTCCCACTCCTCCTTCCCAATCAGCTTCGCACTCAGGAAACCCTTGGGCAAGTGCAGCCCTCCGCTCACAGCAGCCAGACCAGGAGTCGCCGGTACTCGAACGCGCACGGCAAAGTCTTCAGCAGCGAGGCAGCGCAAGTCGACTTCGAGCCGGCGACGCAGATTGGTCATGTTGGCTAGACCGCCCACGAGGATGATGTTGGCGTACATCAGCCCGCGCAATGCATCGTCTGCGCTGCTGGCCGAGATGGAGGAGAGGATCAATTGTGGCAGGGGGAGGGCGTCGAGGCCTACGCAAGACGCAGAGAAGGCAGGCAGAGAACGTATCGATGTCAGATGGAAGTCCCAGACAAGCGGATTCCACCATTTCACATGACTCACCAATCTGCTGAGGATTGAACAGCAGCTCCGGGATCTGCCATCGCTCATTGGACAGCAGCAGCACCTGTTCCTCCTCTGCCTCATTCGCACCTCCAGCTTTGTGCTTCGCTGGTTGGCTGGACTTCTGCTGCTGTTGATGCGCTTGGAAAGAACCCTTGATGGGCGACTCCCCACCGGACTCTGATCCAGACTCGCGGTAGTCCTCCCCTGCATCCTCGTCGTCATCGTCGTCGTCGTCGTCAGCATCGTCGTCAGCTCTCTTCTCGGCATGACCTCGATCTTGACCTGCTGGTCCTGCAAGGGCTTGCGCTAAAGCTGGGTCGGCAATGAAGGCGTCTGCCTCTTTCTCCTCTTGGAGCGCGTCCTCCTCCTCGTCAAGTTTGGAAGTTGAAGCTACATTCAACCTTGCATCGAGCTTGACCGTTTTGTTGTTGGTGGCCTCCCGCTTCCCAGGTCCCTTTCGTATCCTCCCATAGCGCGAGTCGGCATGCTTTGAGACCTTGTCATCGGTATAGTCTGGCAATACAAACTCCTGCTCAATGGGGTTCAGGCCCCTCTTGCTCTTGACCAATTTGAGCAGCTTCTTCCTGTTCCAGCTACTAGGCCCAATCCTCTCCTCTTCCCAATCACTAGCAGCAACGAAGAAGGCCTTTTCCTTGAGGTGTGAGATGATCCAAGACTCTTCCATCATGTCCCATTGCTGGAAAGAGATCATCTCCTTGAGCAGATTTGTCATGAGCTTGCCGCCAATGTCCAGACGCCGCACTCCCGTCCAGGCTACCTCTCCTTGGACAATAGGTACAACGTGGGTATAGCTGTGGCCCAGATCGACGACTACACATGCCTCCGGTCTACGATGAGAGCTCAGACGTGGTCCAGAAGCGGCCGACTTGGCTTTACTCTTGGTCTCTGTGTACGACTGCGTAGACCCCGTCTGTCTCTTTTGACGTCTTCCGGTAGCGGTGGGTGGACTTTGGGCAGGCGGAGAAGCAGCAGTAGTCTTCGCCGGTGAGCTGAACTCTGTGCCTGCCGAGGAGGCCTCCGCGACAGGTGTTTCTCCCGACTCGCCAGGTGTGTCTGAGGACGTGGCAGGGTCACTCGTTGCAGCGCTCAACTTGGCCGTAGTCGCCTGCAGCGGCGCAAAGCTGGCTAGTTGCGCCCCAGTGGTCCTCCAGAGGCCTCGGACGCCATACTCTTCGAACCACATTGTCTCTAGCCCATTCTCAAGCTCCGGTAGATTGAAATAGGCCTCTGTGATGATGAGATTCCACCCTTCGAGGAGCTTACCGCTGGAGGAAGTCGCGAGGTCCTTGGTCGGGAGCTTGCTGAGGGCTTTGCCGATCTCGGCGTCCCAGAGGGTCTTCTGTGCTACCCAGTCTGTGAGAAAACCTCGCTCGATGGATAGTCTGAGTGTGAGACCGGAAAAGTCTGTACACCTTCCTTCTATGTCGGACCCCACGAAGATTGTCTTTGAGGGCGGACGAGTGCGGGCAATGGCATTAGGGGAGATGTGAATCGGGGGAAGGGAGTGGGTGGGTGGGGTAGGCTGTAAAGTGAGGCGAAAGGAGGAGGCTCCACAGTCGAGGATGGCGAGTGGGTACAGCGAAGAAGGAGTGGCAGCAGCCGATGGCATCCTCGGCGTTGGAGCACAGTGAGAATCACTGTTATCGAATGTATAGCGAGGGGAGGGGGGAAAGAGTGGTGAAGCTTCGCGCCTCTGCCGCCTTTTGACTCAAATCTGTGGCATTGCACTTGAAGCTCCTCTTTCCGCTTTGCGTGGGTCCGTGACACATCTTCCCATCAGGGCTACCATTCACGGCTTACACAAGACGAAAGGCAAATGCTTCACACAAGGGACAGTGGAAAAGACTCAAGGTGACCAAGTGCAGCTCAGTCAAAGACACTTCACTAATTTGAACGGATCTCACAAGTAGTCTGCCAGCGTAACAGCAGGAGGGTCACAGTATCCTATCGAGCCTCCACCTTACTTCCGCAAGATCAGCACGGCTTCCGCAACTGGCCTACGGGGCATCCTCGCTGGGGTCCTCGGCGCAATTCGCTCCTCCTTTGCTACATCTACCGCTGCACAGACCTCCACGAGGTCAGTCATGGCCCACGCTCCTCTCCGGGTGGGTGTAGTCCAATTCACGCCTTACCATGGCAGGCCAGAAGAGTCGAGGAAGAAGGTCGAGGCACTCTGCTCCACCATTGCGCCTGGCAGCTTGGACCTCCTCGTCGCGCCCGAGATGGCCCTCACTGGGTACGTCTTCAGGGATCTGAAGCAAATAGAGCCGTTGTGCGAGGAGATTGGCTTGGTGGCACCTGCCAGAGGAGCAAATACGACTATCAGCTTGGCGCAGAGTCTCTCCAAGAGGCTACAGTGCTACACCCTCATGGGTTTCCCAGAAGTCGTGAAATCATCGCCAAAGTCCTCAACAGGAGCAGAGGTCCCGGTGGTCAGTCCTCCCTTCGATGCTCGGCCTATCCCCTCCCCTTCTCCCGCTCCTCCCTCCTACCCAGCCTACTACAATTCCGCCCTCCTCACCTCCCCTACGGGTCAAGTCCTACACAGCTTCCGCAAGCACTTTCTCTTCCAAGCCGACGAGAGCTGGTCTCTCGAGGGTCCAGGATTTCAACACATCGACCTTCCGCCTCCTCTGGGACGCCTTGCCGTGGCAATCTGCATGGATCTCAACCCGTATAGGTTCGAGACGCCTTGGGAGAAGATGGAGCTGACGCGCTGGTGTGAGGAGCAAGAGGTGCAGACACTGGTCATGCCTATGGCTTGGTTGAGGGGAGAGGTCGAGGGAAGTGAAGGAAAGATTGGACAGGGAGGAGAAGGGGAGGTGAACTTGAACGTGGTCAATTACTGGGCGGGTAGGTGCGAGCCTTTTTGGGAGAAGAGGTCAGAGGGGGGCCGACCCGCTAGACAAACTCTGTTCGTCACAAGCAACAGGACGGGGACTGAAGGAGGTGAGCGGTGTAGCGAAAAGACATGTCAGAGTGGACTTTGCCTGCTGACTGAATCTGCCCTGCTGCCCTGTCCTTGTTTCTTGTAGACTCGACTTTTGCAGGCACATCGTCAGTATTGCTCTTCGAGCACGGTAAGCGACCTGAGCTACTAGCGTGCATGGGCGAGACACAAGAAGGCTTGTTGCACTGCGATACCAACAGAGACAAAGACAAGGTATAAAGCATTGACTAGCAGTAGTAATTCACGCAATGTAATAGTACAAGAGTTTTCTTCACGCTTCATGCCCTTCGTGTCCTAAAGGCAATGGTACCGACGGCTACCCCTGCTCCCGATGCGAAACCCATCAGACCAGCCGCCCAGGGCGAGATGTATCCGACCACTGGACAGACAGCAAAGAGTCTCTTTGCGATGCTGTGCAGGTTCGGTGCATACGCCTTCCTCACCCCTCTCACTTCGACGTAGCTAGGCGATTTCCTCTCGCTCCACCCTGCGAGGATCTTATCCATGTCCTCTTCTGTCATCTCTGCCAGCTGGTCCCAATTCCACTTTTCACACACATCGATCATCCACTTCATCCTCCTCGGACTACTAGACTGTTCCGGTACGCGCTCTCTGAGCTTCGCCCTGAGCACACCGACATTGGTGATAGCATCGCCTAGGTTCTCAGGAATGGCCTTTTCCATAACCACCCTGACCTGATTGGCAATCTTCGGTCCCTTTCCACCAGTGGAGACCATAATCTGCAATGGTCCTCTACGAATCAGGGAGCCGAAGTAGAAGTCGCACTCTGGAGGTACATCAGCGACATTCACTGGAATCCTCAACTTGCGAGCCATCTGACAGATGGAGCGAGAGAGATCCGAATCGTCGATGGCTGTTAGTACCATGTCGTAGAGCTTTCCAGAAGGGTCGTAGAGGTCTGATTCTCCTTCGAAGGAGCGGTCGTGGTATACTTCGACGCACTCCTCGGTAAAGAGACGATACTTCATCTCAGCGGAGAGGCCGGAACGAGGAGAGATGATGGTGAGGTGGGCATCGGCATCTTTGACGTTCACCAGACGACCTTTCAGGAATACAAGGGAAGGTATCGGGTAGTCAGCATGAGGTCAAAAAGCGGCCTCGAGTGAGCTACGCTTTCGTCCACCGCTGTTACTCACCCGCTGCTACCATTCCTCCACCTACAAGCAGAACCTTCTTGCCCTTGAGCTGCCATGCCAGTATCAGTCCACCACCCGGTGCAATCTTGGGGTATTCGTTCGCCTTGGTCTTGGCTACATCGGTTGAAGTGGACGCAGAAGCCATCGTATAGGACACAGCTCGAGGGTGAAAGGGGAGGAGGAGACTAGAGAGGAGGCGGTGATTGATAAGAGATATCTGAATATTCGAAACAGGGCGTGTGCGCCTTCCGACGGAAGTGTTGGTTCCGCTCCGCTGCTTCCGCCGGCGGAGACTTCCCACCTTTACCCATACCCTAACTACTCAAGTTCCTGGAACTGCATTTGAGCCCAAGCTACTACTCCTAGCTTTGGAGGTGAGGTTAGAGTATGGCGCCAGCTCGGGCTCTATCTTCGTCTGCTCGAGCGCCCTCCAGCTCCAGCAAAGGCAAGACCAAGGTGAGCGCTACCGCCTCCTCTTCTAAGCGGTCAGCCTCCTCTTCCACCTCCTCTTCCGCGGCCGCCAGAGGAGGTGCATTGCAATTTAGCGCCTCGCCTCCTAGCAGGTCTGGCGTCCAGTCTAAGCTCTCCTTCACACCTGCCCCTCCGGAGCCCGCAAAGAAGAAAGTCCGGATAGAAGAGCCAAAGGTGGACTGGAAGGGCAAGGGGCGAGAAGTGGTTCACAGTGGAGGAGGGGTAGAGAATAATGACCTCTGGAGCGTGGCCTATGCGCCATCGTCAAGGGTAAGCCTAAACCATTGAGTCATCGCTGGTGGTTCTGAAGCTCATTCTGACTCTGGATGTTGGGTCCTTCGTTGCCTCTCTAGTCTGATCTTGCTGTACACCCAAGGAAAGTCAAAGATGTCGAGGCATGGCTTCGTGATGCATTCGATGGTTCTGTCTCTCTCAAGAAGCTGCGGGTAAGCAAGGGTAGACGTAACACGACTGACCTCCCAGCAGCAATTTACTGATACATGATTGATACTGTACCTCACCAGCGCCTCCTGGTCCTTACCGGGCCCGCTGGAGCTGCCAAGACGGAGACCATTCGGCAGCTCTCCTCTGCATCTGAGCTCGACTTTGAAGTGGTGGAATGGAAGAACGACACCATGGCCAGATCGGGCGAGATGCTGGCCGAAGACCAAGGTGAGGACGCCACAGGGCTTCCGCTGAGACTCGTTCTACCCAGCTGACGCTGATCACGATTGCGCCCACAGAGTTCGCAAGCGTAACAAATCGCTTTCGGGATTTCTTCTCGAGATCTACAAAGTTCCGGACACTATCTATGAGAGGAGAAAATCAGGCATATCAACCTCAAGCATCAAGTAGTAGTACAAGTCTCAGCTTTTCGGGCACTTCTGCATCGCCATCGAAGCGCTCGCGCCGACTTATCCTTCTCGAAGACCTACCCAATCTGTCGCACCCTGCAACCCTCCAGTTCTTCCAGGAGATGATCGCGACGCAGCTGTCTGCACCTCTAGACGCTCGGGGAGATCAGATTCCCATCTGCGTCATCCTTTCCGACGTCAGTGGAACCTCGGGAGGTCTGCTGGAGGACGGATCGACAGGCGATGATGGGATGCGCAGAGAGACAGATTGGATGCGCCCGCGCCGTCTTCTCGGCGAAGAGCTCAACGGCAATGATTCATGGCTGGAGATCAAGTTTAATCCGGTCGCCTCAACGCTGCTGAAAAAGGCGTTGAAAACGACGCTTGACAGGGCGACTGGAGCAGGCAACAAGAAGGAGGGAAAAGGAAAGACAGGACGCAATACATTCCCGCCCGACCTGATAGGCATAATCGCCGAGGTGTCGAACGGTGACATACGCTCTGCAGTCGATACATTGCAGCAAGTGTACGCCAATTTCCAGAGTGACCCCAAGAGGTTCGATGTTCTAAGCAAGACCAAGAGCAAAAGAGGGGAAGAAGATGCTAGGAATGCCGCTCGCGAGCTCCTCAGCTCCCTTGGCGTGGCTGGCAGAGACTCGTCTCTGGACCTCTTCCACGCATTGGGCAAGATACTCTGGAACAAGAGGGCCGGAGATCCGAACGACGATGAAGATACACCGGAGAGCGATAATGCCAATACGACCGCGATAGACGCACTGCCAGAGCATCTGAATTACCTCGAGAGGAGAAGGAGCAAAGTTGATGTAATGGTGAGCTACAGATGTTGCTCAAGCGGAAACTTTGCTTACCATCAGCCACTGACGATCTCTATCGTGCGTGTACTCGCAGGCGCTGGCAGGGTCAAGTGTCGACACGTCGATGCTGCAGCTCTTCTCTCATCACAACTACCCGGCTTTTTGCAGCGAGGTCGAGCAGTGTGAGGGTGTCATGGAGGGCTTCAGCTTCACAGATGCTGACATGAAAGTCAGAGGTGGTGACGGGGTGAGTTTTACAATTCTGAAAGACGCGGCCAGTGCACACAAGCGAGCTAATCATTGCTTCCGATGCTCCTTCGACCTCCATAGTACTCTACCCTCCCTCTCTCAGACCACTACTCCTTCCTGATCAGCACACATTCCACCCTCCTGCATCTGCCCTCTCCAGTAGAACGTCGAGGTCAACGACCCACCAAGCCCGCCCTTTTCGAGATCAACGCCCGCTCCAGGATGCATCGCGCGACGGTAGAAGAGATGAAGCGCGCGATGAAGTGGGAACTCAAGACCAATCGAGAGGTAGTGGAGGAACTGCTGCCCATGGTGAGCAAGATGGGTTCCGCCCTTGGAAAGAAGGGAACGATACGAGGGGTGGGGGTCGGATCCGGATCTGTAGGCGCCGGCGTGGCAGGCAAGGTGAGCGCAGATCTCGCCTCGCTCGGCGCTTTTGACTTTAGCGTCTTTCAAGACGGGGGCTCTATGCGAGGGACGGTAGGAGGGAGCACTTCGTGGAGCCGAAGACGCGACGACGAGGAGGACCTTGGCGCGCTCGATCTCGATGCTGAGATGGACCAGTCGGTCGAGGGAGTCTCTGTGTCGCAGATGACCGAGGTCGAGAGAGGAGAGGGCGACTCGGCAGATGCAGGTGCGGTGGCTGGGGGACTGAGAGGAGAGCTGGCGGAGGATGGAGGTGGAGAGGAAGAAGACGAGGAAGAGGAGGAGGAGATTGAGGACTTCTGAATGGAGTTTCCAAGTCCGTGTTCAGGTTCATCGATGCAATTTGAATATGATACATCACTCGCAATGAACATATTAGAGCGGGTATCATTCGGCTTTGGCTAGTCCTCGAGCCGCAAGAAGTCTGCACTGTCACTATCGCTACTCGTATCTCTCCCCTTCTCCTTCACTTTCCACTGCCTCCCCGTCCTTCTCCCCATTACCCACCCTCTCATCCTCCCTCTCCATCTCCTGTCCAAAATCAAAGATTTCCCTCACCTCATCCCCGCCTCCAGCCCCTCCAGCAGCTACCCCACTCCAAACCCTCCTCTCAAGATCCCTCCTCCCACTCCATTCCTTGCCCCCATTGCGCATCTTCTCCCACTCGTCCAACAGGGAAAAGTCGACGATGCGGGAGTTCAGAGAGAAGATGCGCTGGCAGGCGCCTGGGCCGATACCTGCCGAGGTGGGGAGGAGGGAGCTACTGGAGGGGTTGGGTTTGGAGGGAGAGATGGATGGAGATCGAAAGCGCCCCCGAGCGGTGGGCGCAGCGGTCTGAGCGGGGGCAGATGTAGCTCCTGGTGCTGGACTCGAGGTTGATGTCTCGCTCTGTCCCTGCCCTTGCGGCAGGAGCTGGAACGCCGCCGCATAAGCCGGCTCAACAGCGCCGGGACCTGCCTGGGGCGGCGGAGAGAGGAACCTCCTCTCCTCTCCCATCTCCTCAGGGAAGAACCTCTGGTAGACAGGATGCGCAAAACGCGGCTCATACCTGTACTCCCTCCCGCAGCCGAGCTGCTTCATGAGCTTTGTTGGGGCATTGCGGATGTGGAAGGGCACCTCGTATTGCTTCTCGCTGTTTACGCACGCCAGAGCCTTTTTCCAGCCCCGATAAGCACGAGTGCTCTTGGGCGCTTCGGCCAAGGCTACTACGCATTGCGCGAGATTCTCACCGCATTCGGGCAGACCAACTAGCTGACAGGCTTGATAGGTCGCAACGGCTAGCTGAAGGGCAGAAAGGGTATTGACGTCTTCGGACGCCGCGACGATGAGGCGACGAGCGATGAAGAGGGGGTCATCGCCCGCTGCTACCATCCTGGCTAGCCAGTAGAGGGAAGCATCAGGGTCAGAACCTCTGATCGACTTGTGCAGCGCAGAGATGGTATCGTAATGCTGGTCGCCTGTTCGATCATAGTGGAAAGCCTGTCTTGATAGCGTCGACTTGAGGTTGGTGAGATTGACATCGGCAGTTGCGCCGGCGTCGTAGAGCGATAGCGCGATCTCGAGGGATTGCAGCGCTGATCGAGCGTCTCCGTCACATGCTTTTGCGATGTAGGACAAGATCGAGTCGGGGAGGAGGTTCGGAGGGTGGGATAAGTCTGCTTCTATGGCCACTTCCTCAGGCTCAGACTCAGACTTGATCCTCGTTGCCGCTACTCCATTTGTCTCCTCTTTGATCAGGCCATCCTCCTTGGCCACTCTATCCCTAGCTGCTTTGAGCAGCTTCAGTACCTGCTCAGCAGTCAGCTTCTTGAGCACGAATACTCTCATTCTTGAGAGCAGTGCACCCTGTAGCCTAAAGCTGGGGTTCTCTGTCGTAGCAGCGACCAGTACGACCTGGCCCTTCTCTACGGGTCCCAGAAAGACGTCCTGCTGAGCTCTCGAGTAGCGCTGAATCTCGTCCATGAATATAATAGTGCGCTGGCCTGTGAGCTGCAGATGGGACAGTGAAGTGCTGAAAGTCTTCTTGAGGTCCACTGTCGAGGTCGTCGTGGCGGAGAGCTCGATGAAGCGATATAGCGGCATGTTTGACTGACCAGCAGCAGCAGCGCCTTTGGTGTCTCTGGAACCCCACCGTTCATTGACTTCCTTGGTCAGGAGTCTGGCAAGCGTCGTCTTACCTACGCCAGGAGGTCCCCAAAGGATACAAGAGGGGATCCGACCTTGCTTGAGGAGAGCTGCGAGAGGCCCGTGGACAATATCCTCTTGCCCTACATATTCGTCTAGGGAACGAGCCCGCAGCCTCTCGGCGAGTGGGGCGGCGGAAGAGACGTGATCTCTCGCTGAGAGTTGCTGAGATGTCCCTGCAGATCTGGCTTTTGACTCGCGAGTCGGCGACGCTGGAGGGCATGTAGCTGATGTGATCTGAGCAGTGGACGTCGAGGGTCTCTGTGCCTCTGTGAGTAGCCTGACCCTTTTGCCATCCTCGTATTGTGGCGATCCTTGACCTCTGGCAGCTGTACCATTTGCGGTTACTGCCGCTGTAGCTCCTGGTGACGCTACTTCCCCAGTAGTCGCCTTTCTCTTTCTCCCTCCCATCATCATCGATCCGAACACTCCTGAGCCATCAGACGCGCCTGACGAGGGCAGCTGAGTGGAGGCGGACGATTGACCTTCTTGCAGACATCGGTCCAGGTGGGCATTCAGGCGGGTATAGGGGAGGCTGGCCGAGCATGAGGGACACTGCACCAGGTCCCTCTGAGACGACAGCATGGCCGTAGGGCGCCCTTTGTGTGAAGTGAGTATCGTGCGTTGGGAGCATTGCCTCCATTCCGGGCCGGCTGCTTCTTGCCCTCTTTCCGCCGCATCCTCCGTTCCGCTCGTGGTTGATCGTGTTGAAGCATCCGTTCCGACCCTTACTTCCGTTCCGTTTGTGCCCTCTGCTTCTCCTATTCGTCGCTTGCTGCTGCTTTTCATCCTGTTCACTTCACTACTACTTCTTCACCTAAAACCTTGCTTTTCGCACCCTAAAATCACTCTCTAACGCCTCCAACGTGACCCCGCTGTGACTTTCGGCTCCGACTTCAACAGATTAAGAGTCAAGAGCGCTACCAAGGCAACGGCCAGACTTGTATGACACCAGATCCCACTCCTCGAGAAAGACGACTAGAAAACCGTTCCATAAAGCAGATCATGGCAACGCCTATCGAGGAGATCTTTCATATCCATGAGCTGTTCACATTGCTCAAAGCCAAGCTGCCTGAAGACACCACAGACGCCATCGTCATGGAACTGGCTAAGCAACAGCTATCAGACAACAAAGATGCACGCACAGCTGCAGCCATAGCAGCTGTGGCAGCAGCTACCCCTCCCCCTCCTCCGCCATCGCCTCCTAAGGAGGACTGCCTAATACCACCAACCGTAAGGGACGGCTTCAAGGAGGTAGCCAAGTTACATCGCGAGAACTGGCACTCTTGGAAAAGCGACATCATCTCGCAATGCGACGCCCTCCCAGAAGCCCAAACCCTACTATTTGACGAAGAAGAGCCCAGCGAATGGACGCCACACCTCGAGAAGCTCAACCTACTACTGTCAGGCATGATCCAAAGGACAATAGACAAGGAAACAACCAAGAGCATTCGCTCAATCGTAGCATCGCACAAAGGGAAGGGAGCAAGATCACTAGTCAAGCACCTCGAGAAGGAGATCTGCACTGCTGATAATCTTCGCAGAGGCCTCGTACGACAAAAGCTGATGGGAGTCAGAGTCTACGATAACAACGTCGGCCCAGCCATCACCAAACTCGAAGAGATCCAACAAGAGTCTGAAGACTACGGCTCGAGAATGGCAGACGGCGAAATGATCAACAAATTGCAGCAGATCACTTACTACAACGCCGAACTCAAGAGCGTTTGGCATCAGCTCAGCATGATGGGGCTAGACTCCAACTGGGAAGACGTCAAGATCCAATTCCGCAAGAAAGAGGCCCTAGACAAAGCCCATAATAAGCCTAACCCGCAGCCAAGACCAGCTGCACTGACTGCTGCAACTTTGGCTGCCAACAACGCTGCCAACGGCAGACCTCCCGTCCCTCAATCGACCGCTCCTAGTACCATCACTTCTGCAACCACTCGAGCAAGGCCACCCACCACCATCCTGAACCCTAACAGCCCAAGCTACCTAGCAGGCAGACCCGGCGCCGACGGCAGCCCAGCAAGATGTTACGGATGCAACGACATTGGGCACATCAAGATCAACTGCCCCAATCGCAACCCAACAGCAATGGCAGCCCAGAGCGAAGCAGCATCCATCTCCCCTTCACAGAGCGCATCCCAGGTCATTGAGAGAACCTCGCTCGCCACTGCCCCCGCCATCGAATAGGGATCAGGACGAGCGGCTTTGGCCAAGGCTCGCTTACTGTCCAAACCCATACCCTGGCTTATAGACTCCGGCGCAACCTCCCACATGACCAACAACCCTCACATTCTTTTCGATACCAGGCACGCCAATATACCCATCCTTTGTGCAAATTCCCAATATACCACAGCATCAGCAGTTGGCTCCACAATCCTTTATACCACAAGCGGCAGATATACCCTCAAAGATGTCCTCTACGCCCCTAGTCTAAGCGAAAACCTCATCAGCTGGGGCAAGCTACGGAGATCTGGTATCACCGGCAAATGGGACACTTCCTCAGTCACGTTCTTCTTACCAGATTCCCCCCCTTTAGTCATTTTTCCATCATCAGACGACCGCATCACCCTCCTAAGCCCCCCTCACGCAACCAACGCAAACGCCACCCCAACAGACGCAATCGCCAGCAACGCAACGCATGCAGAAGGCTCTCTAGTCAACCACGAACGACTGGGACACCCTGGCAGAGATCAACTCAGGGCAATCATCCGCAGGTTCCCAGAGGAAGCGAACCCAACAGACAAGGGAGCAGATGACTGCCAACCCTGCGCCGCAAGCAAAGCGACTAAGGCAAGATTACCCAAGCGAAAGGAGGCAGCAGAAGGAGCAACTGCACCACTGCAACGCCTACACATCGACATTCTGTCCAAATTCGCAGGCAACGCTTCGCACAGATTTGCCCTAGTCATCGTCGACGACTTCTCCTCATACGTACACGCAGTCCCACTCAAGCAAAAGGACCACGCCCTGGACGGCCTCTTCGCATTCATCACCTTGGCAGAAAAGCAGACCGGCCTCAAAACCAAGATCATCCGCTCAGACAATGAAGCAGTGTTTCGCAGCAATCGCGCCATTCAATGGCAGCAAGAACAAGGGATTGTGTGGGAGCTCACCAACCCACATGACTCACGCCTAAACGGGAAGGTTGAGCGCTTCAACAGGACACTAGCAGAACGCGCCAGAGCCAACATCGGCGAACGCAACGTCCCACACACCCTGTGGCCAGAGGCGATCGAGTACGCTGCGTTACAGCTCAACCTGACCCCAAGGCACAAGCAGCAAGACCTAATGCCCTACGAGAGATTCTGGCAGGACACCGCGACGGCGACCAGACTCCGCAAGTTCCTACACCCCTTTGGTTGCCTAGTGTGGGCATACATACCAGAAAGCAAGAGACCGGCAGGAAAGTCAGGACCAAGGGCCCTACCAGCAATATTCCTAGGTCTTGACGCCGCACGCAGAGGGTGGAAACTCTTCTCTCCTCACTGCTCTCCCAAGACGTTCTGGAGCAATAGCGCTAAGTTTCATGACACCCTGCGCTGGAGCGACAGACAACGCATGGCAGACTGGAGCGAGATCACAGACAACCCGCATCTCTTCACCACCGCCGGAGAGGAGGCTGCAGACATGCGCTACGATTACATCGACGTCATCACCGCAGAAGACTCAGAAGCACTATCCTACTACGAGCCGGAGATATGCCGGGGAGAACAGGAAGCAGAGGTGTACATTGGAGACGACGGCAGCCTGCGGAAGCTAGAGCGCAGCATGATGGTGAGTTGCGGCACTGAAGAAACTGAATCTTGGATCCCATTCAAGCAGGAGCAGAGCATGGTAGCCGTCACGCAAGCAAACCTGACGCCTACAGTCAAGGAAGCCTTAGCAGGACCAGAGGCCAGACACTGGCTGAACGCGATCAAAGCTGAGATGGATGGCCTCCAAGCAATGGGTACCTGGCAGGAAGTCGACGCGCCACCGTCTGCCAAGCTCATCGACTCCAGACTCGTCCTCCGCATCAAGTTGGACGCAGACGGAGTCCCTCTCAAATACAAGGCAAGACTAGTAGCAAGGGGGTTTACGCAACGTCAGGGCATAGACTTCCAAGAGACCTTTGCACCCGTAGCACCGTTCACTGCCATTCGCACCACTCTGGCTCTAGCAGCAAAGCACAGATGGCACATCCACTGCACCGATTTCAGCCAAGCTTATTGTGCTGAGCGTAGTCGTATGAATTAGTAAGTAACCAAGAGAAGGAGATGGATACAGGCGGGGGAAGAGGACGCGCCAGCCAGCCTCGGAGCCGAGGTGGTCAGCACA